TATCAAGATATTATAGATTTTTCTCGATTAAAATTTTAAATAGATTTTATGAATCAAAACTAAATTTTTATTGATTAATTTTATTTAATATCTTTTCTAAATTATAATGTATTTAAAACATGTACTAAAGTTTATGAATTTAGATATTAGAGAAGACTGAAAAATTTAGATAGTATCCATGTTAAAAAGCACTTTTTATCTAAGTATCAGCTTTTACTTTTTATTCTTTCAATTTAACTATTTTATATAATGATAACTGAATAATGAATACTTTTTATATATTAAATTTTCAATAATATAATGTCTTGCTTTTACACTATTTAACTTTTATTTAATCATTGGATTTTTTGTGATTTTCAACTTTAAAAGGCTGCGATTGTTTGTCAACAATCTAATAAACGCATTCATCTTCTTCATTTTCATTCTCTTATATAGTAGACATTCTTGCTTGTGATAAATCCATAGAATTATAATTGATAGTAGAATCTGATGGATTTTCTGAGTGTTGTTATACTTAAGGATCAAAAACTTTAATATTATCAAGGCTGTCTAGAATATTTTGTTCGTTAAAGAGTTCGATAGGAGAACCTTCTTACAATTTATTATTATTAGAAGAACATTTTGATAGTTTTGAATTTTATAGACTTTATTGCAAGCTTTTGATATATTTAATTTATATATTAGTAATATCGTTTAAAGGATGTGATGATGATGAATAATCTCTATCCATTAAATAGTTATTTTTCATAATTTTTAAATTTTGATCGATATTATGAGTTAGGGTATCAGTTAGAAAAGGTTTTTGACTTTAAGAGTGATTAATAATTTAATTTTCAGTATCATTTGTATAAGATGATTAAAGTTTTTCAGTTATTAGTTTGCTATTTGTAATATTGATCTAAAATATTTATGCTCTAAGTTTTTCTAATTATTTATTGATAGATTCAAGTTCAGTTTTATTAATATTTGATTATCTATTTGAAAGATCTTTAATTTATTTATTTATAAAATTGGAGAGTTTTTCCTCTAACTAAGTTTATAATTACAGAAATTATTAGGATGCATTTTGATTTTATTATGATTAGTTTATAATAATTTATTACAAAAATTCTATTTGTTTATTTTGATGATCTAAGACTTTGAATATTTCTGATTTTTAGGTCTTTATAGTGTTATCTATATATTAGTAAATTTAATGGATTTCATTTTTTTATAATAAAGACTAGGTTTAATGTTAAAATAATGATTCATGTTAATTTTAATTTAATATTTAATCTTTAGATTGATTGGTTTAAGTGTTATCTCTTTCTTTAGAAATTTATCTTGAATTATTTTCATAAGAGCTATAAGTATTTGATTTATGGGGGTTTTATGATATGATTTAAACATAAGGTGGAATATTATTAGTAGGAGTGATTTATTTTAGTTATAATTTAATTTAATTTTATTCTAAATTGAATAATGAATTAATACGTTAGACATTTACATTTCTATAAAGTGGGCTAGAGGATGCAGGAGATAATCTTCTTGGTTAATACATTCAGGTAAATAATTAATTTAAATTTTGAAAAATAATTGTTAAAAATTAAATTATCAAATATATAAATAAATATAAAATAGCAGAATTATCAAATGATAAAATGTTGTATAGATGAATTAATCAAAGGAGAAAATAGATGCAATTCGGAGAGTATAGATGGTTGAAAAATAATTATTTGAGAAGGAATCAATATATTAATTAGTTCGTAATTGTATTCAATAAATGATGGCTTAATTATGCAATATTTGATATTCATTTATGATTAGTATAAAATATTGTTAATAAAATAACAATTATTAAATTATTTATTAATTATTAAATGCTTGTGCATGAAGGAAATATATTAAATGAGTCTTCTGAATTGAAATAGTTGACATATGATGAAGCATTAACTTAGGTTGGTGGTGCAGGGTTGTATTAAAAAAGAGCATTTTTAATATTCGGATTGTAGTGGTTGATTACGAAGTATGTTACAGAATTCCACATTTTAGTTGGATATTGTTTTCACCCGTTTTCTTTTTTATAGAACCTACAGTGGATTGTAAGAATAATGGAGAGTGTTTGGATAAATGTTTATCTGAATCATTAGATGATAATTGTCTGAACTATATTTGTGTACATTATATGATTAATATAGGATGATTCTGAACGTAGATAGTTTGTAGTTGGAGAATCACTAAATACAGCATTTAATTCTCTATTACCTTGTAATAAATCATTACAATCTATAATTAAATCAATTGTATATATTGGATCTTTAACTGGGTTTTTTGTATTTTCATTTATTGCTGATAATTATGGTCGTAAATTGGCTCTTTCTATTTCTTGGGGTATGACAACATTAGGATCACTTTTATTAGCTGTATAAAATTGAATTATTAAAAAGTTTGCCATGAATTATTCAATGATAGCAATAGGGATATTTCTTTTAGGTTTTGGAGGTAATCCAGCGATAACAGTACATTATTCATTTATTAATGAACATTCATGTAATTATTAAATATTTATATATTTAGAGGGTCATTTTAGAGAAATTTAAAATGTTGGAGTTTAAGTATTTTTTGCTATTGGAGAATTTACTATTATATCTTTAGCATATTTCATAACAAAATGGAGATGGCTAGCAATATCGGTTGCTATACCAACAATTTTACTAAATCTTTGTAATTTTTTGATTTTTGAATCTCCTTAATTTCTATACTCAAAAAACAAAAAGAAATGTGTTAAAGTTTTAAATTAAATAGCTAAGATTAATGGAACATAACCTCTTGCAATGAATGATTTAGCATCAAATCCATAAAGTAAAGAAAATAATTCAAGAGTTTATACAATTTGGGATTTGTTGAAATATAAATCACTTAGATATGTATTTTTTGCTGGATTAATGATGTTCTTTGCTATTTAAGTTACATACTATGGAATTAGTTTTGTTAGTGATTAATTAGGTCTTGATTTTTTCCTTAGTAATTTCATTATTGCATTTTTTGAACTGTTAGCTTATGCAACAACAGGTATATTGTTAAATAAATTTTAAGATTTCTTTATTACAAAGTTAAACAGAAAGAAAAATATCATTGGTGGTTTTTTTATTGTAGGGTTTATGAGTTTATATTTTATTTTCAAAAGTGATCATGTTGTTTACAGAGTATTTTAAGGCATATTAGCAGGAGTATTAATATTAAAATTTAATAAATAGTTGATGAGATTTTTAATTTGTGTAGTTTGGGCATTAGGATATGTTTACGTATCTGAATTATTTCCATCAGTTGTAAGATCTTTAGCTTTATGTTTAATATCTGCTGGTGGTTCATTAGGTAGCATAGTTTAAGCATTTTTAATAAATGTTTGTGCTTCAATTAATATTCATCCAATGGTTGCTTTTGGACTTATTGGATTTTTGTGTTCTTTACTTTTATTTCCGTTAAGAGAAACTTTGCATTAACCTTTATTAGAAAAAATAGAAGAAGATAACATTAGAATTAGAAAGAGTATGCTTTAGATTAATGAATCAGAAGAAATTACAACATCTATTCCTGTTCTTGAAAGTAATGAAGAATGAAAATTTGTTAATTTCTATTTGTTTAGTATTAAATAATTCAGAATTATTATAATTTTCAATATTTTCTATTTTTTATATCACCTAAAATATTATTTGATTTAAATTATTGAGATCTTGTCATTTAACCTCCAAAACTAGGACTTGGTAATTATTTTGATTATTCTAGACTGCTAGATGCAGATCTATACTTTTAATATTTTAATTATGAAAGTTAAATATTAGATGGTAGAGAATGCATAAGATTTTAAAAAGTTGGTTACATTAAGCTACTACTTGGTTCATATTTATTGTTTCTTTATTCTTTAAGAATATGCTAATCAAACACATTTTTTAGGTATTCCTTTTTTTGATTCATTAAATTTAATAACTATTTTAATTATTTAATTAATCTCTGAATTAAAATTTAAATTAATAAAAAAATTCTGTTAAATAATTAATAAATAATATAATTTAAAGAAATGAATGACAATGTATAAACAAGAGTGACAGGAATTTTTGAAAAATTGAATAACATATAAAATTAAGTGCAAGATGAGTAATATATTATAATAAATAAATAATAGAAAAAATAGCAGATTTTCAGTCATTGCTTAATTAATAGGTTAGTTTGAATTGAATTTAAGAAATGCATCATAATAAAAAGAAGCAATATTTAGTTAATTGGCAAATAAATTTAAAGATTTATAAGGATTTTTAGAAAATGAGAATGATAAGTATATAAATAATTTGAAAATTAGTCGAGTAAGATAAGAATAAGAAAGTTAAAAAATGATAGTAGATTTAGAAAGACATGCAAAAAGATTGTTAGAAACAAGTTAAAAAGAGAGAGTAGATTAAGAAAAGAAATTAACTTATGCAATTAGTTAATAAATAGATTTCATTTCTTAAGATGTAAATAGATAAGGAGTTGAATTATTGGAATCACATAAATATGTGGATATTTATTTAAATGAAGACTTACCAAAGATAGCAGATGATTTATAAAATGAAATAGATGAAAGAAGAGAAGTAGAAGAAAGAATATATCATTAATTCATGGAATAAATTTCAGATTTAAGAGAATTATTTGATAGGTATGATTAATAATATAATAATAAAAGAGAGAGAAAAGAAAGAGAAGCAAAAGAAGAAGATATAGTAGAAAGTTTAAGAGAAGTTTAATATAGAATTACAGAATTATTGAAAAGAAATAAAAGAGAAAGAGAAACTACTGAATAAGAAATGGTATGTTTAGTTGAAACTGTTATAGAGAAAATAAAGATTGAAATGTTAGAAATGAATATGTGAAATTTAATAAATGACATATTATTTAATATGTATCAATAATATCATCTTCCAGACCATGAAGCAACTTATTTCTTAAACATAATAATGACTTCATCTAAAATAGCATTCTCTTCTTATCTCTTAGCTTTAGCTTCTTCATAATCAGCTCTCTTTATTTCTAAATCAGATTAAGCTTAATCTAATGCATCTTATGATTCTTATAATATTATCTTAGATTTAGCTTATTAAGCAAAAGCAGCTTAAATTTACTAAAATTAATAATAATATATACAGTGGCAGTTCTATCAGCAAATACTTATTTTCTTTCATATTCAACTTCTAAATTTGATATTTCAGCTTCAGATAATGAAACCCATCCAGCTAATTCCCAAGATGCATTTATTTCATTTTATTTCAAATTCTCTAATGATGCTTCTAATTCACTTTATAATCCTTCAAGTACAGATAATACTTTTTCAGCTAAAGTTGATCCTGATGATTATTCCTTCCATATTTTAATTATTTTACTTATTATTCTTAAGCTAAGGCTAAGAATGATTTTATTTAATGTTCTTAGAATAAGTTGCTATATTATTTTAATTTTTCAGCTACTGATTGTGCTTAAACTTAAGCAAATTCAAATGAATCTCCATTTATAATATAACCAGCAACATCTTATTTAAGAAGCTTAATAACTTCAAGAGCTTCTTAATTATGTTTAATTGATTTCACAAATAATTAATTGCTGAAACATTGATTATCTTATAATGTTTCAATTTTAGCTGCTATTGAATCTCTTCTAGCTTCATTCCAAGCTAAATAATTCTTTGTTTATTATAAAACCTATTCATATTCAGCTCTATTTTCTACAGCTTGTTGGAATAATTTTTAATTTAAGGTTTTGATTTTTGTGAATTATTCAATTGTTCTATTATTTTATTTATTATATTTACTAAGCACCAACCCATTCATCTGTTTCATTCTTTTAATCTGCTGCAAATTAAGCATCAATATTTGATTATTTTAAATCATTTAGTAATCCAAATACTGTATCAATAGCATCACTTGCTTTTGTACCAGTCTATTTTTTTATATAATAAAACTTACTTATAAAAGTGCTAAGATTTAATCTTAAGTTTTAGAAGCATAACTTGTTGCTGCTAAGGCCAACAATACAACAATCATATATTTCATTTCTAATTAACTTAATATTAAAAAACGATTTATATTAAAAACGACTTAATTCCAAAATCTATAATTAATTTCTTAATTCATTTATTATTATCATTTTAAAATTATTAGCTCTTCACTAATTACACTAATTTATCATTTCAATGAATATTATTTATACTTCTATCATATTATCATTAGTATAATTTATAAGTACCAAAAATTCAATTTTTTTATATTTTTATCATTTTCAATTAATTATTAAACATAGATACGTTTATGAACCTTTTTATATAAATCAATATTTTATTATTAATATAAATGTAAAATAAGTACATTGAACTTCTACAAAATTATGTTTTCAATATAGTGAAATTAATAAATATTCATAAAGGTGTTTTACAATTTATAATTATTTTTGTTACCACATCATCAATATTTATTCAACAAAATTTATCTAAATAATATAAAATTTAAATCATTCAAAAATCACGAGAAATTATTAATACATAATATTAAAAACTAAATCTTTATCAACCAATATAATGAATCAAAACGATTTATATCTTATTGAAGGTCTAAACCTTAAAAAAGAAAGAAAAACTTAAATTTACATAATCTCTGAACCACTAGGTTTGAAGCTATTAGTACGAATTCTTTATATTCTTAGGACCCATTAAATTTGACTTTCAAATTATTAGTATATTGGAGTAATGAAGATGTACTATTAGATTGGAATGATTACTTAGAAAGAACATGCTCTAATGGATTCTACTTTAAATTATATTTTTAAGGTTAAGAATACAAAATTGAGGGTTCTGCTGAGTAACTAAGCACATTGTATGATTTTTGTATTGGTAAATTCATTTTTAAGAAGAGTAACATCTACTAATTAAACAGAATCATCTCAACGAATTCATAATATGAAGTATATATTTATAATAAGTTTAGTTATCTGTAGTAACAGATGTTTTAAATAATAAATAATACCTTGAGAAAAGAATTCTTTCTGGTTTCATTTCTCAAGGAATTGATGTATCTAATTCTTTTGACACTTAATCAGGTTTAGATAAAATACCAGAAGAAATAAGAATCATTCAATTATTGAATGCTCAAAAGTGTCCTTATATTTAAAAAGTTTTATCTATTTGCTATGATGGTGAACACTATTCTTTTATCTACACAAACTAAAATTTAATATCTTTAAAATAGATGTTAAAAATACAACACATGGGTTTGGCTCTTGCTTTTATCATAGAAATTATAGAATAATTGTTAACAGGTAATCAAATTAAATATTGTTAGTATTGAATATATTTCAAGAACTTGAAATTATACACAATAATATTAATTTAGATTAGATACATTATTCTCTAGATTCTAATTCAATTATTTTTAATAGTTTTAGTAATTCAACTTTTGTATGCAATAAAGGAATGCCTATGTATTTAATAATTCAATTTTAGAAAATGTAATACTATAGGTTTTATTCCTCCTGAATATTTATCAAACAAATATTTGATTTCACCCCAAGCTAATATATTCCAATTAGGCACATTATTCTATCATTTGTATATTATTTATATAATTTTTTATAGGTTATTTAACTAAAATCCTTTTGGAAATGATTAATAAACTAAACTTAAAAACAATATCGTTGTCAAATATAGTATTCCAAATATATAAATGGATAAGGATATTATTGAAGTACTTAAGTCAATGATGTAAATAAATCCCAAAAAAAGAAAAACTCCTAAAGAGTATATGTGTTCCAAGATTTTTAAACCTTCATATAAATCAAAGATTTCTAAAAACTCTTTCTTAAAGTTTCTTAAAGATAATTCATCTTCAAAAATTGATGAGTTTGAAGTAGAGGATGAAACTACTTCAATCTAAAAAGTCAAATTACTTTCTTTTAATAAAAAAAAGAATTGATATTTTTGAAATATAATTTGTGTTAGAATATGTCTAGTTCAATTGAAAAGTTGTTTTTTTCTAATCTTTCTTTCAATGTATTTTTTATTGATTTAAATAATTCAATTTTTAAGGCTATTTTTTAAGATTATTTTCATAATTCTTTGATGTAAATGATAAATAATAAAATAGAAAAAAAATTATATAAAACGGATAATTCGTATTATTTAATTTATATTAGTTTGTGATAAATTGATAATGAAGTAAGAAAAATTAAATAATATTTATTATAAGATAAAGTAATAAATAGAATTATAAAATTTTATTTAATTTTAATACTGTTGTTAATAATGGTAATCAAATATAGTTATTTAATATGCCATTTTTCCAAAATCCTTTAATTTCATATTCATCATTGGTCGAATAGGTTCCTTTACCATGAGTAATATCATTATTAAATTTTCCTTAGAATTTTTCATCATTAGTTAATAAAAGGATGCCTTTTCCATTCCTTTTGCCTTAAAAAAAATCGCCTTTAAATAAAGTATATCTTTACCTTCATACCATTACCAACCATTATTAATTTCGTTCATATTTAGATAATCGAATGGTCCTTGAATCTTTTCTTATTACAAATTGATTAGTTTGCCTTTACCATCGTATTAATCATTTTTCCATTATCCTCTGTATATTTCTTAATCATTTTAATCTTTTAAAACTCCAAATCCCTCTTTTATACCTGTTTAATATCCTTAGCCTTTATAAGTATATCCATTTTTATAATTAAATTGAATTTCTTATAATTATTATTTTTGATTTTCCAGTTTCTTAACTTAATCATCAATAACCTTTTAAATTTAATTATCTTAAATTGAGTCATTTTATGAAATTGATTAAGGTTATTATGAAAAATTTGAATTCTACTTTGATTATGATTAATTGATTTTCTATTAATATTCATATAATGATTAATCAAATAACTATGGAATTTAATTTTAATAGACTATTTATTAAAATTGCTGCTAATCAATCATTTAAGAATAAGAATATTATTACTAAGATTGCGATTATAATTAATAATTGTAAGAAGAACGAGCTGGACTTTTTGAATAAGTATTTACTTTTTAATAATTGATTTATGAATAGCCGTGTATAGATTATTGAAGTTAAATAGGTTGAACTATTTAATTGATAGATGATTATTATAGTTACTGATAAAGATGGGATTGTGGATATTATGTATGTATAGGTTATTCTTAAACTGTTTATTATTGATTTTACTGCTAAGGATAAAACTATTGGAATATATATTGAAAATAACTTAATTAATAAAGGAATGAGGGATCTATCGTTATTATTGAGGTTAATTTATGTTTGGTTATGGCATTTATACCTTTGCAAAGTAATAGGACATTTGGTTTATTTTTATAAGTGTTTGATATAAATTATTTTATTTTAATAAATTTTATTTTTAATAAATAAATTTCGATTATTAATAAATTATCATGTATTTTAGATTCATCTATTACACTACCTGCTTCTGAAGCAAAGATCAGGCTTCTTTATATTGAAATCTGGTATAACTTATTTACCATTAGAATGTAATAATTAAACTTATTCTGGATTTAATCTATCTTTCTTCTCTACAATTTCTAGGTGGTTCTGGTTCTACATTTGCTGCTGTTGCTCCTTTTCTTAATGCATTCTAATATGTTTATATATAATATGGATCATTTTTATTTCTATGTGGTTAAACATTATGTGATAATAAATGTTATTCATATCTTATTCCTCCTACTATTGGTTTTATATTATTATATCCATATGTACCTCATGGTCATGCTGGTTTACCAAAATATGTAGTAAAAGCTGAGGTCTCTCCTTAAAATTCTTTATTCTTTCCTTTCTTCTTTTCAATTTTTCTGAATCTTTCAGATTATTTGGATCTAAACTCTTTGCTTTATTTATAAACTTTTTTGTCATCTTTTAAACTTCACCATCATTCTCTTAATCATTTAATTCCTCTTCTTCTTCTTCTGAACTTGCAACATCCTCATACTTTTTAGATTCTCCATAATAAAATCCACTTAACGGATGTTGTACTTTGTANTTAATTGATTTTCTATTAATATTCATATAATGATTAATCAAATAACTATGGAATTTAATTTTAATAGACTATTTATTAAAATTGCTGCTAATCAATCATTTAAGAATAAGAATATTATTACTAAGATTGCGATTATAATTAATAATTGTAAGAAGAACGAGCTGGACTTTTTGAATAAGTATTTACTTTTTAATAATTGATTTATGAATAGCCGTGTATAGATTATTGAAGTTAAATAGGTTGAACTATTTAATTGATAGATGATTATTATAGTTACTGATAAAGATGGGATTGTGGATATTATGTATGTATAGGTTATTCTTAAACTGTTTATTATTGATTTTACTGCTAAGGATAAAACTATTGGAATATATATTGAAAATAACTTAATTAATAAAGGAATGAGGGATCTATCGTTATTATTGAGGTTAATTTATGTTTGGTTATGGCATTTATACCTTTGCAAAGTAATAGGACATTTGGTTTATTTTTATAAGTGTTTGATATAAATTATTTTATTTTAATAAATTTTATTTTTAATAAATAAATTTCGATTATTAATAAATTATCATGTATTTTAGATTCATCTATTACACTACCTGCTTCTGAAGCAAAGATCAGGCTTCTTTATATTGAAATCTGGTATAACTTATTTACCATTAGAATGTAATAATTAAACTTATTCTGGATTTAATCTATCTTTCTTCTCTACAATTTCTAGGTGGTTCTGGTTCTACATTTGCTGCTGTTGCTCCTTTTCTTAATGCATTCTAATATGTTTATATATAATATGGATCATTTTTATTTCTATGTGGTTAAACATTATGTGATAATAAATGTTATTCATATCTTATTCCTCCTACTATTGGTTTTATATTATTATATCCATATGTACCTCATGGTCATGCTGGTTTACCAAAATATGTAGTAAAAGCTGAGGTCTCTCCTTAAAATTCTTTATTCTTTCCTTTCTTCTTTTCAATTTTTCTGAATCTTTCAGATTATTTGGATCTAAACTCTTTGCTTTATTTATAAACTTTTTTGTCATCTTTTAAACTTCACCATCATTCTCTTAATCATTTAATTCCTCTTCTTCTTCTTCTGAACTTGCAACATCCTCATACTTTTTAGATTCTCCATAATAAAATCCACTTAACGGATGTTGTACTTTGTATTTTCCTTTAAAGTTTTAATTATTTTATTCCAATTAATATATTAATTGATTTTAATCTTTTATTCCCTTTACTTAATAGTTATCTCTATATGCAGATTATTATTTGGGATTCCATTATAATGGTAATTTGTATTAATTATTACACTATAGCTTGTTATTTTAACATTCACAGGATTTAGCAATATTCTTAATTCTATAAATAAAATTTGAATTATATTTACTTTAAACATAAATTTATGAATCATCAATCTTTAATTTTTCAATTTTTCTAAAATTATCTATATTTTCAGTTTGCCAATGTTAATTTTTATGATTTATTCTTGCAGTCACCTTTTTTAGTTTCTGGTTCATTTTCTATTTAACTTTTCTTTTTAAAATCCCAAGGTTCATCTTATTATAATGGCCATTTAATTATATCAAACATATTGGTTCGTCATTTCTTGGTTTATTTTTAAAAAAAAATTTTATTATCATCTTGATATGATGATATAATACTTTCATATACTTATTTAAGGACTTAATCATTATTTTTCATATGACTGTTAGATTAGTAATAATTGAATAAATAAAATTTAATTTTAATATGATTGTAATGTTAAACTGTTAAGAAAACAAGATAATTCATTATTCATCAATATCATCACTTTATTATTTTACTTCATTATCAATTTATTACTATATTTGATTTTCTACTATTTCATCTTGTCTAATAGTTTCAATTTAAGATTCTTCATTAAGTTAAGGAATTTCTGTCAATTCTTGTTTCGTTTTATTTTTTTCATCTTATTCTTACTTTTCTTATAATTCTTTTAAGATAGTTTAATCTTCTTGATTAATTAAATAATTAATTTTTTCCAATTCAATTGCATCAATAGATTTATTTTTGACACTAATAATAAAAATAATGAAATATTAATACTTAAATATAGGTTATAACTACATTTTATCTTTCTTTTTAGTAGAGATTGAACTAGGATTGGTTGTATCACGATTAGATAAAGTCAAATTATTTCTAAAATAAATATAATAACAATACCTAATTGAATTTACATATTATTGACATTATTAATATCTTTAAAGTCTTTTCATTAATCTTTTATTTTCTTTATAAGAATGAGAATATTCATCTAATTTTAAGACTGGTTCTTATTTCATAAGTCGATCTGCTAATTTAATGTTTTCATGTTATATTTATTATGCTTATAGTTTTCTAAAATTTAAATTTAAGTTATGAGGATGTTGTATATTTTCATCTTCACATTTATAGTACTCTTATTACATAGGTCTATTGCATATTTCTGTTATTTTTTAATATAATTAACTGTTTCCCTTATTGATTCTTTCTGATTATTCTAAATTTATTAAATTTTGATGATAAATTACCGCTTAGATCAAAACGCCTTCTTTATTGTCTAATATTATTTCTTTTTTCTAAGTTTTCAACATGTTATACTCTTGATTATGAATGTGTTTTTTTAGTTTTAATTTCATTTAATTTTTTCAAATGATGATCATAAGACCTAATAATATTATGAATAATTATTACTTTTCTCTGGAAAATATTTAGTCTAATTTATAATTATAATTGTATTAATGATTAGTTCTCATTAATTAAAATAAATAATTAATATAATGTCACAACCGTCCGAGACTAAACAATCAATATAAAGTGGTAGAATGATACTTCATCCATCTTTAAAGTTAGATAAATCAGCAGCATTTTTTAAAAATACAAAAATAAGTTCATGTTCATACGTAAAAATGAAATAAGGTAATCCTTAAGTAATTATAATATATATATAAATAGGCTGTTCCATTTTATGAGATTGCAAATAAAACTCCAGGAGAACATGAAACTAAATCTACATATACAACATCAACATATGCGTATAATATTAAATTTTAATATAAAGTGATGATTATAAAGTTAAACCAAATTTACATGTTGGTTCAACTAATAAATTATTGGAACCATATAATACAGGATCTTTTAGATCAAGATTACCAGAACCAGATGCTCCTATTCTTACTAAAAATGCATCATAAGTAGAATTAGGAGAAAGACAGTATTTTATTATTATAATTAATATAGTTTCAATGTTAAAAGACATTTTCTAAGTACAGCTCATAATGTTTATGGAAATTTTGGTAAATTTGGAAATGTTACAAATCCAGGTATTTTATCAGAGAAAACTAAATGGCATCACCATTTATAACAAAAATGATAAGATAATATGTATAATCATTAATTAATATTATCATTCTATTCATGATTATTATTATTATTATTATCTTTAGGATTACATTCTGGTATGTAAATATTCATTTTTAATGTGTCAAGATTTAACATTGTTTTTTTATCTACTTCTTATTGATTTTATTTAATTTATTAATTATTTTCTTCCTTATTCTTAGATTTTACTTATGGTCTTTTCTTTCTTCTATTTTCTATTTAATCTATATCTAATTCACTTTATATATTTGAATTTTTGCTTCTTGTTTTTTTATATTCTATTTAATTTTCATTACTATCACATTTTTAATTGTTTTTCTTTTTATTGTTTTTTATATTAAGTTCTTTCATACTTTATTTTTAATCTTCTTTTTATTCTTCTTCTTCATCTTAATCATCGCCTGGATTTTATTATTCAAGACCGAAATTAAATAAAAACTTTCTTAATTTATAATTTTTTTTATCTGTTTTAGTATTATCAGGTATATCAATAGAATTTGGATCATATTTTTTAATATCATTTGATTTTTCTTCTGATGTGAATTTACTTTGATTAATTTAAGTTAATTTTTGTTTTTTTTGATTTTTATTATTAGAAATTGATTATTTAATAAAAGTATCTTCATATAATTTTGGATTTGATTATTCTGAATATATACCAATATCTTTTGATTTAGATTATTTAGGTAATGATTTAAATTCAGATTCAGAATCAGATTATTATTATTATTATTATTATTATGGTTTTATCTTTTTAGTAGATATAGATTTCTTTTTTTTCTTTTTAGATTATTATTAATTAGATTATTTATTTTATAGAAGTTCATCTTCTTCTCCAAAAACATCATCAAAATTTTAATCATAATTTGTTAAGAAATCTTAGAGTGTTAATTTAGCTAATGGTTTTTTCTTTAATGATTTAGAATGTAAAGTTTAAGATGAAAATAAAGATGTTTGAAATAATTATTAATTATCAGAAGATTTCTTTTATGTTTCATCTTATTCTTATTCTTATTCTGATTCTGAACAATCTTCAATGTTAAACTTCTATTTAATCTTATTAATATTAAACATACAGGAGTGGTCATATATTTTTGTATTTATATAATACAATAATTTTCAGGATTTTGTAAAGTGTTCTTTTTTAAAAAATTTATATTAATATAATATATGTAAATATATATATATATATTAATAATTTATGAATTTAGAGAATCCAAATAAATTAAAATGGAAACAATAATACATAAAAAGATATAGAGATATATTAGGGATTTCAAAGTATAATGATAAGAAAGATGATTAGTCTAAGAATATATGAAGTAAAACCTATGAATAATCATATAACTCCTGATTATTTAGATCATATAGATAGAGTTTAAAAGTAGAGATCAAAATCATTAAAATATAATGATGAAAGTTTCTAAAGTAGAAATAGTTCGTATAATGTAAATAGAAAGTTACCTGATCTGAATTCTACAAAGATTTATTCTGCTGCTTAAATGAATTAAATAATCAATCATGCTAATATATGTGGATTATTATATAAGAAACCATAAGTATAATAAATAATAATAATAGCATTAAAAATTCATAGAATAGAACCGAAAATATTTGGAAGATGTTCGTAATTTATAAAAAAGTTGGCATAATTTTAAGATTCGTTAAGAAGAATAGAATTAAGAATTCAATAGAATTCCAATGGAATAACATTATTAATTTAAATTATATAATAAAAGAAGAGAGATGAATATTTAAAGATTAATATAAGAATAGAAAACTTTATATTAAAGTAATAAAACATAAACAATAGAGGCAACATAATCAAATAATTAAGATTGATATCTCTTTTATATGAATAAATTAAATTATGAGTACAGTAAATTATGAATTGTGATAATAAATATATATAAATTTAGCAAATGATAAATAGGAAAACAAATCTATCCTATCTAACTAAAAATTTGTTTAGTCAAGATTATGATTAGGAAACTTTATTTTAATCTCCATTAAAGTCTTCTGAAAAATCAAAACAAATTGTGAATTAATCTCCAATGAAATTTGATAGTCTTGATAATCTTCTAGAAAGTTAAAGTATTGTTAAAACTCAAAGACCTTCAGAATTCAATCTTAAAAAGATGTTATCAAAAATAGATGATTTTGAGAGTACATAGGATACATAGAAACCAAATAAAACATTTCGGTTTAGAAGACATGAAAATTTTCAATCTTAACCATAGCTAAAAATTGATGTAAAAAATGATCTTGAAGACTTTTTTAATAATAATGATCATACACCTATAAAAAAACAATAAAAATAAAATAATAATAAAGAAAGTAAATAATACTAATTANAATACATAAAAAGATATAGAGATATATTAGGGATTTCAAAGTATAATGATAAGAAAGATGATTAGTCTAAGAATATATGAAGTAAAACCTATGAATAATCATATAACTCCTGATTATTTAGATCATATAGATAGAGTTTAAAAGTAGAGATCAAAATCATTAAAATATAATGATGAAAGTTTCTAAAGTAGAAATAGTTCGTATAATGTAAATAGAAAGTTACCTGATCTGAATTCTACAAAGATTTATTCTGCTGCTTAAATGAATTAAATAATCAATCATGCTAATATATGTGGATTATTATATAAGAAACCATAAGTATAATAAATAATAATAATAGCATTAAAAATTCATAGAATAGAACCGAAAATATTTGGAAGATGTTCGTAATTTATAAAAAAGTTGGCATAATTTTAAGATTCGTTAAGAAGAATAGAATTAAGAATTCAATAGAATTCCAATGGAATAACATTATTAATTTAAATTATATAATAAAAGAAGAGAGATGAATATTTAAAGATTAATATAAGAATAGAAAACTTTATATTAAAGTAATAAAACATAAACAATAGAGGCAACATAATCAAATAATTAAGATTGATATCTCTTTTATATGAATAAATTAAATTATGAGTACAGTAAATTATGAATTGTGATAATAAATATATATAAATTTAGCAAATGATAAATAGGAAAACAAATCTATCCTATCTAACTAAAAATTTGTTTAGTCAAGATTATGATTAGGAAACTTTATTTTAATCTCCATTAAAGTCTTCTGAAAAATCAAAACAAATTGTGAATTAATCTCCAATGAAATTTGATAGTCTTGATAATCTTCTAGAAAGTTAAAGTATTGTTAAAACTCAAAGACCTTCAGAATTCAATCTTAAAAAGATGTTATCAAAAATAGATGATTTTGAGAGTACATAGGATACATAGAAACCAAATAAAACATTTCGGTTTAGAAGACATGAAAATTTTCAATCTTAACCATAGCTAAAAATTGATGTAAAAAATGATCTTGAAGACTTTTTTAATAATAATGATCATACACCTATAAAAAAACAATAAAAATAAAATAATAATAAAGAAAGTAAATAATACTAATTAGTAACATTTACTGATTATGTTGAAAATATTTATGGTAAAGAATGGTTTCAAATAGCAATACGAAGACCTCGTAGATAAAATACTATTCAAGAGTTCTTTGATATACTTGAATGATATTAATTAAACTAGTTTATATTTATATAAATATCTTCATTTAATTTATACAAATAAATGAAAAAGTATTCCTCTTAAAGAATATTAATATCATAAGATGAATTACAAAGAATTCAATAAAATGTTACTAAATCATTATAACCTATGTTTAAAGCAAGAATCAAACGTAAATCCGAACCTGAATAATGTTAATTTAAACCTGATGTATCAATATTCATATATATAGATAAACAAATAATCAATCAATTTATAAAGAACCATTCATGATTTATATAGATGGAATCTTAATAAACAATAGAAGATACAATAAATCTAATAAGATGAAGTACTATTATTTATAAATATTTAGACTAAAGAAATCTAAAACAATGCAAATAGATTGACTCATTAAATCACATCTCCTTCAGTTTTTGAAAGACTTTATTAAATTAGAAAAAATAGTGAGTTTACTCTATGTATATATTTATATTATCTTTAAGAGTAATCTAAAAGGAATTCCTATAACAATAAACCATATTATACTAAAAACATGACTAAATCCATGTTTTAAGAATATTAAAGATTATACACTAATGTTGAAACTACATAATTCAAATCTAAAACATAAGCTACTGAAAATTCTTTATTACAAACTCCAATTTAAGAGGTACCTCCATCTATTAATGATGTAAGTATATTTACAATTTCTCTTAGATGAAAATAACCCTTCCCTTACATTAATATATCGATCTTACTCAATAAATTTAAGATTAACATTCATCAGATACTGCTACAGAATCAATTATCTAAGAAAAAGAAATTGAAGCTATGGTTTAAAGGTAATAAATCATTAATACTTAGATTGAATAATTGGTAAGCCAAAAAATTAGAAAGAGAATAATTAAATGCTTTAGAATACAATTCAGACAATAAACCTTTCTCTTCTAATACATATACTTAAACAAATTCTTATTCCAACATAGTTTTAAATATTTGATTTTCTAACATTTATTACTATTCATTTTTATCATCAATTAATATGAAAAATTAAATCAAATTATTCACATCATCAAACATAAAAATCTACATATACTTTCTACATTATAAATTTTCATCAAAATATTGTAATTTCCTAGAAGCTGAAAATGATATATCAATTTAATTATTTTCTATTTATCTATTATTTTTATTAATTTCTCTATCTTATATCCAATCTCTTATTATAATAATAATAATCATAACTTTGTTAATCAGAAGTTACTTAAGAAATGTTAAAACATTTACAAATTTTGTATAAAATTTTATATAATTTAATAATTTTCAATAATGTATAAAATTAAAGCGATAATTAAATAATAAAATTTTTCAATCTTAAAAGATATAATAAATTTGATTAATAAATAGCCATTTAATATAATTACTTAATTTATTTAAACTAAAACTCTTTACAAGAATGATGAGCAGATATAAATTAATAACTATAAAATCAAATGATTAAATTTTAAAGAAATCTTCTAAAGATTTCTAGCAAATAAAAAAAAAGAACTTTAATTTTTTAAATTTGACATATTAATAATAATCTAAATAAACTTTTCATTAATTAGAATAAAACTTAAATTTTAACCTCCTTAAATAAATATATAAAAAAGAAACAAATGAAATATAATTCAAACCCTTATTTCGACAAGATAACTTTGAAGAAAAATTACTAACATATTAATATTTCAATATTTTTCATATAATTATATTATTCAAGAAATACTTTCGTAGCTAAAATTAAATTAAGTCTTTTAGACATTTTGATTAGTAATTTTATCCATAGAATGATAAAATTATTTAGAAATAATATTGAATAAAAAGAAAGAAAACTTTAATAAAATCTTGAAATTCAAATAAAACGATCTCAATGAAAATTAAAAAAGTACATATTACATTCAATATATTCTAGTTGAGTGATGAGAACATAAAACTATAATTAATTCATCTGAGGAAAGTTGTAGAAAAGTGATTCAAAAAATAAAGTTAATCTAGTTTAGAAAGTCTTAAAAGTATTTCAATATAAATGAAATTACAAAATATCAATCTTAATGAATGAAAGTAGGACTTCTTTTATGTTATTTTTAGAACTAAAAATATCTTAATAATTTTACATCTCTTATAAATTATGTTAAATGTTTAGATTATCTAATCATATTATTGTATTATGATTATTTTTATCGATATTATGCTTAGATATATTATTCTTAGATGTACTCTTAAGTTTCAGCTTATAAATCAATAAACCTCATATTTGGAGGAATAAACCATTTATTATATTAATTAGGTCTTTTAGGTGATGGTCTTTTGTCAGTCTTAATCTTGAATTACAATTCACTTTAAGATTTAGGTAAACTATGCAAACTATATAGTGAACTGGCTCTTCTTTGCTTATATTTATTATCAGGTTATGTTGTTTCATGTTAATTAGTTGTATCATTGACATTTGTATATACAATCTTATCGATCCATCTATGTTCATCAAAATTATTGAACTTTTGCTTTGGAATCAATACAGGAGGTAAAATTGTTAATTATTTAGATTTTAATCTAGATATCAATCGACCATGTATTGATTCAGAATTATTCTCATTTTAATAATACATGCCAAATTTTATTATTTTATAAATTTTTAATATATTTATTAATAAAGCACTCTTTATATTGAGTTAATTAAATTATATTTGATATATGAGTAAATAGTTTTATTTAATAAAAGACTTCTATTTCTATATTTAATACTATCAATAAGAATAGAAATAATTTTCAATGGTTAAATGTGTTTTAATAATTCTTCATCAATTTTTACTTATTATTATACCTTAATATGATTTATATAATAATCAATTTTTTATAAAATTAAATAAAATGGTTATTAAAAAGGCTTTTGAAGATTTTTATCTAGAAAACTTCTTAATAATTAGGGATTGCTTTAATAGAAATCAGTTTTTTAGTTTTGGATTGATATTGTTTTAATCCTTTTAAATAGAGGGAATATTTCTTTGTGAAAATAATTTTGAACCTTAAAAAAGCGAAAAGAAAAGAGGAATAATGGATGCCATAATTTGGATTTTAAAAGCATCAAAGTAATTATAGAAATTTAATTATTAGAATATACCCTATATTTTAATCTGAAACTAATCTAAACCAAATATATTTTATTGATGTTTGCTTTTTAATAACTCTAATAGTCATTTTTCTAATTAATTTACTCATTGCAATTAAAAAGAATAGTTAGCTAAAATAGACAGACTAAAAAATAAATGGGTTGTTTTCTTTACATTTTTCTGATTTCCCCATGAAAGTATTAACATTTTTTTAATAAGAATAGTAGTAAATTAAATAGTAGTTTAATATAAAACTGATCAAATTGATTACCAATTTATTGTCTTTCTTTTTGTAAACATACAAATATATCATCCATTGGACGATCATTTATTGCTCTCTTAATATTTTATATAATTGTATTGCAGATGATCAATAATTAAATGAAAGTAAATTCAATTCTTAAATTAGATTGGATTTATACATCAGGTATAACAACATCAATATTTGTGTTTTTATTTTTCTTTTTGATTGACCTCTTTATGACGTTTCATTTTTTTGATTACAAATTTAAAAATTAAGATTTTTTGGGCAAAAAAGAATCTAACCTAGAATTGGTATTTAATATCTATATTTATGCTTGTATTATAATCATAATATTTACTAAACATGAATACCCAAATTTACAATTATTATTAGGACTTATTTTTAACTTTTTTTTATTACTGTTAAGTACACTATAAATTTTATATAGAAGATAATAAATAAATACTTTTTAGTCATTTATTTTGGGTTAATTTATATTTATTTATATTGGATAATTCTGCTACATAAATAATTTATTCTCAATAGATTTTATGAATTTATTGGTTTTTATTTCTTCTCCAATTATATTTGGATTATAAATAATAATCAGAAGAGAGTAGTTAAAGAAACATTTTACTTTGAGTCTTAAGGATTCAAGATATTTGGAATAAAAATTAAGAGTTATGTATGATTTGATAAAAATGACTTATTTTAAAGATTGGAGAACATTTAAAAAACCTATAATTAGAACACATATATCATTGTAATTACATAGTTTAGCAGCTAATCATTTAAGAAATTGTTCAGGTTATTAATTAGATGAAACTTAACCTTTATATTTTAATTTAACAAGATAATGTTTTTGTAAACAATACTTTTAATATAATGAATAGAAATCTATTTAATTTTGGAAAAGAGATTTAGATTATGAAGCTGAAAAGAAATACTTTGCATTTAATAATGAAAAATAATTTAAACAGTTTTTGTTTGATTTAATTAAATTTTATTTCGAAAGGTTTTTATAAAATAAATCAATAATGGAAAATAATGAATAGTTTTCTTATATATATTTTCTTTTTTAAATACAAAAAAAACCAACAAAAGCATTTTATGAAGCAATGAATTTAAAGTTTAAAGTGAAAAAGTTGAATTAAAAAAGAACTATGATAATTGAATAATTGATTTAAGATGCAAAACATAATTTTAATTTGATGATTGAAAAAAAAGATTTAAAAAATTAGAAATATAATTTTAAATAAGTTTTTGATTTTGATTAAAATTTAGACATTGCAAAATAAAATTTTTAGATAATATTAACAAATTATAAGAAATGGTATTATTAGTTATTAAATTAATAATTATAATTGGAATCGATAATAAATAAGGGAACAGAATTGCAATAATAAATTTAAGTATTAGAGAAATAATTAAGTAATTTATATTAATTAAATCCTGTTTCAGTAGAATTAGACACAATAATTTATTTGTTTTATAAATACATTAATTTTAATATAAAAAGACCTAAAACAACAAAAAGAAATTCCCCTTATGCAAATTAATTTGTATAATCAATTAATTAATAAGTATTTTAAAGAGATTCATGTATTATTTACATATCATTGATGAATTAAAGAGGTTCAATATAAAATTATACAAAATCTTTTAAATCTTTGATATTAGGTAATGATTAAGAGATCAAATATTAAAATATTAAATATTTTATGCCTGATTCTATTGCTTAACATCATGATATGTATTTAGATAATTTTATTGAATTGGGTAGAATGAATATTGTTATGGCTGAATAAAGATTTTTAATATTAAAAAATAAAGAATCTTTTATAATTCCAGTTCATGCTAAAGTGCGATTGGAAAATTATTCAAATAATGATTTTGGATCTTCAGCATTAGTTACAAAAATTAATTAATAAAATTATTATATAGTCATAAGTAAATTTGGAATTTTAGAAGAATTATCTTAAAATTTTCATGAAGATATAATAAAGAAAACATTTAATTGTCCTCCAAGTTAACTTAAGAATCTCAATTTCTTGAGAATTATGCCATGTTTACTCAAAGATCTACAAAAATTATCATAAACATAAAAAAATAACAATGATATTGATTTTGAATTCATATAATAAAATAAAGATGAAGTTAATTATGATATTTTGAAGGAAGGAAATATATTAATACCAAGACAATTTAATTTATCTGAATAAATGTAATTACTTAAAACAAGTATGACAAATGATATACAATCTTATTTTTAATAAGAATAATTGTAAAGTCATCTCTATTTTTAGAATGTTTAACATTATTACATATTTTATGTAAAATACAAAATAAGAGTTATGAAAACAATAAATTCATTATATATCATATTAGATATTTAAAATCTTAAAATGGTGAAATCTGAACACTAATTAAAAGTTTTGAAAGCAATTTAAAATCTTTGTAATATTGATGGTTAATCTATTGCAAAATAGCCTTAAACTCCAAAAATTAATTATTTATTTTAAGAATTAGAAGGTAAGGAAAACTTTGAAAAAAACAAGTTTGATTTATTCAGAAAATCATAATCATCTGAATTAATAGAAAAAAAATACTATGATATGAATTAAAATTTAATGGCAGAAGATGACATAATGATTGCAAAAAAATAATAAAATATAGAAGAATTTAACTCAAATCCTAAAAGAGAATTAGTGTCATAAACTATTGATTCATAATTATTTTCAAAATCTAAAGATAATTAAAAATTATTATAGATGGATTTTGATAATTCAAAATAATTTTAAAGATAAAATAGTTTTCATTTACCATCAAAAAATAATCTTGATGATATGGATATGTCTAATAAGAATTCTTAAGATTCAATAGATTAAGATTCAAGTTCTAATTTAAAAAGTAATAATCAAATTCAAAGATATTAAGATGATGGAGGTAGTTCAATTGGTAGTTCATAATAATAATCAGATTATATTAGTAAAAGAAGAATGATTAAGGATGTTTTATATACTGATCATTAATTCTAAAATAATACTACTAAATAAGGTATTTTAATCTTTGGATTAATTTTATTAACTATATTGTATGTTATCAATCTTACTTTTATCATTATTACATAAGATGTATTTTATAGAATTTAATTTAGAAACTCATTTTGATTGAAACAAATAAACATGTTTCCAAAAATATTGAATGTGCCTTAAACCTTTTTATTTTATCAAATCAATATGAATAAATCTTTCATCATTCTCAAACTGATGTCTTTTGGTTTCATTAAATCGAAAATATCTCTATAAGCAATTACTAAAAATATATATAGATTATTTTAAATGAATAAAACAGTATTATACACTAATCAAATTTTAATTAATTAAGTATTTATTTCTTCTATTTAAGAAAATATCACTTTTAATCAAAATAATGAAACTATAGAATTAGATTAATTCTTCATATATAAATTGGTAGGCTAAAAGATTATCGATTATATTAATTATTAAGTTTATAACACTACTAGTATATCATTTATTATAGATAACTATCTAGTACTTATTGATGAAATGTTACAAAATTTTAATATATCAATTACAGATAATATTAATGAACAAATTAGTTTTATATAGACCTAACACTAATTAACAATTATTCTTTCAGAAGTAATTATAAGTTTATTAGTCATTGTTTTGATACCTTTGTTCTTAGTTATAAATAAATAAAAGAATACTATTCTACAATTCTTTACAACATTTCCATAATCAGAACTTTAACAACAATTTGAAGTTTATTAAATTTTATTAGAAAAATTAGTAGAATCCAAATTTTCATAATAAGAAACTAATCAATATGATATTGAAAGTACACATATTAAAAAACTTGCCAAAAGTATCAAAGGAATCAAAGAAATCAGTCATAAGAAATAATAACATGGAAAATTAAAAACAATTGTTGGATCTAGTAAACTTATTATTTTATATAGATTCAACACCTTTAATAATATTTAGTATCTTTTTAGTATTACTATTATTTTCAATAATATCAGCTTACTTTCTCACTTCTTACATGGTTAAATTTTAATTTTTAAATGAATATCTAAACTAGTTAAAACAGAATAATGTTTATAGTACTTTGCAAAATGAAATTTTAAAAGAGAATTCAATATAAAACATTATAATAAATAATTTAATAAATCAAGACACAATTAAGGTGTAACATAATTCAAGTATTTAAATTTAAGTTATAAAAGTATTAAAATTAATTTAAAATCAATAAGAAACTTAAAATAGTGCTTTAGTTTATTATTCTTTAGAATTGACTGATAATATATCCAATGATGATGCTGAATTATTTTAAATACTGTCGAATAATATTTGTACTATTTTCAATAGTTAATTAATCTAACATTTATCTATATAATAATACTTAGAATATTTCTCTTATGAAGTTTGTGAATCTTTTGGTAATTAATAAGCTGGAATTAGTGTAACTTTAACTGATTTTATCAATTAAATGAATTAATTCTATGAAACTATAAAAATTTTTGCAAGTATTTTTTGTATATATTAATTAGATTAAAAATTAGATCCAGAAATTCTAAATTAGGAATTGTTATTATTAAATAATTAAGAGATGTAAGAAATCTTTATTTATTTAACATTTACTCTATAAGTAATATCTGATTATGGAGATTATCAAGCTAAAAATAGGATTGAAAATCATTTTGTTACTTAAATAATTATATTTGTGATAGGAGTAACTGTTGTTAGTGTTTTTACATTTATAACTGAAAAATGTTATAAGAATTTAATTTCAAATTAGATTAATTAATCAAAATTGTTGTTAACTTTAATTCCATTTGAAGTACTATAAACAAATGCTTATGTGATGACATATGTCTTGTAGGAATCTAAGAAAATATATTTGTGATAAAATTATTTTATGTATTTATTTAATTAAGTTAATAAATAAAATAAATATAAATTTTAATGTTATTGACAATTAAATATTAGGGGAGAGTGAAATAATTGAATTTGGATAGAAGAATAAATGTTTAGTCTTTATAAATATTATTAGGACAATTATTTAGCACAAAGAATAAAATAATTGGATTAATTGATTTAGATGGTAAATCTTAAATAAATAAAGCGTAGGCAATTATTTCGATTTAGGGTTATTTGTTTAATAATTGAATTACACAAAATGTAGCAATTATACATTGGTAAGTGAGGATGGATAGAATATTGGAGATAATAACATATAATAAGGAATAATGAAACATACTTGTATATCTGATTACAACAATAAACTTTAATTTATAGATTTTATATATGATTTAGAGGAGTTTCAATATATATTGGGAGATGATTAATATACATGCATATATTTAATAGATGAAAAAGATATATCAGCATTAGATTTTTTATGTTCTTTAGAACCGATAATAAATAATCTAAATAGTTAGATTAATTTTTATTATTCATTTAGTAATAGATTATAAGAATAAATAAAAGAGAATGAACCATAGAGTAAAACTTTGTGGGTATATAAAGGATCAAAAAGGATTGTATCAATTTTATTAAATAATGATAAAAAGATGAAGTAAATGGATGAAATAATTCATAAACTTGTTTAAACTAAAATTTATGGTACAAGCACTAAGAATTCTAACATTAGATAAGTATCTTAACTTTCATCATAACAATCTCCAGATAAAAGAAGAAGTAAATCAATTAGAAGAATGGTTGAAGAATCTTTAATTCATAATAGTATAGGTTCCAGATATGTTACTAAAGTTTAAGCAAAAGTTATTTAACAAGTACCATCTAGAGGAAGTGATATACCAGATGATTAAATTTCATATAATCTCTCAAATCCAAATGAATCTATTATAAATTAATAAGATCTATTATTTAGAATTATTGCTGAATTAGAAGATAAAGAATTACTTGATATGACTATGGCTAGATTAGTTAAAAGATTGTTAATTGAAGAAAATAAAGAGATTATTACAGTTCTATTCTAATATTAATAAAGAACTATAGATATTTAAAATTTATCTGAAAGATTGAATAAAATAATTGAAAATTCTAAAAATTAATAAAGACCTACTTCACCTTTTTAAACTTTAAAATAAACTAAATAATAGATTAATAATACTAATCAATAATCTATACAAGATAATCAAGAAATTAAAAATTTAATTATTGAAAGTAATAATTTTGAATTCTCTTCTGAATAATTTGGTATCATAAATCATTTATGGAATCAAAATGATCCAGTCATTATTAGATTATGTACTGATATTTATAAAAAATAAATTAAAAAAGAATAAGCTTCTTTAAAACCTTTATAACTTTATGCAGATAATAAATTCAATGAATTATTACAATAAAATTTTAAAAAACCAGAAATAAACATTATTTAAGATTGTAAAAACAATAAGTCTGGATCTATTTATGCCACTCTCTAACATTTTAGATATGAAACTAATGTTAATTATTTTATTAATGATTTAAAAAAAGCATTATAACAAATTCATAATCAAAATTAACTATTAACAGAACCAGAAAAATAGACTGATTATTAATCCAAAGAAATTAGATTATTTAAATTTTAATCACCAAAGGCTCCTTCTCCTTTATGTGTATTGATGCCAAATTTTTAAAATTTAGCTAATGAAGCTCTCTCACCTCCTCCATAATCATAATCTTAGAAGCAAGAAGAAAATAATCAAAATATTTAATCATATGGTAATATATCAGATGAATTATAAAGAGTTTAATTGTTTTAACCACTCCCAAATCAAACAACTAAATAAAAATAATAAATTTAGTAGGAACTCTAATAATTAAGCACTTAATTAAATGAACCAAAATAATAATAATAATAATTATAATAATAATTACAATAATAACAATAACAATAATAACAATAATAATAATAATAACAATAATAACAATAATAATAATAATAATAATAATAATAATAATAACAATAATAATAATAATAATAATAATAATAATAATAGAATGTAGTGGCCAAAGATATTATATTTAGTGAAGAAAATTTTGTTACGAGAAAAATAGAATAAAGAAATTAATATTGTAAAAAGATTGAGTAATTCTATTCTATTTAAACTGAAAAAGATATTGGCTAAAATTTTCAAGAAATGATTAATTAAATGGATTTGGATGAACAGAAGCTAAAATAAATTGAACAATTATTTTTAGATCATAATGAATAACTATATGAAATAATTAAAGGCTTTTAATCTTCTAGAATAATAATAAATACAAAAGCAAAATTGATGTAATAGAATTTTTATTTAAAATAGTAAATTACTTTCTGAAAAATAAAATGATTCTTAAGACTATAGAAAAACCAAGATGTATAATTTATTTATGAATTAAGTGAGATAATTTACATTGTAAAAGCATTTATAAGAAAATGAAAAAAATTACTTATTAAAAATGTTTAGGGAGAATGATTAATAAGTATTGGGTACACTTGAAACCTATTTATAGAATTAAGATGCTCAAGATATGTTAGAAACTCTATAAATGATAATAAAGCAATATTCTAAATTTACAAACGTAATGATATTATTTAATTTGTAGATCAATTAGTAAGAAATAGATTAATCACCTTTAGAATAACCAAAATTAAATACACCTATATTAGGAGCCAAAGAAATATTGTCAAAAATAAAATAATATTTTTCAGCTGAAGAGAAGAATAGATTGGAAAGTATTGCCAGTGGTTAAGGCGAAAATAATATTGTGGAACTCTATTTCCAATATTAATAAGATTAAGATTTAAATGGATTTATAGCATCAATCAAAAAATTAAGTTAATAAGATTCATCCAAAAAATTACATTAATTTATAACTTTTGAAGATTTATTGAAAAAATTGAAAAAAGATGGTTTATTGAAAATTGATGATTACATGTTAGGTTTAATTAGTAAAAAAAAAAATGAATAAAGAATAAAAGGAGTTTTTGAAATTTATTTATATTCTAAAAATGTTGAAGATTTTATAGAGAGCATTAAAAGTATTTAAAAATTATTGTAGTAATGTATAACAAACAAATATTTTTAGAGCTAATATAATAAACATTAGAATAATTTGAAAAGGATAATCTCTTACCTGAAAATAAATTGTCAAAATTAAAGGAAATAGCTCATGATTATCATAAGGATTATGCTAAATTAGTAGGAGCATTTTCTTTATATTTTGAATAGTCTTAATTAGAACCTGAAGGAGCAAAAGAGGAGATTTTAGAAACCTTAAATATTTTTGCTTAATGAAATTTTATGTTTATTTTGTAAAATGTTATGTATGAATTAATATTAAATTATTTTATGTTTTCATCAATTTCGGTTTCTCTTTAAGATTTAAGAGGATAAAGAATCGTTTCTACTAATGGTATTTCTAATTATAGAGATTTTCAACGATTACCAATAACTAAAACCAATTATAAGAGATAGTACTTAAAGGGAGCATCAAATAGAGTTAAGTCACTTAAAGAGGAATGTAATTTTGTTTAATTGTGCAGCAATAGAAAAGATAATGAAAAGTTGTTTAAATTTAATCAACAAGGTTAACTCTTAAATTATAGGAATTTTCATCTTCATAAATAATACCCACTCACTTCAAGAGAATAATAGAATGATTTGGAGAGCTTGAATAAAATTAATTGTGAAAAATAAGTATTGAAAAACTCATCATTGAAGTTGGTTACGGATTCTAATAATCAATTAATTGAATTAGTATATTCAGCAGCACCAGTTATATAAAAAAATAAAAAAACTAATTCTATTTCTAATGTATAAAAAGTAGAAGAAAGACCTTATAATATTAATAATGTTACTACTAAGAGAATATCATCAGCAAATAAACATATTCAATTAATAATTTCATCAACAAATAATAAAGATGACTTATTAATTAGAAGTAGTCAATCAACTTAAAATTGTTTATAAAAGGTGTTAACAAAGGAAAATAAGTTAGATAGAAGTTTGAAGGTTAAGATGCCAACAACTTTTGATGGAACAAAGAAATATCTAAAACAATTTTTATGATATCATATGTCTCTTATGTGATTATATCTTAATAAATAAATATATATAAATATATATCTATGAATTTATTTTTTATAATTCATTAAAGTTAGTTAATTATAAATTTAATTTATTGTTATTTTCTGATATCATACCTATTACGCAAGGAATTCAATAGAATAATTAATACCTGTTTAATCTTAAACAGATGTTTCTAAAAATCTGTTAAAATATTCATTTGATTTTCTTAATCCTATTATGAAAAATGATTTTATCTTTAATCTTATTTATTTCAATTTATTGATAAAATATGTTATAATTTTAATAATATACAAAAATTCAAATGTAAATATGTAAGATCATCTATATATTAAGCATATTTTAATAAAATTGCTATTTTACATTAACAATACTTATTATCGAATAAAATATATATTTTAATTAAGGTTTGTTAATCCATAATAGATTATTGGTGATTTATTTATTGATAATATTGATAATAATAATAATAATAAATTTAATAAAATGGCAACTGCTGAAACAATAGTAATAATATTTTAAATTATAGATTGCACATGGAATGCCTTCAAAAAAGGAAATAATAAGTTCTAAAAGAATATTTCCAGGTATTTGAAAGTTTGAATGATTTAGAGTAACATAATAGAAAGGGAGCATTTCAATTAACGTGGGAAGTATAAGGAGTATTTCCAAAGATTTCTTAAAAGATTGGAGTAAAACCAGTACCAGATGATCCTCCATTAGTATAAAATATTTAAGATTCAGCCTCCAAAACCAAAATATATACCACCACCATTGCCTTAGAATTATGTTCCTCCTCCAATAAAAAAATAAGGAAAGAAAACTGGGAAACCATTAATTGTACCTGAGAAATAGAGTTTAGAAGAAAGCATTGCAAAAAAAACAATTAGATAAAGCAGAAAATCTCTATCAAATACAAATTATGGAAAAGAAATTGGAGGTTTTTATAGCATGGATAGATGTTTTTTAAAACGTGATAAAGAATTTATAAAAAAAGAAGTTAAAGGATATGGTAAATATGATATGATTAATAAGAGGTAATTTTTATGAGAAATCTTCTGAAGGGAGATTCGTTCATGTACCAATGCCTCCTTTATCATATAAGTATTAATATGTAGCTTCAACAGAATTATGACAATATATTAATATCGTTTATAAAAAACTTTAGTATTTTAATGTAGAGTATAATAAAGAAAGAAGATATTTAATTTTAACATCTAATTTTTTTTAAAATCATCTCATGCTTCCTTTAATGTGTGCAACACCTTATATGAATTATCCACAACTCAACCTTTAATAATTCTATATGCTTCCATAATAATAATAATATACAATACCAATTCAAATGAAAGAAACATGTGATAAAGCATGTTAGTTTCCAGAACCTTTAGAATAAGATGCTGTCACAAATAATATGGAGATGATTGCAGAAAAGGAATTGACTTCTTTGTTAAAATTCCTCTCCAAACACATTTCTTTACTTCAAGATTACCAATTTGAAGAATTTGTAAGAGATAATTTAAAAGTATATTAAGTTATTATAAATTAGACACTCTCATCATTTTCTAAAGATATACCAAACATGATTAAAAAGAGGTATGTTTAAGTTAATAAAACAAAAGAAGAAATGACAAAGTTTATAATTAGAAGATGTTTTCTCTTTATAAAAAGTTAAATTGAATATGAGGAAAAAGAGGGAGTATCTGCTGAAGAAAGAGATAGATTATTTTATCATTCCTTCTTTTCTAATGATAAACAATTTATGAACACTTTCAAATAAGAATCTATAGATGACATGATTCCATTTAGAAAGGATTCTAAAATGAAAACAATGAATGAAACATATCTAAAAAAATTATTTGCATCATAGAGATTTTCAAATCTCTACATTTAGTTTCTATGTAAAATTAATAATAAAATATTATTAGCTTAATTTCAAGAAATTTGTATTCATGAAAATGATGAAAAAATAGATAATATGACTAAACAGATAATTAAAATAATAATTACAAGAGATTTTGGAGTAAAATCTAGTTTTATTTCAATAGAAAATTAAAAGTTATAGACGATTCCCATGGAAAGATCATGAAGTACTTAAATGTGAATAAAGAGCCAAAGAATTATACTCTAAATATTCTAATTATTCAAGTATTATTATGTATATATTAATATTCTAGAAACCAATAATAATAATAATAAGTATCTTTCAAAACTTGATTCACATACCTTTGACATATTAGATAAATTCTCTGAATCTTAAGAATGAAATATATATCTATAATATATATATATTTATATAAATTTACATAATGAATCAGTATTTAGCTACTCATGACTCAAGTCTAAACACTTCTTTGTCAAAATAAAAGTATTCATTTCCAAAAGCATAAAGACAACCTATACAAAATAAAACTGCGTAATCCTATATCTAACTTAATATAGAACTAATGAATTAAGTTACAAATTACCTTAATCCTTAAGTACAAGAATGGCAGGCATTGGAATTGGACTTAAGTATATCAAGTTCAAATATTTAGACATGATTTTTCAAAAGATGCTAAACCAATTCCAGGTCCAAATGTATATGAAATCTAATCATTTATTGAGAATAATCTTGATAAGAAGAAGGGATAAACATTTGCTTATAGTAGAGATTAAATGAAAGCTCATGGAATATGGGGTTCTTTGAATTTAATTTCTCCTGGTCCAGCAAGATATGAATCAGCAAATTAAATTGTAGATTCCAAATTTACTTTTGGAATCAAACCAGGATCTTTAAAATAGTTTACTACACCTGGTTATTCAAATAAAAATATTCTTAGGACCTGGATCTTATGAAGCTATTCAAATTACAAATCAAAGAGGAAATTAATACATTTCTAAATTCAGAAGCTCAGGTGCTGCCATTATAGGCAAAGATTAAAATAGATTTAAAACCTTATAGAGTTTCAAAATTATTTAAAAATAGCATAAAATAATTTTCCTGAACCAGCTAGCTATGATATCTCAAATACAGGTATTACTGGAATAGGTTTCTGTCCAAAAAATGGATTAAAATCAACTGTCTAAAATTCGTTCCCAAAAGCTATAAGAAAAGGACCATTTGATTTAGGAGCCAAAAGTCCTGGTCCTGGAACTTATAAATCATATTCAGAATTTGAATGATTTTTAATTTAAAAACATTAAGTTAAATACAATAGATACAATTATACCTTTATTGCAGATTGTTTTTGTAAATCAATAATTTTTATCATTGAATGTAATATAATTATGTGATATTCAAAAATATTGTTTTCCTGTTACAAATATATATTAATTATTAAAATGGGTGTTTGCTCAAGTCAAACTCAAAAAAATCATTAGAAACAGCATGAAAATAAAAAATCAGATTCAACAAAAGAAGAATAATAGAAACCAGAAAATCTATCATCAAATCATAAATAGAAACCAGACAGTAATGATATGTTATATTTCTAAGTTTAAGGTGACACTGGAGGTCTTGTTATCACAAGTGCCAAAATGGGTAGAATTACTAGAGATTATACTTTACTTAATCCTCCTCTTGGAAGCGGTATTATTCACTTTAATCATTATAATAGGAGCATATGGTGAAGTGAGAAAAGGAATCCATAAATAAACTGGTATTATGAGAGCAGTTAAAATTATACACAAGTCATAAACAACAAAAGAAGAGTAAGAGAGATTAATGAATGAAGTGCAAATTCTTTAAAAATTAGTAAGTTCAGTAAATTTAGCTTTTAGGATCATCCAAACATTATAAAAATTTATGAATTTTATTAGGATGATAGATTTTTTTATATTGTTACGGAACTCTGTACTGGAGGAGAATTATTTGAGAAAATTAGATATGAAGGAAGTTTTTCAGAAAAAAAAGCAGCTGAAATTTTAAAATAAATTCTTTCTGCTGTAAACTATTGTCATCAAGAAAAAATTGTACATAGGTAATCATTCTACGTTAAAAAATAAGAGATTTAAAACCAGAAAATTTACTATATGAATCTGATAAAGAAAATTCATTATTAAAAATTATTGACTTTGGAACTTCAAGAGAATTTGATGTTAATTAAAAACTAAATCAAAAATTAGGAACTCCTTATTATATAGCACCTGAAGTATTAAATAGAAAATATGATGAAAAATGTGACATTTGGTCATGCGGTGTAATATTGTATATACTTTTATGTGGGTAATTAGTATGATATAGATTAGATTTCCACCTTTCGATGGTAAAACTGAAGAAAAGATAATGGAAAAAGTAAAGAAAGGCGTTTTTTCATTTGAATCAATAGAATGGGAAGATGTTAGTAAAGAAGCGAAAGAATTTATAAAGAAATTACTATAATATGATCCAACAAAAAGATATAGTGCTTAATAAGCATTACAAGATCCTTGGATTAAGAAATTTACAAATGCTGCTGAAGTTGAATAGCCTTTGATGAAAAAAGTTTTAACTAATATGAAAAATTTTAGAGTAATTATTAATTATGAATATAGTAACATCAAAAATTATAAGAGGCATGCTTTAAATATATAGTAAATCAATTAGCTACTAAAGAGGAAAAGTAAGAATTATTAAGGACATTTTAATCATTGGATACTAATAATGATGGGAAATTAAGTAAATAAGAATTATTGATTGGATATTAAAAAATAATGAATGCAGATTAAGCTTTAGAAGAGGTAGAAAAAGTATTCGCTTAAGTTGATAAAAATAATTCAGGAATGATTGATTATACTGGTATAATAATAATTTAGATATTATTATAGAATTCGTTATGGCAACTATTGATAGATAATAACTATTATCTAAATAAAGATTGTAATTAACTTTTAGAATGTTTGATGCAGTATTCAATATTATAATTATAATAGGATAAAAGTGGTTCGATAAGTTTAGATGAACTTAAATAAATATTTGGTGGAATATCAGAAGAAATGTGGAAGTAAGTAGTATAAGAAGTTGATCAAAATTAAGATGGATAAATTTCATTAGAAGAATTTTGTGCAATGATGAAAAAGATTGAATGAATCATCATTAATATTTATATTCATCATATCTTTTTGTAAACAATCTTAATAATAATTCGTTATTATTAATTTTATTAATTAATACATAATTAGTCATGTTTCATATTATTTAGCAAATCATGATTATATTTTCTAATACATAATTTTATTTTTTAAAATAATGTTTAGGAATTTAATTAAAATAGGAGGCTGTTTGGGCTTATTGAGTACATCAAGCATTTTATGTAATCAAATTAAAGGAAAGAATTAAGATGATCAATTACCTCATTATCATTTTCTCAATGATAATGATTTACAAAAATTGTAAAAGAAACATTAAAATTTGTCAATTATAGATAGAAGTTATACAGAACACATTTTATCAGTGATAAGAGATGTATAGACTGATATTGTGGTATTAATAACAATTATCAAAAGGATTTCAGAAAGAATGCAGATCGTTTGATTAGAATTTTAATTGAAAAAGCTATGTCTTAGATAGAAAAAAAGAAAAATGTTAAATAGTCTCCCCTAGGATATTATGATGCTCATGAATTGAAATTCTAAGATGAAGAGTATATTTAATAAAATAATTCAGAATATGTTTTGTGAGTATTCTTAGATCAGGAAATGCATTTTTAATTGAAGCTTTGAATGTGATGAGTGGTGCATCGATAGGATAAATACTTATTTAAAGAATTGAGGAAACCTCTTAACCTTCATACTTTTTCTAAAAACTGCCTAAAAATATTAAAGATTAATAAGTCATTTTAGTTGATCCAATGTTAGCCACAGGAGGAAGTGCTAGTATGGCTTTAAAAATCTTAAAAAATCATGGAGTTAAAGAAGAAAATATAACATTTTTAACATTAGTTAGTTGTGAATAAGGTTTAAGTAAACTTTTTACTGAATATCCTAAAATTAAGATTATTACAGCTTAAGTTGATCCTATATTATTAAAAGATATCAATTTTTTAGCTCCAGGAATAGGTGACTTTGGAGATAGGTATTTTGGAACTGTTAAAAGAAATTAAGTTTAATAATGATTATTACATAAAAAAATCAAATAGATATTTCATGAAATTCTTTTTATTAAAAAAAATAAATTAAATAATTTTCAAAGCTACTATTATTAATTAAATTTATTATAGAATTTAAAGGCTGAGTTCTTTTTTAGAGGAGTAGTATCAAATTTTAATTTACTTAAACTCAAATTATCTTTAAATTAAGAATGTTAAATAACACTCTTATTTTCTGATTTTAAATTTGGAGTTTTCTTATTTGATTATTAAACATTTTAATGTTTTGGAGTAAGTAAATTTAATAATTTTGAAGGTGATTCAATTTAATGTTAAAATTAATCATCATATTTAACCTCCAAACAAATATTACTAGGACTATTTGTATCATTGTTATGGTTATTATTATTATTATTATTGTTATTAGAATTATTTGTATTATTCTAATTAGATTCAGGTTTTTCTTTTAAAGGTGTTTTAAACTAATTGAGAGAAGGTAATTAATACTCATCACTATTATTGGTTTATTCATAAATTCTACTTAAATTTTTAGAAACTTAATTAGCACTATCCTATTTATATTTATGCAAATAATTATAATAAAATGAAGGTCTTTATGATAAAAAATCTTTGATAACAGAAACAGTAAAAACATCTTAACACATAATCCAAAAGTTTTTTATCCATCTATCTACTTTTTCATCTTGATCATAACCATGAGCACCAACTTTATCTTAGATGTATTCATATAAATTATTTTATATATCATCTACTTTATCTTCATTCCAAAAAATAGAATCAGCTATTTTAGCAGTTTTCTTTAACATTTTATTTTCCATAGAATAACTCTCAACTCCATCTATTTTAATTTCATTCATCATTTTTTAAATGTAAGTATTTACTGAATTAGGATTCAAATAATTTTATTATTTATTTGTTCTTCTTCTTGGAATATTATTTGGTGAATAAGATCTTGGAGACATCTATCCATTTTATTAAGAAGAAAACAATTTTTAAAGTAGTTATCTTTCTAAAGATGTAAAAGAATTCATAAGTTCAGAATTTTACATTCCTATAAAATAAACAAATTTATATTATACCTCCTCTTTTACGAATATCTTTTAATCTTTCTTCCATCTCTGGTATACGTTTTTTCATAGCTGAATTCCAATGATTTTTAATTGAATTATCTGTTCTTCCTATTAATTATTTTGCCATTTCAGCCCATCTATTTCCCATAACTCTATGTGATAAAAATAGAATCCATTCTTCATAATCTCCCCAATGAGATTTCTTTATCTAAGGATTCAAATGATTATGCCATCTCTCTCTACATTATTTACCTATTCTTCCTGGTAAATGTTCTGCAATAAATGTCCATTTCTAGGGTCCATGCATTTAAACTAATTTAATTAATAAATTGTCCTCCTACTCTGACCATGGTCTCTTTTTTCCTTTAGACTAAATTTTTATATTCATTTTTTATTACATGAAATAGAATATCATCATCATCATCATAATCTCTTTCTTATCCATATTTTGGTGTAACTGTCAAAGCAAAATTTGTTAAACTCTTTTATTTTGTTGCTGCTATGTCCTATAAAATGTTTTATTTTTTTTTATCTGTTGGCTCTATTTCATTCATCTCTATATATTCATTCTTATTTCTTAATCTTCTCTTTATTATTGGAGGAGAAATTGACAAATGATTTTATGATTTCATTCTCAATCTCTAACTTCTATACATTTTATTAATTAAATATTATTTTTTTGAATTTGAATTTCAAAATTAAATATATATTATACCTCATTATTTTTATTTTAATTCCTATATATATTTCTCTTCCTTTATATTATCTATCTCCCTATTCCTCAACTTTCATTACAAAACTCAAATTTTATTTTACTAAAAATCTATTATTTTTTTTTTATTATCAATCTTAATTTATTCATCAAACAAAAAGCTAATAAATTTATTAGCATTTTTATCAACCTTTAATGTAACACCTGAAAAATCCAACTTACTTTAAATTTCTTCAATTCTTTCTCATCCATAAATTGTTGCAATTTATATTCTTTAAATCACATCTAAATTCAAATTCTAAACCATATTTTATACTTATCACAAATAATTTAAACTAAATTATTAAAAAATTTTTGATTTCTAATCGCAAATGAAAAATGCAAAAACAAAAACAAATTTTTAAAAAATAACTTCTATTTTATTTATGATTTACTATTTAATATATAAGAATTGATAGCCAATCTTGTATTTATTTTTGAAAGGTTTTTTTGGTACTTAATTGGTATTGAGTTAAAATAAAATAAAAAGAATATTACCATTTCTGAAACGGCGAATCTACAAGCATCTCATAAAAGGCAATAAAGTTTTTTAATAATTTAGACTTAGCCTAAATTGTTATTTGTATGGGAATAGTACAAAAAATAATTTAGATATTGAATGAACAAAAAGCTACAATGCAAAAATATTGAAAAGAATGAAAGATTTTAGAAATTTATATAATGTAGATACAATAATCATTAGTTAACAAATAAGGAAGATATGAGCATATATTATAACTCAGTATTTTAAGATAAATTTAGCACTTCTGATAGCACTAAGATTTTTTTTTGAGCTAAAAGATCTAGGAGTAGTAATTTCTGTAGAGATTTTAGAATATCTTTTCAATTGATATTCATCAATTTCCATAATTTCACTTTGCAATTAGGTTTCTTGTTGTTGTATTTTTTAAAGAGATTGATTGAGTTTAAATTTAGAGATTTAAGGTTTTGAAATGACTCTATTGGATTCTAAACCAAATAAATTGAGATAGCCTTCTCTGGGAACTCTTTAGGTTCTTCCTTTGAAATGATCTAAGAAACTCATAATAATTAAAATTAAATATGAAATGAGATATGTTTAATAAATAATCAATTATTAGTATTTTAGATAAAAAGTATGATAATGTATATAGATTCCATGTATTTTGTAAATTAGAAAAGGGAAGAATAAGAAGATAAAAAAAATTAAAAAAAATATGGATAGAAATAATTCATTTATAAATTAGATTGATAGTTTTATTGAGACTACAATATAAGGTTAAGGTTTAGAGAAGACAGAGTTTATGTAATATTTGAATAGTAAGAAAACAAATGGTGATAAAATTGAATTATGGAATATGGATGAGATTATAATAGCTGGTGAAGAGTTTGTAACATTAAAATAGCAATAGTAAGAATGATTATGATTTTAAGATAATAAACAACTGAGATGGTAAAATATGAGAACAATCATTAGAATTAAGTACCTTATCCTGAATTTAATGATTATGAATCTCCCCCTAGTTATATTCCTTAATAATAATAATAAGTTATTAAATAAGGAACTTTAAAGGAGGAAAAAGAAGGTTTAATGTAAACCCCTTAACCACCTATGCCTTAATAAGTGAACTTTCAATATAATCCAATTATACCAGAAGTTTAAAGATATAAGGTGTATCCAGTTAATTAGATGTAGATAAATTAGAATTCTTTTTTGTATAAACATCCAAATATTGAAGTGAAGATATAAAGTTATTAAGAATAAGCTGGATCATTATTTTCTAAATCTTATATTCTTTATAATATAACATTAGATCCATATGGATATTTTATTAGCAGAAGATATTCTGATTTTGATAAATTAAGAGAATATTTGGTTAAAAATTATCCAGATTATTTTGTTCCACCAATTCCTAAGAAAGTTTCTTCAAGTACCAAAAATAAGATAGCTGATTTTAGATAATAAGCTTTAGAGAAATTTATGAATACAATTATTAAATAATTCTGGTTTGATAATTTGGTTGATAACTTTTTTGGTTGTTAAAATGATAATGATCTTTAGAATAAATTTAAATAGGCAAAATCAAGATAATATGATATCTAAAATTTAATGACTTTAAATGGATAAATTGAATGTTAAATTAGTTCATAAATTGAAGGATTCTTTCAATATTAATAAAGTACTTTAAATAAAGAAATGGAATGTTATAATAATATTAGATAAATATCCAAGAAAATAGTTGGAATAAATAAATAATTAAGTTAAGAATACAAATTGTTAGCAGATTAATTTATGATTTTATAATTAAGAAATAAAAACTAAAATGAATAGATACCTGAAAAGGTTGATGAAATTTATTATAAAAATTTAAATTAAATGTTTTTGACATGGAGTAAAAAATAAGAAGATATTGGATTAGTTATTACAAAACATTTAAATTATTTTTATAAATATTAAAACTAAGTTATAGAAACATTAAAAGAGAAAATAAAATAAAGAGATTCACTTCGTGATGATACTGTAAATAAATTATAAAAATTAGAAAGCAAAATAGATAAATAATTTAAAGAATTAAATGAAAGTTAAGTTCAGTAAAAAGCTATAGATATTGTGGGAGAAAAACAATAAAAAGAAAAATTATTTCCAAAAGAATCTAAATAGTTTGAAAATATATAAGATAATTTCGGATACCTTAATAACAACATTTATCAATAAATATAGATAATCATGAATCTAAATTAATACTAAACTCATTAATCGATGTTAAAAATGCAATAGAAAATCACATAAATTTATTTAGAAATGAATAAAGAGAATGAATAATTATATGGAAGAAATTGATAAATATTTTAATATATAAAATCATTTCAATATTCTACTTTACGTTTGTTGTTCATCTGGACATTGATCTAATCCTTCTAATAAATTAATATTGTGAATAGCATCTTATTATCCTTAGATATTAGATAATCTATATGTTTTCTCCAAAAATTCATCAAAGAATTCTGCATCCCAAATTGATTGAATTTCATTTCTTTTCAATGCTACCAAAATTGTACAAATCAAAATTGATGGATAAATAAATACACTAGATGGAATAGAATATGTTTAAATAATAGTTGTTGTTATCCAAATAATATATCCAATTAATAAACTCATACCTGTAAATACTGTATATGAAAATGTTCTTTTATTTTTATCAAATCTATATGTAAATCCCATATACAATCCAGGAATTGCTATACTAAATAAAGAAATCCATGCACAACTTCTATCATATTATAATTCAAGTAATGGTAATTATAACTCAATTGGACAATTCAATATTTTTAAAGTTAATGAATTATATGATTGTTTCGTTGTAAAATAGATAATACTTGCTGCTGTACTATCCAATAATATACATAATAATAAAAATATAAAAGCACTCTTAAGATTCTTAAATTTAAATAGTTTTGCTATTGTCGACATTATAAATATTGATATTAAATCACTCAAATACCATGCAGAAGTAAATAAATATAATGTCATAAATGCAGATGCAAGCATAAATGAAAGTACTTCACATACTCTTATTTTATAAAATATCTTTCTTTTCCAAATTGATCCATCTGGAGATAAACATAAAGTCTATTATTTTATTAATTAATACTTCATCAATTATAAATAATGAACATGAAAATCCCATTACATAAGTAGATATCTTTACAACAAATCCTAGTGTTACTACATAGTTTGAATTCAAAAATAAAAAAAATCCAATACAATACAAAACAAAATAAAAGCAGGTAATTTTAGTATCAATCTTAAACCCTTAGAATCTTCCACTTTGTCCTTTAAGATTAAATGACATAATCCTAGAAAATCTTGTCAATAATGCCATTAATATGATGCTTATTGATATTAGTATAATCAAACTCCAATCAAAAGTTATAAAATTATAGTTTTGATTGCATGAGTAAGTAAATTAAAATGGAAATGTATGATTATTATTTTTTTCATCCTTAAAAATTACCTTAACATAAATAAAATCCCATGCATCTTTTGGATTTTAAATACTATATTCTGTGCAAGTTTAATATAAAAAATATTTCATAGTTTAATTACTTAATAATGTAGAATTATCATCTGTATATTATCTTGTAGTTCTATTTTCTATTATTTATTACTTACATAGATTTGTTTTTATCTGTCCATTGTTCAACAAATACTTAGTATATTTAATCATCAAAATTATGTATATCTAACACTTCATAATCTTCTAAGTTTTAATTTTAATTGTCTATTCTAATTAAATTTTTATGTGAATTGCAAGACCTTTTCTGTAAAATTGGAGAAATATCAAATTCATTTTGTAATTCCCCTTTTATATAAACTTCATCACTTTTGTTTGAATATTCAATGAACATTGAAATTGGTATACATATGGTTTAATGGATTATTAAGAATAAAATAAATATAATCATTATTATTTAACTTTTTTTATTGTTTTTTCTAAATAAAATTCATGTTCTTTCTTCGATTAATTTATTTCTAAATCTAATTTTTTCTTTGAAAGTCTTCTTTCATAATTAAAATTGTCATTTAAATCATCCCACTTGAATCCTGACAAATATTTTATTGACCACATATAATCAGATAATTATTTATGTTTTTTTTAAACTAAAAAGATTATTTGATAAAAATTACTAATATTTGTACCATTTAAAGATAATGCTGCCATTTTAGCAATTTTCTTATCTTTAAATTCAACCCATCCTTCACTATAACTTCTATTATTTCCAGATCCTTTACTTTTAAAATATACTCTTTCTATACCATATGGTTATAATAGTTCTCTAATCTTACTTATAGGCATTTAAGGTGGAACATTACTTATATAACATACACCCCTTTAATCTTTTTAATCATCAATTTTTAATATTTTGTTTTCTTTTATATCAGTCATTTATTTTTAATTATTTAATATGAATACAAATACATTTTAATATTAATTAAAATAAATTTACATCAAAATATAAAGCTCTTAATATTCAAATAACTTCAATTCTTTTTTTAAAATAATCAATAGCAGTTTTATCATTTAATTTTTCTTAAAGTCCTGTTGAACAAATAACATTTTCCAATATTTCTCTTATAACATCTTTATTTTAGAAACCATCTACTTTTTTTTTCTTCAAACAAAAATTAGTTATTACACATAATAAATACATTCCAGTTTCCTATGGTTAAGTGACTGTCTAAATATCTTCAATTTTAATTTTCCAAAGTTTCATATTTGATATCTTCTCTAATTTATAATAATGAGATTGCTTTCTAATCCAATATATTAAAAACTAAAGAAATCGATTTTACATATCAACTCTTGATTAAACTTCATCAATAAGCTAATAATCTTAAATTTGCCAAGATCTTAAAATTGATTACAATGAACTGATTGGCATTTTAGGTTTTTAATAACATAAATAATAATGACGAATAATTAAATTCTATACATCTATTACTCCTAATGAATACTCATCTATCTATCCTTATTTAATTGGAAAGTATATATAATCATAATTAGATAAATAATTCTCATATTTTTATTATGGAGCTTCTTATCCAGTTCTTTATTCAAATATCAGATTATCAAAATCTGTAATTTACATAAATGCCTACCTTTCATTACAAAACTAAGAAAATTCTTATAAAAACTTAAAATAAAAGTCTATAATCTCTGATCTCACTCTTCCATTTCTCAAATCATAAAGTGCATCTCTTGATATCTTATATTATGATGATTTACCTTGATTCCATATTTCATTGCAATCAGATTATCTTTTTAAACTGAAACAAACTTACCTGGTGGCAGTTTCTTTCCTTCTTATCTCATTATTGGATCTACTATTGATTAATAATTTTGTTATTATAATTATTTCAAGGTCTCTTCTTTAGAATTTGTCTAAATTTATAATCCTAATCCTTAAAACAATTAAGAATTAAATTTTCCTTATAAAATTTATGATGCATTCTTTAATAATTAATTTTAATTAGATTGATATAGTAATTAATTTTATTTTATTTGATCTAAATTTTTAAATTCAGTTTCTAAATCTTAATTTAATTTTTTCATTTTTATTTAAAATAACTCTGATGTTAAAATATCATCATCATCACCTATGCCATTTAATACTTTTAAATAAGATATTCTTTCATTCAATAAATTAATTTATTATTCTCTTTCCTTTTTCGATTTAGGTGTTTAAAGTTTAACTCTATTTAATTTTTTTGGTTATAATTAAGCAACCCTTTATTCTCTCAATTCTTTTAATGCTTAATTCTTTTTAAACTTTAAAATATTTTCATTATCTATTTCTATTTATTTTTAGAATTCCTTTTCAATCTCATCAAATCCAAAACTTAATATTAACCATACTATTCTATCATGACAATATTTTTCATCATATTAAGATAATTATATTGTATCTATTTTTTAACCTTAAAGAAATGATAATATAAAATAAAAGTAATATTATGAAGCTTCTAAATTTATGAATTTCTAAATTAATCTAATTTCATATTCCAAACCATCAGTCAATTAATTAACTATAATTTTCATTTAATCCAAATTATTTTAGGAATAATCCACCAAATATATTAATTCATGATATAATATAATTAGAAAATACTTTTTTATCAATTTAACAAGTATGATTTGTTTTTTAGATTCTTCCATAGTTTGAGTTTAAACAATAGAATCAGTTTCATTTCTCAAATCGATTAAATTTTTTTTAACATCAAATTATTACTAATGATTGTAATATAATCATACTATATCATAAAATTAGAAAAAGGGTAGATCTCTTCCTTTTAAAGTTTCTGAAAATACAGCAAGATAATTAAAGAAAAATAACCAAAGGGATTTGGTAAATTAAGATTTCTAAATAAGATCATTTATTTCTTTAAACATGATTGGAATTTCATAGATATAAAAAAAATGCTAATTAATATAGAGAATAAAGTATACTTTTTCATCAGAAGTGAATTTATAATAATCATTAATTAGATCAATTACTTCTTGTGTAGTAAAATTATCTAGATCAGGAAATGTATATTAATTCATAAAATAATTAATTATTTGAGAATATAATTTAATAATATTTTTTCATCAAAGGAATGGATTATTTGCTATGTAATTCATTTTTTTGTAATAAATCACCCCAAACACAATAAAGAATATTGAAAAGATTGATGATAAGTATATAGTGTATGGTTCCCATTACTTGCCAATAATTTTAAAAATAGAAACTGTGGCATACATAAATAAAGCCATCGTAGATAGTTTATAGGAACTAATAAAATAACGTGTGTATCTAAAAATCATTTCAGAGTTGGATTATTTAATTTCAACTAAATATCTAGAAATTCATATAAGCTAATTTTACTTAAACTTATGAGTGAAACACTATAAAATAGAGAGTAAAACTAAGAAAACTGTATCTCCTAATAATATTAAGGCTAAATATTCTTTATCTATTGATTTGAATGAAGAATCAAATCCAAAGTCTACATCTACAGTTGAAGGTAATTAATCATATTAATAGACAAACTCATAAAATGTATAGATAAAAAGTGTAAGGGTACAAAGATCTATAAATATTTCTTATTTAGATAAGGAAGGACGATTATAAATGATTGGTATAGGTTTATTAGGAGAATCTTAGATACTGTAAGTTTCTATGGGATTCAATTGTTAATTTATCAAGGAATCTTATCTTACTATGATATAAGCATTTGGATTTTTATTTTCTGGGATTTCTTTTTCTTTAAGTTCTTTTTTGGATAATTGTTGAGGTATTGTTTTTGGTCCAATGATAGGATGCATAATTTATAATTTTTATTAATATATATTAAAAAATGCAATAGTATAAATTGTTTATTTTATTTGCATTTCTTACTCTCTCGTTATAATTTGATGATGATATTGATGTACATGATGAAATTGAGAAGGTAATTATTATAATTATTTATATATTAGTTAAAATAAAGTTAATTTGGATAAACTATATTGGATACTGTTTAGATTTAATTATCTGGACCAGAACCATTATAGAATTTGATAAATATGCTCTAAAATTTGAATTCTTAATTAGAAGGAGAATAAGAGAGAGATGATAGATTACATGAGAAATATTAATCTTAATGTGAAAACGTATAATGTTGCAATTCATTTCTTTAAAGGATTTGAGTACCTTAGAAGATATTATTAATGAATCAACAAGTACATCAAAATTACTTAAGGGATAGATTGACTAATTGGAACCTGATAAATAAGCCAAATTGACAGATTTAGCTAGAACAGAAACTGAAATCAAAGAACTTAAAAACGAATTAGAATATTAAACTGAAAAAAGATAAGAAGAATAAACTAGATATGAAAAAACATTAGATAATTTAGAATAAGGTTTATATGCATTAAATGAGGCTAAGAAAATGTTCAATACATTTCTTAATGTTTTAATAAAAAATTAATAAAGATTTGCTAGTCTCATTTAAGTAGAAAATTAAGACAAATTTTTAAATAAAGATTATTCATCCTCTAATAATGATGATGATATATCTTTGGTAGAAATTGCTTAATAAATTAATAAATTAAAACATAATGTAAAAGCAGAAGGAATCAATTTTTTATTACATGGGATATCTCATATAGTAAATCTATTATCTAAAGATCCTACAGAAGAATAAGAATCAATGAGTAGAAAAGTCTTAGAAATTATTTCACAAGTAGACAATTGGATTCAAAAACAAAGAATTTATGAAGATTTATCTGAATAATAACGTAAAGATGCTTTTGGTGCCTTAGCTTAAATGTTAGAAGATCAAATTATATTAAAATAATAAAATCTAACCTTTTTATAAGGTATATATATAAATAAAGATTTATTATTTAGGATCAATTGAATCTTTAAATTCTTAGATTACAAGTGCTAAAAATGAAAAAGCTGAAGTGGATGTTAAGATTGAAACAAAAACATCATAAAATGATGATCGAGATACTGAATGTAGAAATGAAGATTTAGATTATTAAAGTAGTAAGAATAAGAGAGATAAAGAAAGAGAAGAATTAGGACTTGTGTTAGATTTAGTGATTAATAAAATAGGATAACTCAAAAAAGAAATATTACAAAAATGATATAAATTATGAGAATATATATATCATTGATACACTAAATTATATAATTATAATAACAATAATTATTATATATGTCATATTCTTAAAGAAATTTTTAAAATTTACCATTTTATTCTCCAACTAAATTTGAAAATGATTAGAAGGATTTGATGATATCATAATTAAAAGCTGAGAACTTTGAATTAAGATAGAATGAAAGAGATTATCAAGAATTGGCTTCTCATTTAAAATCATTAGAAAATAGGTGAATAAAATTGTTAAAATTAGGTATAACACATTACATGAAGAAAAGATGAGAAATGAAGTAGAATATAGAAATAGAAGTGATCAAACATTAAAAACAATAGCAAATTTAAGAAATGAGATAGATAATTTGAAATCTTAAATAACAGAAAAACATATAGAAAGTTAAGAAATGAGAGCAGAGAATTTAGCATTTAAAGAAATTACAGATCATCGATCATAGGAGAATTAGAGAGTGAAAAATGATTTAATTTAAATTTAAGAGACAAATAGAAAATTATATGAAGATAAACTTAGATTGGAGACTGAATTATAATCATAAAAAGATGAAAGAAAAAGGTAAAATAAATAAAATATAATTAAGATTATTAAATGATAGAGAGATTCTTAATAATACTTATGAAGATGTTTTAGATAAATTAAATGATAAAGAGAAATCTTTGAGTTAATTGTAAAATGATTATGATAATCTTGAAAAATAGAGTTTAATCTTTAAAGCAGATGTTGAAAATGTAAATATTAATATTTATATAATAACTTAGATTAATAATGAATTAAAAACTAAGAATGAAAATCTAAAATATACTAGAATGTAATATCAAGAAGCTTAAAATTATATATCTTAGTTATAGAATGATCTTGAGGAAATTCATAAACAAAAAGAGAAATTTAAATAGGAGAGTTTATTATATTAAAAAAATTATCAATAAGAGGCAGATACATGCATGGAATTGAATGCTTAAGTAATTTAATTAGATCAAACTGTTAAACATTAAGAAAAGACTATAATAGAATAGAGAAATGAAATGGAACGTTTAAAATCATTGCATATGGAATGTCTTGAAACTACTGAAGAATTGAGTCATGAATTAGATCAAGTTAAACGAATGAATGATTAATTAGAATATTAACATCGAGAAGTATTATTGGATTCTAAAAATATATTAGATTATGGAAGAACTTGATAAAATCTCATTAGTGGAAGAATAGACTGCAATGTCCAGAGCAAGTAAATATAAAGAATTAAAAACTAAATTAATTATGGGAACTAAGCAATTAACGTAGTTCCAATCTTCATTTAAAAGATTTTCTACTCATAAAAAATCATAAATGAAACAATATGAATTTTGAAAATATGGTTTATTACTATTAATATTTTTATTTTTTAACAGCTTTTAAGAATGATTGAAATTAGACGCCCTCTCTCAGAAAAGAATTTAGGTAATAAATCAAGTAAAGAATTATAAAGACCTAATTCATCTAATTAGTCTAATTTATAATCAAAATACAATTTGTAAACTATGAAAAGCTCTGTACAATTATAAAAACAAAATCAAAACTTTTATTCTAAATATTTTAGTTATAAGGATTAAAAGGAAAACATTGAAGTACGTTCAAATTAAGATATAAATCAATCTGCAAAAAATAAATAATCTCCTTAAGATTATTAAAAATTATAAGACAAATTAATCTACTTTGAGAATAAAATCTCCTCCATTAAATCTAATATTGATAATAGTTAAAGATAAAATAAAAATAATCTTGCATCTAAATTCTTTACTTAAAATACAAAAAATAATCAAACCTCAACTTCAGTTTAAAAAACTGTACGAATAGATTTTACAAATAGAGACTAAAAAGATCAATAAATTCACTAATAATAAACTAAAGATTAAAGAGATTAAACACCTTTATAATCAAATAATAAATTAAAATCTAACACACTTATTAATAATAATTATGATAATAAAATTGAAGGTATTATTATTAAAAAACCCAGTCTATCAACTTTTGTTANACATGCATGGAATTGAATGCTTAAGTAATTTAATTAGATCAAACTGTTAAACATTAAGAAAAGACTATAATAGAATAGAGAAATGAAATGGAACGTTTAAAATCATTGCATATGGAATGTCTTGAAACTACTGAAGAATTGAGTCATGAATTAGATCAAGTTAAACGAATGAATGATTAATTAGAATATTAACATCGAGAAGTATTATTGGATTCTAAAAATATATTAGATTATGGAAGAACTTGATAAAATCTCATTAGTGGAAGAATAGACTGCAATGTCCAGAGCAAGTAAATATAAAGAATTAAAAACTAAATTAATTATGGGAACTAAGCAATTAACGTAGTTCCAATCTTCATTTAAAAGATTTTCTACTCATAAAAAATCATAAATGAAACAATATGAATTTTGAAAATATGGTTTATTACTATTAATATTTTTATTTTTTAACAGCTTTTAAGAATGATTGAAATTAGACGCCCTCTCTCAGAAAAGAATTTAGGTAATAAATCAAGTAAAGAATTATAAAGACCTAATTCATCTAATTAGTCTAATTTATAATCAAAATACAATTTGTAAACTATGAAAAGCTCTGTACAATTATAAAAACAAAATCAAAACTTTTATTCTAAATATTTTAGTTATAAGGATTAAAAGGAAAACATTGAAGTACGTTCAAATTAAGATATAAATCAATCTGCAAAAAATAAATAATCTCCTTAAGATTATTAAAAATTATAAGACAAATTAATCTACTTTGAGAATAAAATCTCCTCCATTAAATCTAATATTGATAATAGTTAAAGATAAAATAAAAATAATCTTGCATCTAAATTCTTTACTTAAAATACAAAAAATAATCAAACCTCAACTTCAGTTTAAAAAACTGTACGAATAGATTTTACAAATAGAGACTAAAAAGATCAATAAATTCACTAATAATAAACTAAAGATTAAAGAGATTAAACACCTTTATAATCAAATAATAAATTAAAATCTAACACACTTATTAATAATAATTATGATAATAAAATTGAAGGTATTATTATTAAAAAACCCAGTCTATCAACTTTTGTTACATAAGTGAAAGCTCCCTTGACTGAAAATAAAAATAATTAAAAAAATTTAAAACCTGAATCAACTAAAGCTAGTAATAATAGTATTAAAGATAATATTAAAAGGAAAACATCTTAAGAAAGAAATAATGATATTGCATTTTTATATTATTTTTCATCAATAATAAAAGGTTATATGTAAATAGAAATTACAAGACCTATTGAATTGATTAGAGAACATTTATTATAAACAATGTAAGCTTCAATATTTTAAAAATCAGTTAAGATTGCTAATAATTTTGAAGATAAAAAGATTAATTTACCTTCAACTAGCAAGAAAACTATCGTATTTGATTTAGATGAAACATTAATTCATTGCAATGAATCTATATAAATATAAGGTGATGTAGTTTTGCCGATAAAATTTCCATCTGGTGAAATAATTGAAGTATAATATTTAAAATAATAAGTATAGGCATCAATAAATATTAGACCTTATGCTTAATAAATATTAAAGACATTAAATAAACATTTTGAATTAATTGTTTTTACTGCTTCTCATTCTTGTTATGCTAATGTCGTTATTGATTATTTGGATCCAAATAAAAATCTTATTAGTCATCGATTTTTTAGAGATAGTTGTATGTAAACAGAAGAAGGTGCTTACATAAAAGATTTAAGAGTCATTGGAAATAGATCTATGAATAATATGGTTTTAATTGATAATGCAGCCTATTCATTTTGTCTTTAACCTTTAAATGGAATTCCAATTATAAATTATTATGATAACAAGATGGATTAAGTAATATTGTAATATATATATATTATAGGAATTACTTTATTTATAGAATTACCTGATGGCTTTGAAATCAGTAAGAGATGTCAGATAATATAATAGTTAGAATCTAAAGTTGGATAAACTTTCAACATTTTCTGATCCTATAGATTTATTATAGTAACTGTACAAAGAGTATATACCTTGATATATATAAAATCGATATTAACTAATTAAATAAAAAAAGAATAGTAAAAATACTTAAGTCTTTAACTTTTAAGATTGAATGTTATATTTTAAATGACATTGATATTAATAAAATAAATAATATTTTTAAATGGAAGAGTTTGAGATCTTAGATTTTCATGAATTATAAGTTGAAAAGTAAGGATGTGAATAAGCATCCAAATTTTTATAGAGAAAAATATAAAATGGATTTAAAGTCAATTTAATAATAAAAAAGTAACATAATTTTGTATTACCTCCTTTGTAATAAAAGAAAAATGATTTGTTCTCTAAACATCATTAACCAATAGATATAGTAAGAATTTCTATAAATTTTAGGTAAGTTAAAACTCTGAACAAACAGAAAACAACTATAAACATGCTTCATCAACATCTTCTAATTAAAGTATTAAAATGGCTAAAAATTAAATTGCATCTCCTACATAAAATGAAATTCCAAATCAACATCTTAATGAATAAATTAGTCAATAATCTGATGATGAATAGGTTTCATTTGATAAATATAACTCTAAAAATTTTGAATAGTTATTTAAAAACGATTAGAATACTTAAAAAATTAAAATTAGTTTGCAATTTTTTAGAGATGGTAAATTTAAACTTGCATTAGAGAGAATGTTAGATATTTATAAAGAAGCAAATGAAAAATTAAAATAACAATTAGATAAGTTATAAAATTCAGTAACTATATTAATATGTATTTAATCACTTTGTTATGCTTCTTAAATATTCAAAGAATTAGGATAAATTAATGAAGCTTAAAAGTAAGATATTCTTAGTTTATATATTAAGATGCTTAGATAAATGTTTAAATTAATTTGAAATTAATGATTTCAATTTATAATCCAAGATTTTTATTGAAAAAGCAAATCTCTATTTACTAAATAATTAATATCTATAATCACTTGATTATTATAAAAAAGCTTTAATTAATTATGAATAAGTGAATTGGAAAATAGATATAGCCAAAATGTTAATTAAAATATCTTTTATCTATGCTTTACTACGTAATAAATCAGTTTAATAAAATAGATGACAATGAAGATGCTAAAAAGATTTGTTATGAAGGACTCTCCATTTTATAAAGTAAATTAGATAATTAAGATTACAGAATATTTGAAACTTATTATACATTAGGATGTATTTACTATTTAGAAAAAGAATATGACTTTGCTTTAGAATATTTGGAATAATCAAAGGAAGGTTTTATTAAATTGTATTAATATAATTAAATTATAATTTTAATAGATATGGACATAAAAATCAATAAATATTTAAAGTTATGAATCTTTAAGGAGTTATTTATCATTTATAAGGTAATAGTAATAATGCCATGGAGATTTATGAATAAATTGTCGCATATCATGGGTAATACGACGTTTGATTATCTTTAAGTGATACAGAGACTATAGGTTTAGCATTGATACTGAATAACTTAGCTTTAGCTTATTTGGATAGAATGAAATTCAAAAGTGCTAATTTATCATTTGTCAAAGCCCTTGCCATTTTGAAATCATATTTCTATGAAAATCATCAATTTATATAACGAGTTGAAAAAAACTAAATGCTTGTAGCATAGGCTGCTTTATCTTATATGTGATTTTAATATTTCTATTTTTGTATTATTTTTTTAAAACAGATTTAAACATATTTTCTAATAGTTTATAAGCTTAAAACTTTAAAAACTATCATGTTTGAACAATAGTTAAAGAAAATTTTAGATTCAAAAGAAATAATCATTTAAAGAAACTAAAAATTTTAGAATAAATAATAATATTAAATCTATAAGGAAAATTGTATCAACTCTTTATATCTTTTGCATAGATAAAAAAAATTATATTAAAAAGTATTAAATATTCTTGCAGCTATTCATTTAAAAATTGGTATTAATCAAAGTATTATGTTTCATTTATCATCATATAGGTTCTAAATTTTATGTAAAATAATAAAATATACTTCTGAAACTAAATCAACATTTATTTAACCAGAAAAATTAAAAGCAACTAATTCAAAAAAGTGACAATAAAAAATTTTATGTTTTAAATTGGATTGAATCATCATTATTTACCCCCTTAAAAGTTTTTGCAATTATTATTTCCTTTACTTTTTTCTATTATCTTATTGCAAAAAATACGACCATATATTGATATTTATAATGTATAATGTCAATCAAATCAAATTAGCTATTTTTTTACCTCAATTATACAAAAGACAGAAAGTTCAAATTTGCTTTCATTAAAGGTAAAATGTTAAAATCTTATTATTTTATATAAAGCAAGATTAAGAGCTTCATTAAATCATTTGTATATAGCAACATATATAGTTTTTACTGAATTTAGAAAATAAGATTAAGCTGAATTTCATAATTTAATAAAGAATTCATTTTAAATTATTTGTTTTTAGGGTTGTAATTTAAGATAACATTAAAATGAGAACCATGAATTTTTGAGAACAATTAAAGAAGGTTTAATATGAATCAAATCAAAAAATTAACTAGAGATTCTTAAGAAAGTTTAAAATTAGAAGAACTCCAAAAACAAATAAACTAATGATGTAAGATTATAAATAAAGAAAAATTAACATATATATATAAGGGAATCACTTTTATTTCTGATTTTCTTATTCTAAAAAATCAGAATGATCTTCTGCGAAATCATCATATCTACTTTCTTGAAAAAAGTCAACTGGTATTCTCAATAATTCGTTTTTTAGACAATCTTAAATGTATGTGTTCTTCATGAACATTTAATCATAGTATTAAAAAAATTATTCTTCATTCTTTTTTAGTGGATTGATGGTTTTCAAATCTCCTCCAATTACTAGGTTTTTAAAATTCAAAGCAACATTTTTAGCAACGTATTTTTACATAATTTGTTTATTAAAAATATTATTACTGATAAATAAATTATATTGCAATATATATAGAGATGAATTCTCTGTGAAATTGAAAAGTAATACAAATTATATAGATTTCTAGGTATGTTTAATTAATAAATAAATAATATGTCATATTTATTTAATCAATTAATAAATAATTATTCATATTGAATTTTTTATTAATATAATTTAGAATACAATAATAGATATTTATTTAACATTTCAAATACAAATAAAATAGTATTATAATCGGAATAATAACTTATAAATAATAATAAAATTTTCAGTATTGTTAATACATTAGTTTATGTAAGTCAAATTTAATCAAAGATCCTGATAACCAAATATTATGAATTTACTTAAGATCTTTGTTAAGTCTTTTAAAGATTTGTATAATATTTGAATTAACTTATACTTCATCATTTTATTTAACATTTTTCCATGAACGATATTTGGATTACGATAAAACAATTTTTGATAAACAGGGATTTTTAATATTGAGAATATTTGTTTCAGATGATTAATTATCAAATTTATCAAATATTTATTTCAAAGGTATAAATCTTTCCTTCTATAGCAGATTAATTTTCTTCTATATATTTAATTCATGTTATTTTGCTAAAATGTAATTAGAGAGTAATAATTTTTTATTTGATGATTAATTTGAAAAGTTAGATAATCTTTTTTATTATTTCAATGGTGAATTTCTTTTCTCTAAAAGTTAAAATGGAATGACTTTGATTATAGTATGATATTCATTTAATTCTTTCCAATCTTCAGGTGGAGTAATATCAATTTATCTTAAATAATCAATTACTCTATTTACACATTACTAAAATCTCTAAAAAACAATTTTTTTATTTAATTTAGCTTGTCCAATTATTTTTTACAAAAAGTTGTAATGATAAGATTAAATAGTTTAAAATTAATTATCATCAGTATTTTTTTAATTAAATTTTGGTGAAATTTCATAATAATCTTGGAAAATGATTACATTTTTTCGTTTTAATCTTTTCAATTTAACTTTTTATCTAAATTAATAATTTTTATACTTTTTTCAAGCTCAAACTATTAAAGTATTAATTATTTTCTTCTAGCATATAATTAAGAAACTTCAAAATTAATACATTTACTTGATTTGAGGCACTGGATAAAGGATTTAAATTAAACAATTAAAACATAAGATCTCTATTGAGCAATAGCATAAGTAAATCTAGGCTACTCATTTAAGGCTTCAAATTCTCCAAATATTGTACCTTATAATATAGTTAAAATATTAAATCTATTTTTAGACAGGATTCTAACATCTCCTTTAATTAAATAATAAATTTCATCAGAAATTTAACCTTTCCTATAGATTATTTCATTTTTTTCATAAATTATAAATCTACATGTTTTCAATAGATTTTGAGTATGATTAACATCTTATAAAAAGAATTAAATTTTAATGCATAAATCAAACATTACACTCAAGGTGAAATAAGTTTGAATTGGTTTATGAAATTAATTAACCATATGAATGATATCTTATTTCCAAAATTGATTATATAAAGTATTTGTTCTAATATACTTTTAAATTTAATCTTTTAAATCATCTGGCATTTTAGTTTACAATGCTAAACGATCAAATATGTATTATTGATTATCGTCATTAGAAAGATTAAATTGCATTAATAATTTAGAAAAGTCACCAATTTTAACAGAATAATATCCTATAGAAATAATAATCCATACAACTGAGAAATAATGATCCTATGGTATATCTCCATAACCTACAGTAAAAAGTGTTTATGATGACCAATAAACACTAGTTATATAATTGACACTATTATCATGAAATAGAGAAATGCATCCAAATATATGTATAAGAAGAAATGCATTCATTATTACATTTAATAAAAATATCCATCCTTCTGAGTGATAGTAATTATTATCTAATGAGAAAGAATCATTGATTATATTTGTATATATTATTTATCCTTTATAGTTTTTTTATGGCTTTTTAATAAAGTATTTAATTAATCTAAAAAGTTTAAATAATTAGAGGTAGGATTATTGAATTGAAAATTAATATTATGGTATTGATATAATATCTAAAATCATCCATGTTTTCAAATAATGTAGAAATATTAATTTAAATTCTTTAATCAAATTATAATTTTCATCAATATATGCTGTTATGAAATTCATCAATATATCAATTGCAAAGATTATATCAATTACAAATAAAAATTAATCTATATCAATTTGATTAGCTAAATGTGAAGGAAATACAATAGCATAAATAAATAATAAAAATTAAATGAATTAATTCCATTTAATTATAAAATATTGATCTGGATAAAATGGTAGAATGTTTTTATTTTTGGATTTAAAGTATTCAATTCTCTATATAAGTTATTCTTTTGAATATTAGGAGAGTGATTAAAAAAAGCTTAGGATTATGATTAATTTTTTAGTATTTTATTAAAATATTGAGCGATAATCAATTACTGGTTTAATTTTAGAAATACTAATATTAGGTGAATAAAATGATGAGCTTCTTTTATTGATTAAGTTTTATTTTCTTGAAGTAAATAGACTTTAAGAGAATTGTTTATTGTGATTAGCAATTTTTCTTTTAGAAAATAAAATATTTGAAGAGTATTCAACTGAATCTGTTGTTGAGGATATAAAATCTCTATTAATAGTAAACATATAATATATAAAATAAATTAATTAGATTATCATGAAGAATTCATTTGTAATTGTTTTTCCATTTCATCATACCTTTATAAACAATTTCTTTTTTTTGAGGTAGTTTCTTACCATGTAATTTAGAATAAGTTTTTAATTCTTTAGCTTATTGAATACACTTAGAAAAGATATAATAAATATAGTTACTTTAATTTCTAGATTAGACATTTCTGTAACTTTGAGAGGAGATTAAGGTTTAGTATTAGTAGTATATTCATGAGTAGTACAATCTTTAGCATTTCTAACACTATCATGAGCAGTCCAATCTAATTATGGTGAAGTTGATCTAACTCTTTAATTTAATTTAGTATCACCACAATGTCTATCAAATAAATCAGAAAAGTTTTAATTCCGATGTTTAAATTAATTATTAGGATCCTCAACAATTTTAGTTCTACTTTCACAAACTTATTTCACTTATTGATAACTATAACCAGGTAAAACACTTGATGTATTTTAATATAACATTCTTTATCTATGATCAAGATTAGGAGATTTAGGTTTATCTTCAATACATTTCTATGGTGATCTAGGTAATTTTGTAGGCTCATAAAATATATTTGATCTCTTATCTTAGATTGATTTCTCATGTGCACTCATTTGAATTAATCTCATATCTTATGTCATATATTAATTTGGTATTATTTTTGGTCTCATTGGTGGACTATAACGATGATAAGTATATTAAGAATCTTCACTTATTGGAAATAAAACATTTCTATCATGATCACGTTATTTCATTAAATTTAAATATAATATAATATTAATAATATATAAAAACATGGAAGTATAAAATATTTAATACGAATAATGTGAATTTTGTAGTCGTAAGTTCTTTGAAGGAAAATTAAAAATGCATTTAAAATTGTGTAGCAAAGATAAACCTATGATCTTTATTGCTAAAGGAAAAGAAGAACTCAAAAAAAAAAGATCAAAATCTATGGCTAAACCCAAATCTCTAGGACCAAAAAAAACTAACAGAGAAAATAGTTCATTAGATAGAAGTTATATTACAACTGCAGAATGTCATATTTGTGGTAGAAAATTTAATCCACGAAATCTAGAAAGTCATTTAGAACTTTGTCAAAAAAATTAAAAAGAATTAATGTATAAAAAAATGCTCATTGAAAAACAACTTAAATAAAAGAAAATTAATACATACCATTGTAAACAATGTAGCTATGAAATGGAATAAGATCACAATTTCTGTGGAAGATGTGGCTTTAAAAGAAAATGATCAAAATTTATAAAAATGAATTTAAATATCTTATCTCTATAAGTTTTGTATATTGTTTTATTCACTCTTTAAACATACCCTATATCAAATATTATTTTATTACAATGTTTTAATTATTGTCAATTTATCTAATATATGATACTTTATTTATTAAAATACTCTAAATATTTTTACTATTATGGAGTTCAATTTTGTTTGAAATAATCATAACATAAAGACAGTCTAACTCTTATAAATTAGAAAAGTAAAGATACAGAAATAAATTTAAATATATAACATCTAATTAAATTATTATAATTCTCAATTTACATGATAATTGTAATTATGATTCTCTTAAATAAGAGCTACAATATTTTTAAGGAATATTGATTTTAATTTATTTTTGTTTATTTTAGTATTTTTTGTTAGTGAATTTACTTCATTTGTCAAACATTATAAATACCCATATTCAAATAAAAAGATGAACATGATTCAAAGATTATAGATGAAGAAAATCTGTTAAAAATTAGGAAGAGAATAAAGAATATTCTAAAATCAAATAGTTTATGGAGATTAAAACTTGAAAATAGAATTGGATTGTTGAATTTGATAAGAAAGAGAAGAATGGAGGTTTGAATTATATTATATAAATAAATATATAATGAAATAAAGGCCAACAACAGCAAAAGTTCCTAAAACTATAGATTAAAGGGAAATTCAATAGCTTCATGATTTAGATTGTAATTTTATGTTTAGAATTTAGGTCGTTAATATTAATTAATTGGTAGTAATCTTTCTCATTTTACAATTTTGAATGAATTGGGGAAGGGTTCTTATGGAGTAGTTTATAAGGTGAAATCAAGTCAAGATGGGAATATATATGTGCTTAAGAAGATCAATTTAACTCATCTTAAGTCAAAGCATCAAGGTATGTGTGTTTCATATTAAAAGCTGAGGCACTCAAAGAGGCATAACTTCTGAGGAAGCTTAAACACCCTAATATTATCACCTATTATATGAGTTTCATTGAGTAAGATAATCTTTGTATAATTATGGAGTATGCAGAGGGAGGAGATCTTTAGAAAGTAGAAATCAATATGTTATTTAGTTACTAAAAGATTATAAGGAGAGAAGAAAATTTATGTAAGAGGAAACCATTTGGGAAATGAGTAGGGAACTTAGTTCTGCGTTGTAGCATCTTCATGAAAACAATATAATTCATAGGGATATAAAAACACTCAACGTATTTCTTACAAAGGAAAAGCATGTAAAATTAGGGGATTTGGGAGTGTCAAAGATATTTAATTCTGATACAGCATTATAAGGTACGAGAGTAGGAACTCCTCTATATTTATCTCCTGAACTTGTTTAACATTAACCATATGATTATAAAGTAGATATCTGGGCTTTAGGATGTGTAGTATTCTACATGGCAGCATTAGAGCCTCCATTTTAGGGTGAGAATTTGATAGCATTGGGATATAGTATAGTTAATAGAGCACCAAAGGGATTGCCACCTCAATACTCAACAAGTACAAATTGTATAAGTAAATTATGAAAGGATTAAGTCAGTTCATATGGAAGTTGCTTGAGAAGATTCCAGCATTGAGGCCAAGTATATAAGAAGTGAATACTATATATTTCTAATAAAGGAGTTAGGGATAGAGAATTTCATAGTAGATTTTATTATTAATAACATAGACAATATGATGATGGATTACCGTAGATGTAATATCAATAGCCTTAATAATAATAAAGGCCATAAACTTCAAATCCTAAGACTTATGCTATGTAGGCTTAGGAAACAGAGAAGATGAAGAAAACTAGAAAACCATAACAATAAGATTTAATTAGTAATGGATCTGATACAATATATATGGGAGATGTAATTGAGATGACTTAAAAATAAATAGAAAATGAACAAATTTCTAGGGCTTAATAATACTAATAATTGTTAAAAGATTAATAAGAGAAATTAGAGAAAGAGAGACTTGAAAGAGAAAGAATTGATAGAGAAAGATAAGAGAGAATGGATAGAGAAAGATAGGAAAGATTGGAGAAAGAAAGATTAGATAGGTTGGAAAGACAAGAGAGAGTTGAAAAAGAGAAAATGTAGAGATTGGAAAGAGAGAGACAATAAAAAGATTTATAAGAATAAGAAAGATTAAAGTAAATAGAATAATAAGAATATAAATATAATTAATAGTAATAATAATAATAATAAGTCATTAAGATTTAATCTAATTAAGTTGAATTATACATTCAAGATATTGATGACAAATAATTTTAAGAAGAAAGAAAGAATTCATTTTCTCTTGAACAGCCACCTAAATTTAAATTAGAAATTAAGAGTAATAAACCTTAAAATACATACAAATCTAATGTATAAATTAGACCTTTATCAGCTTAAGCAAGAGGATCCTCTTTTGCTAATATTTCCTGTAGGGCTAAATTAATTCCTGTATAATAGAATTAATCAGTTAAAGAAGTTAAAAAATTCACTATTTTGGATTTGAATCCTAATTCTAATTAATTATCTATGCATTAAGATATACCTATTTAATAAGAACCTTATATCAAATATCCTAATACTAATAATAATAGTTAAAATACTGTTATTAACAATGTTAATAATATTGTCAATAATCAACCTCACAAAACCAAAGAAAATATTCGTATTAAAAGTGCACTTATTTTATAATACTCCAATAAAAGATAATAATAGGATCAATAATCCAATTAAATTGTCAAACATTACACATTAAAAGATTTAGTAGAATCGTGATAATAATTATTTATTTTTTTTGGATAATATAGATATGATCATAAATTTGTAATGATATTTGTTTTTATTCTATCCTAAATCTCTTAGATCTATTTATTTATCTAATCCAACTTCTCTATATCGAAATTGTTTGATCGACTCAATCTTACAAAGTTTTTATTAATCAAATAATTTGAGAATTTACTATGTGACCATTCATCATTCAATCTATTATTATTTTTAATTAATACTTAAAATATTAATAAGACAAATAGATCATCCCTCCTGTATTCAAAAAATAACCTATAGGTTCCATTACATCCCAATTATAGTATACATAAATACCAGCACCCATGAAACAGAAATGTCCACATAAAACTAAAAATCCACCAAACATTTAAATTTTAGCAAATCTTATTGCAGCATCCATTAATTCCTTTCTTTTCTCTTCTAATAATTCTTTTGCTTTTTTCAATTCAAAATACTAAGTGTACATATCTGCCTCATGATCTGATTAAGTATTTCTCATGTTTGTGTAAGAATCAAGAATAACTTTCACCAGATCATTATATTCTATCTTCTATTGAGATGAAGAATAGTTTTTAAAAAATGTTGTCTTGAAATTTTATTATAACACATAATCCATTCTAACCAAATATTAGATTAGAATATTCTTTTCTAACATTGGTACATGTTTACGAGTGAAATATGATTTACTTAAATTTATTTATTCGTTTACATATAAGAATAATCGTCTTTATCATAACCTGATAACTATTTCACAAAAAATAGATGTTGATTGTTTGTCAATAAATAGAAAGGTTCTTTTATTATTTATTCCATTGTATTAACACCAGCTAATGGTACTTTGTCAATCGAATATAGAGTAACATTATCTTTTAACTAAATAGCAATCTGAACTGTACATATTCCTGACAATTTTCAACAAACTCCTTAACAGTTAGTTCTGGATCAATCTATAGTTCAACATTGTTTGTTATATTCATTGCATCGTCTGTCTCATTTGGACTTTTTGTAAACTCTAAACTCAGAATATATTAATCCTTCAGTTATTCAAGATAAGCTGTCTTAACCTTCAAAAAGTTAACATGTTTCAAATCTACAAGGTCTTTTGGTACATTTTATAAGATCGAGCAGAACCTTTTGCAAACTTTTAAGAGTTGCATATGATATTATTATTATTTATATAATTATTATATTGCATACTTATGTAAATACTTCGATATTTGCATTAAAATTAAATGAAAAAGATATAATAATATAAAATACATTTAAAACATTATTTACATCTATATTATTCTTTATAAAATCAAACAAATAATTTTTTCATCGCTTAAGATAAGGCTTTATCTTGATTAGCTTCTTTTGCTTTGATCTATTTCAATTTATCACTTATATCTATTTTACTATCTAATTTTTGCACTTCCATCAACAACTCCTAAGCTTTCTCCATATTATTTAATTCAATATTGCAAACAGCCAATCGAAATAAAGCTTTAGCATTCTTATTTATCTATAAACTATTTTATGCTGCTTCTATTCCTTTTTCATACTTCTATTAATTTATATAGACTTAGGCCATATTGCTATAAGTCAAACATTTTAACTATCGTATAGCATCAGTCTCCTCTTTAGTTGTTTATTGATTCTATATTCTAATTATTTTATTTTACTTTAGCATATGAATCAAACTCATCTTCTTTAGTTATCAAACCATTTATATATAAAAATACTTTATGATAACATGTTAAAGCCCTCTTCAAATCTTAGTTTTTGAAATGCTAATTTCCTTCCTCCTTATATTGCAACGCCATATTTATTTTTTCTTAAACACTCTACACCTAATTATTCATAATAAAAATAAATAATGTATAGAATTATTAATTTTTATATTCTACCTTTTAGAAATGTTAATTATTCTCCTAAGTAAAAATGAAAGTTAAATATTTATGAATAGTATGAAACAGTTAGATTTAGTGCACTAAAATATTCTAATTTATGTTCACATTTTAGATCCTTCATATAAAGTGAAACAATTCATTAAAATATTATATAAGTAAATAATTGAACTTTTAAGTTAATAATCATATAAAGAGTAGCCCTATTTATAGAGGCAGAATATGAAATAATAGAGAAATATTGAAAATGGTTAAAATAATAAAATATTATAAAATTTATAATAAATTAATATAAAAGTGCATCATTTTTAATGACATACTATAAATATATATTATGAGATTTGAGTTTATGAGGTTTTATAATAATTAGCAATAAGATATAATTAATTCAAAAAAAAATATTATAAAAATAATGGAACAAAGAGATGGATAATCAATTGGTTAAACAAATGGTTTGGTATTAGCTACATTGCCAGGAGAGAGTGAATAAAATAATTTACTTAATAAGATAAGTGAATAAAGTAGTCCAATGAAAACAGATCATTAAATAAAATAGAGCAAAGAGTTGTATACATAAGAGGAGATGAAAAACTTTACAAAGAGAGGAATAATTTCATTGATAGGTGGTGTAATTTTACATTTAGAATTGGGAACTTTCTATGTTTGGGGTTCAATAAGTAATAATTAAAAATTAACTTTTTAATAGGTCCATATGTAGCTGCTTGGATGAGAGAAAAAGATAAAGGAGTGACATTAAACTTTATGGCAATTATCTTTCCAATTCTAGGAGTGATAACAATGTCTGTTCTATCATTTGGAATAAAGATAGCAGAAAGAGTTGGATTCAAAATTACAATAGGAATAGGATCATTCACAATAGCACTTGCTTTTTTGATTATCTCATTTATCTAAGAGATAGGAGGATTCATAGCAGTATATTGTATCATGGTTGGAATATCTGGTGGTTTATTATACATGCTACCAATTATATGTGGATGGAGATACTTTCCTAATAGAAGAGGATTAGTATCAGGAATGACAATTGGAGGATATGGATTTGGATCGTTTATCTTTAATTTTGTGTGTAAAGCAATAGCAAATCCAAACAATCTAAAACCTACAGTAATAGAAAATGAAGATGGAAAAGATGTGAAATACTTTGATAATGAAGTAGGAAATAATGTTCCATTAATGTTATAAGTCTTGGCTGCCAGTTATCTTGGATTGGGTATAATAGCTACCATTATGATTAAATTCCCATCTGAAATAGATCCTGATAAAATGTTAGCTACTTTAGATGCAGAAGAACAAAAAAAAAGAAAAGAAGGTGCTCCTGCTCCTCCTCCTCCAGTTTTACCAGCCCATAAGGAATGTGTAGAAGTGTAAGATATTTTATTAATCTTTATAGTTCTAGAGGAATTAAACATCCATCTTTTGTGATTCTATAATTAATTGTTTTAATGTCTTGCACATTTGGTATGTTGATATCAAATTGTTATAAATATTATGGCTTAGAATTGGGAATAGATGATGCTACTTTGACAGCAACAGGATCAGTTGCAGGAGTTATGAATGGATCATCAAGATTCTTTTGGGCTACTTTGACAGACAAAACATCATATAAATTCACATTTACTCTGATATCAATTCTTAATCTAATTACTACTGCAATATTACCATATAATAAAGATGGTATTGGTTATCTACTTTTAATTGCTGTTGTTTATTTAGCTGAAGGTGGACTTTTAGCTACATATCCAGTTATTTGTGCTAAAATTTATGGAAAGAAGATTGGAGGTTTAATGTATGGATTCATGTTTTTCTTTGTTGGAGTTTCAAATATGATTGGATATATTTTATATGCCTTTGCTAGAAAATAAATAAAATGGGAAGGAGTGTTTTGGATTTGTTTTGCATTAAATGTTATTGGAATTTTTTTAGGACTTATTCTTAAGGAAGTAGGATATGATTGGAGAGATTAATCAGTTATTGATGCAGAAAAAGACAAAGAATTATAAAACTAAGCTTAATTGACTGCACATCAAAATTGAATTAATATTTCTATTTACATTACTGTGATTTCTATTTTATCATTTTCAATTAATTTTTCATTCTAAATTAATATTTATATTGCTAAATGGATAGAAATGGAGAATCAATCTTTACATCCAATTTTTGGAGGGAAATCAATGAGTCATTTTTCATGGTTCACTCTCCCATCAACCTCTATGATATTAGTCTTTTCAAAAAGAAATGTATTCATTTTATTCATAAAATAGTTTCTAATTATGTAAACTTAAATTGTCATAAATTATTAGATAAGCTTCTCAGATAAAGTAATAGATCTAAATTATCTTAATTAAATTTTATCAACTTGAAATATAGACTTTCGTTACTTTTTCAATAAAGATAGTAACATTCAGAACCCATTTAAAATTTAATTGATGAACTGATAGACCAAATTTGTTTCACTCAACTTATCGAAGGATTATCGTAAACATAAGATCTTATTAAAAATATGTCTCAATTACCTGAATAATAACAATCGGTAATTTATCATTAAGAAAATTAAATTTTGACTAATTTACATCACATGATTGATTGTCAAGATGAATTAGCCTAATAGATAGAATCACTTGAATCATAACTTTAACAACTTAATAATTAAAATATTCTTCAATAGTAAAATCTTTCCATTTATTTTATTAGACTTGAATAACATGTTAATGAAATCAACAATAATCTTATCTTCACCTACTCTTCTTAAATCATTCAAGAAAATTCCATCAAATTAACTAGAATTAGAATTAGAAATCATAAAGAAGAACTTTTACTATTGAAGGATCTAATAATTTTACATCAAGATTATCAAGTTGCTGAAAGTATTGGAAAAGCAACTTTTAATGAACAAAGTAATTTTGAATTACTTATTTTTTTAATAGGTAACACTATTACTGTAATCTTTGATAAATATTTAAGTCAAACTCAAATTGATCTAAACTTGGAACATTTTGCAAACCTTCAAAAATTAAGAGAAGTTCCTTATGAATTCTCAGATTAATTACCTGGCCTCAGATCTGATGTATATCTATATCCATTTATGTAGGATGTTTTTGAAATGCAAATGTGTCATTTTTGTAAATAAATGGTTGATATTAAAAATCTTAAATAGTGTTCATATAATCATTATTCTATGGGGTTACATGAATACAATGAAGATTTATTAATTTGTTAAAGATATTAAATTAATGCAAAGTCTTAATAATAATATTTTTTAGATCTTTATTCTACTAATTACATTATTGAAAGTAAATTAAATAATAATTTATTATAGATTAACATATCTTATGTAAAAGATACTTTTGTTTAAAATGCTTGAAGTATGAATTTGATTCTTATGAAACCACACAATTTTTATGGATATGTCCCCTATGCAAAGTAAAAAATATATGTATTACATTTAGGGATTATGTTCTTGTGTTAGATGTTCTAAGAATGATACTATTTATAAATTAAAAAGACAATACCTAGAATTAAATGGAGATTTAGATGATATCTATCAATCATCTTATTTTGAAATGCTTGTCAAAGAAAAAAGAAAACTTATAAAAAATGTTCCAATCGAATTCATTAATGTATTTAAAACCAAATAAGAAAATAATGACGATACCTTAACACCAAAGAGTAATCTTAAACGTAAGAAATCTATTACTAAAAGAATGATAAAAAAGAAAATGAATAAAAACGATTCCTTAATAGGTTAAAAAGCACATAAACTTACACATATAGAGAGTTCATCATCATCAGTAAAAATTAAGAAATCAAAAGAAATTAAAAAGAGATCTTTATTTTTTAATAATAATAATCATAATGATCCTTCTAATTAATAAATCTTTATTTAATGATTTTCTGTTAATGATTTTGTTAATACTCTTTATCTTTATAAATTAATATTTCAATAATTTAAAATATTATTTATGCAACCATTTTCTATATAAAAATTTGCCATTACAAATTAATTTGAATATAATAAAATGAATTTGAATTAATATATAGATTAGGAAGTTTAATTAAAGATTGTAAAACCCAATAAATTAGTGATATGTAAAAATAATATTATTAATATAGTTTTATTCGAAAACAAACGAAAATTACAACAATATTTGCTTATTAAAATAAGATAGTTATGATAAATTTAATAGAACTAATTAATAATGTATTTGCATTATAATGTTAAATAATGAATTAAATGAATTAGTTCAGAAAGCATATAAACACAATTTATTGAGTAAGATAATTTAAATATTCTTCAAGCACCTCTGTTAACTAAGTTTAAGATAAAAAATTAAAAGATAAATGGATCTGTTAAAATAGATTAAAGTAAGAAATAATCAAGAAAAGCAACAACAACAATAAAACACGGATAAAAATAAAAAATAAGTGAAGAATATACAGGAAGGAGCAGTTCTAAATTATCTAGTTCAATATTATTGAGATAAGAAAAAAGAAATACATAATCTCCTTAGAAACTGATGAGAATTTTATCTGTTTCTCAAGAAGTGCCTTAATAATTAGCAGATGTTTTGGGAGAGATTAGTAGAATAGAATTAGAAACAGATACAAAATTAAGATGTAAAACAATATAGATAAGAAATATAAGGATTACAAAATAATAATTAGTAAAATATCTATAAAGACATTATCCTGATATAATATGTGAACAAATTGCAAAAGTATTAAAAATACCTCAAATTCTGAGTTTTAATTAATTCTAACAATGGATATAAAAAATAGAAAATTTAGATTTAAAATAATAAATCAGGTTATGCTTTCTTGTGTATGATATAAATAATTAAGCAGAAATAACAACTCATAATTTAGTTGAATTATTAAAACACAGTAGTAATCCAATAATTGAATTAGATATTTTACACATGATTAAATAATCAAAGGTTTAGATATAAAATTAAATAAATAACGATATTAAACAGATGAATTCATTTTCATTACCATTGAGTATTTTGAGAGTCAAATTAGATTAGAGTGAGATACTCTAATAAAGAAGACTATCAATAATTTCAAATGATGTTAGAGGAAGATTATTTGGAAAAGTTAGTTAAAGAAATTCTTTCGATTTAAATGTTGATTTAGATTAGGATTATTCAATTAATTAATAAAAGAATACTCCTAAAAAGAAAAAAGTTATGTTAATTACTCAAATTAATAAAACAGAACATGATTTTAAATTTTAAGATATTATATAATATAAATCGGAAAGAAAGAAAAAGAAAAGTAAAATAATGAAAGATGAAAATAAAATTAGTATAGATTTGAATAGATTTCTTAATATTTGGTTTCCTCAAAAACCTAATTTGTTTAATGATTTAATTAAAATTTTAACTGCTAAACCATGAAATATAAAAAATTCAAATTTTAATCTCTCGGTTCTTAAATTGAAATATGAAAGTTTGATTTTTAAATACATTAAACTAAAATATAATCAATTTTTGAATTGTGGTGATTCTGCTAAAATCAATTTTTTTTAATTATTCAATCCTTTCATCATAAGTAATTAAGTAAATTAAGATGTTTTATCTGGTATTCTTATAATTTGTTAATCTTTCATGATAACTTAATCTTCATCAATAGAATTATTAGTTTCACATGTTTAAAATAAGTTCTCTTAAGTATATTAATTATTGTTTTAAGTATATTATTAAACGTTGTTATTATTTTTCAATTCATAAAAGTCATCCTTATTTTAGAATGAAATAAATAAAGATAAATATGTTTGAAAAGATTATGATAATTATTTACATAACAATTAATTTTATTATGTAAAATTATCATGCAACTTTTAAAATTAATTAATTACAAGTTCTTATTAAGTTAATTATTAAGTGAAAATAGAATGTTCTTAAAATCTCTTTTAATATATGGACATAATTTCATTAAATGGTCCCATTGTCATATATTCTATTATATTAAATTCATTAGACAGAATATCATCCTCCATTTTTTTTAATGAATCAATAGTTGATCTAATTTAATATTATTCAGCATTAATACATTTCTCAATTTATTTAATTATTTCATTCTAACTTAATAAAATTATTGAAATACTTTTAATTAAATTAATGGCTGAATTGTATTGTCAAATATCTTATCAATAGATTGTTTAATATCTTATATTTTTATATTTTCTAAACATTGTTTGGTTTATTGAATTAATTATTTAAATGATGTAATTTTCTCCTATCTCATCTCTTTCTCTCTAACTTCTGGACTTTAAGTACTCTTTTAATTAATTATTCAAATTTACTGTATAAGTGGATAATGAGATTGTTTTTGCTTTAGGTGATGGTTAAACTGTTTGATTTAACGAATTATATTGATTTGTATTTATTTTTTTTTCTTCATTCACTAAATTTTAGAAACATATAATAATACATATGTAATTATTAAAGTTCAATTTTATACCAGCATAACAATTTTATTAAGTTAATATTGGATTAGTTCTATTTTATATTTTCATTAATGATTTCAGAATTTAACCTTCTTATTATAATTTATTTAAATACAATTATGCAATTTTTGATCAGAAGGTTAAGTAAATGTATTTTTTTTAGGTTAATTTGGAGTTTGATTTTATATTTCATTTAATAGAGATCTGTTCGAATTTGAATTTTTTTCTAAAGAGGTTGTTTTGTATTTACTCTTACTCAATTACGTTGGTCTTTAGTTATTGTTTAATCTTATATTTTCCTTTAAAATAGGGCTTTTACGCATTAATATTCTTTAACAACCTTTTTTATTAATTTATTATGTAATTAGACTTATATAAAGAAAGACAATAATAAAATGAAAATTCATACCAAGTTAAAGCTGTAGAAGCTTTCACATAATTAGTACAATATATGAATGAATTAACTGACATTGTGAATTAAATCAAATTAAAAAATGAAGCTGAGTTTATTATTGCTTATCAAAGTCATATGAAAAAAATAAAAGAAGAATTAAAAGAATTACGATATAAAATATAAGAACAATAAAATATTCATTAGAATAAAGGAAAAATAATGAATAACGATAATGAGTTAGTAATCAAGATTATTTATTAAAGGTTTATTTTAGAGAAGAATGTCTAAAGTTATACTAAAAAGTTGAATTGAAAAATAAAGAAAACTATACATTAAAATTTAAACTAACAGAACTACAAAAAACTAATGATTTCTTAGAATAATAAATTAAATCACTAATGAAAAAGGTTAAATTGTAAGAAATTGATAAAGAATAATCTAAAATTGTATAATTAGATTAAACATTTTGCACAATTACTCCAGCTAATTAACAAAGTATTACTATATTTTATTTTAATTAAAGAATCTAATAGAAGAAGATTAACTGATTATTTACCAAAAGTAGAAATAAATTCATCTTTATCTAAACATCATTATTCTTCTATCAAGGAAATGTTTCCAACTGATGAGTTGAATAAAGAAAATTTTAAATATGATGAAATTATAGAAAAAATCACAAAGTATTTATAACTTTCATATTTTTACTAGATATGTTACAATTATTGAATAAAGATATTAAAATTAAAATAAGATTTTAAATGAAAAAGTTTAGAAACTTATGATATTTTAAAATAAGAAAAGCATTATTCGAAGTGATTTAGAATATTTTTTTTTAGAATGTGTAGATACTGTTAGAAGAGAAATTTAAAAAAAAAAACTTTTAGGAAGTTAGTAATAATAATAATCTTATTTGGATTCAATTTAAGATTTTTAATAGTTCTATAAAGAAGATAAAATAAAAATTTTAGAATTAGTAGTGAGTAATGAAAAGTTATTAGTCTTTATTTATTAGAAATTATTTCCAAATCATGTGAATTTAGTATTATAATCCATTAAAGAAGATGCATAACTCAAAAACATCATAAATTAGGATATTAAAAATTCCATTCCAAATAATAACAATGAAGATAGTATAAATATTAACAGTCTAATAACTGATTATAAAGTTGAAGTTCCTAAATCTACAAGAGAAGTTAGATCAGTTTCTCTAAATAAATAGATAGAAGTTAGAAGAGGGAAATTATTGCTCAAATAATATTGAAAGTTTTAATGCACTTATATATATATTATATAATTAAGAACAAATATGGAATAGATGAAAATCTTCTTTATTTAAGAGATTTCTAAATTAGATATCATTTTAGTTATTATTTCTATTATATATTTATATGGATTAGAAGTGCAATTACGAAAATCATAATAAAATAATTCTTTACTGTTGTACTAATTTTTAATGCAAATATTAAAGAACTGTTTGTGATATATGCTTAAAAGAGTTTCATAATGATCATATAGATGATTTATAAAATAATGAAAAATTGATTGAATTCAGATAAAAGAAGAAGATAATTCTTGCATAAATAAAAACATTCAGATAAGAATTTTAATAATTTTTTGATTTTTTTAATGATTTTATTACAAGTGTAACGATATCAGAGGATGAAAAACTTGAAAATTGTACTTTAACTCAATTGAATTTTTTAACCAAGAAATTAGTAGTTTTAGATCAGTTATAAAAATCTGGATTGATTGAAAATACATTAAAACCTTTAAATATTAATATTAAGACAACACAATAAAATATTAAGAATTTAAAAAAAGAATGTAAAGAAATAATTTTTATTAGTTAAAAAAGTTGAAAATAAATAGATTCCACAAAATATTCATCCTTAGAATTAACCTAATTTCTCTATGTAAAAATTAATTTAATTATAGTTAACCAGGTAATAAGATTAAATAAAATTGTATAAGATTTTCTTAACAATATAAGGCTAGTAATATTGAACTTATAAATTCTAATACTATAGCAATAAATCAAAATAGAACATTTAGTTTGGTTTTATGTGAACCAGGTGTCACCAGTCTTGAATAATAAAGAGAATTTGCTTTTAAGATTTTGAAAAAAGATTGGATAGCATTAGGAATATGTCACAAAAGTCTTCTTTCAAATTAAAAATATGAGGTTAATCTTTGGGAAGATCATAATCATGGGTTAAATTTTATAAAATATGTAAGATGTTATCTTATTGATGAATAAGGAAAGGTCTATTCTAGGCTAAATGCTAGATAAAACAATCGTACCAAAAATTTTTCATTATCTGAGAATGATGTTATAATTATTAAAGTTAATAAAATAAAAAAGGAAGTTGAATGGATTAATTAAAGCAAAAAAGAATAATTGTGGGTAGATTTATATATATGCAAATAGATTGCAAATATTGATGTTAGTAAAGATATTTATCCAGTAATTTGCCTTTATGAATCCAGAATCCAAATTATTGATGAATTCTGAAGCAAAATTATTATTTTAATTTGTATTAAAATGTAGATTTTGCCTCATTTAAAAAAAATAATAATTTAAAAAATCTAAGTCAATCTTCACATTGTTACAATCTTACAATCAATTTATTAAGTATTAATATCAGAGTGTTTACAATAACAAATACATTTAAGACAGGATAATACATCTGATTATTAGCGAATTTAACAAAAATGATAAATTGTAAATATTTAATAATTAATATTACTAAATATATATTAAATATTATTGGTTCAAAAATTTTATTAATGATCATTAATTATCAAAATAAAATTTTTTAATTTGGATATTCTTAACTAGAGTTGAAGCTTTGTTTTTTTCGCTGGAATAAAACTTTATAGTGTTCTTGGACTAATAATTTATATTTTTATTTTTTTTGTTTTTTTCTTTTAAAGCTGTTACGAGCATTAATAAACCAATTTAATATCTTAATAAAAAAAAATAATACTTTCTTCTTCGATAGTTGTGTTTTATTAATTAATTTTTTGATCTCTAACTAATTTGGGTAGGGATAACAATAATTGTTTAAATACCATTTCTTAAGTATTAGGTTTATTTTTGTTGGTAATACTTTTGAAAATAAATCTTACACTATATAAATAAATGAATAAATACCTTGTGAACTTGGTATAATTTTAAGTTTAAGAATTTCTTAATATAGCTTAGTTTTATGGTTCAATTGCTCAAGAGCTTCTTCAAAAAATAGGTTTAACTATTAGGTAGTCATAAAAGAAATCGATTTTATATCTCCAAATTATTAACGAAGTTGAGCAAAGTATTATGTTATGTATTTTTCAAATTGTTCAAATAGCAATAATTCTTTATTGATATTCTGTTCATTATCTTGAAGTTATGAATTATCAGATTATAATTTTTCATTTTAGTACATTTATTACTGTTTACTGTGGTTTAAACATTAGAAAAATGTAGATTCGAGTTTTTATATTTTAACTTGAATATCCTAATACTTTTCAGTATTAATCTTCTGGATAAGATTGAGATTGTTATATTAAGGATTATCATCAACTTGAATCATTGATATAATTAATTTACAACATGAATCAATAATATCATTCAAATATGATAAGACCTATACAATTTAATATTGATGCAGAATTTATGATGAATCTTAATAATTAATTAAAGGGAATTAAAATAAAAAATAGCTATTCATGATAAACTCTATCTCCCTAAGGCTTTAATATATCAATTATAATTCAATAAATAAACTACTTTCAATTTTATTAAAAATAAATAATATTTATATATCTACTCACTGGAAGTGAATAGATAGTTATATTTCTACAATTATACTTTATATATCTATCTACATTCTATAAATGGAATATTTAATCTGGAATTCAATTTCAAATACTCATTACAAAGAAGAATATATAATTGAAATACAAATGCATCAAACTAATCAAGAAATTATAATTTGGAATATAAATATAATTCTATTTTACTACTATTTTATAAGTTTAAGATAATAACATCATTTTATTAGGATATTACATGTACTAATATATTAAAAATATATTTATAAATTAATAAGCATAATTATTATATTTTAAAATAAATGATGCCTAATCACTTATTATATTTTTTCTTACTGAAAATCTAGTATGTATTTTAGAAAGGTCAAGTATAAGAAGTAACATTTTTGATAAAGAAAATATTTCTAAATTACTGCCGAATAGCAATTCTAAAAAGTAAAAAACTTAGATATTTAAGTATCATCAAAATACTTCTAAAATTTGGATATTTTAAATAATAGCAATTCTTCTAATTAGGATAGTGTACAATAATTAAAATAGGTTGTTTTTAAGTTGAAAAATAATGCATTTAATATTATAGAATAAAATAAAAATTTTGATAAAGAAGATTGAAAAGCTGAAACCTAAAAAGAGATTGAAAAAAGAATAATTAGATGATATGATTCAAATTTGATTATTAATTTCAATTCATGTCTTTAATTTCTATAATTCTAATTCTTCTTTAAGGTACAGCAGTTGCTTACTATTAATTCTATTATTGCTGTTGTGGTGGTTGTTATTATTCAATTTATATTTTTTTGGGGGACTAATTTATTTATTGGGTTGACTATGATAGTGAAGATTTATTTAAGTTAATTGGCCTTTATTAATTAATTTATTATGTTTATTAAACAGGTTTGTATCTTGGATATATATATTTAAGATTCATTTGTTTCTAAAATTCATTATCATTTTAAGATCTAAAATGATTTTCTTTTTCTATTGTATTCATAGTTTATTAATATTTATATTAATTAATTTATTAATTATTCAAATTAAATCTTCATCACTACTATCATCATCAACATTAAATTATTTATCCATTAATTATTGGAGATTCTCATCTTATGAGAGTGACAAATCATTTTTATTAGGTTATAAAATACTGATCTAAGATTGGCTTTAATTTTATGAAAATGGTACAGAATTATTAAAATTTGGTTGATATGATTATACGATTTAATACATTTGGGAAGGGGAAGTAATAAATTTTGGTGGTAATTATGATTTTGTTTAAGGTTACAATTAAAATTATTGTTATTATTGAATTTATTATTATTATTATTGTAATTATAAAAGCTTTTGATTTATTTATTATTATTATAAGATTTATTATTCAAATTATTATTAAAAACTCTATAAAGGTTAAGGCTAGAATATATTACTAGAGGAAACAGATGATGTAGCAGATTATTTATTAATAGGACTCATTGTAATTAAATGTTATTATGGTTATGGAATAGGCAAAGGTGGTCTAGACATAGGCTTTTATATTTCTTATGCAGCTTCTCTTTATTTAGATAATTAAAATTATTTTTATTATTATTCTTTTTATCTCTTTTATTCTTCTAACAGTTTTACTTATGATATGATATAAATAAATACTTCCTTCTTTTATTTAAATATAATCTTATTAGATAGAAGTCATTGATTTTTAACTGAATTAGGGAACTAAATGCTTTTATTATTAAGGTTAAGGTTATTCAGTTATAATTTTTTAACTGCCAGTTTCTTTTAGCTAAATAGGAATACACTATTATAAAAACCTTTTAAGATAATATAAAAAATTACTTATCAAATCCTAAAGAAAATAATTTTTCTTATGATAATAAGTAATAGTATTCATTAAAATCTATTTTAAATAACAAAAATTTTAATTTATCTTAATTTTGTAAATGTCTGATTAATTCTAACATTTATTCTCTATACATTTATCTCAATTATAACAATAATTTAATAATTTCTTATCCTTTAAATTAAGTATCAATATTATGATTATAATTGGGAGTAATTTTTGATGATATAATTGAATCTAATGATTATTCAAATTTATCACTTCTATCTTATGCAACTAATTCTCTTACATACAAAAATAGATGTTCTAAATTTTGTTTATATCTAAATGAAATTTCAAATAATTTCAATAAAACCATCTGAATTTCTTCTTATTTTTGATGTAAAAATGTTTTATCAATAATATCGTTCAATAACTATTCATGTAATTAAATAAGATGATCTAAATTTTCTATTGAATTAATTTAATCCATAAATTTTTTCCAAGGTGTTTCAATTGCATCAAACATTAGATAACTAAAGAAATTCTTTATAAAATGAATCATTGAATTCATTATTTACAAACTTAAATTCAAAGCCTTATTTACATTTGGTTTAGCATTTAAATGATATTTATTTTTAATCTATTACATCCATGATTATATAAGTGTATATTCAACTCGTTTTATACGCCATAAATAATTAAAAATTTTATAATAATTCAACATAGCTCTATGATTAAAAATAGTTTTAAGTGGTTCTTCAAAATCATAATCTAAACAAAAAATATCCCAACCTATATCATTTTTTTATGCCTCTAATAATTTGACTGAAAATCTCTATTGAATTGTTTAATTTGCATTACTGAATCTAAGAGTAGATTCAAGTAAACCAGTTAAGGTATGTTTATAAACTAAATGTGCATTTTTTGATAATTCTGAATAAAGGGTTTCAATTAATAATTAAGAGAAATTTCCATTTCCCAATAAAAAATATTATTTCATAATATTAAAATGTTCCATTAATTTAAATTTATCAAATAATAAATTAACAAGCTATTAATTTGTATTTTTATTTGCTTAATTAATTAACTAAGACAATTCATCTGTTTAAAGCATATTAATAGTTAATGGTTAGATATCTAAATACCAATTTTTGTTATCACATTATTTTCTCAACCAATTTATAGCCCTACCTGTATCATAAATTTTATATGCTTCATCATAAGAAATTACAACTGGTACTTTATCATAATTAATTCTATATTATTTTCTCCATAACTCTCCTTAATCTTTTGTTAAAAGCTTTTAATCATCTCTTTCTATAAAGAATTCATTTGCTATATCTAGAAGATTACCTTCAAACATCCATTCATTTATATATTTCATTAATGGTTAACAACTTGCTTATTATAAACGCATAAAAAGTTCTGCTGTTTTAGAACATCCATGTTTTGAAAATTATTCCAAAACATTAATTATTAAAGATGAAGTAGTTCCAAGAGGAGTACTTGTTTATATTATGGAAAGTAATTAATTTATGAATAACATATAATCATAAGATGATTAAAGATGAAAATGTATCCTTTTAAAAGTAATCACTAAATAATATATATATTTATATTTTTACATTATGACGATAAGATTAATCCTTCTAAATTTGCTATCAATTTATAATATTCAGATAATTCTAATTTAATTACATTTTAAAGTGCCTAAACTATTAAATTTGATTATTGTATTTAACAAAATTATGAAATCTTCTTGTATAACCATCCACATTCAGAAATCAAATTTACCAATTATCTTATTGATATTGATACATTAACATCTTTTCTTAAACAAAACGAATCTGATGATGCATCAAATTATATATATTAACCCTCTATTCCTTATAAACAAAATAATAAATCTTTCATCAAATCTCTCTCATTTATCTCTTAAACAATACTATTCTAAATTTATATCACTTTTTACTTATTATTTTTCTATTATCATACTTTTTATTAGACTATTATTTTCTATCTTATTTATTGTTTAATTTGTTGTCTATTAATTCTCAATATCTATTGATTATTTTAGATGATTTGAATTTTCAAATATTGGCTTTATTTGACTATTATTAAATATTTCTGATCTTCCCAATTAACTTACTCTAATTAGAAAATGAATTATTTCTTAATTTTTTTGAATTTTTGATTTTTGCAATTTTGTAATACATTCTCTTAATCTATTTTACAATACTTTCTATTTTCATATTATTTTACATTTACATCATCTATTCCATTTATTTCTTTCTCAATTATCATTTCATCTATTTCAGAATATTTTGTTTTTAGATTCAAAATCCTATATAAATATGTCTTGTAATTTATTAATGTACTTTCTTCTGTCTCTTAAGGGAAAGCTAATCTAACTAACTCAAACACACTTTTTTGCGCATTAAATTCCATCTTAAAAAATACTAATCAATATTTTTAATAATATTTGTAATGTTATAAAATATGTAATTTAATGCTTCATAATTTAAATTAATTCTTAATTATTGGATTTTATCATTATACAAATTTAGCGCGCATAATGAAAGAAAATAATAGTTTTTTTTTTTGAATATATTAATTGATAAACATATCAAATTTTTATTTGGTAACATTCATTTATTAACAATTTTTCTATGAGCAATAAATTAATCTTTGTCTTATTATTATTAACTGTGTCTTTCAGTAAGAAAATTAAGTCTTTTATTTTCTATTTAATATATAATGTATTATAATACAGAATTCTTCATCTAAATTAGACTCATTATTATTTAAATTTAACAAATTCAATTTGAAATCAAATTTTTTATGATTTTAAATAGATTATGTCGCCAATTAAATGTACTTTTTGACAATATCATCTGTTTTATGTGTATTAATATTAAGCATTTTAGATTAACTATGATTAGTCTATTACTAATGTTATGATTTAGTAGCAAAATCAAATCCTGCAGTTTTCTTTGTGTACTATGATTTAGCTTTGTTATTATTGGCAATTTTGAATGTTGTCATAGCATTATATTAAGAAGGTATCATATAATTAAATTCAGGCTTTTTTTAGTATTCTGCATTTTAGGAGCTTTTAATTTTAATATCATGCAACTTTTTAAATAAATCTTCAGAAATCGGTAATTATTTAGTATTTCTATCAGTCAAACATCCTCCTTTAGAAATTCTATCCAATTAATTTTAATTAAATTTCTTTTATTAGATATTAAGTGGTTAATATACTTTCTTAAGTTATTCTTGTCTTTATGATATATTTTATATACTACCATTATTGTTATTTTGATCTTATTATTATTATTTAATGCTTTTTTGAGAACCTTGAAATCCCTATATAAGAGTAGATGTACTTGCAACTAATAAATCTTATGAAATTGTTGATCTTAATTATCGACTCTAATTGCCTTAATATTCCTTAAGCATCTTTTAAATAGTAAAATTATCACTCTATATTCGAGACATCTTATTTTTACCTTCCAAATCAAAGGGTTCTATTTATTCAGAAACATATTCACACAACTAATCAACTTATTAATCAACAGAGTCTTTTATTTTAGACATCTTGAAACTTGATTAAGAATGTTTTGATTCACTCTTAGAATTAGCAAATATAGCTATTAAAATATAATTATAAATTAATACCTTTCTTTTCTCGGATATCCACATTATTCGTTCTTCTTTTCACACTTTATATTGCATGAAGATCTTTTATGAGATTTGTTTATATATTTTATTGACTTTAAACAGGAGATTTCAAATAAAATTTTGGAGGCAGTAATTTATTATGATTTGTCATTTTATTAACACTTTAGTATTACTTATCTAAAATTTCAAGAAATAAATTATTTTCTTCAACATCACCAATCAAATTGATTCCTTTGAAATCTATACGATTTTATTTAGAGGGTTAATCTTAAGAACAATATATATCATGTTCTTCTGTTTCAAAACTGATTTGAGATTTTGATGATAGTTTTGAATTGAGAACATTATTTATAACAACTGATTTCTGAGATTTAATCGAATTTTCATTTTCTTACATTCTCTAATAATAAAGCTTATCAATTTTCTTATTTCTTTTACTCATCAAACCATGACTTTCAACAATTAGTAAGTAAGGATGAGCATCTTTGTAATTTGTCTCGTAAAAATCTGTTAAAATATCAAGTCTTGGTTAGACTTCGTCTTTTTTGTAATATCTACATGTTTAGGAAGTTGTACTACCTTTTCATGTATTCTTATTATTCATCTAATATCACATAATCCTTATAATAGATTACATGAGGAGTGTTAGCAATTTAAGATAGAATTTCATTGATTGGTTTAGCAAAATAGAAATTAAAGGCTTGAAAATACTTAGTTTAGAGTTTCTCCAAAATGCGCTAATGAGAAGTATATCCACACAATTTGCAATTTTTCATTAATTTTAATCTAAAATATAAATTATATATAAACTATGAAGAAATTGATGTGTAAACTGGAAAGTACAAATATAGATAGTTTTGGAATTTCTAGAACTGACTTTACTAGAACATAAAAATCTCATAGAAGATACTTAATAAATAGTACAATAAAATTATAAACAGATTCTAGTGAATATTACGATATGAAAATTTAAAGATTGTAAATCCAAGTTATATGAATAATATAAGATCATAATAGAAATGTCGAAATACATTTAGAAGGGCTAATTAGTTAAATCTGAAGAAGGTTCCATCAAAAACAACAAATAGTTAAGATATCTATTAGAAAAGTAATAGATAGCAACAATTATCATAATATATAATAAAGTTTTATTCAGATGAAATCTCTACTCTTAAAGATATTTAGGGTGTTGTTGATTTCGAGATTGATAATTATGTATCAAAATACTTAATAGAAGCCTAGATGAGTATAGATATTTTAATTAAGAAATTATAATTCTTGTAACAATATAATTAAAATCGAGAGAAAAATGAATAAGAAATGAAGGATATTATATAAGAATGTTTTAAATAGAAGAATGTATGTATTTAATAAAGATTTTGTTATATATTTGGTAAGATGGAACAATTATTTCTTAATACAATATCTGGAGCAATTTACTTTAAATTATGCAAACGGCTTTCTGATAATGAATAATTTTATTGAAATAAGATGAAAGCAATAGAGGATTAGAAGAATGTTTATTAAGAGTGAGACCTAAAATTAAGTAAATTGTATTTTACTAAATATTTGATGTCGGCTTGAAAATTAAATGAAAAGAATCATGAACTTTATGTTTATGATTTACTTTGGCAAATATTATTTCTATGTAGATCAAATAGAAAAAGCTATAGAGAAAATGATTGGAGGATATTGTGATGTATTTAAAATCCCAATTTTTCAAGGCTCATGATTCAAGAGTAAAAGTTCTTACTCAAAGCTGATTGGAATAAGGAAGTTTATCAAATAGAATTAATAGAGAACATTAAGTAGTTGATATAGATCTTGTTACATCTGATGATGAATGTTATGAAATTGTATTAACTTATCCTTAGCAAGTTTAAGTTACAATTGTTAGTGCTGTTAAATATTTCTAAAGAAAGATTCCAGATTAGAAAACAATTAAAGAAGAAGCAAATACAAATATTAGATAAAAGAAACGGAAATTCAAATCTTAAATTTTAGAATCTGGTTGTTAATTTGATATGTTTAAATTAGTTATAAAGTTATTTATTTTAATTATTTTATTTATTTTAACCTTATCAAATCCTCATCTCAATATTGGAATAATCAAAGATAGAGTATTATTGAGTCATATGGCTCCAAATAGAAAATCAGAAATGTATTAATATTTATGTCTAACAAATGATAAGAATTCATTCAATAATGTAAATAATTTATCTGGATTGTATGATTAATTTGAAATTGGTAAAATTGGCAAATATTTAAATAAACTTATTTATCTTTTGAACAATATTCAATAATGGTTAGTCAATTAATAATAAATCAAGAAAACAAACAAAAAATAATAAACTTTTGTTTGACTTCTATAAATATTTATTTAGTTTAATTATAAATATATTTACTTTTATAATAATGTCCAACAGAATTAAAAAAGCAAAGAGTCCTTAAATTAATAACTAATCAAACATAGATAAAGATTTAATGAAATATCACATTTTATAAAAGATCAACAAACCTTAAGGTCCTGTGCAATAAATCATTAAAACCTAGCCTGATGAAGATTCGGAACCTGAGGATTTTAAATAAGAAATTGAATTTAAGTACTAACAAAATCATTTGGTAGATATAACAATTGCTAAATTAATCATACATTTTTATTCCCTAAAGAAGATTATGAATCATCATCTGATAATTCTCTTTAATCTCTAAAAGATACTACAATTTATAATCTTAATTGTAATAACATAGAGCGTTTGACAGATGCCACATCTCCACTTTTTATTAAGGCTTTAAATGAAAAACTATTGAAATTAGTTGAATCATTAGAAGAAAATAAATATAAAAATACCAATCAAAAATTTAATGATCCATCTCCAAAATAAAAAAAGTTTTTATTCTCCTCTATAATTTAGTTAATAAAATAAACATATTTAAAATCTAACTAGTACTTCTATTGGAAGATTAGTTGATAATTATATTATTAATTTGAATACTATGAGTTAAAATGCAAATCAAAATCGAGATAGTGTAACTCATAAAAATTAAAAAAATTTATATTTTAAGGCTACTCCCTCTATTTCATCTGAAAAAAAGAAGTAAACTCAATAGATCATGCAAATCTTAAAAATTGCTTAATAACGTAAAATTAATGAAAATAATAATAAGTATATAAAATTAAAAAAATTTTAGTACTGCTTTTAATAAAAGAACCACATAAATCAATAATTATTCCTTTAATAATACATAGAATATATTTTTTAATGGAAAAAGAAATGGTGAAAATATCAGAATTCCAACTGATTCAAATGAATTTGAAGGAACACTATAAAAATTTTAAATAATTCCTAAATCAAGGTAATCAATTATAATTATATTCAAGATCTAAAGTTAGAGATCATATAACAAAATTTAAGAAAATTGAGAGTTCGTAAGACTGCAAGATTCTTAATTATACTATGGATAATCATATATTTGAATAATTAGGTGTAGCCAGAAATGCCAAGAGTCAAAATAGAAGTTATAAAGTTTGATTATATTCCTTACTTCTATTCATATTCTCATTTTTTATTATTTTAATTTATGAATAATTAATTAGTATAATAAATTAATTTATGAATCCTTTTGTGACTGATACGTTATCAATGGCTCAAATTAAATCTATAAACTCTAGAACTATTTAAATAGATAATGCAACCAATATACCTAAAAATATAAAATTTCTCCAATAAATATAAAATTCTAATGGCATATACGTCTTATATGCAACATAATAAGTATTAAATATTTTTATATAAACAGGAGGCAAAAGAGGCTCAATAGTAATTAAACAATCAGGAATTTCATGCATCTTTAATTAATGAAGTAGAATAAGAAGTATACACAATTAGTGTTCTTAACATTCCTCATACAACAAATTAATCATTATAATAAGCGTTTTCAATATTTGGTGATATCGCTTATATAACTATTTTGAAAGATGATGATGGTGAATCTAAAGGAGTAGGCTATGTAACTTTTCAAAATAAAGCAGCTTATGATAAAGCTATCATTGCTAAAACTTTGATTTTTGAAGATAATATTTTGACAATACTTCAAAAATAACCTATACATATTATGGAAAACAGATTTAAATAATTGAAACTTAGATAACAATAAATTGATAAGAAAAAGTTAAAGCATAACAAAATTGATAATGTTAAAATATCATAAGTTGAAACTAATTTAGTAATATTCCATTCTTAAAATAGGATTTAGAATTAAAAAATGAAATGAGAACAAGTGGTAGAGTAATTAGAAAAAAAATTAAAAAAATAAAATCCAAAGTTGGTGACGATGATTTTGCTTTAGTTGCAAAAATGAAATAATTTAAAAAAGGAATATAAAAGAAATAGGATTAATTCTTTCGTATTCCATCTTAATTAAAAGCTAAAAGAGAATAGAGAAAATTAAAAATGGAGTAAAATAGAAAAAAAGCAAATAAAATACACAAAATGTGATGTTTATAAATATTTAAGAAAACTTAATTAAATCATCCAACAGTTTTATTTAGCCTTTAATTTTGTTTCTTAGATTTATCTACATTATCATCAATTTATTGATCATCTTAATCAATAATTTCTTCAATATCTACATCTTCTTTTCTAGTTAAAGCTGCTTATTGATAACTCATTTAAATTGAATTTAATGCTTAAATACAATTACCATATTTATCATATCCAGTAGAAATTGCATTTGTTAATAATTTTACAAAAAATGGAAAAATAAAGATAATGAAAGGAAAACTTAAAAATGCATATATAGTTCTTGTAAAAAATAATAAATCTCCAAATGATTATTTTGGGTCATTTATAGTATGTTCTATATATATAATAACTAAAAATAAAATTATAAAAAGAAATACTTGATACACCAACAACTATTATCAAGCAGATCAAATCATAAATTAAGAAATATCTTAATCTACCACCTTTCTCTTCTTAAGTAATTGTTAGTTCTGCTTTTAAAGCTTCTCCTTTAGAATGTGATTGTTTCAGTAAGTAAAATGCTATCCAAATATTGATAAACTAAGCTAAAAATGTAATAGTAAGCACAAATAATGAATGATGCTTACCTGGTCCTTAGTCATAAAAAAATTAATAAAAATATGCAATTAGACAAGGAAATAATCCATTAGTTAAGAATTATATTGATTTATAATCTGCTATGTAATTTACTAATTAATATTCTTCCTAAACTAATAAAATTAAAGTTTACCTTATGAATGCAAAGTAAAATAATAGAAAATATTAGCGGCTATAAACCCATATATGGTGTAAATTGTAATAATTTTATTATTTTGTATGAAATTCTACTCATATGATCTTTAGTTGTAAGATCCGCAGGATAAAGAGAATACAAAATAAAATTTTTAAATTAACTTAATAAACCTTTAACGTCTCTTTTTTTTATTTCTACTTTTTTAGTATCAAGTTTTGCTCTTATTTCTAATCTAACTAAATCTGTGAAGTCTTTCCATAAATTTATGGCTGTATCATGCATAAAATCTTACATAAAATCAAAAGGTACAGATTTCTTTACGCTCTCTGAAATTTTTGGTTCCATATTACTCATTAAAGATACAATTTTAGTATCTAGTTATCCAGCTATCCAAAGATTTATATGCTATTTTTTCTCTAAAATTTTCTTTTTGACATGAGCATCTAATTTTTTTAAAGATTTCTTTTTGTATATAATACTATATTTACTTTGACTTATTATTGAACACTAATAGCCTTTGTGGACACAAAATGTTTTAATTAGAATAATGTACTATTTTATTCCTTAGCTTTTTTGGCAGCTATTTCATAGTAGTTTTCTCCATTTTCATTTAAACAAATTTTTTTAGTTAAAAATTCTGGCATATCATCATTTTTTTTTGGTTTCTTATACTCCTTGTTATTATTTTAAATGGCTATCTCTTTAATTTCTTATTCTTGCATTTATTATTGGAGTTCTTCTGGTATTAGGGCTTTAGTAAAATCAATCTAAGTTCTATCTGTCATTCCAATAATCTATTCTTGATTATTATTAATTGCTTTAATTATTGTACTTATTACATAAATTGTTATCAACTTAATTAAATTGAAGAGTTGCGTTGAATTGTGAGAATGATGAATCTGGTTGTTTATTGTTCTTTTCTTCTTCCATTTCTTAATATTTTTCTTTTCCAAATTTTTGATTATAAGCTTCCTTAGCTTACTATTGCAATTTCTTCAACATTATGGAATAAGTTTTATTAATTTATTTTAACCTATTTAATTGAACTTAATTATTATGGTGAAATAGGTTTTGGCATTTGTAATGTATTATATATTCTGATATAAAATGAAAATCCTTGAATAATTAGAACCTGTGAAACACACTTTTATTAATTGTAATTAAAGATATGACAATTCGGATATTTATATGATTAAATAAATATATATATATAATTTATTTCTTAGATAATTGTTTAGTTAGATAAAGTAAAAATAATGAGGTCTGTAAATAATACAATAAGAGCAGCTAGTTAAAGGTATTAGTGATTTTACTAATAAATGAAGTAATGGGAAGCATAGAATTCTGAAAGTTCCCACAAAAATAAAACATCATGTTACCCTTGCGCCAATAAACAGATTCATTCAAATTAAAGACTGTGCTAAGAAGGATTGTTAATACAAATTAGGTAAAATGATTGGTTCTGGTTCAAATGCTTAAGTCTATCAGGCAATGAATATGGACACAGGTGAAGTTGTGGCTTGTAAAAAAGTACTGTTCAAATTCAAGAATCAGTAAAAAGTAGATGTAAGATTTACAAATAAAATTAGATTGAACTGTCATTTCTATAAATCCTTTAACACTAAAACATAATCAAATACATATCTCATGTGTAAACAAAAGATAGTTTATTAATTTATTAAGAATATATGCCAATGGGTATGATAAAATTAAATTATTATAGGATCAATTTCTCAATTATTAAATGAATTTGGCCCAATGACAGAGTCAACAATAAAATCATACACTCATTAAATTCTAAACGGATTGGAGTATTTACATCACAAAGGGATATTACATTTAGATTTAAAATCTAGCAATATCTTATTAGACTCTAGTGGTGATATTAAAATCTCAGACTTTGGTTGCAGTAGACATATCAAATAAAATTTATGTCAGAGTATACTTTAAGGTAGTGTTCCTTGGATGGCTCCAGAAGTCGTTAGATAAGAACAAATTGATACTCCTGCTGATATTTGGTCATTTGGATGTTTGATTTTAGAGATGTTAACAGGTAAACATCCTTGGTTTGAATAACTTGATTTTGATAATGTTGCATCAACCCTTCTCGCTATTGCATTTAATCAAGAATCACCGAAAATTCCACAATATGTTTCTGAAGAATTAAAGAACTTTCTTCTAATGTGTTTCTCCTAAGATCCATTATAAAGAGCAACCATTTAACAACTTAGATAGAGTGCTTTTTTATAATGAATTTTTTTGTCTTTATAATTTGTAAGTTTATAACAATCTTTATTTTATAAACTAAACAATCTTCTATATATAATATTTGAATCAATTACTTAAATTATTTTTATAACTATCAGTTTTATGAATCAATCCTAAGACTAAAATCGATCTTAATAACCTGATTTAGAAGTTAAGTTTTATTATCTATTTATCTTAGTTTTCCAATGAAGTTAATCGAATTTGTTTCTTCAATTTTATTTGCTAATTTTACATGCTTATCTTTAGTTTAAAACTAATATGGCTTTTCGATTCCAAATATATCATTATTTTTGCTTGGTTTATGGATTTAATCACCTTTATTATTGTATTACTTGATAAAAACATATCTAAAGTATTCTCTTGCATACATTTTATTGAAAAAGTGTTAAGTATTTCATTTAAAGTAAATGTGCAATTTCATAAGATCACAATAGTTATTCATTTTGAAGTTAAATAGATTAATTTATATTACATTCCAGCTATGTAAATAATTATATCTATTGGATTGTTTCTTCATTAAGTTTTATAAAAAGATTAAAACAAAAGAAAGCATCTCATTGTATGATCATTTATTTATTTAGATTGCTCATTCCTATTCAATTCTTTATATCATTTAATTGTTATTATTATCTCTAAAATGGAATTAAGTTTTTATTTACTCATATTATTAAACCTTTATCATTACTTGGACAGCCCTAGGGATTAATATATTTTTAATTATTTTACTACTTATCTCTTTAGTAGAAAACTGTTTTATTAAAGACATGCCTGAAATTAATGGTAATCTATTATGATATTAAGGATCAATCATTCTCTGGTTAATCTATTATATTTTTGGATTAACAATTATCCCATTCTTTCTTTTAAAAGAAATATGCTAATTTTATGAAAAAGATACTATCTAAATTAATATAAGAATAGCTGGCATTACTGTCTTGATTTCTATCATTCTATACCTGATCTCATTTATTTTCTTTACCAATAAAGTCAGAAAATAATTGATGTATTTTACTGATAATAATATAATAGAATAGTTTTATAGTTAGAAAATAGATAAACTCGAATTTAAATACCAAAATCTCCATAAATTGATGTACCAAAAAAGAAATGGATTAAACTCAAAATTCCAATCATGTTTATTCGAGTTTCGGCTTCATTTTATAAATTAGTATCAAAGAAAACTATAAATGAAATAAACAATAGAAATATTAGTTCAATTCCAATTTGCAGTGATGTTTTAAGACCAGATTCCCTTAATTTTAAATAATCTCCTTGTTTAACAATGATGAAATAAATAAAATCTATTTAAAAAGATTAAGATTCCTGTGATATTTGTTTAATATGCTTTGAAAATGAACCAGATGTTATTTTACATCCTTGTAATCATGGAGGTATTTGTACAAATTGCTCTGAAAATATTATGAAAACAACAAAGTAATGCTTCTTATGTAGAACAGAAATCAAATACACTTTAAAATTAAATTAAAAAGTTGGAGAAATCTTAGAAGTCACAGATGTTTAAAAGGTTTGATAAATTAAATAATATATTCTATTATCAATCAGTTATTTTATAATTTCTAATTCTTTTTATGCTTCTATTATTTCTCCTTTAATTATTATATTAATTCTTCAGTTTATTTAATCTTTTTCAATTATTCTTCTTCAATTTATTTTGAAACTTCTTTTTTAATAGTAGGTAAGAGTGGCAGCAAAGGTTGTCTATCATCATTTAAATTTTTTGGACTATATCTAATTGTTTAATAAATGTATATCTTTACGATTTTATAATCAAAGGTTTGAGTTCACCTTCTAAATCATTTTTTTTATTTTATTTTAGATGATCATGCTTTTAAGATTTATTAGAAATTCTTTATTCTTTTTTCTTAACTTAGATACCTACACCAACACCATATATTTAGCTAATTTAATTGTTCTTATTAATAAGATTATCAGTCTCATCATTTTTTTTATTATTTTTTGAAACAACCGAATTATCAAAACTTTCTTCATTTCTTTTATTAAGTCGAGGTAAAAAATCAACATGTAATGAATGATTTTCTTCCAAATTTTCTTAATTTAACTTTTAAATGGCTAAAGTTTAGATAAATTATTATTTATCAATTTTAGTCATCCTAATAGGATTATAATTTGGTTTTGGTAATCTATCTGTTAAATAATGCATATTTCTTGGAACTCTGATTGTTTATAGCAAAAATTTTGCACCTTCTTCTTCAACTAATACTTTATCATCTAGCCTATTTACTATTGCTGATAATTATAGAATCTTATCACAACTAGGTCTTAAATGTGGCTAAACTTAGAGCAAAGCTCTAATTACATTACTTAAATCTTAACTATAAATTGTTGGTATTTTAGGGTAAAAACCTTTAACAACTTTTTTGTACAAACCATTCATATCTTCAGCTCGAAATGGTGGTTTAAGTGTAGTCATTTCATATAAAACACATCCTAATGACCAAATGTCAGATTTAGAATCATAAGGTTGATCTTTCCAAACTTCTGGAGAGGCATAGTAAGGTGTTCCAGTTTGTGTGTAAAGTAATATTTTTCGTGCAACTTTAGAGACATTCATATCTCCCAATTTAACAGTTCCATCCATATTCATAAAGACATTTGCAGATTTAAGATCTCTATGATAAATTTTCATATCATGCAAAGCCTTTAAGCCTTTAACAATCTGTAATATTTATAAGGATTATGAAATACTTATATAAAAATATTCCAAATATCTTTTTCAGACATAAGAACTCCCTTCTTTTGACATTCTACAATTTTTTAGTATAGATCTCCATCATCTGCATATTCCATAACGATACTTAAAATAATTGCATCAAAAAAGTTACCACAAAGTTTAAGACTATTCTTCCAAAAATGCTTCTTTATATTGAATAACATTAGCATGTCTTACACTTGCTAATATTCTTACTTCATTAAGTGCATTTTGCTTCTCTTTATCTGATAGGAATTGTAAATTAACTTTTTTTAGAGCATATTCTTGTTAATCAGCTATCCTTTTAATTTTAAATACTTTAGAATAAGCTCCCTCACCTAATTAGTATATTTTGAATACCTAATTCTTGCAATATCTGAAAGTCCTTTAATGACATATAATAAATAATTATTTAAATAATCACATAGATCTATGAAAATTTATTTATTTATTTATAATATAATTATAATTTTATTTATCACACTCATTAATCTAATACTACTTTAGTTTTCTATACTTAAATAAGTTAAATGAAATATTACATGCATAAAATATAGAATCTATGATTCCAGCTATTGTAAAAACTCCCCCTAAAATTGCACAAAGTTGAACAATGAAATGATTAAAGGTTTCATAATATTTAGTAAATTGTACAGTAACAGGTGATATATCATAACGAAAATAAATAGCAGGCATAGATGTTGTTTAAGCTTCATTTGTGTTAGCTGTAAATTAATTTACAAAATATTCTTTATTATCAATATCAACATAGATAGTTGGTACAATAGAAATATAATATTGATGAGTTACACCTACATTTTTAAGTTCTGATGTCTTAATTCTGCTTATACCATCTAAAGGATTAAGAAGACCTTGTTTGAATTTTTCTCTAATTTTTTATATGTCATTTTAATTTCCAAATGACAAGTGTCTAATTGAATGTGATAAATCTATTGTTGATTATTCAACAAAAGGTAAAACTATACTCACTTATCCTCCATAAGGATGAGCAGAAATATGGAAATTACCCGGGACTCTACTTATTATTATATATCCTATCAAATCACAACCTTCTTTTTATTCATAAGCTTTTTAAGCTCTCTCTAAATTTAAGGTCTCATTACTTGATAACTACACACATTATTATTAATAATACATATGTATCAATCACTTTTCCATTTAACGTCCTCTTTTTTAGTAACTCTCCTTTTACATTTTATTAATGAGTCCCAATCACATCTTGTTAGTCAATACTAATAAAATCGCATGGCATGTTAGGAAATGAAATATCCATATTAACTAAAAGTGTATCATCCTTATTTTAATCTACGTACATCTCTGTTTGCACTTATTGAATCATATATTCCTTTCCTTATGACTTTGATTTACCTAAAATTCTGTAATAAATAATATAAACATCAAAATCAATGATGTAAAGGAAATTAATGCACCTGATTTTGATGGCTCTATCAAGTCTTATGGCAACTTACGATATAAATCAAATTTCAGCATTATATTAAAAAATTATTTATTTTTTTGTATTAATTCATTTTTATTATTACTATCTGTTCTTGATCTACTAATCATCATTAACACCAATAAATATGCTCTAATATTATAAAATATATTCTGATTTCAGATTCAACCTTTTTATTATTTCTTAGCATAATTTTGACTATCTAAAGGAGATTATTAATGTTTAATATAAATGAAAAATTATTATCCAATTCAATTATTCTTTGTAAGTAGTATAATAATGACAGTAGTACTTACAATTAGATGTGCTTTTTCAGCTTTATTTGTATGTTTGATTTTGAATATTTTGGAATGCTTAGCATCCTTTATCCTTATCAAGAAGTATACAACCATAGTTATTGTAATTCATAAACTATCAAATATAGCCTTAATAACATCCTTTTTCTTTCAACATACTTTTTATGATTGCACAACTTTAATACTTTATATAATATCTGACACTTAACCAATTTTAGCCTTAATTGAAAAAAAATAATATTTCCTCAATTTTTAATATGCAGTAATATTTTATGCAAGTGTAAGTGCTACATTAAATAAACAATTGAACGACTAACTGTTTCTTATTTTTACAATGTTTGTATATTTCATATCGTCAGTACCTTAATACTTATTTTGGTAAATTGCTGATAAAATTACAAATAATAGCTCAATCTAATTGCAATAATCTTAAATATAAAATAGGTAAGTTTAAAATCAATTACATTAACTTTAATTGCAATCATCACGTAAAGAAATAAAGGAATTTATTGAATTGGATTAACCTAATTCAGCTAAGATGGATTCTTTTCTTGATAATCATGAATTACCATTCAAAAAATCAAATATTTCTATTTAACTTTCTTCAGGTAGACCACTCAAATAATCAGAATAAATATCAATTGAAGTTTGTCATTAATCTCAATTATAAGATAAAATTTGGAAACAAAGATTAAAAAGTATACCTGTTGGCATTGCTTTGATTGATAAAAATACTAATGATTTTACTTATAAAAACCAATATCTAGATTAAATGATGACAAAAACTCTTCAAATAGAATTTGAAGATTATCCAGCATATTTATTAAATTAATTGAAATTTAAAGTGATAGATTAAGGCTCTGAATACAAAAGAAGCAATTTTACTCATTATTTTAGTATGAGATAAAGCAAAGCCAATATTTAAGTAGATTTTCCAGGCAAAACTCTCACATAATCTTAATAAGCTCACAAAAAAAAAGGGTCTGAATCTTCAAAAAACATAAGCGAATTCGAAATGCATCATCCTTAAAAAGTTTATTCCCTTAATTAAATTATTAATAAACTGCAAGATGGTTTCTTTGATAATTAATTGAATGATTAAGATCACACACTAGAACTATATTGTAAATATTAATTGAATGTTAATAATATTATTCACTTGAATCTTAAAGTGCTTTACAGTCCTGATCAAGTAGAAATGACAGTTATTATTTAAGATTACACAAGATAAAATAAATTACAAAGAATTGAAGAACAAGAGGAATTCAAATCTAAGATGATCAGTTCATTTAGTCATGAATTGCGTACTCCATTAAATAGTGCCACTTTATTCTTTAAATCAGCTTTACTTGATAATCGTTTAGATAAATAAATTAGAGATAATTATATATTACCTGGATTATCATCATTAATGAGATAATCTCATTTGGTTAATGATATTATAGATTTCTCTCAAATTAATGCTGAAATTTTAGAATTAAAGTATTCTGAATTCTATTTAAAGGAATTAATTTAGGAATTGACCTAATTATTTAAATTTGAATTCAAAGCTAAAAAAATTGGATTAGCCTTTAAAGTAGATTATAATGTTCCACCAACAATCAAATCAGATTACCAAAGATTACTTTAAATATTAATAAATTTACTTTATAATGCTTTGAAATATTCATAGCATGGATATGTTTTGGTTACAATTAAAGCTAATGATACTTACAGTAATATTCTATTCTCAATAGCTGATGAGGGAGACGGTATAACTTCCTAAAAATTGTACTAAATTTAAAATGTTTTAAAAGATCATCACACTTCTACTTAGGATTGGAATGGATTTGGTTTGATTTTGTCTTAAATGTTATTGAGATACTTAGGACCTCTTCAAAATAATGATTTAATCATTAATTCTTAAGGTCTTGGTTTAGGAACAACAGTATAATTTAATATAAATAATCACATTAACATTAATGATTATTACGTAAAGACAAGGAAAAACATTTAGGCTCATGATCAAATATTGACATTACCTGATTTAGATGAATACAATGGACTACTGATTACAATTAAAAGTTAAACCTAAAGTAAGTAAATCTTGAATATAGAAAGTAAATAGATCTTAAATCAATCATTAACATCTTATAAAGCAATTGATGATTTCATGAAGATCCCTGATGCTTAAACTCATTTGGTCTCAGAACTTAATCTATTATATAAAAATGGACGGATTAATAAGGCTAAATCTTTTAAGATTCTAAAACCTTAAGAATAAAAATACTAAAAATGCAATTGTAGAACTATACTATCAGTTGATGATGAAATATTTAATTAATAATCCTTGACATGTATTTTATAAAAATTCAATTTTGAAATTGAAACTGCTTATAATGGGTAGTAGGCAATAAAAATGATAGAGTAAAAAAACTCATGTGGTTAACAATGTCGTAAATATTTACTTATTTTAATGGATTGTTAAATGCCTGTATTAGATGGATGGTAAACTTCCAGAATACTTAAGTAGAAATTTCAATAAGGAATACTCAAACCTATTCCTATTGTAGGTTTTACTGCTTTTACTAGTAAATAGGATCTTGAACAATGCAAATAGGTTGGTATGATTGAAGTACTCAATAAACCTTTATAAGTCAAAAAACTCAAATGTATTATGGAGAAGCTTAATTTATTATGATTTTATAGTATTACTATATATATAAATTTTCAAATTATGAATAACAAGTAATTCAAAAAAAAAAGAATACATGAAGTTAACTATGCTCAAAAAGTATTGAACTCAATCCAACCTGATATTCAAAATATCAAATTGAATTAAAATTTATTTCATGCTCAATAAGTAGCAAGACATTCTTCAACTCTAATTAAGGATATTCAAAAAGATGTTAGATAAACTCTCAAAAAATATGATTCATAATATAAGTTAAGTGAATCAAACAGAAAATACACATTCACAGATTCTGCAAGAAAATATTAAAGTGAAATTCCTCAACCAACATAATTATCAACAGAGAAAGAATTGGAATCTTTAAAGTAATAATAAAAAATCTTAGTTACCCTATTGAATAATCTCTAAAAATAGGAATAGCTTATATTAAACTAATCTACTTAACGTCAAGAACAATAACCATAATTATAATGCATAGATAAACAATGGTACTAATAAAAAGAAAAACAATTATTAGATCTCAAAAAAAAATAAGTCTAGATAAGCTAACCTTATAAAAAAAAAAATGATAAAGCCGATGTTATTTAATTAGACATAAGTAAACTTAAAAAATCGCCTCATAATAAGTCAAATACATCCCAAAATTTTTTTAGTTCGCGTGATAAAGATATCAAACTTTCTAGCATTCCTAGTCTGAAATAAACTAAAGCTTATACAAAAGCGAATTAAAAACATTCGGTTTCCCCAAAAAAATGGGAGTAATATGGAGTAATAAATAAAAAAAATTAATAAATAAGTTCAAAAAGCATTAACAAATTTGAACAACATATATATCAAAACGAAAATAATCTTCATCACAGTGAGAAACTGAAAAAAGGATTGGAAATCAAAACTGAAACTATGAATCCAAGAGATTATCAATATAACAAGGAGTTTTCAAATGATCTAAATGATTTAATATACCTAATTGATGATTTGAATGAGTTTAATAAAAAATCTAAAAGATTTTCAATTTAAAAATGAATATTTTAATTATTAAATGGTTAATATGAATTAACATAACAATTGTTATATATATTATGACAATTTTTATGAATATTCACATTTTAAATAAATACATAAAAATTATGATTAAAATTATAGTATAAATACATAAGTTAATTAAACAAGATTCGAACAATTTTTATTAATCTCAAAATCAGGAATGGTTTTCTTCCAAGATCTTTTGTTGCAGTTAGTTGTTTTATGGGAATTGACCTCAATTAAAGAAAACTTTAGTATAATGTATATTTAAATTTAGTACATTGGAACATCCAAAACCTATAGATTATGATCATGAAGCTTGTGCCATTGCAACTTTGATTTTAAGTTTTATAATTATAATCATTTTGGCAGGATTTTAATACTTAAAAAAAGAGAATCATTAGTAGATATAGCAGTAGCCACTTTAGTTGGATTTATTTTTGGATAAGGATTAGCAATATCTGGTATGGTAAAAAGAAGCAAAATAATTGGATTCTTAGCAATAAATGAAAGATGAGATCGTAATAATATTAATTTAAGTTTTAGCTACCCTTATTTTTGTTATGGTTACTCCAGTAGTTATTAATTTCTTTGCTTTTAGAGCTAAAGAAAAACCATTTTTAAACTCTATATATGAAATTCCAACTAATAATATCATAGATTGGAAATTAGAAAGTGGGGCTACAATTTTTGAATTTGGCTGGGGAGTTGGTGGATTTTGTCCTGGACCTGCCTTTGCACTTTTTCCATAGTTTACTGTTCATATCAACATTCTTTTAATGGGACACTTGTTATTGGATAATTATTGGAACAAATACAAGATATATCGAAATAACTTGCAGAAACTCCAAGTGATAGAAAGAATGATGCTCCTGATAACACTGCAAAAACAAAATGATTTAAAAATTTTTTTAATTATTTATTAATTTTATCTATCAATAAAAATGTTGCTGTTAAAATACATAAAAAAAAAGTTGTTATAAATATTAGAAGTTAAAATTAATAAAAATATTTTATATAAGACTTTAGTAATTATTAATAAAAAATAGCACTTTATATTAAAAAATTTCATTATACAAACTTTAACTTTTATATAATAAAATATTATTGGTTATGATAATATTTTTTAACTACTAAGTTGATCTTTTAATTTTTGTTAAATTAGCAGACTTAGGTATTGTTTTAAATATGAAATTAATTCACTAGAAATAATTTACATGATATTTCTTTGGAAATACATTTTATTTTAATTGAATAGTCTAAATTAATAATATATTAAAAAATTTATACAAACTGAATTACATAATTAATTAACATATTATTTGTATATATTATTCAATTATTATATTTTTTATTATTTTTTTCCCAGTCATCATAAGCGTTTTTTATTGAATGATTCAAGAAATCAATTTTCAATGGGTAATCTTACTATTAAATAATTATAACAGAAAAATTTTTTTCAAAAAATGAGGAAATAAAATTCGTGCCTGGGGATTTAATATCTAAATTTCCAAATAAAAAATTAGAATCTTAAGTTTGAATATTACCATCATTCGGTATTAAAACTTAATAATTTATACAAACTTTTTTTTAATGTTAAAATGGATCTAATTATGTTAATTCTGTATATGAAAATGAATCATCAACTATCTTTTATAAAATATATTTGCTATTGGAATTTGTTTTTTAAATTTTTGTTTAAAGATTATGAGGTTTTAAATTTTAATTATTTTACACACTTTAAAGTTATTAGAGTCCTTTTTTTATATCAGCAGTAGGATTTAATAAATTAGTGTTTTCAATAAAAGATTTTTATTATTATGTTTAATCAGTCGGAGGTTTTAAATTTTAAGTATCTTACACAAAATCATACAAACTTTAAATTTATTAGATAACTTTTGTTAGATCAGCAGGAGGATTTAATATGTTTGTGTTATTAATAAAAGATATTTATTATTATGTTTAATCATTAGGTGGGCTTAAATATTAAGTATTTGACACATAATCTTACAAACTCTTAAGTTATTAGAGAACTTTTGTTTTATCAGCAGGAGGATTTAATATGTTTGTGTTATTAATAAAAGATATTTATTATTATGTTTAATCATTAGGTGGGCTTAAATATTAAGTATTTGACACATAATCTTACAAACTTTTAAGTTATTAGAGAACTTTTGTTTTATCAGCAGGAGGATTTAATAAATTAGTGTTTTCGATAAAAGATTTTTATTATTATGTTTAATCATGAGGTGGTTTTAGATCTTAATTATTTGATACTAAATTATTGAAACTCTAATTTTATTGAATAATCTTTGTTTAATCAGCAGGAGGATTTAATTAATAAGTGTCATCATCAAAATATATTAATTCTTAGCTTTATTATTATAATTGAGGATCAGTAGAAGGAAGTTTTATATTTTAAAGCTGTGATACAAATTCATAAAAATTTTCAAGTTTTTGGTGAACTATTGTTTAATCGGCAGGAGGATTCAAAATATTTGTTTTATTACCAAAAGATTAATCTAAATGGCTTTATCCCTAAAGTTTGGTTTAATAATCAGAAGGTGTTAAATTTTAAGTACTTTAAACAAAATCATACAAATTTTATATTTATTGTAGAACAATTGTTTAATCAGCAGGTGGACACAAAATATTTGTATTTTCTACTTGGGATTATTATTGTTTTTTTTTTTATAATAATTATGTTTAATCAGAAGGTGGCTTCAAATTTTAAGTATTTTACACAAAATCATACAAACTTTAAATTTATTAGATAAATTTTGTTAGATCAGCAGGAAGATTTAATATATTAGTATTTTCAATAAAAGATTTTTATTATTATGTTTAATCAGTGGGAGGTTTTAAATATTAAGTATTTGAAACAAAATCTTATAGACTTTTTAGTTATTAGATTATTTTTGTTTTATCTGCAAGAGGATTTAATAAATTAGTGTTTTCAATGAAAGATCTTTATTATTATGTTTAATCATTAGGTGGTTTTAAATCTTAACTATTTTATATAAAATTATTGAAACTTTAGTTTTATTGAATAATTTTTGTTTAATCAGCAGGACGATTTAATAAATTAGTGTTTTCAATAAAAGATTTTTATTATTATGTTTGATCAGTCGGAGGGTCTAAATATTAAGTATTTGAAACAAAATCTTATAGACTTTTTAGTTATTAGATTATTTTTGTTTTATCTGCAGGAGGATTTAATAATTTAGTGTTTTCAATGAAAGATCTTTATTATTATGTTTAATCATTAGGTGGTTTTAAATCTTAACTATTTTATATAAAATTATTGAAACTTTAGTTTTATTGAATAATTTTTGTTTAATCAGCAGGACGATTTAATAATTTAGTGTTTTCAATGAAAGATCTTTATTATTATGTTTAATCATTAGGTAATTTTAGATCTTAACTATTATTGAACATTGAATTTTATTGAATAATCTTTATTTAATTAGCAGGAGGATTTTATTCCTTAATGTTATCAAAATCATTTTATTTACTTGATTTGGTTTTATTATTTTTATTATCATATTTTTCATAATCATCTACTTCTTTATGATCTTTTATTTATCCTACTAAATATCTAAATATCTACTTATGATTCAAATTTCTATCATCAAATATTTTTTCTGTTGCATTTAAGTTTTTCAACTATTTTATTTTATTCCAATTTATTATCAAAAAAATCTTTTGATAATCTACATATTGTTAAATAAATTATTATGTATTTATTATTAAAATTTTACATTCATTATCCTGTTTAATATGTTCCTTATCTTAATAAATAATGATTGGTTAATTTTAATATTTTTATTTTAAAAGATTAAAATCAATAAATAAATACTATTCTTTTTGGTTAAATTTAGAAGAATCTTTTGGGTCAATTAAAATATAAATTTATTTTTCGATAATTTAAGTTAGAGGATTTAATTTTGGTGGTACAGGTTGAATTGATCTATCTGATTTATCAAATTACAGCCTAATAGCGTCTAATTTTCTAATATCATTAGGATCCTAAGGAAATTGGTATTAAAGATTGATCATCAAATCTATATATTCTGCAATTAATTTTTATTATTCCTTTTCTTGCAAATCATTTTTAAAAATCCAGCATTCGTAATCATTATTCCAATTATCACTTGTGAATCTTCCATCTTTAAAAGTTCGTAAATACTTTTTTTTAAAAATAAATGTCATTTAGAAAATAATTTTGCTCGGTTAATAATTGCTTAATCTATATCCTTGTGGCCTCTCTCTTCTATAAGCAACTTTGTCAATCTAGAATTCATTGATTACTTTTGAAAAATTATCAATGTTAACTTCATATTTTCGTTTATCTTTCGTATTTCCATACTTTAAGTAGTTATCTCGAAGAATTATAAATCTTTCATTAAATTTAGATGTTAAGATCGAAGGTAAATATTTACCTTATTTTTGGATCTTGATATAATCTTTTTATTCTTATAAGTAGTATTTCCAATCTTAAAATAAATTCATTTTTTACATTTCGATTCTGGAATTTTGTAAATTAAAGTTTTTTCTTAATCTATCAATTCTAATTCTTCTAAATTTTACATTTTATGTGAAATCGATGATAAAAAAAATATTATCTATTATTAATATATAAATTTAATCTTAAACCATAGCCAATAGAAATATTCTATTGACTATGGATTAATTAATTTTAAGACTACAAAAGGAATCATAACATTCTATGAGGAATAGATTTTAATTGATATAAAAAGTAAGAAAGGTTTTTTTGTAAGAATTCATAAGATAAATAAAATTTCTTTTATAATTTTATGTTTTATTTTTCTAAGTGGATTTTCATGATAATAATAATTTTATATATTGATGTTTGCTGAACCATTAGCCTATGATTCTACAGTAAAATTAACTCTAACTCATAATATATCTACCTTTAAAATGATTGATATTAGATTTGATCTAATGCAAACTATTGGCAGTATTAAAGAATCTATCGAAAAAAGGTATGGCAGCGATCCTAAATTTATGTAATTGCAATTAAAGGATAAATAAGTATAAAGCTAAAAAATATTTAGGGAAACTTCATAACATATATGAATGATGATGTAAAATTTTTAGGGACATATGGAGCAAAAGATGGATATGAAGTACACATCATTGACAACAATCCAAATAGTGTTCTTAATGGATTAGAAGATGTCAATAAAGTTTAAAAATATACAATCAGTGATGAGGATTATGATAAATTACCTGTAAATATGAGGAAATTCAAATAATAATTTTTATAATAATAAGCCGCTGGAGGAAATTTAGGTTAGAACAAACCTGAAATTGGTGATACATACTAAGAACAGGAGGCATTGCAAATTGTGATTGGATCTCGTTGTTAAACAAAGTAAGGGGAGAGAAGAGGAACTGTTCGTTATGGTATATATTTTTATTTAGATTTTAAGTTGGATAGGTTCCATAAATGGGATTAGGCTATTTTGTTGGAATTGAATTAGATGAGCCTACAGGAACAAATAATGGAAACATTTAGGGCTTTCAATATTTCTAATGTCCTCAAAAATTTGGAATATTTGTAAGACCAAATGAAATAATTGTTGGTGATTATCCAGTCCTCGATTTAGATGAAATATGATAATAAGCAATATTTAGTTTTAATATTAGTAAGAAATTATTAAATATAATTAAGAATGTTATTCAATGATGAAAATAAATTTTTTATTTTTCTTTTTGGTCACATTGAATTACACACATTTTAAGAATATATTTGATAAGTTATAACTAAATTTTTCATGGATTAACAATCTTATTTTGTTAAATATACTCTACAAACTTTTGGTAAGATACACTACAAGCATCTCCCTTCTATTTGACTGTTTATCTTTAATTTAAAATCGATTTGTTAAAATAAATCGATTCAAAATATTTTTTCAATAATCCATCTCTTTTTAAATTATCCAATTCTAATATATAAATATTAGTTTTTCATTTTTTTCAATTTAATTTTTGGTAATTTTGGGTATAAAATAATTACTTTAAGAGTAATTTATGGAAAACTTTATGTAATAATAGCATTATCTTGAATTTTAATGGAATTGAAATAATCTCAATTTATTAGAAATTTTTTGACTAAAAAGCAATTTTTTTAAACAAATTTTGATTGTTTTAAACAATTAATAAAAATTTTTGATGATTAATCTTCAAATTATCAAAGATTATTTATTCAAATAATATAAATATAAGCTCCATTTTTTTTAAAGTATATTTAATAAACAATTTAATTAAGCTCTTTTTATTTAATGGTCTATTGATTAAAAACTAATTTTTATCTTTAATTATCTTGCAGTTATAATTTAGAGTTTATAAAGAGGCCTTTTAAGAATGCTCTAGCAAAGCAATTTGAAAATTGTTTTACTTATTATTAACAAAATTTCCATAGAAATTTTAGATATAAATCTAAGTTTTTCTTAAATTTCAAAATTTCACAATCATTCGAAAGAAAAATTTTTCAAGAATCTAAATGTATGCTTACTTAGTATTGAAAGAAATTTTAGCTTTTATAAGCTTTAAAGGTAAGAATAGAAATCATAAAAATATTTTCAATTAAAATAAATTTATTAAAACTATTTTAACTTAACTCAACTATCATAAGAAGCATAATAAAATCTTGATCTCTTTGTCTTAACTTTTCCTTAATTATTAAGATCATAAGCCCCAGATTAAGATCTTTAATGTTTTCTTTTTGAAATAAGATCAGGACTATTCTATTCTGAATCCAAACTCATATTTTTGAACTTTTTTTTTATTGCATCTATAGAATTTACTGAACTCGTTGAACCATTAATTGATGGTGAAACCGAAATACAAACCATTTTTTAGACTTTAGGTTCTTTATTCGATGATGAACCGCTATTTTCTTCTTCTTTAATTTAATCAGATACTAATTTATCTGATTTTTAAGAACTTAAAGTTCCTATTGAATTAGTAGATGTGTTTTGCTAATATGAAAACAAATTACACTTGTATTATTATGATTATTATTACTATTACTATAAAAGAAATTATTAGTCTTGATAGAAGTCATGGATCGTTGATTAATATTATTATTGATGTTAAATAAATTTTTATTACATAATTTATTACGAAACAATTTTTTGATGTTGTGGTATTTATGTGCTTATGCCTTATTATGATTGAGGATATGATTAAGATTGACAATTCAATAATTATTATTGTATATTTATTTATGAAGGGATGTGTTGAAAAGTGGATAATTATTGTATTAATTAAATATTAGATATTGGTTGCTATTACGAAATTCGAGGAACCTACAAAAATTAATTTAAATAATATTATTAAGGATTCTATAGAAGTAAATATTAATTTAGTTATTAGTGAGTTTACTCTTAACTGTAAATATTATTATCTTACTGATTTAAATTAGTTTATTCAACTGGTTTTAATCTTTTGAGAATTATTTGAATAAGAAACCATGATTATTTATCTAATCCTTGTTTAGAAGCATCTTCAGGTATTTCTTAAATGACTTCCTAAAGTATTTATGTAATTTTTCTTTCCTTATTTATTAAACTTTTAAAGCGATTTTTAACCTGATTCTCTGTTCGATTCTTTAATTTCTTTGAAATATTAGACCATTTTGGCCTTCTACAAGAACATGTTATAATAAATTGTAATCATCAAGTTCTGTCCAAATTCCTCTAAGATAATCACAAATCTTTACTTATTTACTTAAGGATTTAAATAATTGTTCCATCTTTCTCTGTATTATTTTGCTTTTCTAAAATAAAGTCCTGATGACTAAATAAACATCTCATATTGAACTTCAAACCATTTAATATTTTGTTCTTTAGTAATTATATTATACAATAATTATTCCTCCTCAGATGACCAATTTTTATTTGTAGGCATTATGCGTAAATGAGAATACCATTTAAATTAACAATTTAATTTATCCTTAAACGCTATGATATTAGAAATATTCTCCCAATCCTATCCTTTCTATTGTAAAATTATTATTATACAAAATCTTCGCTATTTTTCTAATAAATAAGGCAATATTATTAGATAACCCATATTAAGACCTTCCATTCTTCATCTGTCCAAATTCTTGAACTATGCATTTTCAAAAATTCCCTTAACTATTTATAAAAATTGATTACTGTGATTCACAATATTCATAAAAATGAATTATATCATTCAAGCTAATACTCGTTTACTGTATTTTTAAGTCTATTATATTTTAGAGCTTCTAAATATCCACTAAGGATTTCTCTTCCCCTATACTTTAGATAAATTACGATAGTTTTTGTAAAAATGATAAAGATGTATTATTCATTAATATTTAATTAATTTATGAAAAGAATCTCACTATTTAAGCATTAATTAGTTTAATCTGATTTCACATCTAAATTTATAGCGCTTGTGATAAAATTTAGACTCAAATTAAAATTATTCATCCTATAAACTTTATGGTGTAACTACATATTTTAATTAAAGGATTTTTTTCGTGATTTATTTTTATGAAATTTCTTTGTTTTAAGTATTGCATTTCAATTTTAAAGTAATGTAACATTACCAATTTAAGGATTTAACTTAAGATTTATTTTTCTATCGTTAAATTATCTAGAAAAACTATTTTTCATATTCATAAGGGAATATTTCAAATATTGAAAGGCTAATTATAAAAATATAGATTTAATGGTTTTAATTATTCTCAAATTTAAAATTTTTTATATAATTGCAAAAATTAAAACAAAAAATAGGTGCAACTCTCTGAAAAATTAAAACCCGTTTATGTTCTATTTAAGTGATTAGTTGACATAATCAATTATGAATCCGTAAACCTCATCTAGTTCTATAAAATGTTAATTAGTTATTAAATATTTAACTTTTTATACTGAATTTAAATTTAGACACTTAACATTTAATATTTCTGTATAATAAAAATCAGATAATTTAATTAATATTAATATTATGATATAAATTCAATCAGATTAATTTAGAATGAAATAAGAAAAAGATAAAAATCAACCTTGAAAAGATGATAACTTTGAAGTATTTTTTTCTAAATTTTCAAAACAATACAAGTTTTATTATATGTTTTAGAGTTATTTAAATTTTAAAAGAAAGATCAAATTTTATTATTTATGTAAGAATTGATATATGAATAAAGGATTCTATTTTAATAATAAAAAAATTAATTTTTTTTTCATTAAAATGAATTGATTTAGAAATTGATCTAGATATTGAGCAACAACTAGTTGAGTTTTGAAAGAAAATAATTTTAATAAGAATTGAGACTATATTTGAACTAATTCAAAATTCATGAATAAATATTTAGTAAATATAACATGATTAATTTCTAAATAGTTTGAAGATAATTAAAGGGCTCCTATAATTATTTTTTCCTGTAGCATTTGATATTTAAAGGGCCTTAATATTATGGTTGTTTTCTATTCACAAAAATATATTTACCTCTCAAACTTATTTTATAATATTAATATAAATTTTTCCACCCCCGGTCATTTTTTATTAGTATTTTAAAGGTGAATAAACAAAAAATAATAATTAAAATAAATTGTTTTCAAAAGAATCTCTTTTACTCTAGAAATCGTTATTGCAGCTATGACGACCTTTTGTGTATAACTAAATTTTAATTTTTGATGCCTAGCAAATCGATGATATTTTTTAAGTCCATTTAACTTCAGATTAAGCAAGAGTGATTGCAAAGAGATTACCTCCTGGTTTTAGCATTAATTTAAGCAGATAATCAAAAAGAGATGTTAAAGTTTGCTAATAAAATAATAAAATTTTAGAAATTTTAATAGGATATTTCATCAGATGAAGAAAATAAAGTCACAAAAAAGACCTATGTAGCACCTTATAGACAAGAAAATACTGACGAAATGAAAAGATGTTTAACATTACTTTAAAAACTAAAAAAACATTAGTTAGCAGCTCCATTTTTAAGGAAATTAGAAAATGTGAATTATCCTTAAGAATTGGAATATGTTGACTTATAAATTGTTGAATAAAATCTCAAAAACAGTACTTAACCTACCCAATAATTATTTAGATGAATATCTTACTGCCACGTAATTTTGGGGAGATATTAAAAAAATCTGGTAAATGTCATATGCCATGAATAATAAAGGAACTTAATTATATGCAATGACCCAAGAATTAGAATAACATTTTAATGATTTATATAAAGAATTAGACAAACCTTATCCATAAAAATAAGTTGTTGAATAACCATTAAAATAAGAAAAGTAAAAAAAGCCACCAATCATGTAATAAAACAATAGTAATACTAATCACAATAATTAACATAATAAGAAACCATTGTAAAAACTATAATATTAATATTAGGAAGCAACCAAGTTTAATGGAATAACCTATGAATATGCAAGAAAAAAGAGCTTTAGTATCAAACATTAATAGTTTGCCTCCAGAACATCTTCGAGGAGTTTGGGAAATAGTTTCTGATGGACTTAAGATATAAGAACAAAATGATGAATTAGAGTTTGATATTGATACTTTACCTGTTAAGAAAACAAGATAATTGGAAAAATATGTGAACACAAAACTTGAATATTTAAAAAAACAATAAAATAAGAAAGTAGCAGAAGAAAGCAAAGCTTAAGAAAAAAATGATAGAATTGTATATATACGTTTAACTATTTTAGGTTCATGCAGCAAATAACACTTTTAGTCATGCTCCATAACCAGTTCCTCAATTAAAATAAATTGACACTGGAGACAGTTCATTTAGCAGTGATGCTGAAGAATCTGTTTGAGTATTTTTTTATTTTTGTTTTTTGATTTATTTCATGAAGGATACAAATAAATTTCATCTGCTTTTTTTTCATTCTAATTTATTCAATAATTATGATATTTCAGTTTTTATTTAAGTAGTTAAATTGGCTAAATTAATATCCTTTCCTTTTTATAATTTACCAAGTTTTGGCAATTTCACCATTTTATCAAAGTGCATCATCAATTTTACATAAATTTTTTCATTTTGTAAATTTTTATCTATCGCTTTATTTTATTATTGCTTTTTCTATATACTATATTATTAAATCTTCTAATCAAAATAATTTTAAAATTTACATCTTTTACTGAATTGAAACAAAATTTAATTATTTCCAATCCTTTAATAATCTAAAAGGAGTATTTAGAATTTAATAATATATGTATATTTTCCAATAATAAAACAATATCTTAAACTTATAACTTTTTCTGTTAGTGGTCTTATTTCAAAAAGGAAAAAAAGTCTATAAAAACAGAACAATCATTATAACTATTTTAATGAATAGTATTCTTACTATTAAATTTTTTGAATACTTTATTTAATCTCATTTTTCTAGTATAATAATATAATGGGCTTTAACTTTGATATTCTTTCATTTAAAATAATTGTTATTTTGCTATGATCTATAGAAATTTCTTCTATGATTTCTATTTACTTGTATTTATCTTTATTTGTTTAAGAGTAGAGAATTTAAGAAAATTATAGAGACAGATTTTAAGTTGTAATAATATCATCAGACTATTAATTGTCATCATCATAACTTTAATCTAAATATTCTTCTGTCTAGGATGGATAAAAGCATTAATCAAATTATATAAGCTAAGAAAAAGGAATTTTACTATCCGAAATTAATGTTTAATTTTCATCAATTTATTGATTATTTGATTCAAGTTAAAATTTATGAAATCGTAAGATATCTTCTTTTTCCTCTAAAACTTACACAAAATCATCTTCAAGTTTAATATCTTGTATTTTTGACCAATTAATCTCTATATTATTTAAAGGTAACATTTCAATATTAAATAGATTGAGATTATCTTATGATGCACAAATTAAAATTTCTTATTAATAATCAAATGCCATTTTTTGGATTGGATATTAAGTTTATTAAACTTGATTCTACAATTAATCAATAAAAATACTTAATTTTATTCATTAATATTCCATAATTTAATTGACTCTTCTCCACTGGTGAATAGCATATTTGTATTTTTTATCAATAATAATGAATTTATAGAATCTTGATTGTTAAATAAAGCTGAAAATTAAGAATAATTTCTTAAATCCCATAGACTCACATATTCATCTTGAGAACCGCAAATAAATCTAAATGAGTCTTTATCTGTAACAATGTCATTTATTTATTTCTTATGTTATTTGATTTAGGCTATAGGAGTACTTTATCTCAGATCATGAATCATGATCAAAGAATCTTAAGATCCACTAATGAAGGTGTTTGCATCAAAATTTGTTAATATTGTAATATTACCTTTATGAGATGCTTATTTTTCTTATTCTAATATGATAAATGAATCAAAATTAATACAAGATTATTCCTCTAATGATAAAATTAGAATTTTTCCTTATTTAGTTCCTTATAGTATTAGATTATTTTAATAACTAAATTCAACGTAAGTTATCTGAGCATCATTTTTAATAGCCTTATTAATTTTTAATATGAAATACTGCGATTGGTTAAAAGTTTAATGGAGACCATAATAGTAAATTATTCTGATTCACACTAATGAATTAATTTTAATACGGCGAAAATTTGGAACAACTAATTTGGCTATCATTTTTGTAATTATCTAAATATATTGATTCAAGTACAGGTAGAATATTGTTTCATAAATTCTTTTTTAGGATTGACAAAAAATAATTTTAATATTTTTATATTATATAAATCTACTTATTTAAATAAATATTCATTGGCCAATTTACAATGATTATTTAAGTTGCTCAAATAGTTCTTATTGTTCATTAGTGGATAATTAAGAAACATAACCTAATACTGTGCCTAAAGTAACTGCTTTTGGTAAAACAATTTAATGCAAATACAAATAAGAAAACATTCCTGTTAAGATTTAGCAATCCATTCTATCAGTAATTCCTCCATGTCCTGGAATGGTATCACCAAAATCCTTGATTTTAATTCCTCTTTTAAATCCTGATGCAAAAAAACCGCCAAATGGTGATACAAGACTTGTAAATAAACTAAAAACCATGGCATGAATTTAAAAATCGCTAAAATAAATGGAATCATTTCCTAAAATTGAAAATGGTAATTATCTTTAAGTAGTAATAAAAACGCTAGGGATTTCACATGTTAAAGAAGCAAATGGAGAAAAAGGAAGTTAATGCTATGGACAAGTTAAATACTAACTACTTTGAAGAAAATAAGCAAACTTTAATTATATGAAGTTATTACACAAAAAGAAGCAATTAATGTTGAAAAACAACCTCCTATAAAGCCTTCCCAAGTTTTCTTTGGAGATAGTTCAATAAGTGGAGTCTTACCAAATGAAACTCCAAATATATATGCAAAAATATCATTTGTTATTACTAATGAACATGGTAAAATAAACCAAACAATACCTATTAATTAATAATAATAATTATTTATACCTTCAAAAATATTCATGATCATAACTGAACTTTATGCTACTACAAGTATTAAAGTAATATGTGTCCATCCAAACATTCTAAATTGATATCGATAATAGCCTTTTTTTAGGGAAAGCGTGAACATCAAAAAACCTGCTACCCATAACATAAATGTTATAATATTATGATAATTCAAAACATATGACAGAATATGCATTCTAAATGCGTATTCTGATAATTTTGATTAAAATAACTTTCCATAACAAAAGAATGTGGCAATCCCAAAAAAATACCAATTAATTATAGGTGAATATTTCACATTCACCTCTTTTTCATAATTTCTTTTCAATCCTAAGATTTCCTTAAATATTCCAATGTTAATCAATAACACTAAACCAATAATGTAAATGTGACCTGCCCATAAGACAGCCATAAAGCCTAGAATCATAACAATTGTCCAAATAGTTCTCACTACAAAGTTATTATTCTTAATGATGATCGGAACATTTCTTTCTAGATTAGGGAGTTTATTTTTAGAAATAGGCTTTTTTTGAGGTCCTCTTCTTCTTACTTGTGTATCAGACATTTCTGAGAAATCGTTATCAGTATTTGATTCCTCTTATTGAGATTCAACTTTAGATTTCATTTATGATTAAGAAAATATATTAATAATAAATATCAGCAATCTTTATTTAAACCTGTATCGAACTTTAACAATTCTTTTTAAATCTTATTTATCTTTTTCGTATTATAAGTTGATTATTATTAAGTAGGTTATTGAAAGGGCATTGTTGCAAAAGGAAATCCAGAATTGCTGAAAGCTGGGGAATTAAATAATCTTAATAAGCATGGTACATCCTATTAAGGAGCACTCTAATCCAAATTATTTGTAGATTTCATATATTCATCAAAGAGTTGCAACTAACCAGAATAATTTTTGTTTCTTATTTCATAAGGAGAAGAAATATTATTTGGACTTTATTCTAATAATATTTCTATCATTTACATATCAAATAATGTAATGGTGAAAAAGGTAGCATTGGTGAATATACTGGCAATCCCAGCATTAAAGGTTATGATTATTATTACTACAATTATTATTATTATTATTATTATTATTATGATTGTTGTTATTACTATTGTTATTATTATTGTAATTAAGATTATTATTATTACAAAAATTATTATTATATTTGAAATTATTCTTATTATTATTCTTGTTGGTGTTCCTCTTTAATTTCATTCATTATATTATTTTCTATCTACATAAATGGCTAATCATTATTATATAAAACAGTATCTTTGTTATTACTATTATTATTATTATTATTATTGATATTATTGTTATTATTGTTGTTGATCGTTTTTCTTACTCTCTTACTAGTCAATGGTACTGGACCTTCATAATCTTTACCTTATAAGTTGGCCAATAATTTATGAATCGCAATGTCTTCATTATCCAATTGCTAATTCTATGTTCAATTTATACATTCTATCTCCTATAATTGTTCATCATAGAATTGTATTAATTTTTTACTTGGTTTTCAGTCCTCCCTTAAATTCTTTTTGATATTAAAGACCACCTTTTTCCTATTTCTTACACTAACAATAATAATTGCAATTATTCTGGCTAAGACCATTCAGATCTAATTAACTATCATTATAATACTTTTTTAAGTCTGGATTTAAATAATTATTCCATCTTTCTCGGATCTATTTAGCATGTCTAACTATTTTTGCTGGATTTGCCCGATTAAAATCAATAGTTATTTGAGTCCAATTCTTATTTTCATTTGGATCTGTAATCAACTTTTGTAAGACTTCATCTTCATCAGCATTCCAAGGTGCCATTTTTAAATTAGTTTTAAGCATACTAATCCATTTTAAATTTAACAATTATTCTGTTACTCCTAATACTGAAGAAAGATATTGCCAATCTTAATCAGACTATGCTATTAATAAAATATACAGGATTGAGATCAGTCTTATTTGTTAATTCAAAATATTTCAATACAGTCCAAACAAATAGTATTTTATCCTTTCTGTGCCACTTTGTACGATGTTCTTCATTTGTTCGTCTACTTTTATTGTAAACATCTACTTTGAAAACTCCTAGAAATAATAATTCAGGATATTTTTGCAAGGTGGAAAGCTTTTCTCATTTATCTTCAGAACTTTCTTTATTTATTTCAATTTAACAGGCCTATCTTTGAAATCACTAATGTCCTCAAGAAATTAAGAGAAATTAGACATTTTTATTATTAAAATAAATAATTATTCAATCTATTTAATTAAATACCTTTTATCGGTAGCTAATTTTATTTTTTATTGTGGAACATGCATGATTAATATTATAGCGCATTAAAAATTAAATAATGAAAAAAATAAAATCTTAATCGAATTCTTGTAAATTAATTAAATTTTTATCAAAATATATTTGTTTAACGACATAGACTCAGTTTTTTAAACGAAGATATAATTGTAGTTGTCTACATGAATTTAACAAACATTATTTCATAAATCTTTGCTATTTATCAGATACTATTCTTATATAATAATAACATGGACAATAATAACTCAAAATGTTTTTTTATTTACAGTTATCTTATGTTTGAAATCACCTATCGCTTCACTTTTATGAGTGATATAAGGTAAATCTATAAGATATTCCAAAGGTTCTCCATTTTGAATACAATCTTTATCCAATAGCTAATATACATCCTCAACACTTATCTCTCCCAACTAATCTTATGATATGTTATAAAATTTTGATTTGATAAAATAGTATTAAACTTTATTAAATTCAATTTAAGATATAACATGGACTTTATTATTGATAATATCAATATCTTTAATAAATCCTAATCCTAAAAATGTCCCATCTTGCTCTATTGCTACCAAACTAAATATAAAAACAGAAGCTATCTCTTCTAAATCATAGTAATTTTTTTTTTCATTTATCACTATAAATTAACATTAATTTGTATCTACAATTTTAATATCTGTTTAAGAACATAATGTTAAATAATTTAAATTTTGTAAACCAATATCTTAAGCGATTTTTTAAGTTCGATTATTCTTTCTTATTTAAGGGGTTTATTCTTGGATAGTTTAACCATAAATTTCATAATCAATTTCTTCATGAATGATCTAAAATTATGATTTAAATGTATCAAAATTGCTAATAAAAGATTTTTTAGTTAATTATTCAAATAAATAATTTGATTTCTCCTTTATTTTTTTATGATTGTCTCTTGAGAGCAGAATACATTTCTAAGGTTATAAAATATTTATTAATTCTTAGATTATTGTAATTCCATAACTTGTTATAAAGCCGGCAGTGTTAATTAATAATGGATAATCTTTTAAAAGTTAAGATTAATTGTAAACATCTAAAGCCTATGCTACTTTATTGAAATATAGATCAAAATAATTAAATACCTGAAATTCACCAACAAATCCTTAAAATAATATCTATGGTTTTGCCAGAAATAATGGTAATTCTAATTTCATGAGAGTAATAAAACCTGGTAAAATAATGGCTTAACCAAGATCTGTGTCTAATATAAAAACTTAATTTGAATTCATCCATTTATTTGCATATAATTATAAACTTGTAGATTTTCCTACTTATTTCTCACCTATGAACATTACACTTCTATCTTAACAATCAAAAAGATCCTATTTTTAATCAGTCAATATATAACCAAAATCACTAATTTCATAGTTACCATAAATTAAAAGTGTTAATTCTTTAGGTTAATTTTTTAAAATGAAATTCATAAATTCTAAATAAACTTCTGATTGTAATTGAGAAGATTAAAGCTTAGTTAAAAAATCTTCTATTTTTTATGGTACATTATGAGCTATTACTGTGACAAATTCGGTGCTGTTGAATTCATAAATTTATGCTTTTCTTACTTCATATAAATCCATTTCTAAATATCCATTAACCACAACAAATTAAAATTTCCCTTTTATGTGAATTTACTAAAATATTTTTATATATATTATACTTCTTTATGAGTTAGTTTTACAGATATTATCGATTCTTATTCAACTTAAATTACCGATTATTTTCTTATTTTAGTTGGCTTTAATAATCTTTTCTTTTTTTGGATTTTTTTAATCGAATTCATAGCAATTTTTTTTAATATATTTTATAAATCACAATTTAGCTAGAAATTAACGAAGCTCATCTTACTTTTATGTTGCTTTTTCCATAAATGACTTAAATTCATTCCAAGAAAGCTAATTTAATCAATTAAATATACAAATAATAGTTAATTAGAATTAGTTTGTTTATCTTAATTTCCTTCTTATAATGATGTAACAATTTCATTTATCAAATCATCAATAATATCTTCAAATTATTTTCCTTAATTGATTTTCTTAAATTAATAATAATAATTAAATTACCTTAAAATTGATTCTTAAATCTCTCATAGAATTTTTAAGTAAATCTTTAATGTCTTTAATAGATAATATTCCATTATGATCTTTATCATATTCATTAAATTTATGTTACAAAGTTCCTCTAAAAATGAACTTCCCTTTTTCATTTACACAAAGATACTTTATCCATTCATCTCTTGTAATTTTTCCTGATTAATCCATATCTAAAATCTCCATTTCTGTTTATAATCGATAATAATCTGGTTTGTCACCTTCATATGCATATATTAAATATTTCAATTCTGACATAGAAACTTCATTATCAGAATTGATATCAGAAGCATCAAAAGCAGCCCATGCATTCATGATATCTTAATAAGCTTATTTACAAATTTATCCATAATTTTTTTGATCTAAGTAAGCATCAAAAGAATCTTATAAAGTTTTAAATAATAATTCAAGAATTTCTTATTTTTAATTATTGAATTCAGTCAAAAATATTTGCTTGATAGATTCTAATTCACATAATTCAGATTTATCATTCCCTATTGCATTTATAAAAAAGTTTTCGTAGAGAATTCTTTTCTCTTTGTATCGTCTTCTCGCATTTTCATAGGTTTAAATAAGAGCATATTTTAATAGAAAGTCTTATAATTCAAAATTTCCAATAAACCATAATTTAAACTCATTAAATGATATTGTATAACTGTAATCTCTATCTAATTCTAGAAATAATCGTTCTGCATAAAAATCGATGTCTTTTATTGAAGGAGCAGGTAAATAAACTAACTTACATAAACCACGAATACAAGTCTCTAAAGCCACAATTAGTTCAGTTTTTTCTATTTCACCTGACTTATCTGTATCGAATAATTAGAATATGAATTATAATTTAAGTTCTTATTCTTCATCGCTAAATATTGTCTTTCAGTTAATTCATTATATTACCAAAACAGCTAATGATTCATAAATGTCGTTTGCTCCTTCTAATGTTGATTTAGAAGACAAGAGCGAGAATACAGGTTATGTCCAAATTTCCAAAATTGGGTTGAAAACATCACAATAATCACTGTATTCTAAATATTTTGAATTAGGAAATTTTGTATCTTCTCACAATTAAAATTTATATTAATAATAATCTATTATAAATTATTATTATTATATCTTACAAATAGAATAATTAAATAAAATATACACATAACTATATTTACAACCTCAATAGCCTAGTTAAAAATACGTATATTCATCGTTAATGTGTTGAAGTTTACGAGATTTTAAAAATTCGATCATTTCTTTATTAAGTTTATCTTTAGGTTTGGTTTTAAAATAGTTACCCATGACGTATTTTTAAATATATTTAAAATAAAAAACTAAAAAGAAAATATGATTATTCCTTATACTATATTTTTGTTTCTTACTTTTTTTAATAATCAAAATTAAAAATAAAAACAATTTAACTTTATAAATTGTTTGAAGAGTAAATATCTAATAGAATTTAACACTAATTAGTGTTCAAAGATGATGTCTAGATTAGATAAAAATTAATAATATATTAAAATCGTAATATAATTATATGACAGATTTTATGTATCTTAACCAAAAGAATTGAATTTTTACAAACTTAAAATTGATTGACAATATTTTTGCTTAAATGATTTAAGTAATTGTAAAATGATTTTGATTCAAAAATAGAAGGATTATTTTTGGGAAATAGAGATTTGAAGGGATTTTAGAGAACAGAGATTAAATATGAATAGGATTAAAAAAGAAATGAATAGAGTGGGTAGAAAAAGGATTAAAGGAGATTAGTAATGTTTGAATAGAAAAAGATTGTATAATATTTATACAATATGANTATCTAATTCTAGAAATAATCGTTCTGCATAAAAATCGATGTCTTTTATTGAAGGAGCAGGTAAATAAACTAACTTACATAAACCACGAATACAAGTCTCTAAAGCCACAATTAGTTCAGTTTTTTCTATTTCACCTGACTTATCTGTATCGAATAATTAGAATATGAATTATAATTTAAGTTCTTATTCTTCATCGCTAAATATTGTCTTTCAGTTAATTCATTATATTACCAAAACAGCTAATGATTCATAAATGTCGTTTGCTCCTTCTAATGTTGATTTAGAAGACAAGAGCGAGAATACAGGTTATGTCCAAATTTCCAAAATTGGGTTGAAAACATCACAATAATCACTGTATTCTAAATATTTTGAATTAGGAAATTTTGTATTTACAACCTCAATAGCCTAGTTAAAAATACGTATATTCATCGTTAATGTGTTGAAGTTTACGAGATTTTAAAAATTCGATCATTTCTTTATTAAGTTTATCTTTAGGTTTGGTTTTAAAATAGTTACCCATGACGTATTTTTAAATATATTTAAAATAAAAAACTAAAAAGAAAATATGATTATTCCTTATACTATATTTTTGTTTCTTACTTTTTTTAATAATCAAAATTAAAAATAAAAACAATTTAACTTTATAAATTGTTTGAAGAGTAAATATCTAATAGAATTTAACACTAATTAGTGTTCAAAGATGATGTCTAGATTAGATAAAAATTAATAATATATTAAAATCGTAATATAATTATATGACAGATTTTATGTATCTTAACCAAAAGAATTGAATTTTTACAAACTTAAAATTGATTGACAATATTTTTGCTTAAATGATTTAAGTAATTGTAAAATGATTTTGATTCAAAAATAGAAGGATTATTTTTGGGAAATAGAGATTTGAAGGGATTTTAGAGAACAGAGATTAAATATGAATAGGATTAAAAAAGAAATGAATAGAGTGGGTAGAAAAAGGATTAAAGGAGATTAGTAATGTTTGAATAGAAAAAGATTGTATAATATTTATACAATATGATATATTCATTATATATAGAAAATAAAAGCAATAATATTAATGTCTGAATAAAAGCATAAATCAACGTCATAGTTTGCGTTACTAATATCAAATGCAGTTTTAGGAGCCTTTTTCTTTGGATACTCAGTTTCTTATATGAATCCAGCAATAAAGACAGCAGATACTCAATTTGATATATCAGGACACCCAGATCCAGGTGAGAAAGATCATTATTAAACATTGCTGAATGGTTTGATAAATGGTAATAATATGAATAAATATACATTAGCTTTTCCTGCTTTAGGAGCAGCAGCAGGTGCAATATTATCAGGTTAAATATAATCAAGATTTGGTTTGAGACTATCATTTTTGTTAGCAGATTTGATTGGTATTTTAGGATTTATTTTTCAATTGCCTATCCATATAGCTACTTTATTAATAGGAAGATTAGTGATAGGATTTGCAGTGGGAATGAATTCTTCTTTGGTACCTTAATACATAAAAGAATTTTCTCCAGAATCATTATCAGGACCATTTGGTGCAATGTTTTAGATGACAATTAATATTGGTTGTTTAGTTGCATTAGTAATGGGAATGTAATTTATTTATTTTGAAAAGAGGTTCTTTGATGCAGATGGAGAAAGTCTTGGTTATTTTAGATTTGTGATAGTATTTCCCATGTTAATTTGTTCACTTAGATTATTTTTTTTTGCATTTGCATTTTAAGATAATCCTCCATCTTATTATATATTGAGAAATAATCATAAAACAGTAAGATAATAGAATTATATATAAGGCTAAAGCAGTAATAAGAAGTTACTATAAGCGTAAATTTGTGGAATAAATTTTTGATGATTTAAAATAATAAATAGAAACAAAATAATCAGAGGCTTTGGATAAGAAATAGAAATCACCATCATATTCAAGCAGATTATAAGTTGGTTGTATTCTTTAAGTCATTTAATAATTTAGTGGAATTAATGCAGTTTTAATATATTCTTCAGGATTATTCATAAAAGTATATATATATAATAATAAAATTTAGATAACAGGAGGTGATAATGATTTAAAGAATTGGTTGAATATAACAGTTGGTTTAGTGAATTTATTCTTTAGTATAGTGGCAATTCCATTATTAAGAAATCTAGGTAGAAGACCACTTTTATTATATGGAACTCTTGCTTGTTCAGTATTTTTAGGATTAATCAGTTTATTTTCATGCTTTTTACCTGATGATGATGTTGAAAAATTTGAAGTTACTGGTTCTGCAGTAATGGTTATTATATTTATGTTTTTATATTTGGCAGCATTTTAATTATCCTTAGGACCTGTTGTTTGGGTAATTAATATAATTAATTTATAAGATATATGATGCTGATGTATTAGATGAAAAAGGAATGTCTATAGCTGTTCTATGCAATTGGTTAGGCTGTGCTATTGTTGCTTAATTCTTTGGATTCATCAATTCTGCAGGTATGAATTATAGTTTTGGAATATTCTTTGTTTTCTGTTCACTTGGGTAAATTTATTATCTATTGTTTAAAGAACCGTATATATCTATTACAAAGTCAAAGAAACTAAGGGTAAAAACCCTTAAGAAATTGACTAGATGTTTCTGTTAGGAAAAGTAGATGATGATTGAACATTAACATCATATTATTAAATAAATTGTATAAATTTAATTAAGAGAAGTGCTCAGGTCACAATATAAAACAATTTATTTAAATAACCATCTTTATTCAGAAATAGAAAAACTTTTCTCAATTAAAAAGTAATATCTCACATATTCTTAGTAAAAATAAACTAATCATCTACTCAGACTTTATTTCTTATCAACATTTCCACTTTTACTTACACTACTATTGTTATTGATAAAATCATTCATTCTATTCTCATTATCTTAATTAAACTAATATATAATTAAAATTAATTACTATTTATTCAATCTTTTGTATCATTAAGCAATTAGAAATTATGTAATAAAAAATGTAATATTCCAAATTTATGAGGATTATCCTAAAAAAATAGAATAATAAAAAAATTTGTTAAAGAAAAAAACTATGAATTAGGCATTTTACATATTATAATGACTTATTTTCTCTTCTTTTTTATTATACATTTCATTGCAATTAATCACTTTAATTCAATATTATTATGGCAAATTTAAAATGCTTTTTAATTCTCTTAAATAATACATTTTAATTTATATTCCTTTTATTCATAAATATTATTTTACCTATTACTCTAAAGGTATCTGTTCATTTTCTTCTAATTTTAATTTTTTTAAATTCCTTTTATAAAGCTAATGTATCCAACTAAATTATCCCAATTATTAAAATACTTTTTGTTTTTTTAAACCTTGTATTAATCTATACCTAAAAGAACATCTATAAGGCAGTCTAGATTTATTTAAATTTTTGTGAAATTTATTTAAAAATCTAACATTTACTTGTATGTTTTAATTATTAAATACATTATTGTTCAAAATGTAAATCTTTTCAATGTTTCTATAATTTCAAATATCTTAACAATCACCATAACATCAAAAATACCTGTAGTATTATAATTGAAGAGTCTATTGTACTTTTATTAAATAAATCTTTAAGACTTTCCATGACTCCAAACAGAAACACATCAGAATCTTGTGTAATAATACAGTCTACTAAGCCATCCTACTTGAGATATGAATATTAAGCTTTGCCTTCATTATTAACAAGCATCTTAAAAGATTCAAATAATCAGAACAATCTTCAATCTTTCTTCTAATGTTATTTAATCAAGTTATTGATTACTTTAAAATTTTTAAATCACATCTCTTTTCTATTTATTCAATGGTTTTGTTAATTTTATTTCAATTTTTAATAAAGGTTAAAACAAAAAAATTACTACTACTAATTATCTTAAGAAAAAATTTTATTTTTATTTTTATTTTTAAAATGATTAATAATAAATTTATTATAATAATGGAACTTTATAAAGCCCGATTAATTTTGAAAGTTTTTGGGCTTTTTTAAATTTTATTTTCAAACAATTTTATCTCTTTTTTATCATATTATTACTTTTTTAACTTTTAAATTATTTTGTTAGAAATATTGATAAGGATTATTTAAGTAGTGAATATAAATATTTTATATATAATATTTATTTAAATATAATTTTAATCTATATTTTATTAAAAATAATATATAAATAAATTATCTTTAAATTGTAAAAAATATTCTCTTTCTATTAATTAAACTACAAACCTCTCTCCTAATTCTTAAAATTGGCTTTCTCAGTCTATCTTAAATTAGTTCCTATTTCTAGTACTCATTCCTTTTATTAAGATTTTTATCCATCAATTGCATAAAATATAAAAAAGAATCCTCATTTACGATAGTGAGATTAATAATTAATGTTAATTATTTTATAGATGTAATGATTACATTATTCTTTGCAACTACCAATAATTAATGAATAATGATTCAAATACTAATATTATAATAATTGTTCAACTCTGTAATGCTTCTTCAATATCTATTTCATCTTGTGATTCCAATGGTAATTCTTCATAATTCAATTTCATTTGACTTATACAAGGCACAACATTTCCATATTAATCATAAGCAGTAGGAATAGCACTAGTAAACATCCTTACAAAAAATGGTACTACAAAAATCACAAATGGTAAACTCAACAATCCATATAAGAGATGTGAAAAATATATTAGATTTCCTACATAAGGTAACAGATATAAAGTATCATCTTTCTTATAATAATAATTATAATAAATATATCCAGTAAATGTACATGTTCCAAGAAAGCAGATTAAATCATATATCATGAATCCAGTTAATCTACCACCTCTTTTAATAGATTCTTATTTTTTTAATTAATTATTTATAAAATCTGCTCTCGATTTAGTTTTATGTAAGACTGCAAATGCACACCATATTAGAATAACTTATGTGAAATAACTAATTTATGATAATATTAAATGTGTTTCTGCACCTGGTCCATGAGTAAAACAATAATTTAATTTAAGTCCTTAATCTTTTTCATTTATATAATCATGAGCTGGTCTTAAGGTTGCACAATAAAAATAGGAAAAGAATCCAATAAGAGCATTCAATAGTCCAGCTGTAAAAAATTGAATATTTTTATAATCCAATATATAATTGACTACTTAATACTCTTCAGTTTTATCAATAGCTAAAAAGATGATAAGAAATGTAAACACTTAAATTCCATAAAAAGGAATAGCTTATAATAGTTTAATAAATAAAAAAGATGGTGATCTAAATTATATTCCAGGTTCTACATCAAATGGATATAAAGAATATAGTATCCAATTTCTTAATCTATACCAAAATTTAAGCCATTTAATTTTATCAGGCCTTTTTGATAAAGTAATAGTAGGTTCATCTATAGTAACTCGTAATTCAAATCTTATGAGATTACTTATATCAGTCCATAGACTTAATACAGCATCATTAATAAATTCAAAACAACAAGAACTAGGAACAGCTTTCTAGACACTAAGAGAAATCTTATTTTCCATTTATTTAAGAGACTTTGAAATTCTTTAATCAATTTTAAGTGCTATCCATTTATTAAAACTCTATTTTTGTTTTAAAATAGTCTATTTAACACTTAGATCAACTTTTTATAATTATAGCTTATTTATATAAAATATAATTGATTACTGTCACACTTTTTTAAGCTTCACTAACTTTATTGCTGAGATAATCACCTGCAATAGTTAGATTTGATTTAATATAGGAAATGGTTCCTTATTTAGGTTTATCTTAAGGTTTATTAGGAACAGAATCCTCATTTTTTGATTAATTTTCAATAGCATTTTCATTATCACTTTTATTTTCTTGTAATTAAATTTCTTGTCCTCTATTTTCTTCATTCTTATCGATATTGATAGTTCAATACCATTTCTTGATATTATTCATTCTTCTTTTTCATAATTTGATCGTATTTTTCTTGTGCTTAGTTCTTGATTTTGGTAACGAAATTCATTAATAAATTATATTAATAAAAATATAGAATAAATTAAAAAGATGTAGAATTAATTAAATATATATATATATATTTTTATACTCAATCTTATCTTTAATACATTTCATTAGATTATGGTTCATTACTAAAAGCCTACATGCAATTAAGAAATCCAAGTATAATCAAACCTACTTCAATCCACCAAGTAGATGCAATTGTATCATAACCATCTTCATACTATATACATTATGTATATAAATTACGTATTTCACTCCAACAATCATTCCAATAAAAACTAATACAAAACCTAAACATAGACTACACAATATTCCTATTTTCATTATTCTATGTACGAAAAAGTAAGTTGCAATCAATCCCATAAATGCTAGCATCATAAAAACCTGTCCAGAAATTGCTAATCTCACATATGCCAAACTTTCATTTCGATGAGGATGTTCATTCATATATGAATATTCTGTTAACAATACTATTTCTATCATCAATAGTGCTATATTGCTAATTGCTAACTACTTTTTTGCATCTCTATATTAGAATAACTTAATATATTACAATTCAACCATAATAAATGTTATTATAATATAAATATTTATATTTCTTTATTTTTAAATTTCATACATTTTATTGTTATTATTAAGTATCCAAATTCTCTACTATCATCCCTTATTTATTTTATGTTGTTAAATCCACACTTTATACCTTTGTATTTAGAGGTACCTCCATATTTTTTAACTCGTATAAACACACTAGACTCAACAAATAAAGACAGAATTATATAAACCAAAGTCCAATTGGATAATTAAAATTATCAAACCCTTGTATAGGAATTTTATTTCTCTATAATTTATAATTATATTTGTCTTACTCCTTGTACTCCCATACCCATTCCAACCAAAAGAAAGAATTATGCTAATGAATTTACTCCTAAAATCACATACAATAATATTTCTATCTTTTTGAAAATTAACACTATTTAACCAAACCAAGTAATCATCATAAAAACACTTCCAGTTACTGAAAGTCCTTTAAATGCACTGTAGTCATCATCAATATCGGGAATCTTAGATATCTCTTCATACATTTTTTCATCAATATTTGCATAATATGCTAACAACACTATCTCAATTACACCTAAACTGACATATCTTATAATTTTATGTATTCTATCTGATCTATTGACTCATATGTTAATAATTACAATCCAATTATAAAGTTCATCCTTTTTCTATTATTTTTAAATTAATTATCAATAAAATCAAATCTCTACCTCCTTATTATATACATAAATTCGAATTAATCATGTATTCTTAAAAATTATAGAGCCTTTATATATACTTATATAAACACAAAAAAAGTAGAATTAAAATTTGAAAAAATATCTTTATATAATAAAATGCTAACTGCCAAAAAAAAACTATATCATTTCATATATAATTTTATCGAATAAATACTCTATCTGATCATTTTTTAAGCTAACACAGTTATTTTGCTTATCCAAAACTATTTTATATTAAATAGGTCATGAATTAATATAGTGATATTTATTTTAATAAAAATTAATTTATTAAATTTATTCAATATATAAAATATGCTTATACACAATCATCGATGGTTGAATCTCTATATTACAATTTATACAAATCATTCACAACGCTATCCATTTTTTCAGCTAATTTTTTAGATTTAGCACAAACTGATATTGGTAATTCACCAAATACAGCATAACCACTGATATGATAATAATAACCATAATATGCTTTAACTGGAGTTACTTAATGACATCCTTTGTGAGTACAATTTTTAGCAGCTAAATGTTATTCCATTTATAATTTTAGACTATCTCTCAAATTTACTAATTTATTTACAATTGAATCATCACTTTATGTTGATAAATTATCCATTTGAGTTTTTTAATCAAAATATTGTTATATTTCATCTTGGGATTCTTACATTAATTCTTAACTCTATTGTATTAGTTCTTAAGATATATTATCATTTATCTATGATAACCTTCCTCTTAAAAGTTCCTATAAATTTGGGAAAAAACTTTTCAATTTGTCTCTTTCTAATTAGTAATCAGTATGCCAAATTGCAATTATCAACCGTTTTAATTAATCATTATAAATTTTACTAATATTAATTGGTTTAAATTATTGCAAAGCATCTCGAGTCTTTTCAACTTTTTAAGTTACTTATTTTTTAGTTGTTGAAATACTTTGATCAATTTATTTATTTATTTGTTCCTTCAATGAATCAATAATTTTATTTATTTATATTCTCATTCTCTCAATATCACCGTTAAAAAGCCTTTTTAAATTAGAACCTTTTTTTTCAAAATTTTAATATTCTGCTTCTAATGAATAGGCTTAGTCTTGTATTTCAGCATATTTTTTATTAGTTTGATTAACAAATTAAGTTTTCTCCATAGTCATTGTATTTCCTTTATGTTGATGTAATTAATCAATACAATCAGAACAACAAATCTAAGGATAAGTTAAACAATCAGGATTTAAACAAGCCATCATCTTTTTAGAGTGTAAAAGAGTTTTACATTAAGTCTTATCATCATCAAATAATAACATACATTTCGACATTATTTTTATATTCTAATTTATAAATGTATTAATTTCAATCAAAATTCACAAACAATCTTTAAATCATTTTTTATTTGCAAGACCGAAGAATAATTTTCTAATCCTTTTAATAAAAATTCAAAAATAGATAAGTTCACAATAAACTTAAATAGGTATTAAATTAACCAACAAATACTTCAATATAATAAATTGCAAATGTAAATAACTAAAAAACTTAAAATTATAGGATTAGAAAAATGATTATATAGATTTGAGGGAATGAGAATTATCTAAAATGGGAATTGTTTTTGAGTATGGTAATCTTTTTCAGAATTAATTTATAAGTATGGGATTGTATATTCATTATTACAATTCATCTGAATTAATTACCAAAATATGACAAACAAATAGCGTTACTGTTCTAAAGAGTTTTAAAAGAACATTAATAAGCTGTTACTACTTTTTATGTTAATGATATAGCAATTTACTTATATTATTATTATCACTTATTTTTATTCTTTGTTTATTCCACTTATTTTTGATTTCTTAAACTCCATTATATATACACACTTGACTCAATAATATTCAGAATCTATTCATATTTATATTATTCTTACAATCAAAAATGCAAATGGGATAAAACTTAAATTAACTAACACTAATGAATTCATTTTCCATTAATCACCCAAAATTATTGTATGCAATTCTAATTATAAAAATAAACCTGTTAAGAACAACTAATTATTCACTTTTAAATATTACATATGAACAAATTTATATCCATTTGTAAAATGAAAATATTTAAGCATAAATTCCTACAAATGTGTTATATTTTAAGATTTTATCTATTTTCTTTATCACCAAAACAGTTGTGAAGTTTTTTACTATTTTAAATATTCCACTCAATAACACAATCCAATATAATTATTAATCTTCAATGTGTTAAAGGATTATTGAAAATAATAATATATTCTTGCAAATTGATTACATTGATTTTGAACAAATCCATTTTGTCTTTTCAGTTGTTGGACCAGCGATTATCATTTCTATTATAAACACTCCTATCAACTCAAAAAAAATAATCGTGTTATCATTTTATGACAAAAATTTACCAAATGCTAAAAGCCCTATTTATATGAATTGGAGCAAAATTGTTATCATATTTAATTAATTAATAATAAATAAACATTTTCAATTAAATATTATCATTATTTATTTAAGACATAAATAACAAATTAAAATAGTAAGGTTTTAATTCCTTATATGATGTAATCCGATTATAAGCCAAAAAAGAAAATTTCCAAATTATATTGCTTAAATAATCATTTCAATTTTTATGATAGCAACTATTTTACGTAAAAAGAGATTATTGGAGTTTGTACAAAATTAGAATGTAAAGAAAAACTAGTTTGTGATGAATGTAAAGATACCAATCATTAAGATCATATTGAACTGATAAAAACCTATGAATAATTACAAGACTATTTTAAGCATTCTTATAGTGCTATATCTACTGTCAACATTGAGGCCTTATAAGAATAATTTATTTTACTTTAATAATAAGTTTTGGATTATATTAATAAACTTGAAAACTAGTTTAATTTAAATTACAACTTATATAAATAACTTTAATAAATTCATGATATTATAACACTTATATAAGAAGATCGATAGCTTGAAATAACGAATGAATAATTTCATTTTTTCTTTTAATTTGCGAATTATTAGTCATTAAATTTGTGTGGATTTGAATATAAATACAAATCGTTGTAAAATTATATGGAAACATCAATATAATGCTTAGAGAAATTAAATAAAGCATTTTAAACTTAATCTTAAGATTTCAATTTCTAACAAATAATAAATTAACATGTTAATTTAAAAAAAATAAAAGATTTTTATTTACAAAATCCTTTGAATTATTCTTAAATACCATGTGAATTAAATTTTAATAATTATGTATAGATAAAAGAATTTTAAAACTAAAATGAAATTTATTATGGAGAAGTTGATGAAAAAAGTTAAAAACATGGAAAAGGTAAATAAAATATTATAGCAATATAGGAATTTAAATATAAAAAAAAGGAGATATAATATATGAAGGTATTTGGTATGAAAACTAATTAAAATGGGGTTAAAAAACCTAATTCAATGAATTATAGGAATGTGTAATTTTTAAGGGATTGATGAAAGAAAAAAAACTTAATGGTTAGGGAACTAAGATAACATCATTTGGAGAAATGTATTTAGAATATATATAAAAATAGTTATGAAGGATATTTTGTAGATGATAAACTTAATGGAGAAGGTTATTCAAAGACAAATGATGGAGAAATGTATTAATAAAAAATAAAAAAAATTAGTTATAAAGGAAATTTTAAAGAGAATAAAAGACATGGAAAAGGAGAACTTGTTATTAATGATGAAGAATTGTAAATCTAAAATAAAATTAGGTATATTGGATCTTTCAAAAATGGAAAAAAAAATGGAGATGGATTTTTAACTCTAAAAAATGGAGATATGTATTGAATTTATTAAATTAAGTTATTCTGGGGGATTTTAAGATGATAAATTTCATGGATAAGGTATTTATACTGTCAAAAAGGATAATTCAAGTAAAATTAATAAAATATATAGACTATAAAGGAAATTTTTAGAATAATAAAAAACATGGAAGTTTTGAAATAATTTATAATGATAATTCAATGTATAAATATATAATACTTAAAGGGAACATGGAATGTTTTAGAATGATATAAGACATGGATAGTTTAGATTATATTCCCCTAATGAATAAACACCATTGAAAGTTGTCTAATATAACAGTGGTAAAATAATAAAATGAATAAAAATTTGAATAAATTTATATTGTTCAATTAATTATTTATATAATTTTAAATTTGAAATGGAAACATAATCATTTTCACCTATGTTAGATAGAGTTATGGCTTAAGAAATATAATCAGTTAGTTGGAGTAAAACTATGGATGTTTGTGCTATTCTATTTACAAATAATTAATTAGAAATATGTAGAGTTAGTGAATAATTGCAAAGAATGTTCATAATACAAGAAGAAGATAATATAAGTAACATTATTGTTGAAAGTAATTTACATACTTTTAGTTAGGTACATTTCTTGCTTATAATGTTGGAAATAAATTGTTTTTTTATCATCTCGCTTCTCATTAAAAAATAATTCAATCTACATTAAACAAGAGTTCTGATAAAATAATATAAATGCTCTTTGCATAAGTTAATGTTAAAATTATTAAAGAACAGGAATTACAAGCAGCAATTATTCCATTATCAACAACAAATTAGTATTTCATCATTTTATTTATTTATAGAAAAAATTGGCAAAATTTATGCTTTTTAAAATAGTAATAAATAAACAATCTAATATTCTCTCTTACTAATAAATAAATTACGTATAATTTTAATGGCATTTTACATTTAGGAGAAATAGAACATAAAAACATTAATTAATTATATCAATTAGAAAATGAATTGCATTGTTTTTCAAATTCATTTGTTGAAATTTATGATATTAGTTTATTCAAACATCAATAAATTTTAGTATTAAATCTTTATTATTTAGAAATACATTTAATAATTGAGTTATTTAAATGAACTACTAAATTTTTTAAAAACTTCAATTTTATTAATTAATACTTAATTACAAGACATCTTCAAATGTTATTAATTAAATATTATTGGTCCTTTGACAGCATTTGGACTAAAAGAAACAATTAATTTCCATTTATTATTTTTTTATTAAAAAGGACTTTGTCCTTAAGTACTTGCTCAATTCTTTCAAAAAGAACTATATAATACTAAAATTTTATAAAAAATGGATGATGTAAAATTAAATAATTTTAATTTAAGAATATCACAAATAGTTTTAATAATATATAAGAAATAATTTAAGATTCTTTGATGAATGTCTTATCCAGAATTTTAATTATTCTAAATTTTTTTATTAAATCAAAAAATATGTATGAATTTTAAACGATATTTAATATTAGGCCATTCTATTAAGGATTGCATAAAACTCCTTTTGAAGACTTATAATAAACAATTTAAAAGATATAAAAAGTGTTTTGTAGATTTTAAATAGAGTGTCATTAAACTAAGTTGCATCTTAGAAACCTTTTTGTTTGGTTAAATTTATGTGCTATCAAAGCTGGAAATGAATAAGAAGTGGAATGTGAAAATGTTAACTCACCTCTTAATAAAATAGAAGTAGATTTACCAAAACTATATGATTTTTTAAAAGAGAATCATTTATTTTAATTAAGAAATTTATAATGTTTCTATCAAGATAAAATAAGTAAAAAAATTAATTTTATTTAAATAGCACCAAAATCATTTTTTACTAAAGTTCTCGTTCAGAAAAATGTAGAGTTAAGATAATCTGAAACAATTACAAAGATTTTAAAAAATGTTTTTAAGGAGAATTATCTTGAAATTTAAGAAAAATAAAATAAAATCGAATAAGAAGAAACATTTGTAACTGTTAACTCTTTGGTTCGTCAATTATAAAATTATTTAGATAAAATTGCAATAAATTTGAAACCTTAACTTTTACATAAAATCAATATTGATCTTTCTAGTTCAATGATTAGATTTTCTGAATAATCAGAAAATTCATATGCTATATCTGTTTTAGTAGATAATGCAATCATTCAATATACATATTAATAAAAAAGCTTCTTTCAATTGAATAAGATTTAATTTAACAATAGATATATTAAGGAGTTATAATACTTTTAAGAAAAATTAATCATCTTGAGTACAAATTAGATGGAAAATTAACTTTAATAATAATTAACAGCTTATATTTCATCGGAAGATTAGGAGATACAAAATAGATTTGATTGTCATTCAATAAAAGATTTATAAGTTAGTAAAAAAGGATTAATATCAATAATAATAGATTCTAAAAAATTAATAATTCTTTCCTTTTGAAAATTTATATATATATATTAGTAATGTAAATTTATTGATTTATTTAATGTCAATTCTATTCTTATTGGGCTGCTTATAACTTTAATTGAGTATAAATTATTTACTTCTTTTCTCAAATCAGCAATTTCTCTCTTCAATTTAATATTTTCATCTTTAAGTTTTTCATATTCCAATTTAAGTTTGTCAACATCAATATCAACAGGTGATCCTAAGTACTTTTTGACATAGCTGGTAATTAATTATTTAAATACTCAATTGCATTGTTTGGTTTTTCTGGTTCTTCATACAAACCTACTAGAACTCTTGTTAATTAATCAATAACACCAGCTTTTTCTAAATATTTTCTAAATTCTTCTTTCTTAGAATCAGTTGTCTAAGAAATATGATTATATAAATTACTTAGAAGCTCATATATAATTATTAATTATAATATCAATATTATAAATTCATTTTAATTATTATTATATATTATCTATTAATGTGTTTTAGTTATTACTTGTCCATCTCTCCTTCACTTGTCCATATTCATAGAAGATAAATGTCGGAAATTCATTAATTTATAGAGAATCTGCTATAATTCTGGCCTTAATAAATTATAGATTGATTGCTTACCTTTTAACAATTCACATCATAAAAATTGATGTTACAGAGGTTTAGAGATAATTTATGAAATTATTGTTTAATAGTTTTACAATCCTCAGAATCAGTATAAAAGTTAATAATACATTATGGACTGCTTTCTATTAAACAAAAAAACATATCCCAATCTTCGATCGATGCTACATTTGTATTTGTTATTTATTATTGTTGATTCGAAATTGCTATTTATTAATGTTATTGTGATTGATGGCTTGGCTAAACCTTTAAGTTTAAAAGAACTGGTTATTATGGTTAGGGTTGCATTTAGTTAACTTATTAAGAATTCATATTTTGAAAACTTTATGATGGTTATTGTTAAGGTTAGGGTTCATTAAAATTCTCAGTTTAAGCTTCACTCTACCTATTAGTAATTTACACTATTATTGGTTTAAGCATTTATCCTAATTGAGTATTTAAAAACTCTTTTGGCAATCCTAATTTGGATAGAGAACATAGAGATTACCTATAATATTTTCAGGAATACCTTTTCCAACTAAATAAAGTGCACATTCATTTGTAAAATTATTGCAGTTATTGGTAAACAAATCATATTTTTCCATTGTATAATTAAAACTTATATCTCTTAAGAAAGATTCAAATTCATGTTGTGGTTTATCTGTTTCTCCTAATTCTCTTTCTTCTATTGGATATCCATATATAGTTGATTTTGGAGGTTATGCACATATGCCTCCTCCAAAATAATATTCTTTTCCATAAACTACAATTCCAGTATGCCAAATTGCTTCTATCTATTTTCCTAAAAACATAGGAGAGAATTGTTTGGCCATTCCTTATGACAAATCATACATATTTAATATAACCTTATGCTTTTGATTATCCATCTTGAATATTTATTTTACAAAAATTAATCAACTTAAATCTCATTTTAATTCAAAATTTAATGACACTCAACATTGTTATTTAAATAAGTCTTCAAAAATCCTAATCTAACTCATTTAACTGACTTAATCATATTATATTCCCAAATATTCTTTATATATAATTAAACAGTATCTCAATAATAAATAAAATTAATTAACTGAAATGAATAGAACTAGATTTGATGAGACCAACCGAAAATTTTAAGTATTTCTTTATTATATACCTTAGGAATATTAAGCTGAATTCAAAATTCCAATTTTGCCTTCAAGTTAACAAGAAAACTTTAATGCCTAAAAATTTTATTAACTTTATCCAGAAATGACACCATTCCATGCAATTAAGCCACATCAAGCCTAAGCATTTAATCCAGAGAAAACTAGACTCTATATAGAGAGTTTATAAAAACAAAATCAAGAAATAAATTATGAATTAAGATAATAAGCTAATGATATTGTTAGCTTGTCTTAAATGGTTAATACATTGATTGATGAAAATCGAAGTCTTTCATTATTACTTGAATAAAAAGATTAAGAAATGCATTCCATTGTTGAAACTATGACTATTAATGAAGCTGAAGAAATCTGTGATCTTAGACATTAATTAAGATTTTCAGATGATGAAAAATCAGTTCTTTTATAACATGTTAAAGAGCTAAGATAATAATTAGATGATAAAATTTAAGATGGTTTAGAATTAGATAAACAATTTCAAAATTCAAAAAAATATTGTCTTTAACTTGAACAATAAATTGAAAAATATAAGTTATCAGAAATCTCTTTATCTGAATAAATGCAAATTCTTAAGGAAAATTGTAGAACTGAAATTGAAATCAAAAGTTCTTATCAATTTGACAATTAGAAAAAGGATAGTGTTATAACATCACTTACATTTACAGTAGAAAAACTAAATAAATAATTGTTATAATTTTCAACAGATTATGAGAAATTATCATCTGATAAAAATGAATTGCATTCTTAGAGTAATCTTAAAATTTATGAATTAAATTAAGAATTAGATGATTTAAGTAATGAATTATAAAAATATCAAATTACAAATGATTAATTATTGAAAGAAATCAATTAATAACATAAAGAACTTACAGAAAAGTAATTCTTTTGTGATTAATTGGCTGATTAATGTGATGATATTATGAATAAATTAATGATGGAAATTGAAAAACAAAAAAAACTATCAGACAATGAAATTAGACTATAAGAACATATTGGATAATTAAGTATATAAAATACAGAATATTATAATACATTAAAATAATAATCAGAATAAATTAATCAATTAATTGATCAGAGCAGTGAAGATTTAAGTTTTTAAAAATAAAAATTTGATTAAACAATGTAGAAATTAAAATAAGATTATGTTAATGAATTGAAACAAAAATAATTAGAAATTTAATAACTTGAAGAAAATAATTCTTTAATTTTGAAAGAGTTAAATAATATTAAAAATGAATATGAGATACTTAAAATAGATTATGAATAAACAAAAAAAGAAATTAGTGATTATTAACAATAGAAAAGAATAATAGAATAACTTTAGTTACAAAATAGATAATAAAAATTATAATTGGAAGAAAACAAAGCTTTATTACAAGAGTTTGTATCACATAAAGGAGGAGTTTAAGCAGATATAGAAGAAAGAGATAAACATATATAAAAATTAATTAATTAAAAGGATGATAGAATTGCTGAATTAGAAAGAGATTTTTAAATGTATTATGAGAAATGTGCTTTGCTTTAATAACATTAAAAAAATAATGAACTTTTAGAATAATAAAATTTTAATTATAGAGAAGTGAAAGAATTATTTGAATAAGAAAATGAAAGATTAAAATAAGAGATTTCTAAATTATAAACTTAAATTAATAATTATGCAACTATTTAAAAATAATAGAAAATTAAAGCTGAAAAATAAATCCTTGAAGAAAATTAATAATTACGAAAAGAATAAAATGAAATGGCAAATGAACTTTAAAGACTTAAAGATCAATTAGCTATGAATACATTACCTTTACCTCAAAAATAACCAAGTGAAGCTGGAAGTAGAGTAAGATAAGGAGGAACCTCTTAAGATTTTTAATAGACTAAACAAAATTAAGTTTATTAATAACCATAATAATTAATATAGGTATTTATTTATATTTACAAAGCCTCCATCACCTCATCATTCATAACATTCACATGCTCTATCAAGAAGAAATATTCAAGACTCAGATGATGGATCTGTTAAAGGAGGAGGAAATACTTAAAGCAAAAATATGCAATATTCATTTAATGATGACCAAATGAAATAATAATAAATTTAGAGATAGAGAGAAAGAGAAAATTCTTATCATTCTAATATGTCTAATGCTCCATACAAAAAAAAAACATAATAATAATGATACTATTATCAAATTATATTATTTCATTTATGTTTAGATAAAATGTTTTATTTTTCTGTTAAAACTATTTGATTTAACTAGTAAACTTTCATTTTTTTTTATTTACTTTTCATTCATTTATCGTATATGTAAAATAAGTTACAATCTTACCCATCTATTTAATAATCTATTTTTAAATTCTAAAAATATTGTTAAGAATCTATAATCTTTTATTTTTATTACTGAAAAAACTAAATCATTGTCTTAAATATTTTTTCTTTACCTTATATATATAAATAAAAAGCTATCTAAACTTTTGAATTATAACTATCCTTCCTAAACCAATTTTTTAATCTTTTTACAACTTTATGTTTATATCTTTGAAAATTCAAAATAAAATTATATTCTTTTTATATGTATAAGAGTCAAAGTTATTTTATAGAGATTTAAAAACACTATTACGATCTACTTAAGTTAGTAAGAATAAATTACAAGATTTTTTTATGATTTAAAATATTAAAAGTAGATTAGTTTCTAAAAAATTCTACTTTCTATTTTTTGGTTTTACGATTTTTTTTAATTTAAAAACTTATTAAAATTTAAACTTTGGAGAGAATATTACTTGAAAATAGAAAGATCATTTTAGAATTGTATTCATTAAATTTGCTAAAACTTATTTAAGCCTAGATTGTTTTACAAAAAGAAAATAAAAGACCATAAATAGATTAACTAATATTTATATATATATCTATTAATTGTTAAATATATTCATAATAAAAAATCAAATATTGGAATGTTAGGATAAGTATGCTTTAATTTTTTAAATTACAGACTCGAAAAATCTGGTACACTCATAAAAGATTCCAATCTAATTTTAAATAGTTTAATATATACTTTTCTTTTAAAAAATCGTAAATCTGCATTCTAGCAAATTCAATAGCTCTTTCATCATTTACAATTACTTAATCTTAAAATGAGTATTAAAAGATAGAATCAATACTTTCTCTAACTCCTTCTTAGATTAATGGTTATTCCCCATCATAAATATCAATAATTTTTGGATCAAAATCCCATTTACCTATAGATTTAACAGGTTCCTCTATTTATTGAGGAATTTCTTACTAATTTTCAAAATCTTATGTCTGTTACTCTTGATTTTAATCTTATTGTTGTTCATCTATTAAGTGTGGAATTAATAAATTAACAATAGCACTAATATTTTCAAATTTAGTTTGAGGTTATTTAAAGATTAAATTAATTTTTTTTTTAGCTTCAACCATATCTAAATCATGTTAAGTGATTTCAGGTATATTCTAATCATCCTTTTTATGCTATTATTGATTAATTTATTAATCTAATAATTAAGATTCTGAATTATCATCTGTTTATGTAGGTTATTGAGGATTTATTTACTATTCAGGTTCATCTGTTTAATTTTAAGGTTCAGTTTTTTATTTAGTTTCTTTATAATTAACAGATTTAAAGTAAATTTCAAAGAAACCATCAAGTAATTTATTTAAAATAGCTTTTCTAATATTATTTGAAAATTGTTAGGATACATAAGATGACCAAAAAGGTGACTGAGTTCTTAAGAATTCAATAGTTAATTATTTGGCATTTTTTTCAAAAATGAATAAATCTTCATCGATTTTATTCAATGCCTCTTAAATGATAGGTTACATAACAGAATTTAGAGAAATATTAAATGAACTGCATTTATTAATTAAAATATCTATCCAAATGGTTTGAATAATGTATTCATCAATTTAATGAATTTAATCTCCTGTAATTAAATCAAGAACTTCAGCTAAAAGTAGAAATAGATCCATATGTAAAACAACTCCTTTTTAACCAATTTCAGAAATTCCTTCTTAAATATTAACTTAAAAGATAGAATTAGATAATTCAGCTTTAGAAATGGTTAGATTATAAATAGCTTATTTTTATATATCTCTTTTTTCTTTTAATGCTCTTCTTCTTCTAATTTCTATTTTTCTTTTTTTTCTCTCTTCAATTTCTATTTTTTTTTTTTCTAATTAATCTAGATGTTTTTATCTTTTTAATTATTCTTTTTAATAATATATTTAATGGTGTTAAATCAATGGGTTTTAGATATCTTCTAAAAAGGAATTCAAACGCATTTAAGAATTCTAAATTTAATCACAATTTTATTTGATTCTTTCAATAAGCCAAGGGAGTGTTTATACTTTAAGTTCAAGAAGATGATCATTTCTTAATAGTCCCAAATTTTAAAGATCATTTAAGATTCTATAATTAATTCCTTTAATAACATTTTTTGAAAGAGTTCTAGCTATAAATTTCTATTATGACAGTTTCATCTAATCTTGATATTTTTTGTGTTACAAGATTCTTCTTTCCTAAAATATAAATATTAATTTTATTACTCGTTCATCTTTTTTTCTTACATAAGCTGTTTCCATCCTTTGGGTTACAATTAATTCAGCATTTCTTTTTTTTAAAAAAGCAGCCTTTTATATTAATAATTCTTATCTTTCTGATTCTTCAATCAATTCCATTCTAGCCTATTCAAGAGATTTTCCAATCAAAACCTATAAAACTGGCTCCACTTCTAATTTATAATCAAATAAATCTGGTTCATATTCTTCTATTTATGTTTATTCATCAATTCCCTTTGGTAATGGTTTGTATTCAGGTGTTATCTTGAATATTAAATAATATATACAGGTCGATCTATATAATAATCTGGTTTAATCCTTGATTCATTATCTGGTAGATCAGTCAATTCTTCATAAATATCTTAATCTCTATATTTTGGGTGAGATACTTAAGGCTCAGCATCAAACTAATAAACTTTTGCTTGAGCTTGCATAAAATATTTATTTATATAACTGATATATATTTATATTATAAGGTAATCCTTTCTCATTAAATATAAATCCAAACTATTTTATTATTTATTAAATTCATTATCATTATTTATTATAATACATGAAAATTTTACCTTCTTAACACAGTTCTAAAAGCTTTGTTGCTTACCATTTATTATCTATTGCCACTGGAATCTATTTTATTTTACCTTTACTATTTTCATAAGTCTAATTCATTTTTTGTACCATCACTATTGCAATCCTTGGACTATGCTAATCCTTTATATTTTACAAATTTTAGAAATTACAAATTTACATCTATACATCTCTTTTATCACTTTCACTTTCACTAACTAATACATATACTAAAGCTTTCATTCTTGGATCATCTTTAGGATTGATCATTAATTTTCAAAATCAATTTACACAAATATTGTAATTTCAATTTTTATAAGAATGTTAATACTTTGGATTCCTTCTTTATTATTTACTTATCACCAATATTTCAATTTAATCTATTTCCATATTTACATTTATATGTGCTTCAATTATTAGATTATTTTTATATGATCATAATTAAGATATATCAACAACTAAACCATATCCATTAAAAATTAAGTCTAAATCATAATATTTATTTATTTTAGGACAATTTGTAATTGATTTAATATTTTTTGGAACATTATTTTTAATATATTAATTTTAAAATCAATCCATTATAGTAGCTTTGTTTTTATTGCTATTAAACAATATTTTAGTAAATTTAATACAAAATTATGAGAAGCAATTTACTTTTGCATTTCTTATTTTACAAGTAATATTTATATTTCCTATTTAGATTGTAGCCATTTTTTAATTGATCATAATTGATATCGTAATGATCATTCCTTTTGACTTTATTATCATACTATTGTTTATTTGTAGACCAATTAATGATAATTACTTAAAAAATAGTCTTGGTTTAGAATAATATTAATTAGAAAATTCAAAATCTTTAATTATTAGTACTATATCAACAGTATTTGCAGCCCTACTGATTTTTTGATTGTAATTACATTTATTTTATTTTACATTTAATATAAAAATACTATCTTCTTTGAATTATAATTTAGGAAATAATTAAAACAATAATTATGAAATCATTATTTTTGTTTCTATATCTCTTTACAATTATAGTAGTTTGTCAAAAAACCATTCCATTAAGTAAATTTCAAGACTTGAAGAAGAAGAATAATTTGATTATTAGTACAACTTAAATTCATAAAACATAATCTTAAAATACTTAATCTGAGGATTTATTGAAGAAGAGCTAACCAAAAAAAAAACCATCAAAATGGCAATTTAAAGAATCTCAGTTATAAATTTTAGATCTTTTAAAACCTTTGTTTGGTGTAATAAAATTTATAATTAACGATCTTAGTTAAGAAAAAAAGATTAAAATAGAGATTAAAATGGCAAAGTAATAAATCAAAATATGGAAAAAGAGATTTAATAATCAAATAATACAGAAAAAATTGTAAATAAAAGCACGGAAAATGAGCAATTATTATATATATGGGATTAAAAAATGGGGGATTTTGAACCTGAAGTTACGCTAACTTTTGATTTAAGTCCTGGAAGTAGTGAAGTATTTTTCAATTAATTTTAAGGTATTTTTCGAAGAAATCTTAAAACCTACAACTATAAAAGGAGCATTTTTCATTTCATAATTATAGAAAGAAGAAAAAATTGATTTTTATATAAAATCTTCAAATAATACATTGATTTATTCAAAAGAGAGAGTAACAGAAGCAATATTTAATATTGATCTTTTAGAAAAAGGAGAATACTAATTTACATTTTAGAATAAAAGAGTATGAGAATCGCTATAAATTTAGACAAAAAAAACATAAACAATTACATTTACTTTAGATGTACATGATTCAGAATAGGAATTTTTGAAAATGGAAGATTTAGACCCTTTAGCATTAAAAATAGAAAGAATAGCAATGGCTATGAAAGTATAAATTAAATATATATAGGATAATTATTATTTTGATAAAATAACAGGATAACAATTTGAAGGTTATTTAAGAGAAATCTAAAATTCAAATAATAAATTGTTTTTGTTTAGTTTTATTGAAATTGTAGGTCTAATCTTTATTACAATTTGGTAGGTGTACTACTTAAAAAGAATTTTAGGTAATCAAAAATTATTTTGAGGTTATTAAATTAAAATAATATATATTATTAAACAGTGAACATTTACTCAATCTTACATGATGATATAAATAATATTTTTAGATATATAAAATAATGAGATAATAATAAATTTCTACACCTACAGCATAATTTGGACTTAGACACTCTTTACAAATTTAATCTTCTCCAAATATAAAATTATCCTAATATTCACCATATTTATCCCCATATTAATCGCCTTTATTATAATAAGCATCTTTATCATAATAAAGACAACCATTAAAATAACCAGATTTAAGTAATGTTAATAGAAATCTATTTAATGATGGTTAAAATAAAAAAGGCAAACAATTGTAAATAGTAGATTTGAATAATATTGAAGAGCCATGGAAATAAAAAGTTTAATAATTAGAGAAAAAGCTGTAATAATTATAATAATAATAATAACAATAAGAGTGTAATGAAAATGAGAGTGAATTATCTCAAGTCTATAGCCAAATTTAATAGTTAGTGAATACTATCAAAATATTACAAGAAGAAATTTAAAATTTGTAAGAAAAATCAGATATAAAATAAAATATAATTGATGGTTATGATTCGTAATTAAATGGAAAAGATAAAGAATTAGATGATTAAAATAATTATATCTCAGAATTACATAATTAACTAGAAGAGCAAACCTTATAAATTGATGATAAATAAAAATAGTTATTGGATGAAATAAATACTTGGAAAAAGAAATTTATTGAATAAAATAAGTATATTTATTATATAATTATAAGAGTATTACATTAGATCTAAGAAGAGTAAATTATGCTTTAGACTTAAATTGATAATCTTAAAAATATAAGATTGATGTTGAATAAATAAAGTGAAAATAAATAAACATGAACTTATTCTTTTTGTCCTCATTAATTACTATCTTTATTAACAGATTATATTCTTTAATAGTTATTTATTTATTAATCTACATTGTAATGAGGAAAATAGTCATCAAATTAGCTAATTTTTTCAAATGATTGTACAAAATTAGCTTCTATTGATATTCTTCTCTTTTTTTATTTTTTCTAATTATCAAGACTAGAGTAATTATTCATCATTGTTTAATTTTTTCTGGAATCTCTTTATTATTATTACTAAGGAATATCTGTTTGATATTTCTAATATTAAGCTTATTTGTTGGATTAATTCTTTTAAAATTTAATTCTAGTTTGAAAAAAACTATCCTAAACTCTTGATAAAGGATTATATTAAAAGGAAGATCCATTCATTTCTTCCTACTATCCATATTTTTAGAATTTAGATTAACCTACTTCTTTGATCTCATTCTAAATTATCTTTCTACTACTATTACTACTACTAATTCCTTAAACTGATAAGAAATTATCTGAATCCATTTTCTTAGAATACAAAGTCTATCCACTGTGGGAATAACTTATATAAGGAACAGAACTTATTTCAAGTTAATTAATAGGAGTATTATTCAAACTTAAAGAAGAAGAGTTTAATGAAGGGAGAATTTTATTAAAAGGTTCCACTTTATCTTTCTCTTCTGACTCAAAGGATTCTGAATCTTCTTAATTCATTTCGGATCTTGTAATTATTTTTTTTTTCTTTTTAGCTATTTCCTAACAAAATAATAATAAAATATTACTCTTTTAAAATCAGACACTCTATTTTATTCTTTATGAGCTTTATAACTATTTATTAAATAATATTTATTAGGTTTATAATTTACATATGGACAATTTGTTATATCATGAGCTTACAGACATCCAAAACAATAAATCTTTGCCAAATAAGGATCATTATCTAAAATTATTGTATCTACTAACATTCTATATTTTTAAAATTCTTTTGGACATTATTTAATTAATTATTGAAATTATTAAGAATTTAAATATGCAACTTTTGATTATCCTATACTCTCAAATTATATTCCTGACATTTAATTCTTAAAGAAAGCTCCATTATTAAAAATTTAAAATTAATTTACAATTTTTGTTAATTTAAATTCTTGTAATGAGGTATTACCTTTTTAAACTAATTAAATAACTCCTTATAAATGAATAAATAATGATTATTTTTATTCAATAATTTCATTAGGCAATAAAGTTTGTTCTTAAATTAAATCACAAATATTTAATATAGTCTATCTTGAGAAGGAATTATTAAATATTGGTATTTCAGATAAAATCTTAAAATATTTTTCTCGCTTCATTTTTCTTTATAAAAAATTAGGCATCATATTGATATCAAAGTTTTGTTATTTTGTTTAATAAGTATATTGATAAATCAATTTTTATGTTTTTGGCTAATAATTTAAAGAGTAATCAAGATTAAGTGACTAATAATTAATGATTTAACGAAATTTGTACATATAAAATACTATCAATAGTATTTTAATCAAATATATGAGAAAGTAATATTTTAAAATAATTTATGGAGTTGTGAATATAATAGTAAAAATATTTTCAATGTATGAAATATAATCTTATTCATTTAAAGTAAACATGAAGATGATAGTTTAAGCAAGAAATGTTGAAAAATGTAATTACATAGTTGTCTGTATGATAAATATGTAATCTTATTAATTAGAGTAATAATTTAAATTCTAAATAAAATTATTAATTTTCCTAATTCTGATTAAAAATAATAAATAAATTAATTTCTAAGATTCTGAATTGTCAATTTAATATGAAATAAATGGTATTAATCCCAAGTTATCAATAATGATATTTGCAATATTAGTTCTATAAAAAATAATTTGAAATGAAAATTCCATTACTTGAGTGATTAATAGAAAGTATTAGCATACAGATAAATTTGATATTAACAATTTATTGCACCCAATTTCGATCAATAAGATTGTGAGATAAAATAATAAAAAAATAACATAGATGCTAAATATGAAAAGTTTGGAAGTGGATTCACTTTTAAGGAATTTTTCAATTTAATCTTTTAATGGGACAAAGTATTGTGCTGAAATATCATTTATCAACTTAAATTACTTTTTTGAAAGAATTAAATTAGAAATAAGAGTAGTTTTCTCTCTGTATAATAAGGAGAAGGATGAATGAGAGCTCCTATTTTTATTAAAGATAGATTTCCTAAATAATTGATCCGAATCATTCTATTTTTTAATCATACTTAATTATTAAGAATCCTCTTTATTGCTGGGTTCTTCATTAATAAGAAGTAAATCTTGTTGATTATAGGGTGATTCTCTTTCTGATGCTATTTAAACACTAACTTATGTCAAAGTAGGAGATTTCGGATGAGTAATTTTCATTTATTGAGTTTCAGATTGAATTTTTCTACTTTCTTCTGAAGGCTTACGTACTCTCATTTATTACTGATTCATAGTTGACATGAGTTGAATAATAGGTTTGCACAAAGAGTCCTCATTTGGAGGAGTTGTTGTAGAATTTTAAATCATTATTTATTATATTAAATCATGCTTATTTAAGATTTGCCATCTCTGGTTATTCAAGAAATTCCTTTAATGTTTCAGGACATCTAGATGCACTCATACCACCATTTTATTTATTTAAGTCTTCATCAAATATAAAACATAATAACACAGCATCACATGCCATTCCATAAATAGACATAAACAAAACAGCTAATGCATATGCTATTATAAAAACAACCTAAATATATTCAATATATTACTATGCAAGGGAAAACTGGAGAGAAAATCTTTTCTTTAAAGTAATCCATAGTTGTAATTACATAATAAAAGATCATTAAAGTAACAATAGAGATGCAAAATTTACCAACAAAAATAAATGCTCCACCGATACCATTTACTAAAGCAAATCTCATACTATTAGCCCAAATAGTTTCAAAAGCAGCTTTAGCAGCTGAACAAAAGTTTTTACCAGTTAGAGCAATCATTATATAGGCATTATTATTTAAAAATCTAATGAATCTTTCAAAGCATGCCATACAGCAACTCAAACATTTTAATAAACATTTGACTGCTTTATTTTCAGAACCAGCCACTTTTTCAGTTTGATATCTAACATATTCTAGCATAATTCTTATAAGTTGTACAATAGCTAAAATTAAAGAACCAAATGCTAAAGAACCTGCATGATATCTAAAAACTCTATAAAGAGATTATGAAATAGCTCTTTCATCACCTCCAGCACCTTGTTATGCAAAATACCAAAAACAACATGTAGATGCAATAACAAAATTATTAACAGCTTAAATAAAAGCATTTATCCATAAACCTCCAAAAATGAAATACCAAAGATATTATATTTATAATTCAGTATGTGTGACTTCAGCAAATGGACTATTACCTGTTCCTTTGATTTCTCCAACTGCATAAACATATGATGCTGTATAAATCCACCAAAACCATAATCCTGCTAGGACTATGGCAGTAACTTAAGGAACAAATATTAATAAGAAATGATCTTTCACACACATTGCTGCAGTTTTAATAACAGCTATAGCTAATCTAATTTTGTTGAAAATGCAAATTAATCCAATGACAGCAAAAGCACAAATACCATACATTACATATGTTAAATATTAAAAAGTTAATTAATTATCTTTAGCTTTACTGGTTTGTTCAACTGAATATTTTCCTGTTTGATCTTTTATAATATCTTAATAATAGAGATCTTATTAATGACACCAAAATGTTCCAAATCCTAAACCTACTAAAAAGAGAAATATAGATGTCCAAACCAATACTCCTGCAAGTAACCTTGTAAAAAATAAATAAATTATTCTATTTAACATATCTATTAATAATATTACCCCATTAAAAATGCCACTGCAAATGAACAATATATGGCTTCCTTTGTTTAATTTAAATCTTCTATATAACCAGTCAAAACATCCATTGCAAATTAGGATCCATAATCTTTGTAATTTTAAAAAAGAGATAATAAGGCATCTGGATAACATACACGATCAAATACTTAGATTTACAATTTTAATTACAAATTGATGAATTAAAGATACACAAAAAATCTTTGAATGTTCCTGTGTTATTTGTTGTTGCAAATGATTTCAATGCATCGGCAGGATCACATTTCTATTAACAACTTGTAACCAAAGTATTTGCTTTACAAACTAATTCAGTTGGTTTTTTAGTTTCATCTAGATATAATGGACATTCTTTAACACATACAGTTCTATTGAAATAGTCTCCAAAAGGTATTGCAAAATATAAATAAGAATAATCCAAATTTTTATCAAAACCACAAGCCACTCCTATTATTAATTATTAAACATTCTTTACCATCTGGATCATACATTGCAAGAAGTCTCTCTGGTTCTCCTTTTAAATAAGCTTCTTAAGAAATGAATCTATAAATTTAAATATATTTCATACGCCAAAATAGCTATTCCAACAATAAAAAGTAGTAAACAAAGTATATCTGTACAGCCTCTTTCTGCCAATGGTCCAGCAATAAGTCTAGGATCTATTTGTTTCTAATTGCCCTATTGATCTGGTATTGTTGTTATTGCTTTTTATGATATTTCAGGGCTTGAAGTAACTTAGGAAATCACCTAAACTTAGTTGGCAGGCTAAACTTTATTATTTTTTCTCATTTATTAATAAAAATTAAAAGTAAATAATAATAATTCACAACACTTATAAAAGATTAAGTAGTCAAAATAATTTTTTATTATTTTAGTTTCAATCATTCCAAGCTTAATGTTTTAAAGTATTCAAACCAATACAAAAACAAAAAAACTGTTATTTTTATATATTAGATATTTTCTTTATTATTAAAATTATATATAAATGTAAAATAATTTATCTAAACTAATTTAAATAGATTTTTGTTTTCTTTCCTTTTTAAAAATATTAATAGAATCATTTTTAAATTATATTATATATTTGATAATTCATGTATTAAATAAAGTATTTTATTTAAGATGCAAGAATTTAATTTTTAAGTATATTAAAAACCAAAAAATGAATTTGATATAAGTTATGAAGAACAAATAAAACAAAAAAAATAAAGACTTTGGACAGGAAAACCTATACCTAAATAATAGGATAATTCAGATGATGATATATTTGATTTACCATAAAAAGAAAAATAAATTGAAATAAATAAAGTTGAACAAGAAATTCAAAGAAATCCTTAAGAAAATGTTTAAACATTTCAAAAAGTTGAAAATGATAATTATTAAATAGAAATTGTTGATGAAGAAGCAGCTATGATGAGAAGAAGAAGAGTTATATAATCAAGATTAGCAGAAGAATAATAATTATTATAATAAGAATAATAATAAACTTAAGAATAAAAAAAAGAGAAGAAACAAAAAAAGAAAGAAAAAAAAAACAAAAAGAAAAAAGAAGAAACTTTTAATTAAAATGAATATGATGAAAAATAGTAAGAAGAAGAAGAATTATAAGAATAATAAAAATAAGTTGAATTACTAAAACCAGTATTCGTTTCAAGAGTATAAAGAGATTAATTAGATAAAATAGAGGAGGAAGAAATTAGATTAAAAGAAGAAAAAGCTAAAAATCTTGAAAGAATGAGATTGGAAAATAAAATATTAATTTTAAATTCTGTTAAAGCTGATGCTTCAAAAGCAGTTAATGAAGATAGTGATGATGGTTAAGAAAAATTAAATGATGAAGATACATTAGATGAAACTGAATATGCATTATGGAAAATAAGAGAATTAAAAAGAATTAAATAATTCAATGATGAAAAGAATAAATATGAAATAGAAAAGGTTGAAATAGAAAGAAGAAGAAATTTAACAGATATGTAAAGAATTTAAGAAGATTTTAAATTGGGATCTGATAAAACTAAAATGGAAGAAAAAACAAAGTATGCTTTTATGTAGAAATATTATAATACCGGAGCTTTTTATAAAGATATGGAGGATCCTATTTTTTAAAGAGATTACAATTTACCAGTTGGAGAAGATTTATGGGTATGATTAATTTATTTATTATCACTTAGAGAAAGGATAATCTACCTTAGATCTTATAAAAAAGAAGAGGAGAATTTGGAAAGAAAGGAAACTCTAAATATACACATTTAACATAAGAAGATACAACTAATTTTGATCCAAGTTATTAAGTTGATTAAAATATCAGATAAAAATTCTTAAATTAATAAGGAGGATCAAAATCTTCACAAACTTTTTTCAAATAGTTTAAAAAAAATTGATTAATATAATATATAGATATATATAGTTTAATTTATATTAGAAATTTGATTTAATAATTAATAATAAAATTAAGAAAAAAAATATATAAATTATTTTCATTTGATTTTTGGATTATTAATTGCTTTGTTTCTTAATAACTGCTAAATTGTTTCCAATTTTAATGGAAAGGCTAAGCTATATAATCAATAATAAATACACGGTTATGGATATTGTTACTCAGTGTTAGTTCTTGGTCTATTTTATGGGGTTTTATTTTGATGCAGTTATTATTAACGTTATTTTTAAGCATTTAAATAGGATGAATCAGGAGATCGATTATTAACTCTATAACTAATAGGAGTATAAGAATTTTATTATTCAGTCATCACTTATCTCTCTGTTCTACAAGCATCAGATAGCAAAGTTTTCAATTGAGTATTATTATTATTAGGACTTTATTATTTAATCATGTTATTTAGATTATATTTGATATTGTTATTTTTATAGGGTTATAATTGAATTGTCATAATACTATTTATTACATCTTATGTAGTATCAGTATTTTAATTGCTTATGTTACAAGGATTAGATTATTTTTTTAAATAGATACTAAAATCAAAGTCAGCTTAATTTTATTATTTTGTTGAATTTCTTTGATTAGAAGGAGAGGAATCAGAACCTCTTTTTTTATTTATCATTTATTCTAATAGATTTGTTTAAATTTTAACAGTTTCACTAATAAGATTCTTTACTGATTATTATTAAGATTATTTTGGAGGTGATTTGGAATTAAGAAAAGATTTTATGAAATTTCCTGTTAGCTTAGGTGATTAGTCTTGTTTTTCAAATTTATTATTTGTAAGTTCTTTATTAATTTATATTTATAAAACCTTTCCTTTAACTTTTGATTGATCTAAATCTTCTATTATCTTTTCAGAAGCACTTGATTATAAGGATTCTTCTCGAATAACATCTAGATTAATATTATAATGTTTATGATAGCTTGTAATAAGATGAGATATGTATGGAGATTAATATGTAATATTTCTACATGCTATTTCAATAGATTTAAGATGATATAATTCACTTAACTTAAATTCTTCAGTATCTAATTTATCATCTTTTACACCATGTTATTTGGCCTTCTCTAATTCAACAAATCTTAATTCAGTAGCAATAGTAAAATAAGAAATGGAAAGATATATAACTTTTTCTAAGAGTTATCGTTTTGCTAATTCATAGATCATTTCTCCAAATTAAGTAAATTCTTCATAAATTTGAGGAGCCATATGCATAATTGAACCTATATTAAAGTTTTTGATCCACTCAGCTAAATTTTGAATACCTAACAAAGATCGATATTCTTCATTCTAAGAGACCAATTTCAACTCTTTTCTGATTTATTTTTCATTGTTTTCTGGGTTATTTCTCCAATTATACAATTATCGTTTTGTTTCTTTTAATAACTATTTTTTATCTGGACGAATAGAGACTAAATCCTCTTATTTAATCATATCCTTTAAAACATCTTAAGCGCTATCAATTACAAGCCTACCAAATTCAATCTCGTCTTTAACTTAATAAGTTTATCCGTTTTTCTTTTTATCAATATTATGAGAAGATTCATCTATATAATATAAGAAATATAACTTACTCCTTACTGAAACATTTGATTAAGATGTCGTAGCTGTACCTTAAGAACCATTTATTTATAACCATTACTAACAAAAATTATTGGCAATTTTAAACAATTCTCTCATAGTTTAAGCTGCTTTTTGTGAATTAATCAATGCTTACTTATGTCTATGTATAAATAAAAAATTACTTTCCTAATTAACTTAGTATAGCAGTATATTGTAAATAAGCTTTAACCAAAAATGTTTATCTCTTAATAAGTTAAGCTTATTTTTCTTAAAGATTTGGAAGAGTTTACAGATCTTATTCATCTTCTTTAATACCAATTTCCATGTTATAAATAACTCCATCTAGATATTTGGAACATTTATCTAAGATCCATTAACTGAAATAATAAGAGATACAATAACCATTGATATGCACAAGCTTAATTATACAAGATAATAATAATTAAGTTCCTATCAATTACTCTGCCACAGCTAGCAGCAAACTTATATATTGAATTTAATTGATACTTCAAGCATTTATTCTGATTATTATAATAGTTTCAATGCCTCTTTGTGTTTTTATTGTTTAATTTTTGTAGTAGCCTATTCATTCAAAATATTAATTTGTTGCATGAAAGAATCTAATATATGTAGTTTTTTTGAAATACCTTAGCTATTAAACAATTATTTGATATTAGTTGATTAAGTGTATTCTTATAAGTCTTCATCATCTTCTTCATCATAGGATTCTTCTTCTGGTTATTGTTCTTACTTGGAGTTATTTGAAATTGTTTGTTAATTATTCATTAATAAAATAATAATGGATTCAAAGAAAGACATAATTCTAAAGAAAATTGCAGAAAATGAAGAAACAACAATATAAAAGCTTCCTCCTTAAATAAGATTAGCTATTCCTTTAAAACATAAAGTTTAATGCGGTGGAGGCACATTTGAAATTTATACACATTATGAATTATAGCGTAATATAGGAAATGGAGCATTTGGTTTTGTTTGTTCAGGAAAGGACAAATTAAATAATATAGATGTTGCCATAAAGAAGGTATAAATATAAATGATAGATAGATTGCTATGGTTTTTAGAGATTTGCTTGATGCAAAAAAAGTGTTAAGAGAAATAAAACTATTGAGTATAATTAATATTTAAAAATAGAGTTTTTTGATAATCCAAACATAGTGAAATTATTAGATATCATTGTTCCTGATGAATAGGAAACATTTAAGGATTTATATTTAGTGTTTCAATTAATGCATTTAGATTTAGAGAAAGTTATATAATCTCCTTAACCATTAACAGATAAGAAAATCAATTGGTGTATGTATTAAATTATAAGTGGATTGTATTATATGCATTCAGCAAATATCATACATAGAGATTTAAAACCCAATAATATATTTATAAATGCAAATTGCCATATAAAAATTGGTGATTTGAATTTAGCTAGAAAGTAAGAAGTAGAAAATGCTTCAATTCAAACTGATTATGTTGTTTAAAGATGGTATAGAGCACCTGAAGTTTTATTATCTTCAAGTGAATATACTAAAGCTATAGATATATGGTCTTTGGGTTGTATATTAGGTGAACTTTTGGGAAGAACTATTTTGTTTAAAGGAATGCATCATCAAGAATAAATTGAAAAAATAGTTGCTGTTCTTGGTAAACCTAAATAATAAGATTTACCATATGAAATTGATGAATAATCAACTGAATTTTTATAATAATTACCCGAAAGAGAAGCTATAAAATGGGCAGACTTCTTTCCTTTTGCTTCACCTTTAGCATTAGATTTATTAGAACATATGTTAGTAAATTAATTTTGAATTATTTTAGGTTTATAATCCTAATAAACGATATACTATTCAATAATGCATTGAACATCCTTATTTTAAGTAACAATATATAGATCATCCACCCCAAATCTGTAAAGAGTCCTTTGATTGGTCTTTTGATGACATTGAACTTAAGGAACAATCCTTAAGAAAAGCTTTGTATCAAGAAGCCCTAGAATTTATAAAACCAAAAAAATGATAGTAATATTGATTTATATACTTAAATCAAGTAAAAAATTTTCTCTACAAATGCAATTAAGGAAAAGCTTGCATCATATTAATTTTTTTCGGCGATACTTTTTGTTCTTTTATAAAGAAGTTATTCGCAAATGTAAAAGCACATTCATCTCTAGTTGTTGGTGAACTTTATTTAGATTCAATCTAAGGTAATATTTTACGCTTATAATTTTAAGATATTGATTGCTTATCTAAATAATATCCATATTCTTCTGCTGTATTCTACTTCTCATGTGGCTACAATAAACTACGAGAATTTCTTTAAGACAATAAAAGTTCAGGTATTTCTTTTCTTTATTTCATTCTTGTATCAATTATTTTCTATTTTTAATTTATCGTAATTCTAAGTCTTTCATTTTCTGAGATTATTCTCTTTATCTAATCTATTGGATCTACTTTTTTAACTGTAACTAATTATTTTTGAGAATTGCTGTTGAAAAAATTCAATTGATTCCCTCTTTCATCATCTTTTGGAGATATCAAACCTTATATATGATTATTTTCACGAGATTCTCTAACATTTGTTGATGGTGTAACAAGACCATCTGTCAATATTCTGTCTAAAATTAACAAAAATCATCATACCAGGAATTTATACAGCTTTCTTTAGTTTTAGTCCAGCCTTTTTTTTTAATATTATTTTTTAGCCTTGATCAATCCATTTCAAGTCCATATATGATCTTAAAGCTTTAATTTTATATTAAAATTAATTAATTATGCTAATCACTGATATTTATGATACTCCATACTCAATCTAGTATAATAATCATTCTATATATACTATATATATTAATATTATATCTAATTATAATTTATTCTATCAACTATTTCAACTCATTAAGTAACACAACTTATAGAATAAAAAAGACAAAAAAATTTATTAATGGATCAAAATTATTTCCTTCATTCTTATTCACAGCATAACAATTTAAACGTTATTTATAACCTACCAAATAGAAACAAGATCTCTTAAAATTAATATTATAATTTATATCTTATTCTTTTAAAATCCTATTATTCTTTTTGTGAATCTTTGTAATTTCTTAAGATTTTCATTCTAAAATTTTAATAGACAAAATAACAATTAAATAACATATTTATTAAAAAAACTTCAAAACATTTTGAAAAATATTTTACAACTTATCCATTAAAATTGTATCAAAAATATTGTTAATCTTTTGAGTTTTTTAAACTATTATAAATTATTACTTGTTAGAGATTCTTTTTTATCTACATTTAGTTATTATATCTATTGATTTGCTAATTTATATTTTAAAATCATACTCCATAATAGAGATTAATTAGGTCTTTATATAATCTATTTAAAATAGTTTAAAATTATTCTTCTATTTTTATAGAATTTTTAATCATATTCTATTTGATTAATTGATATATTTCTCACTGTGCTTATTTAAAAGATAGTTATATTGATTATTAATAATTAATTTAAACAAAACCTTAGTCATTATAATTAATTAGATTAGAAATTAATATTTATCAAAAAATTATGCATTTAACGCATACCTCAGGGTTGCTGTGAGATTTTTTATTTTTAATCTCATCTTATTTATGATATTTGAATAAGGGATGCTATCTTGAACTAATTTGATAATGTTCTTCAATTAATTCTAAAGAGGAAGTGGATTTATACAAAAGAGACTATGTTTATGATTTACTTTTGTAAATAGTACTTTCACTTTAAACAATTTTGTTTTTATAAACTTCAAATAAATTATCTCTGTAATCATCAATTAAATTCATCAAGATTTCATAATTTTGTATTTAGCATGATATTTTAATAAATATTTTATCATTAATAATACCTTAATATTTCTCATTTAAAATATTAAAATGCTGATTATTTTTAATTTATTCTTATTAAAACTAATAATGTAAATCATCTATTTAATTTTAATAAATCTAAGATAATCTAAAGATGCAAATTTTATCAAATTCATTTTCTTAATAGTTCTCAACATCTTAAATTTCACTTAGCTCTTTTAAATCCTGTATTTATTAATGAATTAATGATTTAATACGGGAAATATTTCTAAATGTTAAAAATGATTTACAATTTGCCATCTTGATACATAGGGTATGCTTTCTTTTTTTTTGGATTTGATGGAATGTTGAAAAAGATGTCCAATGAAATCTTAATTTACTACACAGCAGTATTAATAGATTGTAACTTTGATATAATTTGATAAAATACTTCAATAATCTTGAATGAATAGTTCCTTATAATATTTGGGTTGACATGTCCTAATTCATTTTTGATTTGATCAACAATAAACTAATAATGAATTAATAATTGTTACATCTACATCCCGTTGATACTAATTAGAAAGAGTTTAGGATTAGTAAATCAATTGATCAACATTATCAAATAGTGTATCAATAAGCTAAATAACTTTAGGAATCATTAGTTATGTATTAAAATAATTTTTATGTAATAATTATCATAGTTTATATTTTTTTTTTTAATTGCTTGATAATTCCTTCTCCATGCCTTTGGGTCTCACTAAAATTTCTTAACCTTATAAAACACTTTTCATAATTTATTCATCTAAAACATATTAATGTTTTAAAAACATAGTTCTAGTTGTACTACCTAATTTGTATTTGAACATTGGTATTCTCAATGAAGGATGGATAAAATATGTAAAACCTCTAAAATTTTCAATATCAAGGGAGAATGTTTTGCTATTCAATCCAAATAGAGAATAAGAATCCATCACAATTGATTTTCCATTTGGTGATAACCACAAATTAAAAAGAGTTTTATTAGTTTTCCAATAAAAAAAAACCATTCCTATACCAAGGGCAGCCATTATAATAATTGAATTTTCCATTCCAGATCTATATGAAGCTGCAGTTAAATCTTAGATGAATAATAAAACATTAGAATACCATTTAATGCATATTAGGAATTTTCTTTGTCTTAGATATATTAATAAGCATTATATCCAATCAATCCCAAGTAAAATAAATTGAAAAATTTAATGTTTCTTCCCTCTGTTGATTTATAAATAGTTAATAGGTCTCCATTTGGAAATTTAGATGGATCAATATAGACACTAAATTTATTGATTATTTTATAAATCATTAAAAAGATGGATATAAGAATTAAAATATTTCTTTATTTGATGATGAGTTTTGAATGAAATAATGATATATTTGAAGGATTTGAAATCATTTTAATGAAATTTTATACATAATATAAATTTTTAGTTCCAAAATAGAAGACTATGCTTATAATATATTAAGGGGATGTAATTTATATCAGAAATAAATTTAATTAAGAGTGATAGATGAGCTTATCTCATATTTTTGGATATATAAAAAGCTTAGAATCAAAAAATTCCTTACAAATAGCTATAGCCTATATTTTGATTGCTTACTTTTTTCATGCTGTTTAAATAACATTTTACAAATCAGGACATTTTAATATAGTACCATAAAGTTTATTTTTGAGATCCTTTATTTCAATAATCTTTTTATTTTTATTCTAATGGAAAGAAAACTTTTATCCAAAGAATAGAACTAAATATTTATTACAATCATAAACGTTAGGTGCCTTAGGATCTTTATTTTATTTTTATGGAATTAATTTTATTTCCCTTTCAGAGGGAGCTATTTTATTTGCCACAAATTCAATTTGGAGTTAATTAATGGTGAGTTTCATGAATGGAGAAAGAATCACAAAATCTCGATTTTTGAATTCTATTATATGTATAATTGGCATAGTGTTAGTTGTCAACCCGACAATCACAGTAGAAGACCCTTTTATGCATATAATTGGTTGTTCCTGTATCTTGATTTGTAGTGTGATTTAATCACTCGGATTTATTATAATGAAAAAGATTGGTACTGAAGTTCCATCTACAATTACTACATCATATTTTCATATAATGGTCATTATTACTTCAAGTTTACAATAATAATACATAGGTAGATTTGAGTATTTTAATGGTTATTTTTATTACATAGCAGGATTTGCTGTTTTTACTATGTTGGGTTAATTAATTTAATTTAGAGCATAAACATTAGTGACATATGATAAATTATGTAATTATACTTACTCATAAACATTGTATATTATTATAATAGACTATGTCATTTTCAATAAAATACTTAGTTTGAATGGGATTATAGGTGGAAGTTTGATTTTATTTGGTGTTTTCAAATAATTAGCAGAAGATAAGAAATCAAGAAATTGATATATATATTTGTGTATGAATATGCTAATAATAATATTACATAGATATGTAAATTATATATATATTTAATTGTTTAATTTTCAAAATTTAGTCTTGGTGAAATGTCTCAAAAAGCATATTAAAGTATAATGGATGCCAACATTTCTGCTACATAATTGTTATAAGAAGGTAAAGAAGATTAAAAACAAATTTAGAAAAATACAATTAAGGTTATTAAATATTGAGGAGAATTGAAACTACTCTAAAGTAAGAAAAGGAAGCTCCTACTATTCCATTATCATAAATTAATCATCTACTTTCTGTGGTAACCAATAATATAGGTTGTTTTTATTACATGTAAAATTTATTCATATTAACATAAGGGTTGATAAATTTCAAGCTGCTGAAAAATATCTCAAATAATCTATTGAATATTTATAATTATCAATTCCAGATGAAACTTTACTTATTACTTTAATTAATTTAGTTATTCTCTTTATTAAAAATGAAAAATATTCAGAAGCTAGCAGATATATTGAATAAAGTTTTACTGAATTAAATTAACTATAAGATCAACAACTTAATCCAAAAATTAGACTATTTTTAGGAGATCATTCTTCCATTATGACTTTGTAATCATTAGAAGCTATTTTACTTTTTTATAGTGGATTAACATTTTATGAATTAGGATAATAAAGTAATGCACTTTAAGCTTGGAAAAAAGTACTTGATATTTTATAATCTAATACTAAATCACCTTATTATATATTAACCAAATCTAAAATTCAAAATTTAGAAGCAGAAAATGTAGCTAAAAATAATAAAGGTAATTTATATTCAAGTAGGTCACATCTTAAGTCAGATAGAATTAATAAAATTTTAGAACAATATTCTAAAGATAATGAAAAATCAAATTAACAAAGTTTTCGTTTATTAAGTTAAAAAATCAAAAAAAAAGTAAATTTAATAATATAAAAAGATAGGTAATGAAATGGGTGAGTATCAATAACCAAAATGGTAAAATAAAATTGAACATAATGAAAAAAAGATAGAGATAAATAATTATTTTAGTGATTAAAAGAAAATACAATTACAAATTAATGTAAAAGATCTCTTGCATCAAAAATCTATTACTTAAAGAGATAAAACAAGAGATATACCATTGAGTTCTCATAGCTCTTCTGTTAATTAATAAATTAATAAAGCATTAAAAAAGAGACCTACTTAGCATATTGAAATTATTGAAAAGTTAAATAAAACTCATAATGAAATATATAAAAGCTATTTAGCATAAAGAAGTAATAATGGAAGTAAAACCTAACGCGGAGATTCAAGTATGAATTACTTAATTCAAATTTAGACATTGATATTAGAATCAAAGTAAATGACAAAAGTTCTCATTCCTAGAATACAATTTAGCATAATAAAAGTAATGATAAAAAGTCTGTTGATCTTAGAGAATCACCTGAGTTATGTGGAAGTCCTTAATAATTTTTTAATATGCTTTAATCAACATAAAGTGTAATTAAAAGCCAATTAATGAGATCTGGAAGTTAAGGAAGTGTATCTTAAACATCTCCTTTTAGATTAGCTTAAAGTTAAGGAGATTAACCTAAAAATAATCCCAAATAACCTTTTGATTATGCAAAAACTCATAGACCTATGGTTGATACATATGATAAAGCAATAAAAGAATTATATTAAAATTAATATGTTCAAATAGAAAATAAAAAATTCAATAGAATATTTGATTTAGCTCAAAGTGTTAAAAATAGAATATCAAATATTAATAAAATGCTAATACAATAAGAAAAGAGTTAGTAAAGCCTTTAAAAATAATTTTAAGAAGAGTTTAATTAATCAAATGATGAAGATAGTTGTGAGACTATCATTAGTATGGACTGAATTATGTAAAATATAATCACTATTAATAAAAAATATATATCCGATAATTAATTTGATGGATTAAACTATTGATATGAATTAAGACAATAATCCTGGTTCACATATCTTAGTAGACCTTTAGAATCTTGAACTTCAATACTCATAACCAAGAAAAAATTAGGATGACAAATATACAATATATTTCTTGTTTTTTCAAGGAATTGTTTTATTAATTTCTTTAGTGAGTCTTTCAATTGGAAACTAAAAACAATTAGGAAAACCTATTGATTCGAATGGTATTAACATGTATTCTAAATTATGAGGAAATATTTGTGGAGTAAGTCTAGGATTTGAATAGTACAAATATATTTATTTTACAAATCCGGTAAATGATAAAGATTTAAATATAACAGTTTGTGTAAGGGAATGTCCGTTAAATTAAAATTATCTTAATGGTTTTAAATATAATATTTCTTAGACTCTTTTGAATTATAATGTATACCAAACCAATTTATTTCAACATGCAAAAATACTCTATCTACTCAAAACTTCAATTTGTTATACTATGATACTCTACATTTTGAAAATATCTGTTTACCAAATAATCCAAAATATTTAAATAATGTTTTGAATGCTATAAACAAATCTTAAATTCTATTATTTTTTTAGGATTTCAATTATGGAATTCAAATAATTATTTGTACATTTTTGTTTTGTCTATTGCTTAAGTATTTATATAGATAGATTTAATAGCTAAATAGTATATTTTTTGATTATAAAATTATAAAAGAAAATTATTTGGGTGATCTTAGTTGCATTAATCATTAGCCTCATCATATTAGCTTTAATAAGTCTTATTCATTACTTTTATGAAAATAGAATTTAATAAATCAAACAACATCAAAATTAAAAATTAACACTATCAGAAATAATTAATATTGTACAAACATAAAATTACAAATTTTAAGCTATTTAATTTCCTTTAATTTTCAGTGCTTTTTTTGTTATTATGGCAATATATTATATTTTGGATTTTATTTTGAATTATAAGAAATATAGGAATATAGGATTAAAAATTGCGATAATTAATTATTTTTATGATTATCCTTAACAAACTTAACTAAATTCACACTACAAATCTATGTTTAAAATTTTTTATTTAATACCGATTTTCATAGTATTAATTTTAGTAACAATTTTCTTCCTTTGGGTTTTTATTGCAAAGTAACTAAGCTTTTTAATTTAGCTCTATTTTAACTATTGGAAGTTTATCAATATATAAATATCCATTTGATGCTTTTCAGCCAAATTGGATAACATATATATTTGGAATAACACATATTTTAGAGTTAATTCTAATCTTTTTGATAGTATCAGGTTTAAGTAAATTTCTTACAATTGGTCTCATAATGGAAAATTATAGATTTTTTATCAATTAAGATCAAAGATATAAATAACTTAATGAATATAAATCTATTTGGAAAATTCTTTAATATAATTTTACCCATTTTGGAACTATAATTTCTGGTTAAATTTTGATAATATTCTTAAAAATACCAAAAATTCTTGTTAGAATATATTTATGGATTGTTAAATCTATATATTCAAATTATCAAACACCAAATTTGATATCAAATATTCTATCTATCAATGATAGGGCATACTTACTTTCATATTTAAAAGCTAAATAATTCTTATCTAATACAAAATCCTAATATATATTTGATTAGAAAATGATGGATTAGTAATAGATTTATTAACATGGGAAATAGTTAACTGATACCTGTTGTTTTGCCATTTCAAATTTTTGCTTGTTTTTTACTTATATACTCTTGAAAATGACTAAAACAACAATAATTATTTAAGAACCAAACAACTTTCTTTTTTTATCGTTTTTTTCTTCCTATTTTGTACATTTATATGGTTATTTAGATGACAAAATTTTTTACTAATATTTACGGAATTACAATTGATATTTTAGAGATATTATTATATAGAGATGCAACAAGTGATGGTAAAATTGTAGGAAAAAGTGTTAAAATACCAATAAGACTTTTAAGAGATGAAATAATATGATATAATGATTTATAAATAATTATTAAAAGATATCTTATTAAAAACTAATTTAAGAGTGATTTTCTTATGAGAATGGAGTAAAATATAAACATCTTTGTATCATCATAAAAATAAATTTAATGAATTAACAATAAGAAATAAGTGCTAAAGAAAATAGTGCAGATTTTTCAACAACGTAATAAGAATGTAGAAATGGTAATGCTGCAGAGCATTAACTATCAAAAAAAGAACAATTTTTACTTAAGTGTACTAAACATTAAGACATTATGATCTACAAAAAGAGGTATTAAATTGGTGATAGTGTATTAATCAAGACAACTAATCAAATAGAATAGATTGGATTGATTTAAAATTTTTATAGTTATCAACAAGATGATAAAACAATAGTTCCTTTAGTTGAAGTTTAATGGTAAATCTAAATTGTTTCATTTCAGGTATTGTACTTATTAAGATCTTGCAGACTCAATAGATAAAGACTCATTTTCAGAATGTGAGTTATTTTTAACTGATTAAACTACTATTCTATTTATTGATTGCATCTAGGCAAAATGTTTTGTTATGAATATAGATGAATTTGAAAATACTGGAACATCAAATGCTTATTTTACTAGAGCAAAATATAATACTTTGACTAAACAATTAGAACCTCCAATTTCTTAATGGAAAAAGGTTTGTATTTGTGAATAGCCTTAAAATCCTGTAAATTATTTATTTAATTTTTAGGATTTATTATATATCTAATGTGATCAATGTAATAAATGGTTTCATTTATCATGCATGGGATTAACATAAGAATAAGCAAATTAAATGGAACAATATAGTTGCAAAATTTGTAAAAAATGAGTGTATATTTTTATTCAAATTATAAACTTATTCATCAATTTATTTGCATTTACTTTACTTATAATAGATCTAATGTTATCTATTTTTTTTATAGCATTTATTTCTTTTATTGGATTGTATTTCTAATTTTATTATAATTTCTTTTAAATAGAAATGCTTTGTCCATATAATGAATTTAATTTTGCTAAACTCATAAAAATATTATCATACCTTCAGTCTCACTAATTATGGATTCATCCAAAAATAATTGATTATCTTCTTCATCTGGAAATTTCTTATTTCTTTTAACGATACGTTTCATTGATGTTTAAGGTCTTCCAGAGTATTCTTTTGAATGTTCAAACTTTTCATTTGTCAAACTATTAGTGTTGTTTTATACTTACTTATAGTTTTCTAAATTTCCTAATTCTTCAGTCAATTTAGATATTTATTAATAAGGCTAGCGTGGAATTTAATTCATAATATAGTCTGAAGTGGCTCTAAAGGACTACATTCATTAAATTTAATATCATTTAGTACTTTAAGATAGTGATTGTATATAATTTAATGTTATTAATTCTGCTATTTCAAATTTGAAATCTTAAAACCTATTAGATTATCTGATTTTTATCTAAGAATAATTAATAAAATACTTAATTATTGCAATCTATTTTGATCTGATCTTAATTTTATTGTTAAATTCTTGTATTCATCAAATTATATAAATACTTTATTAATTAGAAGATTCTATTTCATTTGATATATTTCTACTTTGTATTCTGTCTCTAAATGATTCCATGATTAAATTTAAATGATTGAGTCTCTTCTCATTTTAATATTATTAATTATGATTTTGATTATCTAATTTGCTAAAAGGTTCATCTTGATAATTTTTATCTACTTCTTAAATAAAATGTTTAATCTAATTGTAATCAATTTAATGTTTAAAATCAGAACTTATTTTCCTATTAATAGATGGCTAAGAAAGATTAATAATAAACTTACTTTGAAGTGACATGAATTAGTTTTTCTTTACTTTTCTATTGCAATATAAGGTTTGGTATCGGCAACATCTTCATTTATTTTGTTAATTTTAATCCATAATTTCTTATTTGCACTTTATCTTTAAGTATTTTAAGAAGTTCCTCTATTTAAGTAAGAAGTATCTATACGACTTGTTGGTCTGTTAGTAGTTAAAGCTGACTCAGAAGTTAGTTTATTTGATTTCAACATATAAATAAATAAAATTCATAAATAGTAATTCCTTTTAACTAAATATGGTTTATTATAATTGCTTTAGTTACTTAACATGCTGTTTTTTTAATTGCTATCGAAATAATCATTTGAAAAATATTTGCTATTTTACACCATGTTTGTAGGTGTCTAATTAGTTGAAAAATTTAACTAAGTATTATTCATAATATTTGAAGTATTTAGTTAAATTTTATTACAATTAATATTTCTGCTAATCAAACTATCAAGATGATCAAGAGATAACAAAATTGTATTTGCTGAAATCTCATTCATTTAAATCTTACTTATATCAAAAATTTATAATTTTCCAAATATTTCTTCAATCTTTTTCTAAATTTTGATTAATTAGGAATTAAAATCAATTATTAAACTATTATATATAATATATTTACTTTTCATAATATTCCACATCTGCTTATACTTTTATTTATAATGTATTATATTTTTGTTATATCTAATTCACATTTTACAACTCATCAATCTATTTAAAGTATTAATTATTCAAGTCTTAATTTATTTAATTTTAATCTATTATCTATTATTATAACTATTCCATTTATTCAACTTATTCTTGTCTTTCCTATTAAAGTTTTTCTACAGTCTAATTTAAATCATAAATCTACTAATTTAAATTAGCTTCCTTCTCTATGATATCTGAATTTTATTAGAGTAACTCTTAATACTATTAAGTTATTGTAATTAATTATTTATTCTACTATTCTATCTAAAATAATTAATTGTTTAACTTCTCTTAATACTCTCCTAATTTCTAATGCAAAATCAATTACTATTAAAAATCTTAAAGAGTTTATTTATTGATTCTAATCATCTAATCTAAACCTTATTATTATTTTTGAATAAAATTAGTATTTCTTGATGATTTTAAATTACTATCAAATTCACAAACACTTTGATTATCCTAAATCTGAGTAAATTATAATTAACTTTGTTTATCATCAGATTGTCTAACAATCATTTAAATTTAAGATGCACTATCATTAAATTTCCTACTTAAATCTTTATTTTGCTATTCATAATCTTATAGTTATCTTTGCAATATAGTAATTTATGATTGATATTTCATAATTTCATCTTATAATAAACTTTTGCTTCTATTTTACATTTCATTTAGTTCTTTTATGAAATCCTCCTTCTCCATCAATTCAACATTATACTATTCAATCTACTTTTATAATTATAAAATCATTATTTTTGCTTCCTTTTATTTTAAATCTTTTTAATCATTTTGTTATTTTAATTATTCAGCAATATCTTTCTATTTATCAACATAATCTAATAAAGATTCTTTTTCTTATTCTAATTAATTAATTGTTTAATTTGCTAATGTAAGTTTAGAAATAGCTTATTCAATAGATGTACTTAATTCTTAATTCTATCTTTAATATTCTTTAAAGTCCACTTATTCATTTATATTGTTCTCATAATTTTATATTATTACTTATAAATTTTAAATTTATTTTTCATAATTATCTTTCTATTTTTTCAATTCCATATAAAAATCAACACATTTTCCACTGTTTTATTTGATAACAAAAACCCCACAATTAAACAATTTTTTTTCCAACTCCAATTTCAATAAGTTATTATAAACAATTAATTATTCATAAGATTAGTGTTCACTCTCAATTGATTGATTATGATTACTATAATGTGTTGATTAAGTTGATTATAATGGAGCATATTATTATTTCAATTTATTCAAATATGAATTAGGTTAACTTGGTGATTTCTTTTTAGTATAATTGTTAGGTGGTAGGCTACTATTATGGTAATTATTAATATAATTTGAATCTTGATTAGATTTTTTAGTATTCTAATTACCAATCTAATTATAATTCTAAGGAGCAAAAGTATATTCTCTATGTGAATAATGAATGCTAGATGGTTTTTATTTTTATTATGAGACATCTACTGCTTAACAATAATTGTCAATATAATTTAAATTCATTAATATTTTTATTAACTCAAATATCATCATAAGCATTCTTGATTCCCTATTTAAAAGTATTAAATATTGTTGAAATTGTTTTCTCACTTTTGTTTAGTTCTTCTTTCAAAGGCAAGAATAACTTATGATGCAAAGAAAAGTAATATGCTTGATCTAAGTTAATTGCAAAATAAAATCCTGCTGTAAATCCAATTAATAAGTGTCCAACTTACAATTTAGTTATCATTTATATTTTTTTATTAAAATTATTAATGGTTAATAGAGTATTCTAAAATTGTATTAAGAAATAATATGATTTAATAATAAAACTTTATTATAAATACCCTGATCAAATTATTTATATTTACTTAGTAGAATTTATTATATATATAATAGTAATAATAACTTCATATTTTTAGATCTTAAACACTCTATCTTTGTTAAAAATCCTTTTTAAAATGCGCAGTTTCAGTAAAAAATGTTTGATTATCATTTTCCTTATCTTATAATGATTTTCTTGTATTACACATCCTAGTCTATTAGGTTTATGAAGTATTGAGATGTTATTTTAATTTTGTCTCTGATTTTACAGAACTTATAGATTAATTTCTACTTTCTAATCTATTTTATAAATTTCCTTGTCTCAAATTAATATTAGGTTTGAATGTTAACTCTTTGTCATATTCTTATTATATTAAATTTAAAGTTCGCTTTCTTTTATTAACATGGTTTTTCATTCTTTCATAAAGTGATTCATTATTTCCAACACTATTATTTTCTTTGATTTTAGGATTAGTCTTTTATCTTTTTTAACTTTCATCCTAACCTACTTATCTAGATTTAGATGATAACATATATAATCGATCAAAAGCAGGTTAAGAACTTGGAGAAAAATTAGAATGAGTATTTATTTTAGGTTTGAATGTACAATTCTCTAATTATTTTTCTTCTGATTCAATTTTTTAAAATACTTTTATTTATTATTTCTCTGCTGATTCATTATGTAATCTCACAAAGACTAATTATATATATAATACATTATTACTATCTTCTCCACTTCTATCTAATTATCTAAAGGATATTTAAGGTTTAAATGTACATTATTGAAATTCTTTTTCTTCACTTGTTGGTACTAAACTTAATTTCATATTATTTCTATTTATCGATTCTTAATATAATCGATCAAAAATTTATTCAATAGGTTAATAATTAGAAACAGATTATTATTTATTAATACAAGGAGTGAATGTACATTAACTAACCTCTTATTTTTATTTAGTTTCTGAAAAGTTATTCTTACAGGCAAGTTAAGTTTTATATAATCTATCAAAAACTTCAGTGTCGTTAGAACCTAAATTATCTGAATTTATTTATGGCTTAAATGTACATTCTCTTAAATCTTATTTATATTTCTCCTGCTCAAAATATTCTCTATGTCAGTTAGCAAAATTTTTACTTTTTTACTTTTTAAGATATTCCATCTTAATATAATCTCTCACATGTATCATTCAAACCCATTTAACTTAATTTAGATTTATTCACAGAAGATTAATACTCTACTTAACAGGATGACTTTTATGTAATGTTTAATTATTAGATACTGCTCAAAATCTTTTAAGAGTCTGAATAAGAATTTAATATTTTAAATGGCTTTGCATATGTCATTTTTGCTATTAATCGAATTAAGCATTAAGGATTTTATTTTCTCTTTTATTTTAATTTCCAATTATCATATATTCTGTTTGCCATATCAAATGAATCTGAAGCAGTAAGATTTTTTAAATAATCAGATAATTAAAACATCATGTTGTTAGTTGATATGTATGATTTTTCGGTAATTATTCCTGTTTCAACTAAATATTCAATAAATTATGCCATTTTATAATTAAATTTATAATCATTTATTTAATCTATTAATAAAGCTATGTCTTCTTAGTTCTGTATATAATTTTCAATCCTTCTAAAATCTAGACATCACTTTTTTAGTTCTTCCATTCTTGATTATACTTTCTTTGTTATCCGACAAATGTTGAACGATTTAATTTGCTTAGTGTTCTTTCTTATCTAATTCCTATAATATTCATAATATAATTACTTCAATAATTTATTATTTATCTAGAGAATTTTTCTTAAAGTTACTTTAAATGTCAATCTAGCATAATATAATTCATATTTTATTATAAGATAAATCATAATCTTCACTTTTTTAAAGTTTCTTGCAATCAATTCAGTTCTCATATTCTTTAATTCTTATTTTCTTTCTTTTGCATTTTTAGCTTTACAAAACTAATTTTTTTATTTTTTATCAAACTGTCTTTCAAATTAACTTTTTTGCTATAATCTTTAAACTAATTTTTTTTTCTTTATATAAAATTATATTATTTAATATTCTTATTCTTATTTTAGTGATTGTTAAATTTCATTTTGTTAATTTAAGCTTATTTTTCTTCATTAATTTATTCATTTTATATTTTAATACTAAAGTAATTTCTTTCATAATAGTTATTTGAAATTGTTTTTAATCTCCATTTTTAATTCAAAATCATCTTTATATTCTACAAATTTTAAATTGAGCAATTGAGAAATAGCTAAATTTTTTAGAAAATATCATTCATTAAACCGGAAAATATTACAGTAAAATAAAAGGCTCAAAGGAATATTTGAAGAATTTTATTTAAAATCTTATAAAAATAGTCATTTTTATATTAGAAAATCTATAATTTTCTGTATCAAATTTTGATTTAAACATTGCTTGAATAATTCTTAATTTTTTAATTGAAAATAGTTCTTTAATTTTAATAAAATTTAGTATAATTTTAATAAAATTTGTACTAAATTTTATTATTTAATAGAATCACTATAATTATTAGGATTATCAAATATATTAAATTAATTACCTAAATTATCATCATTCCAATCAAAAATAACAATATTTTTATTACTATTATTTGATTATATTATCAATTTATTATTAGTTATTTGATTGTATTATCAAATTTGACTTATTTAGAAGAGTATAATTATTTTGAGAGTCATTAATAGTTTTTATATTTAATTCACTTTTCTAATATTTTAATTACTTTAATTTAAAAGAACATGATAATTTGTAAATAGTTTTATAATTTCTATTTTTATCTTCTTTTACAATAGATTGATTTATAGATTGTTAAATAATTATCTGTTTATTAAGATAAATTGAGATTGTTCTTGGAATAGAGCATGATTAAAATAAAGTGATGAAGTTTTGGATAATTGTTAAATAAATTAATTTTCATGATTTATAATAAACTATGATATCATCAACTCCAAAGCTGCCATCACATGGATGTCTTTTATGATTAGCTTAAAATGATATAGTAAATTAATGTGATTTATGTTCCATAGTAAATTAAACAGGGATTCCAAGTGCAAATAAAGCTGGACAAGGATGTTCTGCTTATGTGATTTCTCCTTAAAATACTTTAGTCCATGCAATTTTATTATCAATTAAAACATTAATGCTATCACCATTCCAATCTCCAAATACAGTTAATTCAGCACTAATCCTAATATGATTATGTTCTATATTTGTATTATACGTTTTCTGTAGACTCGGTGTATTTACATTACAATTAGCTTCATGAATGAAATGATCATTTTATGAAATGTTATCTATATCTGTATAATGGATTCCTTTAAGTTCACAATAAGCTTTATGAGGAATATTCCATCCAAGCATAGAGTTCCTATTTTCAAAATCATCATGGTGTAGAATTGTCCAAGTTTAAACAAATCCAAATTAATTATACAATGTAGTTGATCTTATTGGACCAGATTATAATAAAATTGGACTTTCAAATATTATTGGTTTATCTTCTGCTATTCCTTAAATATCGGCAGCAGATATATGATCAATTTCTGTTTTTTCAGCTTAGAATTCTTCTTCTAAAACTATTTTGTTTTTTTATTCCAAATAATAAGTGAATACATTCTTACATTTTACTAAGTAATCACCTGTAATTTAAGGAACTTTGAAATTTCTATTTGCCTTTATATTCTTGCAATTTACAAAATAAATCAAAACAAAAAGCAAATTTATTAACATATATATTATTAATAAAATTATATTTTTCTTTATTTTTCTCGAACATCAAATCGATAAGTGTTTTATACATATTCAGAAATTTTAAAATATACTAATATTCTAATAATATGTAAAGAATATAAACAATTATTTGAATTGATTTATTTTTATTATTTGAAATAATAGAAGAATAGGGGAATATGAATTTACAAATAAAGATTAAGTTATATTTGATATAGTTATTTATATAATAATAATAATTATTATGAATTTGTTAATTTAGGATAAAACAGAGTAATTTTCAATGCCTAATTTAAACTTTAGCATAAGTCAAATGATCAATTAAGCAACTTAAAAATAATAGTAATAATCTACAACAGAATTTTTAACTCCATCAAAACATCGTTCAATGGAGCAATTATTGAAATCACCAGGAGTTTAGGAACTAATAAAAGATTCTATAAAAGCAGTTATAAAAAAGAAAGATTTTAGTCCAAAATTATTTACTTAATATAAATATGATCAATTAGATAGATCTGAGAGTCCAGCATAATAAATTTTACCTAAAATTGAGAAAGTGAATAATATACATGTTCTTAAATAAATATAACATGTAAAGAAGAAGAAATGTAAAAATTATAATTGATTATCATAGCAAATAATTAAGGAAATTCACCAAAATCTAAGAAATCAAATCATTTAAAATATTAATAAGGAAGGTTCATGTAAATATTTCCATAGACAGAAGGAATATCAACTTTGAATATTTCATCAAAACCAATTCATATAATATGTATAATTAATAATAGATAATAGCAAGAAATAAATTTTAGGATTCTTTTTTGAATAATTCAATGGATAATAAGTTGGAGAAGGAAATTGTATAAAAGATAAGATTATAAATGGAAAAGCATACAACACAAATGGAGACTGAAACAGTTCGTACAGCAAAATAAGCAAGATAGAATTCATAATTAATAAAGACATCAAGAAATATTAAAATAGAACCGATGGGAAATGTTCCTTAAGGTATATAATTGACTAATGGAAATTCAACAACAATGTAATTGCCAAGTTTAAAAAAGAAGAAACAAAAAAAATTTGATGGTATATATTATATAGATCCAAAATATCCATAAGATTAAATATTTTAAGAAAGATATGCATCAATGAGACATTATTTTAATGTAATGAATTTATCAAATTGTCTTTTTGTTTAACCAAATTAAAACATATACAAAGCATATGTTGGTAAAGGTAATAATGGAATGTTGGTTCGATAGATTTTAAAAAGTAGATGGTGGTGGAGTATATAAGATGAATAAGAATCTTGTCATTTTGTTTGGACTTAATTAAAAGTTAATACAATTCATGAAAATATGAAAGCATTAAATAGAAATCCTAATGATTCTATGAGTTGTTAAAGTGCTTCATCATCATTAACTACAATAGGATCAGTAAGTTTAGGATTCTCTAAATAAGATGAATAGAGTGAAAATGAATAGATAAAAATAGACACAATATAGAAGATAAATAATTAGTGGAGTAAATTCCTTGTAAATGCAGAATTAAGATAATTTAGTGCTATTCTTAATGCGTAAGGAAGATAATCTAAATTACTTACTTTAGAATAAGCTTAAGCAATTAAACCTAAGCTTTCTATTTATAATGAACCTGTTAAGGCACATAATCATTTAGAGAATAATTTTCATCTTGGAAATAAGAAAGCTTTATTTTATAATATGAAGGCATATTATGAATCTTAGAATTTTAATGTTTTTGAAAATCTACCAGTTACTTATCATGTGAAAAGTTTAGATGGACCTGAATATCATTAATTTATGGAGGCATATAAAGAAAGATAATAAATGATCAATTAAGAAAGTGATGAAAAAAATAAACGTAGAAATATTTGGATTATAAAACCTGGAGAAATAACTAATAGAGGAAATGGTATTAAAGTTTCAGAAGATTTAAATGAAATTCAATCTATTTTAAATTCTAGAGAAATGCATAAAAATGGAAGTTATAAAACCTTTATTGTACAATTATATATTGATAGACCTTTATTATATAATAAACGCAAATTTGATATAAGATGTTATAGTATGTATGTGTCAATTAATGGAAATTAAAAAGGTTATTGGTATACTGAAGGTTATGTAAGAACATCTAGTAAAGAATTCACTATGAAAAATCTAACTAATAAAATGGTTCATTTAACAAATGATGCTGTTTAAAAGAAAGGAGAAGATTATGGAAAATATGAAAAAGGTAATAAAGTTAGTTTCGAAGAATTTTCTATTTATGTTGAAAATCTTGGAGGAGATTTTAATAAAATATATGCAAAAATGAAAGTATTTCTTAAATATTTATCTTTAAGCAAATGGCAACAGAATAATTTAAAGCAGTTTATGGTAAAATAGATTAGAATAAAAGAGAAAATACTTTTGAAATTTTTGGATTAGATTTTATGATTGATGATTCATTTAATGTTAAAATGATAGAAGCAAATACTAATCCATCGATAGAAATTTGCTGTCCATTATTATCTAAATTAATACCATAAATGCTTGATAATGCATTCAAGTATAATTATAAATATTGAAGAATTGCCTTAGATCCAATCTTTCCACCACCAAATTTTTATAATCCAAAAAAGATTATTTGTGAAAATTATCTTGAAAACAAATTTGAATTAGTATTTGATGAAATGACAGATGGACCACTCATTACTTAATCATAACCTAATTGTATAAATATTTATATCTATATACATTTTTAGATGATATTGGATTAATTGAAGAAGAATCTGAAGAAGAAGAACCAGAATGATTATTAATAATTATTATTATAGTGCAAATTACTTTATTTCATATTTGGTATTATAGTTGATAAATTATTTTTAAGTAAAACAGAAAAAAAATAACAGGATAATGATGTTTATACTAAACAATTAGTGTTACCCTCCTTAAATTTTTATTAATCGATGAAGAAAGAATCCAAGTATTATTTAGGAAGTTTACTAGCACCATATTATTATGAACATAATTCCTTTATTGAATTAGATCCTAATGATTAAGCATTCCTTTGTCCATAATTAATTGATTTTAGCACTCCTATTTGTTCATTAAAAAATGAAAATATATCAACATACATAGTTACTAAAACTAAGAATTTTAGACTATCTACTTTAGTTCTAAAATAAAAAAAGATTGGAAAACAAATTCATTACAAACCATTATAAATTCATGGAAGAATTTCTCATTGTTATGATGAAATCTGGTGGTTCTTATTAACAGTAGATTATGTCAAAGTAATTGCAAAATAAGTGAATTTCAAATATCCAGACAATTTAAGATAAATAAGATTAGATGTCTATTTGAAATAGAATGCATTAAATGATTAATTTGATCTATCCAAATTTAATTAGAAAGCATTTTAAGATGGTTTTGTAAATAGAGAAAGATTTTCATATGCAGAATCAGAAGAAGATTTAAATGTAGATTTACAATATTTCTCACGTTTATCATTATTGCTGTTATTTGATTTACTAAATCTATAAAGAACTATTCCAGCTATGATTAAATCAGATAAATATGTAAAGATATTTTTTACTTAATTGGAAAAGTTTCATTCTCTTTAAATGGGATAACCTCTTAGAATTGATTTAACTTTTAAGGATTTTTCAAGAGTAATCATTACAAATAATGAATATTATAGAAACTCATTGTAGAACTCAGCATTTTCTAATAAATTATATTCTCTTAAAGATTTTAAAAGTTCATGTCTCTTTTTATCAAAGAATAAATATTATACAAATGAAGAATCTCAATTTAATCCAATTTAATAAGAAGTACCTATATATTAGAATGTTTATTTTAAGAAATATATGAATACATTATTACATGAAATATAGAAATTTATTTCCACATCTATGAAACATGTACCTGAACATAAATAATAGAACTATTAGAAGTATTGTTTTGAATTATTATTTCTCAAATTAAATTGTACTTATCAATCATTATGTTAAGGATTTCATACTCATTAACCAAGTATTGATAAACTTAATGAATTGAGATATAAAGTAGATAATATTGAATAATTAAGTGTAAAAACATTTCTATCTCTAAATGCTGAAAATTCTTCATTATATAAAGAAACTCAAAATCCTTTTATTTAAGTAATAGTAGGTGGAATAAATCATAAGAAAGAGAAAGAACATTTCGAATAATAGATTTCTTCAGGAAATTTATGTGATTGTTAAAAATATTAATAATCATTAAAATTATTAGAAATCAATAGAAGAGAATAGGTTTAAAAGATGATAGATTTTTGTTCAGGCAAATTATAAGTTTCTGAAGAAGTAAATGAAAATGAAATAAATTCTTTTTTAAATAGTAAAGATTAAGAAATATATGAACATGCTAAACCAAAGACTATGGTTTGTGATTTAAAGTAACATTAAAAATAAGCATTAACTTGGATGTTATGGAGAGAAGGTATGATTCCTAATCCTAAAAATTCTGAAGCAAAAGATAAAGGTTAATGGTAATTATCACCTTTATGGGAAGAAGTTTTATTAGAAAGTGGTAAAAAAATATATATGAATACATTTACTGGAAAAATCACTGATGAATTTCAATCCTATAATTCTACTAAAGGAGGAATTCTTGCAGATGAAATGGGATTAGGAAAAACTATTATGACTTTAGCTTTAATTTTGTAAACTTAAAAAAAAGGTAGAGTTACATTAATTATTGTTCCCAAATCTGTTTTATTATAATGGGAAGCTGAAATTAAAAAACATTCATTACCAAATACTCTTTAAGTTTTAACATTCTATAAAATGTCAAATAGAACTAAAAAAGTTGTTTTCTCTGATTATGATGTTATTTTAACAACCTATACTGTTGTAGCCTAAAATTATTCTAATTGGCTTAAAGAAAACGGTTTAGAAGATACTGAAATATACCAAAAAGTAAGAAATAAACCAGATCATGAACCTAAAGAATAAAAAGAATAAAAGGAATAGAAAGATTAAAAAGAATATAAAGAATATAAGGATCATAAAGAATCAAAAGAATCTAAAGAATATAAAGAATCAAAAGAATATAAGGATAATAAAGAATCAAAAGAATCAAAAGAATATAAAGAATATAAAGAATATAAAGAATATAAAGAATATAAAGATCATAAAGAATCTAAAATTTCTAATGATACATAAATTTTAAATGATAGTTTTGAAATAGAATTAGATTCTTAAGATTTTTGTTAAAATAATGATTAAAGTGAAGAATTTAAATCTATTTTTGATTTAAAATCTTCTAAATATGAAAAATCTTAATTATTTGGTGAACCAATAGAAATAAGTTAGAATGATTATGAATGTGGAACAAAAACAAAGAAAAGTAATTAAGGCAGAATAACTAATTTATTTGACTTTACATATTATAGAGTAATTTTAGATGAAGCTCATAATATAAAAACAAAAAGTACTTTATAAACAAGAAGTGCTATGGCTTTGAAAAGTGAATGTAGATGGTGTCTAACAGGAACTCCAATATAAAATAAACATGATGATCTATTTAGTTTATTATCATTTTTAAGAGTTGAAACCTTTGGTGAATAGTATTATATTTATATATATGTTTAATAGTTATTGGTGGAATGCTTATATTAATAAAGAAGAAAATGAAGAAGAATAACAATGTATTTTAGGAGAAATAATCAAACCAATTATTCTAAGAAGAACTAAATAATAGTTGAGTAATCAAAATTCATTATAAATAAATGAATCTATTTGTTGGGTAAAATTAGAAAATAAAGAAAGAGCACTTTATGATAAATTTTTTGAAGGAACTCAATAATTATTCAAAGTTTATTTAAATTCTGAAAAAAGTAGACAATTTGTTCATATTTTTCAAATAATAAATAAATTAAGAATGACATGTGATCATCCTTCTATAGCTTTAAAAGGAATTAATTTAGATACAAATTCTATTGATGAAATCAAATATTGTATCGAAAACTTTTTTGCTAAATAAAAATCAGGTGATTAAGAAATATCTGATAAATAAAGATAATAATTAGTTGATTTAATATAACGTGGTAATTTAAATGATTGTACTCTTTGTTCTGAAGATGGAATAACTACATTTGATATTTCAATATGTGGACATGTTTATTGTCATAAGTATTAATAATAAATATCTTTTAGTTGTTTTAAAGAAGTAATTGAAACTATAGGAGAATGTCCAACATGTTCTAAAAGATTAACCTTAAAAGATATAATGAGTGTACAGAGTAATTCTATTGAAGTTTAAGAAATAAAAGAAACTAAATGGGGTCCTAGTAGTAAAATGTTAGCTGTTGTAAATGAAACTAAAAAAGTTCAACTAAAAAGAGAAAAATGTTTGATATTTACTTAATGGATTGAAATGATAAGGTTACTTGAAGAAAAATTTCAAGAAGAATAAATTTGGTGTTAAGTTGTTACAGGAGCTATGTCTGTAGAATAAAGAAATAAAGTAATACAATCATTTGAATAACATCCTGCTTTTACAGCTTTAATTTTATCTCTTAGGGCTACATCTACTGGATTAAACTTAACAATGGCCAATCATGTATTCCTAGTTGATCCATGGTGGAATGTAATTTTATATTATATTATTGTTAGCCTGCCATTGAAGATTAAGCCATTGGAAGAGCTGATAGAATTGGATAAAAAAAATAAGTTAATGTTATTAGATTTCTTTGTGCAAATACAATAGAAGAAAAAGTTAATTTGTTGCATTAAAAGAAAAAGAAAATGATTAGAAAAGTCATAGCTAACGATTAAAAAAAATCATAAGATATTGATGACTTTAAGTTCTTAATTTTTGAACATCCAATATGATTTGATATTATTTGTTTTTAATAAACTTATATTAATCCAACCAATTTAAATTTTATAGCTTCTTTTATTTTAATTTTAGCAAAAATATTTTTAATCCTTTATTATAAAACCATATTCGTAATATTATTAATTCTATTATAAGTTTATATATATATTAAAATTTGCCTAACACTTTCACTAATTTATTTCATATTATTAATCATAAATATGCTATAAATAATCTTAATATATCCTTGGATCTTAATTAATTATGCAATTAATTACAAAATAATTATTAAAATATTTACTAAATTTTTCAAGATTAATGATTTGTAATATCAATTATTAATTATTATTTATATATTTATTTTAATTATATTAAAATATAAAAAAATATTCTCATATACTTAATGGAATTTTTAGTTCCATTTATAAAAAAAATGAATAATTTATCCTAAAGTCAGAAAATACTAAAAAAGTAGTCAAATAACAATTAAATTAGCAAAAATGATTTAATAATAAACTTAATTGTCAATTATTAATCATTTTATCATTAAAAAGTTGATAAATAGTTTAAAACATTCACAAAAAAAAAAGATTTATCCTTTATTTTTTGATAATAGCTTTTATTTGTTTTTTTTTCATTGTAACATTTAAAGAAATTTCACTTTTTAACATTATATCTTGAGGATTAGCGAGAAAATATCTAAAGGTTAAAAATAAATATGAAGATTATTACACAAATAATTATGATTATCATATATGCAATTTTTTATAAGATTAATTAATATTTTAGAATATAATCAAAACAAGTTAATTCATCTAATAATATCATTTTCAAAAATGTTATGAGTAAGTTTATATTATTTTTATTCTTATTCTTATGTTGATTTTAATTTTTCAATTTTAAGTTAAGCTTTTACTCTTTCTAATGCATATTCTTTTTCTAGTTTTGTTTTCTCTTCCCCTTTGGCTTAACTTAATTTTTCATCTCTTAGATTTTCATTTGCATGTTCCTCCATTAATAATCTCATCATATCTTAATTATGTTTTTAAACCATTTTGTTAAGTTAAATAAGTATTTGTGGACTTGGAGGTTCTGGTCGAATTGGTTCAGATTTCTTCTTAGCATCAATTTTTTTATGAAATTTGGGTGTAGTTTTATTAGCTAAATTTAAAATATTAATTTACCCTGTTATTCAATAATAGGTGGTATTGGTTTGAGATCTATTTTTTCTTTGATTTAGATAGATTCAGGTTTTGCTGATTGAATTTTAGTTGGCCTGACAGAGAATAATTTTTCTTACCTTTCTTTGGCTTAATTAGTCTTAGGTCTAGTCGATGAAAAAGTACGATAAGGATTTGTTTAATTAGATAATTTAGCATCTGGTTCAGTAATACCTAATTATTTTTAAATTTCAGAAGGAGGAAGTTTGCCTTCTCTAACTTTTTCAAATTTCATCATAATCTCTCTTTTTTATTTTTCTATTTCTCTTCTTAAATTATGCCTTTAAGATAATAATTAATCAAGATCTTCAGAGAGTTTATCTGCTCTTTACATTTTTTCAATAATTTTTTCTTATAATTTTTATTTATCATACTCTTATTTTCTCATTATTCTTTCTACATTTTCTCTTTTATCAAAACGTTTTAAAATATCCATAGTTTTCCTATCTTATAATTATTCATTTCTTTCCTCTTAAATTTTATGTAATATTTCTTCTTTATCATTTATTTTTTTAACTAATTCTTCTATTCTTTATTTGTTATTTTCTTCATTTAATAATAATACTTATTTTCTTTATTATTCTTTCTCTTTCTCTAATAATCTTTTCTATTCTTTTTCTTTTTCTAATTCTTCTTCAATTTATTTTCTTCTTTCTTCTGCTTCTTATATTCTTTTTAAATATAAATTTTTCTTTTCTTATTCCATTTAATTATTTTATTCAATAACCTTTTGAAATAATTCAGAATGTTTTTCAGCCTCTTTTCTTTACTATTCAAATCTCTTTTTTTTTTCTTCTTCATATTATTTTTATTTAATTTCACTTAATTTAATTTTTTTATCAAAATCCTATAAATATCATGATTATAATGTACATCTTTTAATTTTTATAATTCAGCTTCATTACGTTATTTAGCTTATTAGATTCTTTCTTCATTTTATAATCTAGCTAATTCAGCTTCTTATTTTTTTTTTAATTTTTATTCTTCTAATGCTTTTCTTCTTTAATCTGCTTTAAGTTCCATTTCCTATTTTCTTTTTTCTAACAAATCCTATTAAACTTTTTAATTTTCTTCATTTTATTTTTTTAATTTTTCTTAAATAGCTTTTCTTTCTTCATCCTTTTTTTTTGCTTCTTCTTCTCTTTCTTTTTATTTTAATTCTTCTAATTTTAATCTTTCCTTATCTTTTAATTCCATTTCTTTTAGTTTTTATCTTTATAACTCTTCTTCCTACTCTCTTTTTAATTATTTTTCTAATTCTTTTTATTTCTTTAATTCCTCTTATTCTGCCCTTTTCTTTTATAATTCAAGATCTCGTTATTATTATTTAGCAATTTCTTCAGCTTACTTCTTTTCATTTTCTAATCTTATTTCTTACATTTTCAATTCATATTCAAGCATTCCTTCTATTTCTTTTTACTGTTTCTTCTTAATTTTTTCTAATTATTATTTTTCTTTCTCAACTAAAGAGGAAGTTTCTTATTAACCATATTTTGATATAACTTTACTCTTAGATAATCCTTCGGCACTCCATGCCCCTTTAGATAAGATTAGTTAAAATTACCAATTTTTTCATCTTCTATAACAATATGTCTCTATTTTATAAGTTCTTCAAATTTCTTTTCTCTTCTTTCTTCAAAATGTTTATAAAATTGATCAATTCCTTTATGATCTAGATTTTTCATTTTGTATCTTCTCTGAAACTCTTCAAATGGAATTTTAACAATTTCATTTGGTTATATTCCTTCTCTTCTACATGCCTCAAGAGATCTAGGAGTGTTAATTTCAGGTGCATTAGGTTAATGAAAACCGAAATCTTATAATGAAACTTTCATTTTAAAATAAATATATATATAACACTATTGTTCATTATTTCTAAATCTTATCTTCTTCATCTGCTAATTAAATAGATTCATCAATATCCTAAGTAAGACTCTTCTTTGTAATTTCCTTATTTCCAATTCCTACATAATAATCAAGAAATGTCATATATCTAGTTCTTTCTTCTATAACAGATTAAGCCTTAATAATATTATAAAATAATTACTCCAGCACCTCCATAATGTCCACCATCATTAATATCAATAATAAATGGATGATCTCCTATGATTTCAACTTTTTTGGACTTAACTGCAATTTATTTCAATTTTTCTGTATATTTTAATACATTCCATAAAGGTGCTCTAAAATCACCAGTTCCAGCACTAATATAAATAGCAGGATAAACTTATGATTTTAAATTTTCATATGGAGAATAACTAAGAATAGTATCAAATATTTTTTTATCATTAGGATTACCGAATTCTAAATAATCTGATTTAGTTAATGGTAGATTTTCATCTAATAAAGATCCTAACACATCTAAAAAAGGTGAAAGCATAATAGCACATTTCCAAAGATCAGGTCTCATATTTACAGCTGCTCCTAAAGTTGTAGCACCAGCAGATGCTCCCAATCCACATAATAATGAAGGATGTGTATAACCTTCTGCTATTAAATATGCTGCACATCCAAGTAAATCTTCTATACTTTTTATTTTATTCTCTTATATTGCTTATCTATGCCAATCCTTTCCTCTCTCATTTCCACCTCTTATATGTGCATATGCTAATGTCCAACCTTTCTCTAATGCATTCAAATATACTATATTAAAAGGTATTTCTTATGGAACACCATAAGCACCATATGAATGTAATAATAATTTATTTTATCTATTCTTTTATAAACCTTTATGATGTACTAAAGTTATAGGAATCTCTGTTCCATCTTTACTTGGAGCATAATATCTTGTACAAGTATACTCTTCTCTTTTAAATGGTTTACCTGTAAGATTTGCATCTTAAAGTTTAGATAACTATTTTTTTTATAAGTTGTATTAATAGACTTAGTCATAAACTAAAGGAGTACTCAAATGAAATTAAAATATATCACTCTTATAATTATGATTTACTCCAGGTTCTATTGTAGCTCCCAATACTTCATTTTCAACTTTTTTATTCAAAAAATATTAAGATTTATCATTTTTTATTACTCTATCATAAATATTTCTTAATAGATTTTTCTTGTTTTTTTAATGATCTGTATAAACCAAAGAAGGAGGAATATATAAATTATAAGTCTCTTTATTTTCCAAAGATATTACTTTTATAAAACTTTCACTCTCTTTTGTGAAGTATAATACTAAATGTTAATGAAATAGATCAACTTCTTATAATACTTCCCCTTATTAAGGACAATAAAAATCTATAAAACTATCACCTTCTTATTTTAACACTTTATAATCATAAGAATTCTTATTCGTCAATATATATAATCCATGTTTCTCATGATGATGAACTAAATTTATTGCATTCTCCTTTCTCGAAAATAATACTTACACTTTCTTTGGATTATCACGATCTATCAAAATGACTTCATTGCTTTACTTTGTTTGACTTAATAAAACAAAATATTTCCCATCTTTAGTTTATTGCAAATCTAAGTAAAATTATTCATCTTTCTCTTCAAATAATAATTCATCATCTTCTTAAGTTGTACCCAATTTATGTAACATCAATCTATAAGGTCTGAATTTATCATCATATTAAGTATAAACTAAATGTTAATTATCTTTTGTAAATGCTGCGTCAAAACAATCAAATAACTTTGTTCTAAACACTCTTTCATCATCTATATATTTCATTAACCAAACTATATCCTCATTATTCAACAAATCTATCCCAAATGCTATTAATTTATGATCATCAGATATCTTTAATTTTGTTAATTTTAATGTTGCATGATATTGTTTCAAAAATTAAATTTTTCTTAAATCTAATACTACTTCTTTTTCACCTCCTTTAAGAGATCTCTCAATTATCTAATAATCATTCCCAGTATCAAAATATGCAAATCTTCCATTATATTCATATTCATCATAAAGTTCAGGAATATCATGAGTTCTTCCATCTTTTCTACCATAAGAAATTTAGTAATAATCATTAAATATTTCTTTTATTTATGGTTAATCAAAAAATGAGTTTTTTATTTTAGTTTCATTATCTATAAGAGGTTATAGTGACTCTGGACTATTGTTATAAAATTAACATACTTTGATTTCAAATACCAATAGTGATCAATATATTATCTACCATGAATTAATTTAGAAGCTTCTTTTATGAGTCGTGAGAAATTCAGACCTCTTTTAATAATCATTAATATTTAAATTAAGTTAAAACTTTCTTAACCTTTTTTTTAAATTAATTACAATTTTATATCTAAATATAATTCGTTCATTCTTATTCATTTCCCTAATGATCACTATCAGAATTAATGTTCTATTATAATCTTCTCTATTAAACTGCTTCTTTAAGAAATTACAATTTCTCTCTCAATTAATTAATTTCTATTTCCTCCTCCTCTATCTATTAATCAAGCTCTCTCTCTTCTGGTTAATCATTCATCTATTCAATTTAACGACACTTCAAATCTTCTTCATCTTACAATAATTTAATCTCTCTTCTTAAATCATTAATCTCACTAATCAAATCTACATTCTAACTCATAATTCTATTATTATCTTATTTATGAACTCTTAATTTCTTTGAAAACTTTTCCTTCAATCCTTTATTTGTCGTTTCTAAATGGGCTCTTTCTTTTATGAATTCCTTTTACACATCAACATTTTCAAATTTCTTCTTAGAAACTACACTTTATACATATTTATTAAATAACTTAAGCATATCAGATTTAAGTCTCTTAAAATCCTAAATAATTATTATCATATATTACATTTAAATGTGCATGAGTCTCAGAAATATCATATTCAAATGCTTTTATATATTAAGAATTACTCTCTATTACTTATTATTGATTCTCTATCTCCTATTTCATACCTGCTTGTCTCAAATTTAAATCAGTTACAATTAATCCTAGATTTGCATTAACCTTTTTAAAATGCAATATTTCTGTATTCATATTAGTAATTTATTCTTTCATTTTTGTAATTTCCTCCTCTCTTGGTCCAATGTCTCTTTTCAATTCTTTAATCTTGTAATCTAAGACAAATTTAAACTTTTCTAATTCCTAAGTCTTTTTCTTTAACTCATATATACGTTTTTATTTATCCTATATTGTTTTATCTCTTTCTTTAATTTCTTTATCATGACTCTCTTTTTCCTTTTAATATTATCTATTTAATTCCTAATTTTATGCAATATCTTCCATAATCTCTTTAACTTTAGAATTAGCCTATTCTAAATTTGATTAAACATTATCAAACTCAGTTTTTTTAGTTCGTTTTTCTAATTCTGCTTTATCTAATTCATCTGATAATTTTTTCATTTCAGCCTCATTAATCTCTTTCTTCTTATCTATTTCCTTCTCTGCATCATCTTCTAACTTATTTCTCTCCTCAATAAATCTCCTTTAATTTTCTTCCTTATCTTTTTATAATTATTCATACAATTCTTATTCTTTTTTTAATTATTTCTCATATTCTCTTTTTTTTTCATTTTTAGTTTCTGTACTCTTATCCTTTTATTCCTTAATGTATTTTTGGAATTCAAGAAGTTTTAATTATTTTTCTTTAGTTAATTCTTCTAATCTTTAAGATTCTAATGCCATTTTTTATTTGAAATCATTTTCTGTAGTTTTTTTATTTTTTTCATGATTTTCATTAAGTTATTTCTTTTCATCTTTAAAATCACTATCTAATTTATTAATATCATTTTCTAATTCCTAAATTTTTGCTTTTTCTTTTTTTTCTAACTAATCAATTTATTCCTCCAACTTTCTAATAAGTTCATCTTTTTCTTTAGTATACATATTCTACTTAATCTTTTGATTAATATCATGTTCTTTAATTTTTTATTTTAAATCTTCAATTTTAGCAATCTTCTTTTTATACTTATCTCTTTGCATTAAAAATTCATCAGCATAAGCTTATACACCATACGCTTATCCACCATCTTTAAATTCAATTTTCGAACTTTAATCTTTAACATCATAGATAATCAATGAATTATCATATGAAGCAGTAAAAACATATGAATCATCATAAGAAACTTTCATTTATGTAATTCCTTTAATGTGTGGTTAAATTTCAACAATCTCTTCAGGAGCTAAAGGATATTTAGCAAATCTTAAACCACCAGGTTCAAATTTCATATTCTTAATGTTTTATTTCTAAGTAAATTCAGTTGAATTAGCTAATTGGCAAGTAGCAAATAACATAATCTTTTCACTATTAAAAATTGCCATCTTGCTTATTCTACATCCAGTTTGTATTGGATAGAGTGGAATTTCTTTCTTTGTACCTTCAGTAGCTTCCTTATGAATTTTTGTATGATGTTGAGATTCATATATACAATATTAACCATCATATGGACCTGCTATATATACTTTTTATAATTCAATATTAGCATATGTTTTTGGTGTACAAATACATTCAATTGGTTAAGATTGAATCATAGCCAATTATAATTTATTTTAATTATCTTCTAATCTCCAATAAAGTACAAAACCATTATCACTTCCAGTATAGAATCCTAAATCATCGATATCCCATTCTATAGTTGAAATATTACCAGTTGATTATTTAAATATATAATTTTAAGGATTCTCACCCGTGTAAAATTAATATATTTAAACTAAGTTTTAATTAGCTACTGCAAATAAATGACCTCCATGTGCAAATTTTATTTACTAACAATTCTTTATATGAATATCTTTAAAAAAGTTTAAATCTTTTTCAAATAAATTGTACAATGTAATCTTATCAGAAAATGAAACTATTAAATGAAATCCAGATGGATGAATTGCTACAGTTAAAGGTGTTTCATCCTCAAATACTTTCATCACTTCCAATATTAATTCATTAAAATTCCAAATTCTAATAGTACGATCATCTGATACTGTAACAACTAAAGACTTTCTTGTACAAACATCTAGACCTGTAATTGGTCCACTATGAAATGGTGCTATCAAATGATCAAATTTAATTTCATCTTCATTTGCTACTTCTCTATCTGCACTAAAAGGAATGCTATATATTTAACCAGATTCAACTCCAAATATAAGATTATCCTCTTAATTTGTAAGGCATAAACTTGTTATCTTTGCGTTTATGAATTTATTTTAAATTCTCTTATCTATTCTTACATAAGGATTTTTCAAATCGCCTTCATGTTTTCTATATATATAAATCATGCCATCACTTCCACCTACAATAAATCCATTAGAATATTTCACTATACATTCTATAGGAAATCCATCTATTGACTATTAATTCTAATTCTAAAGAGGAGAAAGAACTAATTTAAATTCACAATTTTCATTAAAATATAACACTTCTCCTCTATCAGTTCCTACAACCATTGTTTTACCATCACTTAAGATACAATAAGAAAGAAAATTTGTTGAATGAGTTTCCTGATAAGATATTGGAAATAAATACTTCTTTCTTTTTTTAGAAAGGTGAATCTTTTGGTTTTGGAGGGTTATCTGGAATTAATTTATAAGGTTTAATAGCTCCATTACCCATGACGCAAACAAAATCATCTTCTTTTGGATGATAAAAAACTTGATGGAATTTAATAGAATCTCCTTTTGCATTTATAATAGTGCTTCCTAGACACTTTGATTTATCCCATGCCCAATGTATTAGCATTTATTCTGGTGGTGCACTTAATGCTACTAAATATTTAGATTCTTCTGTCCTTGAAAAATCTAGACTCACATAATATCGTGATTTGCAATCTGTTGTACTCAATATTTTAGTTTTCCGAGTGTTTAAATCTAATATTACTATTATTCCTGCATCACTCTCTTCTGACCATGCAACATATCTAAATATAATTTTGAATCTACCTTCTTGATAAAGAAATATTTAAACAAGTTACACCTTTGCTGCCTAAAACTGTTTAAATTATTTCTTATGATTTATTCTTATCAGCTATAGGATCAAAAATAACTATATTATTTGCTGCTGGATATATGAATTTAGTTTTAGTTGATTTCTCTTAAACATTTGTCTATGTTCCTTACAGGATTGAGTTTTTGATGTCACCTCTAAAACCAAAGACATATTTTAATCCCAAGACTTCCTTCAATGGTTTCGGTTACTTATTTTCTGGTTGAGACATTATAATTCAATTAAATACTAATGAATCAGATTATTTAAAATACTTTTCTGAACCTAATTATTAAATATCCCTTCCCTTTGAAATTTTAAACTTCTTCGTTTTATTCTTAAAAAATATATACCTGATTGGAAATATATCTTTTTCAAAATCCCTAATTTATTACGTCTAGATATTTTATGTTCTTAAGTTTTATAGAATAATATTGAATATAAATAACTCAACAATTGTATTTAATTTTCCTTTAAGATTTTAGTTCTTGCATTTTTGTTTTCTTTAGAAGACTTTAAGCTTTATGTATTGATTTTATGAATAAAAATTATTGAATGACAAAAAATCATCATTTGAAAAACGCTTAGTGTAAATCACTCTATGACTAATGTCAAATGTGTGATTTCATACAAACTTTCCCTTAAAATAGGGAAAGCCTAACTGAAGTGTTTATCATCGTACAAGTATTCAATTACTTCTGATGCTTAATGAAGTAATTCTAGTTTCTGTAAGTGATCTTTAACTAAGATAAGTTTTTATTTTATCTGAAATAATTCTTTTATTTTCTCTTATAAATAGCCTCCTAACGAGTGAGTGTCTCCAACGAGTTCTAAATATAGGGACAACCGTTAAAAGATGAAATCTAATCTTTCAGAAGTGAGTCTTTCACTAACCTTCCATTCATTGCTTTATCTTCTAGACCTTTTGGTGTGACAAGCTCCCATTTTCAATTTTGGTTTTTAACTTTTTTATAGATTAAATTTATTTATAAATTGATTCTTCATTCAATACTATTTGAATTTATTATTGAATCCTTGCAATAAAATATAATTAGACTATCCAAATAATCATAAAACATTTAAAGACATTTAGTATGAATAATTAAAATAAAAAAATCATTTTTTAAAGTAATTTTTTTATGTAGTTTTTGATGTTATAGATTTTAAAGGGCTCACTGATTTCTACTATTTTTTAACTGTGCTCTATTATTGAATCTATTCAGTATTTAAAATCTAACTGTTCTCAGTTAATAAAATCAAATTTTTAGTAATATTTTCTTCGGTGGATTGATATTATTCTGAAGGGGAATATTATATTCTTCTTATGTCTTCAAATAATGTGAAAGTTTTGTAATCATTTTTCACAATATCCAAATCAATTTCACATATTTTATTATTGGTTGAGTTCTAATTAACAAATTATTAAACATATTGATAGGTTTGACGACTTTAAAAGTTTCGAGAATATATTTATGGACTAAAAGAAGGTGTAATACTTTTCTTGATTTTTTATAAATTCTATTCTTTCTCTAACTATTTGTCTTTCAATCGGTCATAAAAAGGTTACACTACCATTTAAACAGATTTTTTATTTATTTTAGGAGAGCAACTTCTCTTATTAATTTAGTCTTCTTTTTATTTAATTAATTACTATATTTATTTCTCCTACATTTAATATTTAAGATTAATACAGTTTTATTTTTATAGTCTATATTATCCTTATAGAATTGATCAGGAGTCCTTATTTTTTGATCCTTATTTAATATTTATGGATGAAATGTAGCTCCTTCTAATTGATCCATTTCTCTTCTCTAATCTAATCGTTTCTTCTATTATTCTATCCACTTCCATTTGGCTTTCTATAATAAAGTTTATCTTTCATGTATATCTCCAATCCAATTAATCTACTTCTCTTAAGAATATTAATCTTAACTGTTGAATTTTAATTCTTGTTCCTTTTCAAGGTATTTTTTTTTATTTGTTTCATACTCTTCAAATCTCTACAATTATAACCAACTTTTATGTTGTCTTTATGAGGATTTCATTAATTATTAACAGATAATTTAAATATAAACATTTTTCATACATTAAATCCCATATAGGCAGATTTTCCAAAACTCCTTAGTTTTGGTTACGATTATTGAGTCTTTATTCTTCTGGAGTTGTCACTAAACAAAGTCTTTATATGTTATAAATTTTCCTCTTGTTTCTATTACATTTCAATCATGTGATCCAACCTTTCAAGCAAAACATTTCTTTCCTTCATGATAACCCAAAAATTACTTGATTGCCTTCACTTTTATATTTTTATAAATTATCAAACAGTAATTTATTCTATAATTCTAATTATTCTGATTTTTCTTTTAATTTTGATACCTATTGAGTCAAAGTATCAAGTTTATTTTCAAGATTTTTTTCTCTCAAAAAAGCATTGGCATTCTAAATATAATCTTTTTATTAAAATCCAATCATTGAACTTACATGATTAAGATGACATGGTTTTTTTAGGGTTTTTTACAAATCCTCATTAGATTAATGTCTTATTTTATGAATCGCTTTTTCAGAACTTTAATTTCTAACACTTTGCCATCCTGAGCATGGAGATTTAGATATATATTTCTCATTTTTAACAACTTTTGTATTCATCAACTATATCAACTAATTATATTTTTGACTTAGAATTTTTTTTCATAAGCCTTTAAAGTATTTCTTGGGTATTAAGTGGAGTTTATTTGACGTTATTTCTAGGAGTGAGTTGCTGAGGTTATTTATACATGATGAAAATTTGCGATTAATAATTATCTATTTAATATATATAATAATTTTTTGATTTTTTTTGGATTATTATAAATTATAAGTTATTTAATATGTTTTGGGTTTAAGCAATAGCAAGTCCTTGTATATTATTAGTCCATATAATTTGGGTGTCTATTGATTTGTTCTTAACTAGAAGAAAAATGATAGAAAAGAAACTTGAAGTTGGACTGTAAGCAATGACAAATTATATCTTATGTAAATGAATGAATAATTTAATAGAAAATACAATATTTAATTATTTAGATTCATTAGATTTGAAAATAGTAGATGCTCCTTCAAGAAAGAACACAAATTCTCCTTTAAGATCAGAATCTAAAGAATAAAAGGAATTGAAAAAATTGCATGAATATGATGGAACAATAATTTGTAATTGTTACGATTGTTTTTGTGAGGAATGTCCTTGGGAAAGAAAATGTATGTGTGATTGTTGTTATTCAATTGGTTAATGTTGTACAACAGTGTAAAATAAAATTTTGGAATCTCTTAAATATATAATATTCTTTTTAACAAAACCTTACTTTTACATAATTTTGAATTCTTATTTTTGGTATGCTGAGAGCAATGGAGCAATATTAGTGCTTGGAATATTTTTTAATAGTTTATAATTTTTTGTACTTTTATTCGCTTTTTCATTTTTGTCAACAAAAAGAGAAATGATGAGATTGGATAAGAGTAAGGAAGATGATAGAGGGTTGCTTTTATATCATCACATTAGAAAAGCAATAATTTTTACTTTCTTTTTAATACTTCTATTTATTTTTTTTGGAGTAGCTATAGATCAATTACTTTTTAAGCATTAGATACTTTAATAAATTCCATAATGTAACAAAGTTTTTATAATATATAATATTATGTTTTTATTTTTTGGAAGTGCGGTATCTGTTTTACTGATGAGTTACAATAATTGTTTGAGTAATGATTTAATTCAAGATAATGATAATATACTTAAGGCTTAACAAAGATTATATATAATGTAGAACAATTTGATAAAATACTTTCCAAGTGAAGAGTAATTTTAGAAGTATGTAGTAGAATGCAATTTTGATGATCAATAAATATCAAGATTGATTCATGAGAAATGTTCTGAAGCTAAATCAAATTTATAGTTATCATTGGGTGCTAATGATAAACAGTAATTTAAAAAGATAAAAAAGAATTTAGGATAAAGTAAATTAATAATAGGTAGTTTGGTGTTTTATTTGTATCTCCAAACATATTTAACATTGTTGGCAAGTTTTGGTTTCTTTTTGAGTTTAGGTATAAATATTACAAATCCACAAACAGATGATTGGAAGAACGTATTTAATAATATGATTTGCCCTAAAGATTGCACTACTATCAACTGGCTCTATGTATGTGAAATTTGCTTATTAAGTTTATAAATAGCATAAGCTTTAATTTTACCACATGCATTGCCTTACTTATTTATAAAAAAAGAATTGTTTGGATAAGATTATGGTGAATGGTAGTAATAATGATTATTTATTTATAATTTAATTATATTATAAATAATGGCTGCTTATTCTTTTGGAACATCATATTAAAGACCACCAGTTAAAATGGAATAGGCTCCTGGAGTAGGGGTATTAATAATATTAATAATTAGAATTACAATCCTGATCGTTATCCTCATTAAAGACCGCCAAGTTGGAAGTACAAATAAATCAGTTAAACTTAGAATTGGAACTGCCAATAGAACATTATAGTAAATGGGATATTAACCTGGGCCAGGACAATATGAATAACTGCAAAAAGCAATTGTAATTTAACATATATAATTTTAAGAAAAGGAAGAAGCCTGAATTCTCAATGGGAGCTAAATTTTAAAATCACACAGAAGTTGGGAAAGGAATTACTCGTAAAATTATTATTAAAGTATTAGCTGGCCCTGGTGCATATAATCCAGATTTTAAGCCTCTATAGAAATGTGCTTCCAGTTATAGTATGCGTAATAAACCATAATTGGGTGGAATTGATGATAATTTAAGAGAATTAAAAAATGGTCCTGGTCCAGCTGCATATGAGACTAATTATTCAACTATTCTAAGTAGACCAGCATCTAGAATTGGTAATCAAGTTAGAGGAGGTTTCTATGATACAAAACCATTTATTCCAGGAGTTGGTAAGTATAATGTTCGTCCTGCAACATCAGGACCATATCATAGATTTGGAAATGCATTAAGAGATTCAACTTTTACAGAAAGAGTATAAACTCCAGGTCCAGGATAATATATGCATTAATCACATTTAAATCTTAAAGCCACAACTATTAGTTCTAAACGAATTCCTACTGCTACTGATTCTGCTCCAGGTCCTGGACATTATGATCCTTCTACTGATTTCACTAAGCGTTCTATCCCTGGAGGTAGAGTTGGAACTGCAAAATAAAGATAAGTTTTTGATGCACGTTATACTCCTGGACCTGGACATTATCAATCTTAAAGTGCTACCAAAAGAAGACCTCCCAGTTATAAAATTGGATCTGAATAAAGAAAACTTGTTGATTAATAGGAAGTTCCAGGACCTGGTACTTATGATATAAGCAGAGATGGAACCAGTAAAGGTTATACACTTAGACCTAAATACACTGACAGATTGCCAGATGGAACACCAGGCCCTTTAGATTATTATCCAAATGTTTCATAAACAAAATCAAGACCTTTATCTTGTAGAGTAGGTACTGAAACAAGAGAAAAAAACAAAATGAATGATAATCCTGCTCCCAATCATTATCAACTCAATCAAACTAATCCAGGACCTAAATTCCCGTATTTATTTATAAATTTTCATTAGATTTGGATCAGAATCAAGAGTTACTGATAGAAATGATGTTAAACCAGGACCTGGAACATATAATATTCCTCCTTATTTTGCCAATGTTCCTAATTACCTTATCCCAAATAAAAGTCAATTAGATTTGTGATATATATCTATTATATATTTTATATCATTCAACCCAAGAAATTTATCACAGTCAAAAAAAGCACTATCATTGCTGCTAAATATTCCCAAAATGCTCTCTCATTTGAAATTCCCATGTATTTAGTTTCTGGATTTAATTATTTCCTTAAACATACTAATATTTTTATATAAAATTAATACTGTTTATTGTTAATGCTCCTCCTGCTGCAAATATTCCAGATAAAAATGAATTTCTTGGAAAATCACCTACTAATCCACAATAAAATAATTGAATTATCAAAAGTACAAAACAATATAACGAAAAAGCATCCATTATTTTCAATTTTTAAGGAGTCTTTATTGAATATTACTACCAAAATGATGCTGCTATTCCTATTAATGAATTTTCATCAACAAATTTAGTTTCAGACATTAATTTATTATTATTAAATTAATAATATTTTATAATGAATTTATTGCATTAGAAGAGATCCAATTCAAATCAAACTCTACTTAAACAACAAGCAAGAATCACTAGAATTCAAAAATAAAGGGAACCCAATTAACATCTAGTTAAATAGAAATCTTACTCTATTTTATAATTTTAAATGGAAAATGATGGCAAAATATGTATACAAACAAATAGAAGATTAATAAGATCATATTCTGCTTATCGTTAAAATGATAAAAAAGATGTTAATAATCACTTATTTTTAAAGAACAACTCATAATTATTATATTCCCCTCCAAAAATCCCTTCTCCTAAACATTCTGTAATGTTGCAAAAGAAAACTGTACTCACTAAACTTCCTTAGAATGTCAGAAAATCTTAACAATATTTATTAAATGACATTTTATCAAATAAACCAATCAATCAATATGTAACTAAAAGAACTCAAATAGAAAAGCCACATCCTTAAGTAAATTCTTAGAAAGTGTCTCCATCACCATCTACTTATCCTTTGTATAATTAATATTAATATAAAACAAGATTATTTTCTGAAATTTAAAAGGATCCATTGAAATACTTTCATTAAGCCCAATAATTTTCCATTATATATAACTAAACCTATTTACGTAAGTTACTCAAAATTGATCAAAGACAATGATAAAAAATATATTTTTATTTAATATTTACTATTTTTCTACAAAACTATCATGGGTAATTGCGAATCTCAGGATACACGAGTCTGCACTGAAGAATTTTAATCAATACCTCTTCCTAATTTATAATAGGAAGTTACAGATGAAAATACCCAGTAGGAAAATTTGGTTACCGTCAGTTAGTCCAAGTAAGATTTGGATGTTGTTTTACCAATTTAGACTTTGTAAAATAATTTAAACTAACATCCTCTTTCTAACACTCTCTATATCATATATAATAAATGTCGAATTGAGAGACCAATAGAAGTAGAAGAAGGAACATATTAAGGATAATGGTATGTTGGAAAATAATGTGGTTTTGGTCGTATGTATTACAAAAATAAAGACTATTATGAAGGATTTTGGCTACTTGGTCGAAAACATCATATGGGAATTTTCATTTAATCTAATTAGCAACCTTTAATAGGAGAATGGTTTGATGATAAATTTATTGGATAGGATATTTCTAATAATCTTATTAAAGATCCTAAACTATCTTATTCTCATTTACTTAATGTACTTCCATAATCTATTATAATTTAGCTTTAACCCATAAAGAATTAAGATTCTCTATTTTATGGATAGTATTCAAACCATGGAAAGCAAGGTCTAGGATTATGCTTTCAAAAAAAAGAATACAAATTTATTGGTTATTTTTCTAATGATAAAAAATAAGGCTATGGTATTGAAATCACCAAAAATGATGTTTATAGAGGAAGTTTTAAAAATGACCTTAGATGTGGTATAGGCCATCTCAAGAAGAATAAGAATTTATTTTTAGGTGAGAATATTATCAATATATTAAGGTTAGTTTGAAAATAATTAACCAACGACTAATGGGATTTCAATTTAAATTTGAGTTATTTAATAAATATTTGTTTATATTATGGATCACTTATCATAAAGACAATTACTATAATTATTGTATGAAAAGGATTGTTATATTTAAGCACTTGAATAATAATTAGAATTTAGTAGATAAGAAGTTTTATTGTTAAAAAGCTAAAAATAATCAATCATTATTCAAAATCTCTCCTCTGATGAAGATTGTAATCTAGATGAGAATTCAGAACCAGCTATTAGTGATAGTAGAGTAGAATAGTTTTAGAGTTCAGGCAAAAAAATTAAGTTGAAAGCTCCTCTATAAGAAAGCAATAATTTTAATGTCTCATAATTTAGACAATCTACCTAATACTTAAAATAAAAAGTATTAGATTCATTTGATGTCCAAAATGTTACAGCTGATAATTTAAAGGTTTTAAAAAACAACGATTAATTATTTGATGATCTATTCATTTTAGGATTAGGATCAGAATAATCTAACGAACAACAAGTGATTTATTCATTCAATTAAAATAGTATTTATATATAATAAATACTAGAAAATCATTAACATATATTGTAAATTTCCAAATTCATATTTCCAGATGGATGCAAACCTAAAATAATACCTTTGTCTTTTAGTCTGGAAGACATCAATTTAATGATTAATTAAAATTATTCAATTGATTCTCCAAACTGTTTTGTAATCATTACCAAATAAACTGAATAACAATAACTAAAATATCATATCTGTTATCGTTATACAGATTTTACAATTTTAAACCCAGAATAAGTCAAATTTAGTAAAAGAGCAATCTGTTTTTCAACAAGTAAATATTTAGTAGATTTTTATTAACAAACAATAATTGTAATTTTATCATAGTTAAAATCTATGAGAATTAATTTGTATTCTAGAACAAACAATATTTCTTTAGTAGATACAAATTTCTTTGATAAAAATATTTCTCAAATTAGTTTGAGAATATTATCATAACTTACTTAAAGAAACCCTCCTAACTTCATTACTATTAATAATTAAGAGTTTAAAATAAGTGAAAATGATAATATTTAATGGGTATAAAAATTTTAAATATTAGGGAATTCCTCAATTATTTAAAAAATTAAACTCTTAAAGTTTAATCAAGATTTTTGTAAGTTGTTTAATAGAAAAATCTATTGTTTTTGTAAGCAAATCACCATAGTTATCAACAGCAGCTTGTTTATTATGCTAAAAATATTTACTAAAACCATTTGCTTGGATACATCCTATAATTAGTAACTTACCTTTAGAAAACATAGTTTACTTAGGAAGTCCTGTACCAATAATTGCAGGCTTAGAATGCGTAAATATGATTTGTTAAACTTAGAATTTTTCTACCTTATAGAGTCAAGGAATTATAAATAAATTTTAGAATACTATTTTTATAAACTTGGATAATAAACAATAGATATAATTTGGAAACACTGATGCAATTCCATTATTATCAGCAGAATTAATGACATTTTTATTAGGTAGATTAGATTCATACTTCTAAAAAGTATAATAAGATCATAATAATTACATTTAATGTTTGTAAATTTTTAATTAGTTGTTTCATGCAAGAGTAATTAGGAATGTTCCTATTGAACCAATTAGATAGAATACAAATTAAAATTTTAAAAAAAGTAGTAAATTATTACTAGATTATGACAAAATAGCCTAAAAAACATTATAAAATATGGGAACTATTAATGCAGATAAAGTTATTTGGAAATAGTTTTTCCAAACATAAATTTTTATATAATTTATTGATTAATATTATCATTGAATAATATAAGTAATGATGTTGGTTTTTATTTTATAATTTTATAATTATTTAATCGTAGATAATAAAATATTAATTAAATTCAAATGCCACACAGTTATTTAACATCATCAACTATGTATTGATACATGAACTAAGATGTCTATTCGATTGTACAATAATAGCCATTTTCACAAATTTTAGTTTTAAGTAAGACTTTATTGAAATAGACAAAAACTATATTTCCTTTAATAATAAATTCTAACTCTGAAGCAAATGGAGTAAGATATTGTTCATCGATTAAAACAGATAACATAGCAAATTAATTGGATTCAGTTCCTACATAGATACTTAAGGGTTCTTGAGAATAAAATTGTGATATGATCCATTTAAAAGGTTCTGTAAGGGCTGCTTGATGTTAAAACATTTCAGAATTTTTGCCAAAATATTTGAGAAACTTAACTACATCTTCCATATATGTATTTGTAGATTATGAGGGATTTGGAAAATTGTATCCTTAAAATTAATTGCAAAATGTATCATCATAAATATCATCTATATCTGTTAAAGTTATAGAACTTTTTGTAATTTATTGACTTGGATATGCTTTAACCATGATATCATAAACTCCATTTAATTGATCCATTTTCTTAAATTCTTTCTCTTTATTTTTATATTCTTTACTATTTTCAATATTTTTGTTAATTGCTTTTAGGTTTGGACATTATTCTGTTTTATGACCTTAAAACAATAAATCTCCACTTTTATCAAAAATGTTATAATCAAGAGATAAGGGATCTTAGAAATCAGATTATAAAATCTTTTCAAATTTTTTTTGATTTAAGACTCTTTATGAGTAATATTCACTAAAAAATCTATGTAGAATGTATTTAAAATTTTTAGGACATAATCCAATAATGAAGCAAACAGTTGAGGAAGTACATCTAGCTGTTTTGGATGACTATATTTCTAGTAGTTCATAAATACAATTGCCTTCAAAATCAAATATGGATTATCTCTATTGTTATTTACCTACTTCAATTAATTGATCAACCCCTTTTTGGGTTAAAATCTTGATTGGATCAGTCTATCAAATTCAGTCCAGACATCAGGATCCCGAGCTCCATGTCTTAAAATAAGAATAGATCTTTATGATAGAGTTAATTGTATTATGTAAGATGTTAAGATAACTTTTAGCATTAAAATATAAATGATATTTATTGAGATATTTGTAATTTGTAGCTATGTTTCATGATGTCATTTTTTTTAATCACACAAAATAATATATAAAAATCTGATATACATCATAAGGATTTGAATATAATATTGAATATAATAATTAGGTTTAGATGAATAAAATTGAAGTGAATAATAATAATGGAACAAAATCTATGAGGGGTGTAAAATTGACATATATATGATTATAGTTAAGTTATTTTAATATTCTTTGAATAACAGATTAAATAATAAATAACATGAGTTCAAATGCAACTGCTGAGAGATTAAAGCATGTTTAAGAATTGAGAAAAGCTCACTTTTACTTTGGATTTGATTAAGACACTAATCATCAATCAGTTGCTAAGCAACCTATGCCAATATAGAAAACAGCTAAAGTGAGACCAATGACATCTGTAGTAGAGAAAGACTAAAAGTTAGAATAATAGCAACCAATATAAGTTCCAAAATTACAATAAAACCATTTTCATTTAGGAGATGATAAACCAAAATTGGAGTCAATATAAAAATCTGATTATTAAAGACCTTAAAGTGCAGCTGTAGCTAAATTAAGTGATGAAACTAAAAAAGATTTAAGATCTCATCATTTTCAATTAGGTTTTCATGATTACAATAAACCAACTGAATATGAATAGAATTTTGGAGATTAAGGCAAAAATGATTTTAAAAAGGCTGATAATGCAGATTTACGTAAACATCATCATGATTTTGGTGATAATAATAATTATTATTCATCTATGTATGATACAGTGCATAATAAATAATATGATAAGGCTTTATTAGGATAAGGATATTCTAAAGAAAGGATGGCATAAATGAATGTACAATTAAGAAAAACTAATTTGGTTATGGGAAGAGATGGTAATGGTTATACAACTTAAAATTAAGCTATATATGGTAAACCATAATTGTAAGTTAATAATTTTCAAGACAAAACCTAATAATTAGTTAAAAATACTCATATTTCAATGGGTACAGATAGAGTTGAATATAAAAGTTAAGCTAAGGCTTCACATGTTGGAACTTAAGGAGATAGATCATTTCTAAATGAAGCTCAATTAAAAGATTTAAGAGCAACTCATTTTTAAGTAGGAAATGATTAAGCAGTTAATTATTAATCAGCTTATAGATCCTAATATTCAGATAGAAAAGAATAATATGAATAAATTAAGAATCCATAATTATAATCTAATCATTTTGATCTTAAAGACGAAGTTGTCAAACCTTCAATTCAAGAACATTATAAAAGCACATATAATCAATAATTTAATGGATAAAAAGCGGAGAGAGTTAATCCGGTTGTGGATAATTCTAAAAATATAATGATTGGAAATGATAAATTAAGTTATTAGAGCGAAGCTTAAGCAAGATTCAGAGATTTTCATTCAAAACCAGGAAAATTACAAGAAGAAGTACAAGCTGATTTAAGAAAACATCACTTTAAATTTGGAACAGACGAACAAACAATAGAATCAGTAGCAAAAGCATAATTTAAGAATCCTAATGGTTAACCAAGTAAAATGGATGCAGAAATGAAAAGAGTAAATTTACAATTAATTAAATTAATAGGATTTAAGAACCCATCATTTTCAATTAGGATATCATCGCAATGATTATTAAACTCATTAAAAAGAGTTTGGATCAAAATAAGGACCTCCAAATAAATTACCTCCAGAGATGGCCTAAAGAGTTAGGTAGAGTTCATATTAGAATTGATTATACATTGTTATATTATCGATTTTAGTTATATAAAACCAAAGTTCATCAATATTATAGAAATTATTATCTAAGGAATGTATATTTATTTATTTAAACCTAAAATTTGATCTAAGAACTTCCATCATAAATTCGAAATGAATTATTAATGATTTATTACAAATATATTTGATTGATAGTGTCTCATTTCTTAAAATTGATAAAAATTACTATTCTACCTTATCTCAACTTCTGAGAAGAAAGAAGCAATATAAATATCTCTTTTTTGAATTGAAGAATTTGTAGATATTAATAAAGAATAATTTGCTATTGTCAAAAAACCTTATAATTTATATTTTAATAATGACAATAAGATTATTTTAAAAATGACATTTTAGAAATCTAGTTAAGGAATTTTTAACTGTTGATTCTGAAGTTAAAATTATCTCTGATACAAATATTTTATTATATTTATATCTTTAAAAAAATATCCAAGAATAGATTTTGCCTCTACATGAATGAACTATAAAGAAAACGTAATTTTAGATCAGATTTAAAATAATTAAAAGGTTTTATTTAATTTAGGAATGATAAAATAATACCTAATATTATTTGGATTAATTGCTCAATATGAAAAAGCAAAATAAAATCTTAAAAAGAGAAGCGGACTAGATAAATTTTTTTGAAAAAAACAAAAAAATGTTTGTGTGTTGAAAAACTATAAATTAATTATAATATTAGTAATATATAATTAAATTATGAAACAGCAAAAAAAATTAGTGCTTCATTTCGATTTGAATAAAACTATTCTTTTGGCTGATTCAAAATATCTCAATCAAACCAAAGAAGAATGCGTATCACATGCATTCTTAATTTTAGTTATAAGAAATTTTGGTTGGATACGCATGGGGTAAATTAGAATAGAGGGATGAAAAATCACCAGTTTTATGGAAATTGCTTACAAATAACTTCACTCCAATAAGACCTAGTGAAGATATGATCTCATATAAAGAATACATATGTTAATAGTTTCCACTGAAAACTGAAGGAGATCCCGAGGATATTAAAGAATATAATACAAGTGCAATGTAACAACTTTTCAAAAAAATTATTTTAGAGAATAACGCAAACAATTATATTTTCAATTTGTCAAATTAGGATAACCATGTATGAAATTGAAACCTGAATATGACAGAATTGTCAAATTAATTGTACGGTTTTAATAATTACAACTTATTAGACATTACCAAAGGCTGTGATAGAAGAGCTAAAGCAATAAGCTGAGGAATTCGGTTTTTTGAATGAAGATGAGGTTAAGTAAAGAAATTTAACTTAATTATTATCTGATAAGGATATGTTAAATAATTTATTTTCAGACAATAAATATTAATTGTTGCCAACATTTTATAAAACAATTATAAATTTAAAGAAATAGAAAAGAGAATTTGCAATAGTATTTCGACCATTTGGAACAGATCCAAAAAATATATTAAGAGAATTCAATAAATTTTGTTTGGGAGAGCATCCATGTTTTAGTGGTAGAAACAATACACCAATAGTAAAATTTGATGGATCTAAAGGAACTAAAAATTATATAATTTTGGATAAATAATGTGCTTTAGTATATAGATAACAGAAATAATTAGTAACTGGTACCTTAAGAAGAACAGATAAATAATAATTAGAAGATGGATATGAAAAGGAATTAGAAGAAGAATAAGTATAAATATACAATGAGACACAAATGTTATTGAAGATAACTGAATCTTTGAAGGAGAATTGTGCTTTGTGTTATGTTGATGATTTTTAATTTTATTAAGCATAACCAAGTGAAGCAAATGCTAAACAACTTTATGTTGATTAATAAGATGCTGATACACTTCATATATTTTTTGATGATGGAATTCAAGAGTAAAATAATATTTAATAAAAGAAATGAAAATAATTTAGTTTAAGTGACAGATTGTGTAACATTGGAAAATTTAAGTAGAAAGAAGTGTTTCAACAAATATTTAGTACATGTGGACATTTTAGATGTAATTAAGGATCCTGATTATTTCATCAAATAAATTGAAATCTGTGAGAGAAACAGAAATGAGGAAATAGAAAGAATAGAAAAAGGAATTCCTGAAGAATAAACTGAAATACCAAAAAAGACTGAATGGGAATTGTTGGAAGAATGTTCAAATGCTGATTATTTGCGTAAAACAATACTTCCATTATTATTGCCTGCTTTATAATTGGTTGATATAGAGAGACCAAAAGATCCACTTGAATTTATTGCTATGTATTGTTTAAAGAATAAGGAAATGGTTAAGATTCCATAACCACCTGAATAATAAGAATGAATATTTCAAATAAATCAATTGATTTTATATTCTATAAAAAATCAAAGCAATTTTATTACAATATATTTGTTACCACTAATTTTTATTTGACTTTCCTTATTAAAATATTAACATTCATATTTTTTTAAATTTATTTGATTCTCTATGCTTAATTGAGTCTCATCCAAATTGATAATTATAAGATAAGTGAAATTTTTATTATCAATTTGTGAATCACCTTGTAATATACACATCTCATAGTATTTATCATTTCTTATAAGTGAATTTTATTTGTATATTTATTGACAACTATTTCGTTCAATATCATTATTTTAAATAAAGATTTATAAGATTTCTGAAACATCTTAAGAGTTGTTACTATCTCTATGGTATGAATTGTCATTTCCACAAATATATTAAATAGCATCACCTTCATATAATGTTTAATTTTCAGAAATAGAACTAAATTGATTAAATTCAAGTCTTACTTATCTTGTCTATATTAACCCTTAAGTACATAAGTTATAATATCATTTTAAGAGTGAGTTGCTTATTTTAATTATTCAGCTGGTGGCAATCTCCATATTACGATGCTGATTGGTAATTAATGTCTAGGATCACATTGATCACCAAAATTAAAGAAGTATCTGGCTTCGAAACCACATCTTTGATATAATTTTGGTTTCAATGTGTATTGAGTTTGTACAAATTCTTATAATAAATTTTAGAACATAAATTAATATTGTTTAGTTTTTTTTTGTATGAATTGAATATATACATATACAACATATGAATATCAATTATTTAATTGATAACGGAACTGACATTTAACACATTCATAAAATACAGTTGAACCTTCATCTGCTGATCTCAATTGAGCTGTAGAAAAGTAGGCTTCTTCATGACCACATTTTGGACAAGCTTATTGAATAATTGCTCTGTGTGATTAATCAAAGAGTTTGGACTCTTAGGGTTAATTAGATAACCAGGATTTTGGTTCCATTTTTATGGTTGATATGATGTATTTAGGTTGATAATCACTTATTGAACACTTATCATATATAATGAATATCATACTTTATATCCACAACGATTACACTCAATTATATCAAGGACTTCTGGTAGTTCTAACATAAAATGACATTATGGACAAAAGTCTGCTGCACTATCGAGATTCATTAATTATATTTTATTTGTGCTTTATATTAAATGAAAGGACCGGTAAATATGCTCATTTTAAATGTAGTTTCTTTGGGGATTTGCATATAAATCCTTTTTCAGATTCAGAAGTAAGCTAACTTTATATTACTTTAGAACCTACATTAAAGTTTCTGCAAAGTCCATTTCAATTGAATAAAGAAGATCTTATTAAGAAATCTGTCAATATCCCTGATTATTAATTTGATTTCTCAACTTTCATTCATCCTGATTCAACATTCTTGGTCAATCAACAAAACATTCAATCTTTACGTTTACTTTAAAAGGACTTCGCTTCAGATCCTCATAATCCTGAAAAAGTATTCAAATATGTGAGATAATTAAATCGCATGTAAATGTATGAAGAGGCTATTTAAATATTCAAACAGACAGGTATCTAATATATATTAGAAATTTAGATGACTTTAGAGAATTTGCTACTCCAAAATAACATTAGCAATTGTAAGAGCAATATGGGATAGCAATAACAAATCTTAAATCTAATTTGTATTAAGATAAACGTAAGTCTTTGATTTTACCAGGGGTAATCCAATTGCTTATAACAGCTGCAATAATATATCAAATATTTTATTATTTTCAGCCAAATTAAACGAAACCTAAGAATGAGAAAGCATAAAAGGAGACTCCTGATTAAGGAGTAGGGAGAATGGATCGATTTTATAATATTTTGCGAAATAATTAGAGTGTTTAAGAGGAAAGAAATATCCCAACTCGATTTAATGATGTATTAGGAATAGATGAATTTAAAGAGGAATTAGAAGAAATAGTTGAATTTTTGAAAAATCCAAAAAAGTATACAGATTCAGGAGCAAAATTACCAAAAGGGATTTTATTAATAGGACCCCCAGGAACAGGTAAAACTCTGTTAGCAAGAGCATTGGCTGGAGAAGCAGGATGTGCATTTTATTATAAATCAGGTTCTGAATTTGATGAAATGTTCGTTGGTGTTGGAGCATCAAGAGTAAGAGAAATATTCAAAGCAGCTAGAGCAAAAGCACCAGCAATAATATTTATAGATGAAATAGATAGTATAGGAGGAAGAAGAAGAGCATAAGATCCAGGATATTCAAGAGATACAATAAATTAGATTTTAACAGAGATGGATGGATTTAAATAAACAGAGAGTGTAATAGTAATAGGAGCAACTAATTTTGAATAGGTAAATGATATAGATAATTATTAATTTAAGGTTTTAGATCCAGCTTTAAAAAGACCAGGGAGATTTGATAAAATGATTCATGTTCCATTACCTGATGTAAAAGGAAGAGAATAAATATTTTCATATTATTTAAAAAAGATAAAATTTGATGAAAAGAAAGTGTTACCTTAAAACTTGGCTCGATAAACAAGTGGATTTAGTGGAGCTGATATATAAAATATGGTAAATGTAGCAATTTTAAATGCAATAAAACATGAGAGATAGATAGCATCAACGGAAGATTTTGAATTTGCAATAGATAGAATATCAATGGGAATAGGTAGAAAGAACATGCATGTGAGTGATAAAGAAAAATTAATGACAGCATATCATGAAGGTGGACATGCATTAACTAGTTTATTAACTGATGGAGCTATGCCCTTACATAAAGTAACAATATTACCTAGAGGTGGAGCATTAGGATTTGTAATTATATATATTTATAATATTATTAATAGACAGCTATGTTACCTGAAAAAGATTAATTAAATTATACAAGAAAAGGAATTATAGCATCAATTGATGTAGCTATGGGTGGAAGAGCTGCTGAAGATCTTTTTTTAGGAAAAGATGATATTACTAGTGGATGTAGTAATGATTTAGCTAAGGCAACTGATTTAGCTTATATGTTTGTTAAATAATTAGGAATGGATGATTAGATTTCTTTAATTTCTATTTAAAGTGATCGAGTAAAAACTAGTGATTAATTTGATTATATGGTTGATATGGAAGTTAAAAAGATTCTAGAAGTATTTAGTTATAATAAAAATAAGGAATCTTACAAAAGAGTTAAATCCTTATTGAAATCTAATGAAAATAAACTTAAAGAGTTAGCAACTGAATTAGTCAAAAAAGAAACATTATCTGCTGAAGAAATTAGAAGACTCTTAAAAATTAAATGATTTATACATTTATTAATTAACGTGATACATAAATATAATTAATTTATGGGAGAAGAAGATACTCATTTAGAAGGAGAAAATGTTATGCATCAAGATTCTTTATTTAGAGATGAAGAGAAAATGGAAGAATCTGCTAATGTTGCCTACCTCCTTACTTTAGGAATTCTTTTAGGTCTCACTTTAAGAGAAGTTAATAAAAAGACTAAGTATATTGATATTATAATGTAGATTCCCCTATTCTCCAATGGTATTGACTTGCGGATTATTAATTGGCTTATTATAAAGCTCATTAGGATACTTAGGTTAAAGTGCAAGTATTTTAAGTCATATGCACCCACATTTAATTGTTTTTGTTTTTATTCCTGTTTTACTTTTTGAATCTGCATTTAATTGTGATTGGTATGTGTTCAAATATTAAATGGTCAATATCTTACTATTAGCAGGGCCAGGTGTAGGTTGGGTATTAATCTATTATTTTATTATAGGGTGCCATACTTTTAGGAATAGTTTTTAAATTATTCCTATTTTATAGTGATGAGGATATGAATTGGTATCAAGCATTTACTCTAGGTTCAGTCCTTTCAGCTACTGATCCTGTAGCTGTTGTAGCATTGTTAAAAGAGTTAGGAGCTAGTGCTGCTTTTAATCATCTTATTGAAGGTGAAGCATTACTTAATGATGGTGTAGCCATGGTCTTTTTTATTTTCTTTAATAAATTATCAAAAGCAGCTGCAGGTATTGGAGGTGGAGTTACTTTTGGCGGAGTCTTATTAAATTTCTTTAGAAATTCTATTGTTGGACCTGTTCTAGGAGTTATTGTTGGATTCTTTGGAGCTTTGTGGGCTAGAAGAATTGTTGGTGATGATGTTGAAGTTGGTTGGCTAACTTTTGTATTTACTTATCTTACTTTCTATTGGGCTGAATTTTGTTTCTTTAAAACTAGTGGATTGTTAGCAGTTGTTTCTTTAGGTTTATTTTGGAGTGCTTTTGGTAAAACTAGAATTCGATCTGAAAGTGAACATGCTGTTCATACTGTTTGGAGCTTTGTTTAATATGCATGTGATACAACTGTTTTTTTACTTGTTGGTATGATTGTTGGTACTGAAGTTATTGAGGAAAGATATATATATACATCTGATTACTTTAGAATGATACTCTTTTATTTCTTTATGATCATTTGTAGATATCTAATGGTGATATCATTTTGGCCGTTATTAAAAAAGTATGGATATCCTATTTCATAACCTGAATTGATTGTATTTGTTTATGGTGGTTTGAGAGGTGCTTTAGGATTAACATTATCTTTGATGGTAGGATGTGATTCAGATTTGCCTCCAAGATTCAGACATTTAGCTGTTTTCTTTACTGCTGGAATGGCTGCTTTAACAAACTTAGTAAATGGAACAACTTGTAAAGCTTTAGTAAATTATTTAAATATGATTGAAAATCCAGTAATAAAGAAGAAGGTATATAAACGTTATTTGACTGACATGATTGTAAATTAAGAAGATACAATAAAAGAATTGGAAGGGGATGAACATTATGCAATGGCAGATTGGAATTAGGTAAAAACATTAGTGGGATCTTAAGAATATTTACAAGAAGTAATGTAATTGGAGAATGAGATAAAATAAATTTAAGGAGGAAACATGAGTAGAATATCATATGAAGGATTAACAGATTCAGAAACATTTGGAGAAGTTCGATATAGAGTATTACGAATTCTAAAAGGTCTTTATTATTCAAGATTTGAACATGGCTAATGTGATGAAGATTCAGTAAGATTACTTGTAGAATCAAGTGATGTAGCACTAGATCACACAAGTTCAATTTTGAATATATGGGAATAGTTATTCTAAAGTTTTACAAGTTTTAGTAGCATTAAGTATTTTTTTAAAGCCAAAGAATGGACTTTCTTAGGTGGTTATGCTTAATAATATATAACAAAACATTTAGGATTTGTTTATGATGTAACAACAACATTTATTTCATGTGCTTAAGAAGTGTTAACTTTATAATAACATATGCCTATGAATAAAGCTGCAGTAAAATTAATAATGGATGAAATAAGAGGAGAGATTAATAAAGCAGAAATATATTTAGGAAGTTTAAATGACACATTTCCTGAAGTAATTAGAGCAATACAAACAAAGAGAGCATCACATACAGTATTGATGCATTAAAGATATCATTTAGAAGAGAATTAAAAAAATGGATTAGTTGATGATAAAGAATTCAATTCCCTTAAAGCTAATATTGATGCTAGATTAGTTGAACTTGAAAATCATTCATTTGATTGGTAAATTCCAACATTTCACTCTTTTGCAATGGAATTTCCTATTTTTACAGGAGTACCTAAAGAGGAGTTAGATACTATTGTTAAATCTACTTATGAAAAAAGGTATTAATAAGATGAAATCATATATGAAAAAGGCATGACTTGTTAAAATATCTATATCATTTAAAAAGGTTCTGTTAATGATGAAGTTGGTTAACATATATTAAAGAAGGGTTTAGGTTCTTTATTATCTTATGCTAATTTAATTGGAGATGGTAAATGTATGACTACAGCTAAAGCAGCATCTGAAACTGTTCTACATTCTCTTAATTTGAATGTACTCAGATCATTAATGTAGAAGTCTCAGGTATTTGAATAAAAAATATATATTAATTCAATAGGTATATATAAGTATTATTTTAGAATATCTAATTAAATTATTTGAATCATAAGCAGGCCCTTTAGCATAAATGGAAGCAAAAGGATTAGGTTAATTTTTGAGATCTAAAACTTAATTCAAGAAATTTGATGTTCATTCTAATGTTGAATTCATGTTTGGAGGTTACATCATCAAAGGTGAAATTCAAAGTTGTATTTCAGATGATGGTGAAGGAATTGAAAGATATAGAGATTATTGGTATTGATCTTATTATTATACTTTCATTAGTTATGTACCTCCAAGAGAAAATGATTTCACTGTAAACAAACAACTTATATGTTTGGTTTTTGATGATGCTATTGATATTATCAAATAAGGCAGATTAGAATAATTCAATTTAGAAAATCATGAAGAAATTGTTTAGGAGAGATTCTCAAGAATAGATATTTAGAATCAATAATAAGAATTCTGATTATTATTATCATATAAATATATTTCAATATTCCTTGTTCATAATGTTTATTAATTTATAAGTATATTTATTAATACTTTAATCATCTAAACATATTCCTCTTTTTCAGATATATATATTTTAAATTTTAAATAACCATTATAATCATAATTGGATTAATAATACATTTTTCTTATTCATTTGTGACCAATTCGATTCAATCTTTCAATAAACTTAACAGAAATTACAGATTATTCGTAGACTTTTTTAAAATTTAAAACAAAATTATTAATTATATTATATAGATTTGAATTCTGAATCCTATTAATTAAATTTTCTATCCTTTGTAATCTTCTTTAGAAAAAAATTTTTAGGACTGTTCACTTCTTAGCTAAAGTTTTGCAAAATGTATTTTCTAATTATATTTTTGAATCGTCTTTTAAAATTATCAAAATTTAAAAAACAATTCATTTGGACATATCCTAATAATTGTATTTGTTTCTTAATTCTATTTAGAATCTTTAATAGTAAATTATTAGATCAGGTCATACTATGATAATAATTAATATCAATTTTTAATGATGAATTTAATTAAATCACTTACATATCTAAATAAATTAAATTAATCAATTTAACTTGATTAATAATTAAATTATATTAGTGTATCCAAAATATATAAAATAAATAAAATAAAATTATATAACAATCACTCTTATTATTGATATTTTCTGATATAACTTTTTATAGGTTCTATTTGATCCAATTTCTTTAAAGGAATAAATGATAGCATCATTCTATTTTGATAAATTTCTTATCTGTTTTTTTATAATCGAGGAATCCACATCATAAAATATAAAATAATAGATAATAATGAAAAACTAAGAAATGTGGAAACAAATTGTAATTATAAGTCTTCAAAATGTGTATTTAATGAGCTTTGCAAAATATCAGTTAAATAAATTTATAAAGATTTCATGTATACTTTGGTTAGAATTCTATTTGAATTCATATCATATTAATTAAGTAGATTGTAAGAATAATTTAATAATGGATCAGTTGATAGATTATATGATAAATAAGAGTAGTGATAACTTGAATTATAACCTTGATATAGGAATAGATAAAATTTAATAGTTTCCAAGAATTTGGTGACTCCCAATGATAAACCTTATAATAAAATACCATCATAAAATTAAGAACAAGCACTTTGTTTATCATCACCTTCATCTATAATAAAGCATGGATTTAAAATATAAATTTAATTAAAAGCCATTTTATATTCTACATCTAAGACCGCAGAATTTTCCTGATTTAATTAATGAGATTCTGCATCCATTTCATATAAAACGTTTTACATATACGCTAAGGCTGTGAAAGCATTTAGATCTAAAATGATTTTTGATTAATTCCAAAATGCTTCTCTCATAATATTATCAATTAAACTATATTAAGATGCTGCTATAGATGTTATATTTAACAAAGGAGTCAATTATTCAGTTTAAGATATTATTATCTATAAATTAAATTAGATTTATTACTTTTGATGTTATGAAGATATATGAAAAAAAGAAAGCATAGCATATCAAAACCATAGAAACATATATGATATTCTTCTTTATTTCTTTAGTCGAAAAACTTTTATTCCTCCTTTTCTTTCTGTTGAATGAACTTAAATCAAAATGATCTTCTTCTTCATCTTGTTCTTCATCTATTTCATCTAATTATTTATCATCAGCTAATCTTAATGCACTCAAAAAATCTTAAGCTTTCTTAACATAAAATTTAATTGTTTTTTCATCTAATTCCATAAATAATGATAAAATTTCTCTTAAATAACTTTAATGTTTGTTCAAAAATATTTAAATTATAATATATGTCAAAATTATTAAAAATAATTAAGTTAAAGAAAAATAAATCTATAGCTAATCCAATTAATCAGTTTAATAAATTATGTTATAATAATAGAAATCTTAAGCTAAATGTTAATTTAGAAGAACCGAATTAAAGAGGTTTTCATTGAAATAGTAATAATCTTGATTTAAATCATCAAATGAAGTTAAACTACTAGAATTTAAAGATATAGCTTTTGATAATAATTATTAAATCACCTCTTCAAATAAAAAACTTGAAGACTCTCCAGTAACTTATTACATCAAAATTTTTTAAGTTTTGAATGCATTATCATATTTTGCATATTCTCCATTCAATATTATTTCTTAATTTTATAATGTTAATTAATATTCTAAAGTAAGATTTAATTCTGCTGCAAGTTCAAGTCTATTAATAAATTCAAAATGACCTGATACAGTTTATTAAGTATATGGAAGTATTTTAAAATTTGTAAATTTTAGATCTTATAAGTTTGATTGCATTTTGATGAAACTGCATAATCGAAGATTATTAGCAATTAATAAATTTAAGGCTTAAACAATTTTCCCTTAAGTTTAATTTAACATAATAAACATGATAATGGATACAATAAGTACAGATAAAAATAATAAGCTTATACAAATTGATAGTTTTAACATAATAAATGGTAATTTAGAATTATTGATAACTTTAATTAATCCTAACCTTGTAGCTATTTTTAAACTTCTTTATTCAATTTATACTTATTTATCCAAATCATTTTCATCTTCTGCATTTAGATTTTTACCTTTATTTTATTTTTTTTCACTATATTCACTTTCATCAATAGATTCTTCTTCAATTTCAATAATTTTGTTATCAAAATATCTCATAGTTTTAATATCTGCCCCATATACTTTAGATTTAAGTAATGAATGTTTAGATTATGAATATTATTTCTTACTACTGGTATTACTATGTTATGCAAATAAATATAGTTTTTAAGGTTCTTCCCAAATAATACTTTTCTCAATTAAAGATTCATTATTAGTGTTTTCTGGATCTGCATTTTCCACTAAAATTAAAATAAAATTATTACATTAATATGTTTTGGAAGCTACATAAAATTTAAAGACTTTCGTTGTCTTTTTATTTTTTATGAGTAATGGAAAATTAGTGATGTCAGTAGAATATTATTCTAATTTGACAATATAACCATAAATTTGATATATATCATCATTTTAATTAGCATAAGGGGTTTCAATTAGGAAGAGAGAACAATTAAATATTTTATCTTCAACTTCATCAAAAGAATTAGCAACATCATCTTTTGATAAAGATCCTTTTGATGAAGTACATTACAATTCAAAATGTATAAGAGTTGGTTTACTTAAATATTCTTCTCTATTCAACAATAATTCAGGAAAAAATTTAGTTATGTTTACATCTTTCAAATGAAGAAATTATTAATCCAATTTCAAGATTTACATGCATGAAGACGAAACATGTAAAATTTTACCATGAATATCAATTAAAATATAACATTTTGGTTTATAATGTACTTCTTATCTCAATCTACTAGTCATTATAAATCCATTTATAGTATTAAGTATTTAAGATTAGGAATAACATGGTACAATGTAATTTTACTTATTTTTAATCATTAAAAATCTTTCTTAAAATTAATTGATTTAATTTGCATCACCTGTTTATTTATCAAAAAAGAAATCTATTAATTAAGTATGATATTCTACATAACTATTATTATAATTAAATATTTTTACATTGTAGGTAGAATAACATCGATATTTCTATTTATTAAGTCTGTTTTTGAAAAACCTAATAAACTATATGCTGCTTTATTAACATTTAAAATAAGAGTTGGATGTCCTACAGATATTTACATTACTATAAGTGGATCTCCAGAACTAGAAAGATCTTCATAAAATTCATTTCCTTTAGTATTATATTTCTATTTTTTAATCATTTAAATTAATTAATCTAACGCTAATTATTCATCATGTACAATCATTTCATAATATTTACTAATAATTCTATGTGTTCCAATTTCATATGGATCAATTTCTAAGATTTTATACCATTATTATTCTACTTTTAAAATTGATTTAATTATTTTTTATCCATGCTCATATAAAATCTTAAGATTAGGAACTTCTTCTTATAATTAAGACCAAAAATATAAATATTCCATACAAGAATCTTCAATTAAATAATGAAGATTTTTAATTTCACTTTTTAGTGTTTTTTCAGTAATAATATCTAGCTTTTTCTTATTATGATTATTTGATTACTGTTGTTTTTAAATTTATTCTTCTATTATTCTCTTATATCTATAAATAAAGAATTGTTAATCAAAACTTGGATCACAACTCTCAGCTAAATTTAATTAATTTAATGCTTATTATTTGAGTTACATTTTATCTAATAAAAAATATGAATAAGATATTTTAAGATTTACACATTCTGGAAATTATTCTAATCCATCTAAATAATTTTAATTGACTAATTAATCTATTTATTATTTTCTATCTTTAAATACATTTACACTCTTATTTTTCTTCTTTTGATTAGATAATAATACACAATCAGGTTTACTACAAGATTATTTATGAAATTCAATAAAACCAGCCAAAAGTATCTAAGATTTTTAATTAGTTGCACTCTAATTATTCAAAGTTAAGATATATGTACAAATTTAAACAGTTTATATTCCATTTTAATTAGATTTCATACAAGCTGTAACTAAATCAACATAAGATAATTCTTTCATAGCCAAAATTGCAATAATAAATGGAATACCAACTATCCAAATAACAAGTGTTTTCTATAAAAATCTTCCCTCAAGATGATATGCATAAAATAACATTAATTAAGTCCAAAAATTAACTCCTGCTATAATTGACCATATTTTTTGTATTTTTGTATTATAAAAGGGAGTTTGTTGATTAACACCATAAAAAAAAGTAAATGATGAAACCAATTAAAATAATATAACAATTAATGTATATTTCGGCTGTTCTAATAAAGAATAAGATAATAAAGAAATAAATATAAATAAGTAATAATAAAGCATTGTTTAACCTTACTTCTATGCTACCACATTATATTCAACTTCTTTTGATTCTATACATATCTAAGCAAATATAATCACCATTATCATATATTCTGCAAATGTTAATATAGCTATTACTGCATGTAATTCATATTCACTAACCCAACATTATTAATTTTTAACATATCTCATCATTAAATTACCTTAATCTTATGATTCACATGCTAAATACTTAATTTATCATATTATCTTACTCCCAATAATATTCTAGATATTGGTTCAAATCCTATTGTCATCAATATTGTTAAACTTAATCTCAAAATTGAAAATACAATTGAACTTGATGACTAATTTTATTTCAGAACTCCTAAAATTATTATCAAAATCACTGTTATCTAAACTAATCCAACACAAATGTAAAATACTATTAAATAAATTGTTAACTCTTTATTCTCTACATATTTCATTAAAGTAAAAAATCTATTTTCAACCAATATTCATACGCCAAAATGTAATTTACCCATTTTGTCAAATTTTCAGAACGCCAAATGTATCTTAGCTGTTATTGAAATGAAAAATAAAGAAGCTATCCCATTTATATAATTGTTGAAATTATTGCTACATTTAGAGGATACTATTGTCTCTTCAAAATTAAATACACTACACTGTACTAAATCAATCATTTTTATACTTAAATAACTTATATTTAGTATTGTTTATTAGTTTTTTTAGAACTTCAGATTCAGCTTCCATCGTATAATTAAAATCAAAATTTATTAATACACCACTTTTTATAATTTCAAATTATTATATTCATTTGAGAATTATTTAAGTAACCCATCATTAATTTCCTTTATTATATATTTTATAATATCATATAATCAAATCAAACTTTATTCTTTCAAATTCAAAATAATCAATTTTGACCTAAATTTTATTTATTTTTTTACTTATTCATCATTTTTATATAGAAATAATACCAATAATCAATTTATTTCTAATAAATTTAATATATAATATCTACTTGATGTAACCAAATCATAATTACTATAATCAAAAACATAATGTATAAAATATGAAAAGTATTATATTTCTTATAATGTAATCATTATAAATATAACTCTATTTTATGATAAAGTGTATTTAATGTTAAGCTGATCTTAAGGAATTTTACTACATAATTCGGATGTCAAATCCTCTTTTATTAATTAGTATATATAAAATATAAATTTCAATTTCACATTACTAAAATTCTATTCTAAATTATGATTTTACTTATCTATAGATTATGCATAAATCATTATGAAAATTTCTTATTCTTCAAAATATTTATTTAAAGTTATCCTACCAAAATTGCATTATCAAAATTTTCAATTTCAGTTAACTATTCATTTTAATATATGCATTGAGAATATTATAATTAAGATCAAAAAATCAAATAAAAGTGAATTAATCATTCTAGAAGATACTTTTAAAGAAAATAGATTTCTCCTCTTAATGCTTTTTAATGGAATCCTTTCTAAAGAGATAAAGATAACAAAGTATCTCTTTTTAAATAACAATTATTCTCAATTTTTGTGAATTTTCTTGATATTAATTCTTTCTATAACTCTGAAATTCTATTTATTATTACAGTATAAAATCTGTTACTAATAATTTCGATTATTAATTAAAGATTGTTGCAAACTAAATAAGCTTTTACTTTATTTTCATATCATAACATAAACTTCTGTATAATAAATGTAAATTTCTAAAAAGTTTTATCATATTTAGACCTAGTTCTTTAAATTTTTAATTAAGCATTATAGCTTTTTTATGACATTATGTAACACTTTGCCCAAATTTGTACTATTTTTTAATTTTTATGAAGAAATTAATAAAAATCTCAATTCTTATCCAGTAATTAATTCTAAAATTTATAAAAATAATACAGCAATTGATTAAATGTGATTTATTATTTTGTGAAAATTAGATTTTTAAAACCCCCTTTTAATAATTCTATTTATAAATTATTAATAACTCTATATCCTTCTATTAAAATAAATCAATAAGCAAAATAAGTAGAAAATTATAGTTTTGAAATAAATATTTTCAATAAACATATTCTTTAGATAATATATTGATTTGGTTTAATTTTACTGAGGAAAAAGGCTTGAGAAACAATATATTCTATTTTAATAAATATTTTTTAATTATTTTTAAGGATCTTCCAAGATATACTCATTATAATGTATAAAGGAATATAAAATAGATATATTATTATTGTTTAGTAGTATTCTTCTAAAGGTTTTATAAAATTTTCTCTGTTTTGAAAAGTTTTAATATTATGTATTTACTAGAAGAATAAAAGTTAATGAAAATGCCCAATTAATTTCATAAGTCTAACAATTTGAAGATCAATTACTTTAGAACTGTAACAAACTGATATTATTTAAGTATGATAGCGAGAGATAATTAATTTATCTAATATTTTTGATTTCAAATGGCATTTAATCCATTTAATAAGCAATGAGAATGTTTTTGACTGAAATACCAGAACACTTATTTTTTAAGTTCTTTAGATAGACAACATTCTCTTTTTATGTCCATTTAGGATAGTTTATAAGTAGTTAGAATTAATAGTTTGAGATGCTTTTCTTTGGAAATTACAAAAATGGATTCTATGTATTTAAATGCCTCTTTGAATAAATAACTTAAATTCTTTATAAATTTTAGTTGAAACTTTTGTTTAATTCCATTTTCAAAGGTGTAAAGATATATTTCTGAATTCAATTTATTTATTTTATTTAAATTATTATAATTATCTGTTAGTTTAGAGTACTTATATCAAGTAATAGATCAATCATCTATAGAATTAGGAATTTATTCAGATTGTAATTTTATGGCAATATCTATTTTGGATAATTATGATTTTATGATACTTTTAGATAATTAAATTAGAGCATTGTTTTACTGACAAAAAGTTATTTGGATAAACTTGATTTAGTGGATATTATTAGTTTATTAATTTTGTGAATAGCCCTATGTTTAATTATTAGTTATTTTTGTAAAGTTTATTGCTGTTGCTTAAATTAATCGATTCAGTATATATCTTAGATTATTAAAAAGACAATTATTAATATAAGAAATAAGTTAAAACTAATGGAATATAAGCTATCATTAATAATTCGAATAGTTTGAATATTAAAATCTTTTTTAAATGTTAACTCATCTGTATTTGTATGCTTCCTTGTTCCTTATTGTTAATTACCAAGAATAACTTTATAGCATAGATCCACTAAAGAACTCAAATATTATTAAAAATAATTGAGCTTTGAGAGATTAAACAATTAATGTCCCCATCTAACTTATCATTTATAACAAATTGAATTAAAGAAAGGCCCTACAAAGACAATAATAAAGAAAATTGAAAAAAAAAATTAAGGATATTACTTTCATTATGCAAAAGAAGTTAAGAAAAAATATCAAATTTAATAAGAGAATCTACAATTATTAATTGATTAGAATTCTTTAAATGAATTTATGGAGATTGTTTAGAGAATACTAGATAATTTAGTTTTTTATTAATCTAAATGATAATTAATTATTATATGATTACAATATTATAAAACCTAGATAAAATGAAGAATTTGAAATAATATGTTTCATGAAGTTTAAAAAATAGTTTTCAGAAAACTTTAACAACTGTCAATTTTTTTTGATAAGCTAAAGTATATTATTTAATGTCTTATTTGAATAAGATAATTTTTTAAGGTAGAATAAATTTAAGATGAGCTTATATTATTAATAAAGAAGAAGTACCACAAATTTAAGAAATTATAGAAGATCATGTTAATGCATAAAGAATAAAGAATATAAAAGTTTAAGTTACTTGGTTAAGATGATCTCTAAAATTACTAGAAAAACAGTTATTATTAAGATGGATGGTTATTCAAGCTCAATATAATAAATTGGAGTTTTATCAAGAACTGGAAAATCAAAGTATTATTAATTAATACTATTAAAAAAATATCTATTATTATTTATTTTTATGTTAATCTTAAGTTATGTGATTATCCAGTTTTATTGTTCAAAAATAATTCACCATACAGCATAGAATGGTGTTTTATATATTGACAATATTAAAGATTATTTAAATCCAATAGATTTGCTATATCATTAAAATTGTTTTTGAAGGCATAAGAGGATAATTGTCACAAATATTGTGATTTTTAAAAAACTCAACAACAATACGAATTCTTCTCCTTTCTTTAATCAATTCTCTAAGCTTACTATCTTGATGGGTCCCCTTTTGCAATTATTTTTTTTATTAGTTATTCAAAAGCTTAAGATATTTAATCTCCTGTCTTTGCACTTACTTCAAAATGTGTCATTCTTTTTTATGCTGCAAAATCTATAGCTTGTTGTGTTTTTATTCTTTCATAAAATATAGAATCTTACTTTCTAGTATCCATGTCGCACTTGTTTCCTAACAATAACAATTCAACATTCTTGTCAGCATATTTTTCTACCTCTAAGATCCAATAGTTTTATATTCTTGCTAATGTTGAAAGATTTAAAATAGAATAAACCATCACAATCCCATCAGCACCCTGCATTCTATTTCAAAAAATACCTTATAATATGCACTAGTTATTGCTTCAAATTTTTCCTAACCAGAAGTATCCCAGAATTCAAGCCTAACATTCTTTCCATCAATTTATTATTTCTTAAATTTTAGATCACACCCAATACCCAATGGTTGTAGTATATTCTTCGCTAAACGTATTTTCACAATAACGTCGCATCACTGAAGATTTACCTACATTTTGACACCCAATTATAATTATTTTAAACCTCTCGTCGTATTCCTACTATTTCTCATTCATTAGATTAAATAAATATTTTTATTATAAAAACATAAAATTATAAATTGCTATATATTAATACTAACTATTTTTTAAACATAATCTTAATCTTGAAAACTTTGATTAGATTATTACTTAATTATGAAACTATTGTTCCATTTTTAGATTAATAAAATTGATTCTAAATAAATCAAGCTGAATAATTAATTTGAAATTACTATTCCCTAAGTTTCTAGAATCCTTAATTTAAAAAGATTTGATTATTTAAAAAAAAAATCATTAAAATACTTTACCTATAAATATTTTTTATTTTAGAAAAATTAATATTAGGGATGCTTTGCAAATTAATTTTTTGTTATTCAATTATATTTATAATTAAACAGATTTGAAATATGAAAGCATTCTTTTAAGGAGTTTAAATTGATAAATAAATATCTATTTCATAATAATATGCATTCTAAAATAACTTAATCATAACGATATTTAAAATATGAGATAAAAATATAAAATTGATTGTTATTCTCAAACCAAATAGTACAATGATAGTATATATTGTTTATATAAATTTTTAACTTTTAATTTCAAATAACTTCACTTAAAACGGAACAAATTTTTTTCATAAATTTTGGAGTATTATTAAACAAAAGTCAAAAATTTATAATAAATCTTTAAATTTATATTAAATGATAATCCTTAAATTGAATTGGATTAATAATTATAATGAGTTCTTAGTATGGATTAAAATTAACTATTCGTATAATATTAATAAAGAAGAAAAATAATAATTAAATCAAGTAAAATACGAAGACCTATTACGATGATTATAAATTAGAAATTTAAATTATTTAGATTAAGTATTTTATTAAAATCTAGAAAATCTTCTTTTTATACCAAAAAAAAACTGAAAGGAAATGTTACAGAGTATAAAAAAGTTTTATTAGAATTAAAAAAACTAAGATTAAGAAGTAAAAGCAATAGTAATGTTTAATAATTAATATTGCTAAGAAAATAATTACTTTTAGTATTAAAATTTGAATATGAAAAATTGTAAGTCAAAATTCTTCGTCATTATTATTTTCAGGTTATTTTTCTTCAAATAATGATTTTAAACCTTGGCCATCCATTCTAGAATCAAAAACAACTACAAAATCGTTTTAATCAGGATATATATCTATATGTCTTCTTTTCTCTTTAGGCCAAATTGATGGGGAAGGAAATAAAACATCAACTGAAAGTTGTATTGTATTATCAAGTAATTACTAAGCAAATTCTTTCATATAATCTGAACTTTAATTAAATTCTGTTGTAGGTTTGACATCTATTAACCATGGTTTATATTTATTATCAATCACTATTTTAACTTAAAGTAACTAAGTCTTATTTAATGAATACTTCAAAATTATGATCTTTGACTGGCATTTGAATAAACACTGATCTAATATATTCACAAACAATAATTTTAATTTCAGGAAAGATTTTATAATCATAATCCACTCTGCAATCATCAAAATATTCTATAATAGTTTTCATTTAAATCTTTTCTGAATCATAATCTTGATTTTATTGTGTATTCAATTTAGATTAAATTTCTTGTTCAAATGGAGAGAAATTTATTTTTGATTTTTATCCATAAAACTATTCAAATAAATACGCTCTCACTATTCCATTTATTTGAACTATTAGTAAATAATAGCATAAATCTAATTTTATTTATTGATATACAAACGATCTGATGTATTATTAAACAATAAAACTTTATTAATTTCTACTTGGGGTTGAATACTCTTTATGAATAAAGTTAAAAACACTCTTTGTATTTTCACAAAGCTAAAATTTCTATCCTTAATTCTCACATTTCAAAACTATCCAAATTTCAGTAGAAGTTTTGTAATTCCTAATAAACTCATACAATTAATCTTCTCCAAGATTATTTACAATTATTGAAAAAGGACAATAATCACAAAAATTTTAATTTGTTAAAATGCAGTATTTTTAAAATCTATTTATTAGATTTTTTTTTGTCCATAATGGATTTATTATATCAATATGATTATGTATTTTTATATAAGGAGATAAAAGACAAAGTTTTTATTCTATAGCAAATTTCATTTAATCTTCTACACTATCACATAGTTTCAATATCTATTCAAAAGGTTGAAATTCAATTTTATCACTTATGTGTCTAGATCTTTATTTATTCAAAAATGAACTTGAAGCTTAACAAGTCCATAAAAATTATACATCTTCTTCAGTCTCTTCTGCTTCTTACCACCACCATCTATAACTTAAGCATTTTTTTAAAATTATTTCATTTTTAGGATCCTGAATTTTATATTTTTATATTCTTATTGCTGAAGGACGAATATATATAGTATGAATACATTAATTTTCAAATACGCTTTTTTAAAAATTTTTAAGTTTTCTCTATATTGGATCTTCTTGAATCTAATTTTATGGTAAATACATTGTTTTTTTTCTTTTCAATAATCTATTCTTCAATTTTTCTAAAAACTCTTTTGGCCTTTAAATTTATGGTCTTTAAGGATAAATCAAGCTTCTCTCTGTTTAAATTGGAGATAGTAAATTCTCTCTTTAATAATTAAATGGCCTCATTAAGTCTTTTACTGACTTTTCAATCTAAAAAGGATACAATTATTTCATATTTCTTAAATAGTAAAAATTATGAACAGGAGGACTTCTAGCTTGAGGAGATTTTTCGAGTTTTTTTAATTTGATATTATTTAATTTTACATCATCCATTGCATTCTCTAAGATTTTTTTTTGGCTCTCTATATTATTTATGGATGTAGGAGATTAGGAATTCATATTGTAAGGTGAATAATGCATTTTAATTGACTGTTTTCTAGCAGGAAATCGAGCTAGGTTATCATCTTGTTTTTCAATTTTATATTTTTATAGACTTCCATAAATATCACATTAAGAAATATCACGATCGCTTGAATTTAAAAATGTTTCTTTTCTTTGACCAAAAATTGAAGCTTTTTGAGTAGCTAGTATTTTAAGAGTTGGTTAAAAAGAGTGATTAGAAAATAAATATGAGGGAGTTTTTTGTGATGGTGAAATATCCTATCTTTTTGAATAATCATTATGAGGTTGAGGTATATTTGAATTAGCATCAGTATGAAGTTTATGAATAGAAGGCATTTTCAAGTTCATAAATTATAAAAATTAATACCATTTGTAATTAATAATAATCATAAATACAAGTAATGTTTGTCAAAAAAATTAAATTAATTCATAACCAACTTTGATTTAAAAACATTTAAATGGACTGGAAATTAACAATAGAATTTTCATTTTAATATTAATTAAATTGAAATAGATCTTTTTACATTATAAATATAAATTATTACAATTTTTTATTGACCAAAAGTATTTCTATAATTGTCTCTATAAATTTATAAAGTTAATAAACTAACAGAATTCTATTAATAATAAATAAGAATTATGTTGAAAATGTATTAAAATTACAAAATATATTAAGTTTAGAAAATGAAAAAAAATTATATTTCATAGTCTATCAATAAATTTAACAAAACAAAATGTTTCTTATAATTATTTAGAAAAAAAAAATATATGTTCTTAAAGACTATTTTAAGTAAATAAAATTAATAGAAAACGTACATAAACAATATTAACTGAATTTTTAAATAAAATGTAAATTTTATATTTTATTAATATTTTATATTTTGATAGAAAAAGAGTAAAAAAAGCGCTAATGGAAGGGTTTGAACCTTCGACCTGTTGGTTAACAGCCAACCGCTCTGCCGACTGAGCTACATCAGCGTATTCGATATCATTTATCATATTGAATTTATAAACAGCATTATATTCTTGATATAAATTTGTAATTTGTAAAAAATTTCCATTATGTTTTTCTCGAATTAATTTATTGAAATTTATATCTCAAAGATAAAAAAATATTTTGTAATATCTAATTTAATATTCGAAAAATCAAATTATTTGAATTAATCCATTTTTACTTTTACTTAGGTTTTATTGTTTAATTATCAATAAGAAAAAAATTTAATTTTAGAATTCCTTTTATATATAAAAAAATTTATCATTTAATATTTTCAAAATAATAATAAAAATTTTGTTCAATCTAAAAGGAAGGAATAATATACTTTTCTTAAATCTTGAATTCTTCAATTTAAATTTTGAAAATCTCCTTTTATGTTTAATCTTTATGATCATCAAATAATTCACTTTTATGGTCTTACCTATTGACTAAAAGAAAGATCATCTTTTTGTTAAATTTGAATTAAATTTATTTTTTATTAAAGATTAATGAAATAAATTCTTAATAAATAGAGAATATTCTTTAATTTTATTCATATTTTAGTTATTTATTTTTTTTCTTTCTTTCATTACTACAATTTTTTTAAAATCATTATTCAAATTTAATAATACATCTAAATTTGAATCATTTTTCAATTTTTCTTAGAATAAATTTGCAATTGATAATGGTAGTTGTTTCTTTAAATAAGATCTACTTTCATCAGTATTTATTTTGCTTTCATATTTGATATCTATTTTTAGAATTGAAATTAAATTTTTTATAAAATTGATAATGTAGAATTAACAAATATATTTATCATTTATGTTATTGCAACTGTGTAGTTGATTTAGTAACATTATTAATGGTAACTTAGTTTTCTAGCCTTAAGTTTTTTATAAAGAGTAGTTAGTTTATAAATATTATTTAATTTTATGCAAATTGTCATTTTTTTTTAATTAATAATTATAATGGGATAGAGTTGTATAAAAAAAAAAATAATAGAAAATGAAGAAGAATTAGAATGCAAATTGCATATTATTTAACCAATTAGTCATAGTAATTAAATTAAAAGACCAATATATGAAATATGTTAAATAAAAGGAAGAGAAGAAACAAAAGATGATGTTGATGATTTTGATTTAGAAACAAAAAAATCTTAATAAAGTAAGGTTTAAGGCATTTACAGTTCTCAGCCAAATTTCTCTTTGTGTGTGAAATAATAAAAATAATTGATAAAAAATTAATTAAAATCCCTTGGTGCAGACGTGTCATAAATTTTTAATCCTAAAGAATAAAAATTAGTACGCTCTGATCGAGAAAGTAGGGCGAAAGAATCTAATACTCATTTAATTTAAATTGCAAGAGATAATAAAAGAAATAATACATTTCATTCAAATAACAGTGTTGATAACAGCCGATCACCACTTTAATTATCTTTGAAATAATAGAATCATACGTTTGACTCAATCAGAGATGAAATTAAATCTGTTAGATTTATGAAAACTACAAATTAAATACAATTAAATCATGGTATATTAAAATAAAAAAAAGGAAAAGCCAAATCTATGTATTACAAAAGAACTGTTAGATTTTAATTTTGACAACATCCATATTCTTTTTACATTAAAACTAATTTACATAATACTTTTATGAACAAAAAAATTTTTGCTAATCTGTAAAATGATAATACAATTTATTTCACTATTTTCTAAATATAAAGCATAATAATCTTTTTAAAATTGGTTTTGTTATTTTTATCTAAAAACCTATCATTATCTTATCAATAAAGATTCGTTTTTAATGAAATTTTTATTGATTAAATAATATTCAATTTGCATATTTTTCCTCCATTTCTATTCTTTATGTTTTTACAGAATAAATGCATTTGTAATGATTATTTGAAATTGAAATTAATTAAAATTTCTTTGTTTTGAAAAATTTTTAACGAAACTGATATTTGTTGTAATATGAATATATTAGTTAGTTAGTTAGTTAGTATGTATATAATAATAATAATAATAATAATAATAATAATAATAATAATAATAATAATAATAATAATAATAATAATAATAATAATAATAATAATAATAATAATAATAATAATAATAATAATAATAATAATAATAATAATAATAATAATAATAATAATAATAATAATAATAATAATAATAATAATAATAATAATAATAATAATAATAATAATAATAATAATAATAATAATAATAATAATAATAATAATAATAATAATAATAATAATAATAATAATAATAATAATAATAATAATAATAATAATAATAATAATAATAATAATAATAATAATAATAATAATAATAATAATAATAATAATAATAATAATAATAATAATAATAATAATAATAATAATAATAATAATAATAATAATAATAATAATAATAATAATAATAATAATAATAATAATAATAATAATAATAAAAAAGAATGTTTAAAGGATCATCAATAAAAATATTATTAATAGGGCCAGCATAATCAGGGAAATCAAGACTTGCAAATTATATAGCAGATAGAGAAGATATTTCATAAAATGGATATAGACCAACAGGAGGAGTAAGAATAATGGAATTTGAAAAAGAAGCACCAAAGAATCCTAAAAGACCAGGATCAGAAAAAGTAATTGTAGAGCTTTGGGATATGAGTGGAGATACAAAGTTTTTATTTTAATTAAAACAGATATGATTCTTGTTGGCCTGCAATAATGAAAGATGCTTAAGGAGTTATATGTGTATATAATGCAGAAAATCCTAAACATGAATAAGAATTAGAATGGTGGGTTAATCAAATTTCAAAAAAAGCTGGTATTCCTGCAGCATAAAATGTTGTATTTGCTCATCATTTAACAGGCAAAACTATTAAAGGATAATCAAAATTACGTATAATTTATATTTCTAAATATTTTTCAGCTAAATCATTAAGTAGTTTAATTGTTCATGATACTTCCATTGAAGAAGGAAATCAAACTATCCATCCAGCATTTGAAAAATTTTTTAATTCTTTAATGTTAAGTATTTATGAAAAATAAGAAAAAGAAGAAAATAGATTAATGAATTGATATATAATTTTTTATATATACAAAAATATTTATACTTATTTACATGACTTTAATCTTAACACACATTATTTCACAATACAATTTTTTTTAATTTAGATTATTCAAATTTCTAGATTAACTGTTAT